GTTGGTCATATACGTAATTGTAATTTCTAAAACATTTACGCTCTTAAGAAGGCCAACGGCCTCACAACTCCTAGCGGGCTTCGCCAGGTACTGCTCAATGACATTGCCGGCAGCCCTCCCAGATGACTGAAGCTGATTTGAGACCATGCTCTTCCCTGTACGACCCGGGCAGGAGCGGCACTCTGAATACGAGCAAACGGAAACAAAAGACCACGTTCCGATGAGACGACTACAGATGATGTAGCATGTCGTGGTACAGATCCTAGCACCGGCCTTGTCGACTGCCGTAGTCAAGTAGCCCGGACCCTGGAGCGCGACAGAGCTCTATATGACGTGAAGTCCCACATGTCCTAGCATTGTATGGACGCCATCGACAAAGTCTGCCAGAAATCAGGAAGGGAGCTTTATCCGTATGCCAGAGACTTCAACTCCTTCTTCGCTGACCGCCTTAATGAATGGCTTGGAAAGTGTGAGTCATCGTCTCGAAAAGCTGACACGCCCACGCCGGCGTAGGTAGGTACCTACCTACCTATCCGGGGGCCAGGGCCACGTGTGCAGCACGGTGAGCCACCCGAAGCCCAATAAAAGTCACCACTCCGTACCCAGGTGAATACCTACCTGCCTAGATATATGCCATTCCTGCATGCTAATAAATATTAAGATGTCAGATCTCATCATTATTTGACGCAATCTTAGAAGCAAAGAAAGACTGTTAATTAAGTTAGCAAACTTAAACCTTGGTGGGTGGTCGGGGATCGTTAGTTTGTATGACCGGGGCGCCCTGAAGTTTTTAAAAACCTAAAGCCTACTTTAGGTATCCAAATGTTTGTTAATAATAGTGGCAGTGCGGGTACCCAGGTAGCTCCCTTCCAGAATCTATATAAACATGCGCCTCGCCTTGGCCCAAGTATCAGAATTATCTGCCAGATTTCAAACATATCCTACAAACACGAATCACGCAACATTCGCCAAGCCACAGACAGCAACATATTCCTATACTACCCAGAGCAAGATTCACGCAATATCATCAACCTCGAGCCCCTACCACGACGCGTCACTAGTTCCGCACAATGGTAACTGTTCTAAAGTGCCGGACGTGCTGGAAGGGATTCGGCCTTTATGCGGCTACAATCCTGCCTTTCATCGTCGTCTGCCATGTTCTTCTGGCCAGCACAGCGGTACGCAATACCTACTGGCTCATGCGGGCTATGATTTGGCTAGTCTATTACATATCGACTCTGTTTCTAGCAGTCCTTGTTACCTTTTTCGTTGTTCGGGCCAAGGAAAGAGAGGAGACCTCACCAGAGGAACACTTCCATGTTGTGGATACTAGGGAAAGAAGGGACCTATATTTCCAGCGCAAAATACAGCAGTGGCACCGGGACCTCGACGAACTCAGAGCTCAAAGACATCGTCGAAGACGGAGGCCGATCATGGATCGGAGGGGGGGAAGATTGGGGGGAAGATAAAGAGGACTGTCTGACCGGCGGTGGTTGCATCTCAGAATGAAATGAAGGAGGCTTGCGATGGGGACCACCACTACAGAATGAATACGAAATACTTTTACCACCTTATAATAATTCTAATGTGAGAGTGTGTACCATATCCGCAACTTGACCGTAAAAAGGACATTAGCACCTTCTCTTCACTTAACAAATTCGACTATCATCACACCATCCCTGCGCACGGAACTTACTATCACTGTACGATAATGGCCAAAGATGCATGCTCGCAATCGTTGGAGAACGATCACGAACTGGGACCTATATGCCCATGGGACGGAACCGGTGCCATACAGTATCTATCATGACAGGTCGGTGACTAGTGAGTGCATCTTTGGGTCTTGTGACGGTGCTTCGGCGCGGCATACACGACGCCTTTTTTTTTTCTTTACCGACGGCAAAAAGGCTAATTGAAAGTAGGTTGACGTATGATAGCAGTGGTGTTTAGTGAGTGGTCAAAGAATAATGTATTGAGCTGTCTTCTCTATTAGGGCTACTCCCCACTAAAAGCCTTAAAAGACACAGCCAAGATAGCCATTGTAATTCCCAATACAAGTATCTAAAGCAAAATCAATATCATTTTTCTCTTAGTTCATGAGATATGGAGTTTTATGATTACTCACTCAAATCAAACTCAGTGGTTATTTGAAGGTTTCCCGCATCATCAAGGCAATCGCACCAAAAAATATTTGGTGTATCACGCTTTACGGCACACGGTCGGCAAGAAGCCCCAAAACCCCCACTAAAAATATTATTATGTAGTTAGCTATAAGATTATTTCACGATCTAAATAAAGGCAATAATAACTTTTGCTGGCACTATAATTACATATTAATAAACAATGAAGTTTTATTAGGGATTAAAAAGGATACTCACCTGCATAACTGCATTTGCGTTCCCAATACATCCGTTTAAACCCATAGTACTAGTAATATAAACCCCTGCTTCGTTTTTGCAGGAGGCTTGTAAAGTCGGGTTGTCGACAATTTCATTCTCAGTCGTCGAGATAATGTCAATGCATGTGCTCGCAAAGCCGCCACCGGCAATAGATGGTCTGGTAAAAAGGAGGAGAAGAAGTGCGGGCAATATCATATTGGAAATTCAAGGCGTGAAGTGGCAAAATATGTTAAGAAGTTGATGCAGTTAAATGTTTGAGTGAAGGAAAGGATCGGTGAATGGATGTTGTGCTAGTATTTATATTTCATAAGCGTTTTGCATGGAGTCATGCGTTAAAATGCCCTTTCAAACCATAAACATAAGCCTTATATGTATTACAAGTTTGTTCCTGGTCCAAGGTTCTCCGCAGGTGACCTCATTACACCGAGGGTGGGATGGTCCTGAGTAATCAAAAATTGGTATTCTGCCTAAAGATGTTGGGTACACTGACAAGGCTTGATAATCTGCACATATAAGTGGCCTCATGACTGCATTAATACCTCATATCGTCTGGTAAGACTGATGCCAAAGCCTCGTTATGCTGCAGATGTATGCTGAGATCTGCATGGCTCTCGAATTGAGAATGCCTTGCAGCATACTCTGTGGGGCTGAGGTGAGATATTAGCGAACCAGACATAGTCGCTGCCCTCCCTATACTCTTCCTGGTCAATAAGAGCAGCAATAAATGTACTTTATGAATCAGCAGCTGCACAGTTCCGGGATCACAAAGTTCTAGCCTTATTCTTTGGCATCCCTTTGACAAATTAATGGAAACCCGAAACATGTCTGCACACTTTATTGGCTTGGGTGATCATTAGATGAGAAGAGCATGGACATACTCTGCAACTCGTGGATACCATGGGAGTATCGACAATCTAGGGCAGTGCTTCATGTTGATCACAAAGCTTTCTGCCAAGAAAGCTCAAGATGTAAAGTTGTGAGCGCCCGATTTCTCTTGGTACATTTTAGATACCTAGACAAGGTATATTATAGTGTCTACTTCTGCCCTCTCCAATGATCCATTATTGGTTTGTACTTCCGATTGTGAATGTTCTAATTAGTCAATGAACGCTCCTCTGACTTGCACACCTTCGGCGATGTGATTCGTTGCCAGTCGTAGTCACATCGTTGATACAATGTCTCCATGTGTCCTATATTACCATTTGAGGATGTCTGACCTAAGAACCTGTCACAAGAAGGCAGAGCTCTGGGCAGAATATGACCTGTCCTGGGACAGGTCAGGCGTGTGATGCAGTTCAACGCGATAGCCAAAGTAATTGCTGAAACCATCCGAGACAGGGCTCCGACCAACCCAACTTGAAGACCATATTGGAATGGGTTGACATTGGTATATTGGCCAATAGTTGACATGATTGGTTTAAGCAGGAGTATCAGTGAGGTTCTGCCTACTTTCCTCGACACTTTCCCCCACACTGTCTCCAGCATCCGCATCCTTATCGGTGTCAAAAATGCCCTAGAGAAACTTATCATTTTGATTTGCTCCCAGACTAAATTCTTCCTTCTCTTTCGGCCAATTCAACCACGCGGCTGTCGCTATACTGACTGTGTGGTCATTGTCGAGCGCCGTTGCCTTTTGAAGCTCTTCATGATCTATCGGCACAAGTATTGAGTCCAAGTCTGGATCACACCCGCACCAAACCATGATCAAGGCGGTGGCAACAGCCCAAGCCTCGATGGCAGACGGCAACCAGGTCTTACGGGGTCTGGTATGCGCACGTCTTGCTGGGTGGTTTGCCGCAGAAAGCACGATGCTTTGGTAGTGTTGTGTAGGTAGCTATCTCCAATGTCGTGCTGCTGGCAACAGGCACTGGTGACTAAACAACTGCCTCACTGTGGCGGTCCCGCTGTAGCCTGGGGATTTGTCCCATTGCTACCGCGGCTAACTCATCTCTCCTTGCCAGATGATGCTTGGCCAAGGGATGCTGGGGTCTCTTCTGGGCCATAGTTCGTAACATTTCCAGACAAAAACAGATTCAAGAGAGAAGAATCGTATAGAAATTTTCCGTTCATTAGCCATGTGTTACGAACATGCACACTTGCATATGGCAAACAAGTGTGTCAGTATCTTGGCTAGCGCTCCCTGTAAGCCTAAACCCACATACCATCTATACCATCAGGTTTATAGCCTTATAGCGCATACAAGCCATCACACCAAGAATGTAGAAAAATAAGAGGTTACCAGACTACTACCTAAGCAGGCTGACCAATGGCGCTGCTGCGTAGCGTGGCATTAATGGGCTTCCGGCTGTGCTAGGTAGCATTGTTATCTTGACACCTTCCGTGGGTGCAAAGTTTCTCCCCATAACTTTTCCCACACTATAGTTTTCTTCCTAATTCATCATCTTTCCGGCCACTGATGAGTCTTTCTGCATTGATGCATGCATCAAGAGGACCTACGCCAACCGATTACCTTTCACACTGCATGGCCCCACTGCTTTTATTCAATTGTAACACCTACCTACCTAGGTATGCATTCCAACCCAAGGATCACCAGGCAAGACGCAGAAGGAAGATATTTGAGAAACAGCCTTAATGTCTAAGGCCTCCTGGAGCTTCGTCAGTTTTTATTTCCGGATGGCAATGCGACAGCTTCATGTTACATAACTGTCAGGCGGTGGATCATAGTTCCCATACACTGGGATGTGCTTGAGCACACTGATCAACACAACGGTGTTCAAATAGACGTACCTGGGGGTTAGCCGAGGCCACCCAAATAAGCGTGCACCTCGTCACAACTGGAGGCGCAGAACATTTGAACACAGATCAATAGGTACGTTACACAATATCTACAGATGTCTGTGGTTTGATTTGCTTTTTTTTTTTTTTTTTTTTTGCGCGTTCAAGTCGGTGTTTGTGGCATTGAACAAAAGTGTAAAAACAAACACGATTGCAGCATTGAAGCGGATGCTGCCGAATCTAGCTCTTCTAGGGATAAACCTGGCCGTTCTGCATGCGCTATCTTTTTGGCAGAAGCGGGGTTTGGCCAAGAAAAACTGCGTCAGCCAATCGAGTTATCCCCTTAGCTGGCAAGCACCACGGTTCCCAAATAAGGCAGGTTTTGGTACAGCTAAGCCATTAAGTTGAAGTGAACCGCTTTTTCTCACCAATTATATATCGTACTGCCAGCATATATTCTTTGGCTTTTCTCAAATAACTACACAATATAAGGCTCGTAAATATCAAAAAGCGAGATACTAGGTATTACGCATTTTAGGAATCGACTGATATAGTTTTTATATTGTTTTGCGAAAATCTACGCGACTTTAAGGTATAGCCCTGCAATACCGCGGCGCGATTGGTTCACTGCAGCAAGTCACTTCTGGGGTGGTGATCGGCAAACCGTGGTGCTTGCCAACTAAGGGGATATTTGCTTAAAAATGCAACACGGCCGTTGCGACAAACGTGAATTTACCATGTAAGACGTTTTGAGATCTTCGCTATCTATTGCCATAATAGACCTGATTCGTGGCGCAACAGCTCGGAAATTGCCAACCTCATGCGTGACCCAAAAGATCAGCCACTCGAGTTTAGAAACACCAATTATTATGGCAGGATTTCCAGGAGATGGTGGGTTGGAACCTGGTTTGCCGACATCTCAGCTCGGCGCATCCTCATCCCGCTGTAAGGCTCTTTCAGTCCTCTGTCGCTAAGGCGTACAAGTTGGTGAAAATGCGCGCACGTTGCCCCGGAAGTCAGGGCTCCCCCGTCCTCCTTCTTTGCAGCTGGCTTTTGCATCGCGCTCTGACTATCGGAGTTCCTTGTAGCCGAAGCCCAACAATAGCTGCATCGAAAGGAACTGGATTAACTGCCAAGTGGGATGGCGAAAACTATGGGCAAAGCCAAACCCCCAGGATTCATCATTACCATATATTCTGTGCAATGCTGCGTCGCTCAGAAGTCTGATGAGTAGTTATTACGGTTAGGTATCCTTACTCTGCGATTCGATGGCTCTCGTGGCAAAGGTATCGGGATATGATTGGGGGTAGTGTCCCACCGCAACTCTAGACACAGCACCAACATTATTTATTGATGATTTGCTCAGGACAGCGGGAAGGCATATTTTGGTAAGGCTGAGCTCTCCTCACCCATGCACTTTCCCGTAAGAGGTCTTGTGCTTTCAGGATGCGGGGTAGAAATGATCAACAAAAAACTGACCTGTATCACTTGCCCATGAATGGCTTCAGTTTCTCTAAGCTGCTTGCAATAAGCTTGATTGCATTTGACTTGAACGGATTGATTTGACTTTCACTGCCAGGCGCACTGATCTGTGATATCAGGTAGAAGGACGCGGTGTGAGGCACCTCGCCCTGTGCCTCCTATCCAAAATGCGTCTTCTAAGTCTTCAGGATGGTAGACTCAGCCTTACCAAATTCAACAAGCATATCCCTTCATATGCTATTCTTTCTCATACCTGGGGCGCAGCTGAGGATGAGGTGACATTTGAAGATGTTAGTCGGAATGAAGCAAGGAACAAAAAAGGATACGACAAGATCAAATTTTGTGCAGAGCAAGCCGCCATCCACAACCTCGAGTTCTTCTGGGTCGATACATGTTGTATCAACAAGACTGACGTGCAGGAATTTCAAAACGCCATCAACTCAATGTATCGTTGGTATCAAAATGCGAAAGTGTGTTTTGTGTATATGGCCGATCTTAGCACAGAGGGAACCCGTCAGACACACCAAGATTCTGCTTGGAAAGTACGTTTCCGACAAAATCGATGGTTCACTCGGAGCTGGACACTGCAAGAGCTGCTTGCTCCGCGCGAAATTAAGTTCTATTCCAACGATAATCAATTCATTGGCGACAAGGGATCCCTGGTACAAGAGTTGGAAGCCATCACGAGAATTCCAGCCTCTACTCTCCTTGGCGCTGACTCGGCTCCGTTTAGTCTGGAAGAGTGCATTTTTTGGGCTGGGGACCGTGAGAGCACGTACGAAGAGGACAAAGCCTACTCTTTGCTAGGCCTGTGCGGCGTTTCATTGGCACCTAATTACGGTGAAGGGGTTGAAGATGCATTCGAACGTCTCCGTAAAAGGTGTCACAAAAAGCGCAACAAGCAGGGAACAATACAGGTCTATGAATCAGGTGGAAAGGACAATTGGCATTACGACAGCCAAGCTCACGAGGCTCTTCAGCTATCAAGAGTCGCCGAAATCTCCCCCTTTGCGCAAAGTCACCCGAACAATTTCGAAGAAACGGAAACGGGACCACTGAACAAGACAACGAGACGACTTGTCGATATAAAGCGCGATATGGAAAGGGCCAGTCAGCAGCGAGACGAAGAGAACATGAGGGAGATCGAAAGAGAGCGGGAGCAGAAGACGCGTGAGATCAATATGATTCAGAAGCAACAGATGGACTGGAAAGTCCGAAACGAGGAACTGCACAAACAGGTGTACGGCGATATGGAGAAGCGGATGCAGAAGCAGGCAGAGGAACATCAAGCTGAAATAAGCCGGCTACAGGAGCGGATGGAGGCAATGTCGGCAAGTACCTCAAGTCCGGCATCCAACTCCGTTGCACTAGTGACGCAGCCGCGAGAGGAAGAAGACAGTTCCGAATCTTCCGGATCCTCCTCCGACTCACAAGCAGAGCAGCGCCGACGAGAAGATCGACGGCGACGAGAACAGCAACAGCAACAGCTACGACAAGAATTGGATTACCGAATTGCCATCGAACTTGATTATCAAAGACGCTTCAATGACCCGTACTTCTTGGAGGCTAGAATGGCGCCCGTCCGTTGGAATCGAGGACCTTGCAATGACCCATTTTGTGATATATGCAGGTTTTAGGCATGGAGTATGTTACGAACGTGAGCGGTTTTTGTGTCCGTCACCCCAACGATGTCCAGGCAAGTGGGAACTTGTGTGAGAACGCCTGCACTAGTGATGAAGGGCGAAGTTGATTATTTTTGATGAATTCCCATTGGTGTTTAAACTGGTCTGATATAGGTGTCAATTGTGTGATGTATTGATCCATGTTCTGCACCTGCAGTTTCGACAAGCTGCACGCTTATTTGGGTGGCACTGGCCTGGGAAAGCCCGGGAAGGGCCGACCGGCGGTCATTACTTAGTAACTAAGATTCCCCACACGGGAACGGAGGGCTTTCGTTGCCAGATGAATACATCACCCATCTTGACTCCAAATATTTCGATTTTTGGAAACGCTCCTCTAGCGCCAGCTAATCCCCGGGAGCCTCCGTACATCTATCTGGACGCCATGGCGTTGTGTGGTGTGTTCAAGCACACCCGGGTGTATGGGAACTATGATCCACTATCTGACATATATTATCCTATATACAGCCTTACCGTAAGAACAGCATGATAGGCCCAGCGACATTCTCCGTGCAGAAAATCTTGCCGGGATAATTCAATATATTGATTTCGCCCTCACTCCGCTTTACTACTATTGGCCGTGTATAACCACACTTGTTTCGTGGAATATGTGGGAGTCGGTCCCGAGGTCACATCCGTACGTGTTTCAGGTAGTAACTACACATCCTTCTGTGACTTCATAGCCTTGTCGCCCTGACTGTATCGAACTAGCCGCAGAAACCCAGGTCCCTCTGTGCTAATCATAAACAGGTCAGTCTTTTCGAATTGCGCAGTGGTATTCACAACGAACCCGGCCTGATTGTTTTATATACGATGATCGAGATCATTGCTTAAAGTTTCATTGACAACTCCTCTTAGCCACCTACCACTCCTCTGTGTTTTTTCTATCAATCCCTATCGCCCGACACGAAATGATACTCATACCACCAAGGCTGCGTCAGGGCGAGTGTAGTGCATGTGGCTGGGACTTTTCCGGTCAATATGAGATAACTCGCAAACAGCGGCTCGAGAGAATAAGCCAGCAGTCGAGGGGGTTCGATGCGCTGTTGCTTTCAGTTCAGAAGACTGGCTGTTTATGTTGTGCTGTCTTGAGAGAGCTCGCAGTAAATAATCTCCTGGGCGCTACGGATGGTGTGTCATTCCAGTTCGAATTTGGCCGAGGTTATTTCAACGCCCATCTTTCTGAGAGCTTCGGGTATCCAACCAGCGAGAAATGGATGTTCTACCTGCCTGGATGGGGCTCTCATATACGCAACGAGCAAAATGATTACCCAAACTTTACTGGATCCGATAACTCGATCGCCTTCGCCAGAAAAAAGCTTGCAGAATGTCTAGACATGCACACCTCCTCATGCGATCTGCGTGCCTCTAATTACGCAACGCCGAAACGCCTCATTGATGTAAAATCCTGCTTTCCAGACGTGAGACTGGTACGTACGACCGACAAGAGCTATGGTCAAACAGCGTCACGGGGTTACTTCGCTCTGAGCCACTGTTGGGGCGGCCACGGAGAGGACAGTAAAACACTTCTCAGCAACATGAATAGCAGACTCGAGCGCATAGCGTGGCAAGATCTGCCGCGCACTTTTCGGGACGCCATCTATGTGACGCGGCAGCTCGGCTACAGCTACCTATGGATCGATAGTTTCTGTATAATACAGGATGATCAGAAGGACTGGATCGAGGAAGCTGTGCGAATGTTTGAAATCTACTCTTCGGCTGTCTTAGTCTTGGCCGCTCATCACGCCAAGAATAGTCAGGGTGGACTTTTCACGAGGGTCGGAAAATCACGCGAGGTGCGCCTCGCGCTCCCCAGCTCCAGCTTTGAGAGCAAACACATGCGCGACCTCCCAGCTCTCATCGATATGATCGGCCACCGAAGTGACGCGGTGTGCCCGTTGATCAATACTGGTGAGGAGACGACTACAAACGAGGTAAAGACCACATATGAGGTAGCGCCGCTGTTTACACGTGCATGGGTCTTTCAAGAGCGGATGATGAGCCGGCGTATGCTCATCTTTACGGCCAGCGAGATGGTATGGCAGTGCAACGATGACATTTCTTGCCGTACCCGGAGCGGCGTCGACAATGAAAGCTTTAGAGCCCTTTTTCAGGCTGTGATGGCCGGCAGGAAGCCTGATGTTTGGGAATACGGCCCGTCCCACGTGGGCTTCAAGAGTCGGTTGCCAAGGCTGGGCTCGAGGCTTCAATTTGACATGGAAACCAAGCAAAATATTTGGTACATGGCAGTCGAGAGATATTCCGATCTCAGCATAACCAAACCTGATGACAAGCTGCCTGCCATTGCCGCCATCGCCCGTAAGCTGAAACAATTCATGCGCCCCGAAGACCAGTATCTTGCCGGGCTTTGGTCGGAGAGCTTCTATGAAGACCTGCTGTGGAGAGTTCGTCCAGGTCGGCTTCACGATAACGCTAGAGGCATCGATCGCATCCTCAGCGCGCGACCTCATCATCCCAGCGGGGGGAGCGAACCCTGCTGGCCGGCGCCGACGTGGTCATGGGCCTCTGTTCAGGATCCCGTCTCCTTCATGATTCATCGATATAAGCGTGTAGGTCACGAAGCCAAATTGCATCCGCAATGTTCAATTGAGAAGTTCACGACCTGCAATCCTGATCAGGATCAGTTCATGCTGCCAGCTAGGAATTTATGCAAATTGCCCATGGAAGCCAGGACAGTCCCCGCCCGCCTTCGGAAATTAGAAGACGGCAAGGGTCGAATATTTTTCCAGATTGGCCTGACAATGATAGACGGGGAGTGCATCCACATTCACCAGCACCGGCATGGCTGTCGAGTCCACGTCGACGCGGATCCGTGGCCTAAAAGTGGCTGGGAAGCTGTAGATCCGACGCACTTCTACGGCGGCGACGGCGGCGGCCGTGATGACGACCTCGATGAAGAGAGGATACAACGCCAAAATAAAGACTATGATAGTGATGCTGATTCTAGCGATTACTCCGCAGAAGATGTCAGCCTCTCCGGCTACGATTCGGAGAACATTCTAGATCTGCCTCGCCCGCGACATCGTTCCAAAACCAAAACCAAGCATCATTGGTGCAAACCTGTCCAGTTGGCCGAAGTAGCCTATGTCACGGGTGTAACCGACGATTCTACTAGTAGGAATAATAGGCATGCGGATCGTCGTAAACGCTATATCTTCATGATCTTGCAGCAAGACGGCCCATATTTTGCACGGCTCGGTCTGGCGCGGGTCGACGAGCTCGACTCAACAGTACGCCTCTTTGCCAAACTGAAACGCATACAGCAGACTAAGCGACTGGTCATTGTGTAATACTTGGGTGGAATATTGCTGAATTAGAGTTTGAAAGAGCGCACAACCCTGATCATGTCTTTTGTTTCTTACCTTTTTTTTTTCTTATGGGGCGCTATAAGTTTAGTCCGGATCAAATCGCAACGCGGGACTTCAGGCAGGCAATCAAATAGTGAATTGAGCATATGTGTGCAATAAATGCCATTGATTTCATGTGAAGAATGATTTGCTAAGAGTAAAGCAGGCCTTTCAGAGCCACATGGCTGTCAATATGCTGAAGCAGATACCGACACAAGTGTGACGTTTTGTCGCACTGACCTAGGATACCTACCACAAATCCACTGCTCAGGTATATCAGATAGCTCTTTAGCATCTCTCTTTTATGCTCTCTAGGATTCACTCAGACACTTTTCTTTGTGCCGACTGCTTTTAAATAGCAAATCTTTTAATAAACATAAGTATGTCGAAAACCTACTAACCTATAATGCAAATCTCTTACGGAATTCCACAACAGGCCACCAAACTAAAGCAACACCTAGAAAACGAAGAGCTCAAGGGCTGGTGACTACCCATGTAGAATGAGGATTTGATCAGAGATGGAAAAAAGAAGACAAAAAACATACAACACCGAGGATTCCCCAGTGGTCACCCACCTGAGTACTGATTCGGCGATTAGTTACTTAATTAGGGCAGAGCGAACGGGATGCCATGTTTTCAACTATCTATGGTCGTATGTATCAGTTCTTTAAACAATTTAAAATATAATCTTAAAATAAAAAAAACTGAAACAAATACACGTGGTGACGCACTCGGCGAAACATTCACTCCCTAGAACATTCTCCAATCTGTCCATCAAGTCAGCAAACGTCAACCAATTTCATTTCTCAAATCGTCTTCCTTCAATCCAAGGGTTGTCGACACCATATCGATTCCTTCGTTTCGTTTTCTCTTTTCACTTCAATGGTATGTGTAGAAACTGTAGGACACTGTTGGTGCTTAATAGTCTAGCGTCAAGGAGACACAATGATTCATCTTATCAACTCCCAAGACCCATTACTAGGGAGTCTCGATACTATGATACAGCGTGCGGTTCCCAATTCATCCGTTTCCTTGTCCTCAGCATCCAAGACCAGTGCTCCCAGGGATTGCGGGCCAGAGCCTCCATCTCGTGAACGTCGGAGTGGTTGGGCCCGCCCGAGGCCAGGCCGCGCTGGACGGCGAGCCGGGCGTACTTTGTGGCGGCCCACGGCTCGCCGGCGCCATTGTACTCGATGGCCGCGTACGTGTAGGCCTCGTACAGCATGGTCCACAGCCGCTCTTGCTCGTACAGCGAAATCATGAGCTCGGCCATGGCCGGCGTCGCCTGCGAGCTCGGCGCCCACTCGCGCAGCTGTTTGCGGATTTCGAGGATTTGGTGAATCCGCGCGTCCGAGGCTGCTGTCATGTCGCGGTTCTGCATGCATGCGCTGCACTATAAATTATTGGATATTAGTCCTCTCGTTGCATAACACCTTTCTTGGTTCTGCGCAAACCACTTGACTTTGGCACATTTTACAATGATCGTGACGTGCTCCTGATGGTGAGATGAAGGAATGCGCTTACTGAACAGGGAAAGTGCCATGAATTATCGAGGCGATCAAGTCGGTCTTGTCGCGTTTGAATGGGGCTAGATCTTGATCAGTACTGGCCTCTACGATGATGATACATGCGAATTTCAGACATACTCTATATAAGAGATGGTGATTTCCTCCCCGGCGGCAATGGGGCGTGCAGCATGGACGTGCTGTGCAAATGTGGCCGGGTCGAAATAATACTCGGCATTTGGCCGGCAGTCATGGTTCATTCGTGAAACTAGACACCATCAGAACAAAGCTTCCAACCCCACAGGCTCTCTCATATCACTTACTTTCTGGGAAAACAGTATAAAAGTTCTCATCAACCCCCTCGTCATTCTTTGGGACAATTCCATCGAGCGTGATATCAAATGAATTGGTGTGTATAATCTTGGAGACCCTCTCGGCATGATCTGCAAAATCATCATCGTGCGTCGAAAGTGCCATGAAGATTCCTCGGTGGGCATCAGAAAGTCCCCCCTCCACGGCCGCAACCTGCAACGCCATCAACTCGTCGGCCTCGGCCAGGTCGGTAAAGAGGTTGTAGTCAATCATGACCGAGGGCGTGGTGCTCATAATGTGGTCGCCCGCTTCCAGATTGCGCTGCGCAATGAGACCCTTGCCTTTGCCGGGCATCTCTTGCACGCGCCACAGCGGGCTGCTCTCGTCCTCGCCAAGGTTGAGGAGAAAACCGCGCTGCTCTTCTTGCTGCTCCTCCTCTGCCGGTTCCCCCGTAAAGTAGGCAGAAAAGGCTACCGACTTGGCTATTGCGATAGCCGTGCGCGCCGACGTCAGGATGCTGATGCCTCGTCCCGAGGCAAAGCCTGGGTGCGTGTAGACGCAGTACGCTCTGGTGCCATTGGGCGCGCATGGGGTTGAGATGGGCCATAACCGCGATGCCTCTTCGATGGCTGCCTCGTCGTCCTCGCCTGATGGCTGCGGCTGCGAGTTTGCGCTTGCGTCTCCTGCCGCGTGATACTCGACGCTGTTTTCACCATGACAATGGCTGCTGTCGTCGTCGTGGACATGCAGACCGCACCACCCACCATTCTGTGCGCCTCCCAATAGCAGGTCATCAGTCCTGCTGGAGCCATAGTAGTCCTCTGCGAGACTTGCGACTACATGGTCTTTTGCCGCCTGGGCGCCGCCCACGATGTGTAATGCGCCTAGGACGTGAAATAGCTTCATTCTCATTTCATTCCTCGACCGTCCTGTTGTAGTAGGCTATGGGCAAAACGAGAGGTACAAGCGTGACCAGACGAATGTAATGAAATCAAACAAACCATTTACAAAACAAAATCTTTGTACATGGCTTTTTTGCCTTGATTAAAAACACGAGGCAGACGCACTTTAGGATAAATGCAAAGAGAGGAGCTGAAGTGCCTTGTCCCGAAAAGGGAAGCCTCGGAAGCTTGCCTGGGCACTTTAGTCGAGTTTCCCAGGTTTCTGCTCTTCCCCCATAATATGATCCATGATAGGATTTGTTTCCGCCCAAGAGTTTCAGGCATGATCGGCTGCTGGGAGGCACAACTTTCTTTTCTACTCTGTTTTTGTAGTCAGGAAAGAGATCAGTGCTCATAAATCTACAGCACATTGTACTAGATGAAGTTGGTTGCAGGTGGGGTCACTCAAGGCTGGTATCAGATGTGTCGCAGTTGGGGTTGGCGCAGCATCAGTGATCGATCAGCCTGGGGGGCAGGCAGCATTAGAATTGGAAGCAGCTTTTTCCTACCTATTCCCTTTTTTCTATTTGCTTTTACATATCACTATCTCAAGAATGGTGATGAATTTCATTTCACTTGAAATTATGCATGCATGTAATTGAACTCAATGCTTGCGAATAAATGGTATTAATGCAAACTTTTATCCCCTGTGGCTGTGTTCTATACTAGGTATCTACCTGGGCTTGCACACACTCTATTTAGTGGGGGGCTGGTTCCGACTATAACAGGGATACCACAGGGGGTGCATGAGATGAAACAAATTCCCCTTTAATGCGAATTGAGATGAACATGCAGCATTGCATCTTCATCTTCTTGTATTCATTCACCGAGCGTCTACTACAAGGCAAGTCAATGATGATTATACTTCTTCAAGTTGCGTAATAATGGTCACACTGACATGCTTTTGAGGCTAGTTCAAAGTAGAGAAAATCTCATGATTTATTTCATTCAACACATCGGCTCATGGATCATCAGACTATTCTTGGAAAGAAAAAATTCCCCAATATCAGATCAGATGGCTGTTTCCGTCTCCAAAAGAGCCTCTTCTTGGGCTCCTTTAGCCATGTACAAAAGAAAGGGTATAAAATCCAAAAATGTGCTCGCTTTCCATGCCGGCAAGCATCAATTGATGTTCCATCGAGTAAACATCACCGCCTCCTTTTATGCAAGAAAATGAAAAATGCCTTGCGCCTTGTAAATGCTGTTCGTGTCCCAAGGCAAAGCCCCACCACCGAGGTGTGTCTGTATGCCAAGCTGTTCTTTTTTCCACTCCTCCCATTCTATACCCAAGGACGATACCGAAATAAAAGTGTTATGTTGAAAAAAAGGTCATGGCCAAGCCATGATAGTGAAGTGAAGTAAAAGAAAGCCAGGTTGGGCTTTAGATTGCACGGGCAATCCAGCTGAGCTCGTTCACGAGGTCGTCAAAGCCCGCATCGATGCCCTTGACCGAGAGAAGTGAAGACGAGTCAATCTCGTGTGCATCTCCAGATACTAGGCTGGGTGAGCCGAAAGAGCGACCGGCGGCGTCAACAGGTAGGTCCTTTTGACCCACCATACCGGAGTGAGGTAGACTGTAGGCCGTGAGCGACGGCTGGCGGAACCGCTCTTCGGGAACGCCGGAAATCCTCTTGTCGTCCTCGGGCAGGTCGTCGAAGAACGAGAAGCCATGGTCGACGGGAGTCATGTCCTCAAAGAAGGAAAAGTTGTTATTGTGGGGGGAGTCGAATGATTGCGGTGAGATTGGAGAAGGGGCTGCTGACGATGTTGTCGAGCAGGGAAGGCGAGGTGGCGGTACAGATAATTTGACGCTGGCAATGGAGCCGCGCCGTAAGTCTTCCAATGCAGAGTCGTCTCTGCATTGGGGCTTTGTAAGCTCATGGATCATGTTTGGGATCATTGGGCTTGTGGATATAGTTTTCAGTCCCGCCATTGCGGGCGAGGACTGAGTCCGCTTGAAAGGAGGTGGCGATAGAGGGTTGAAAGATGCATGCTCCGAAGTGGCAGAAGTAGCAAAGTTGTCATCGTCTTCGTTCTCCTCTACAATATCGTCGGGAATAGTGAGTTTCTGTGAATGAAGCACTGGAGACTGGGCGACTGGCTTGTTATCCAGCAGGAATCGGCGAAGCGACTCGGGTGACATGTCACGCGAGCGGGAACCCTCAGAGGGTGTAGTGCTCCTAGTCCCTTCGTCTGGTCTCTGTGTGCTAGCTGTGAAGGACGTTGAGTCCTCTGAATCGACAGTCTCTGGGGTCCAATCGCGATCGCTGGAGCGACTCGAAGGCCTGAGGCCAAACAGTCGTTTGGCTTTACCAGTCCAGCCAGGAACCGATGCAGGTGATAATGAGCGGGTCGATGACTTGTGTTTGAGCCGAATACCGGTAGAAGTACCCCGTCTCGGGCCCAGTGTAAGCGGTGCTGTTGGAGCAGGCCGCGGTGTGATGTACTTGTCCTGGGGATCCATGGTCTTGAAGTCGGTAGGTCGCAACGAGTTCATTGATGCACTCCGTGTCCTCTTGAGTGTTTGTTCTACAGGAACGTCGAGAATGTTGACCTGCTGGCCTGGAAGATAGGGACAGCGGGTAGTAAAGGGCTCCGAGGGGTTAAATTCCTCCGAAGTTCCGTCGAATTCGTAGTAGTAGTAATACCTTTCCCCCATGGAAAGACCACGACTTGGACTGCGCTTTGGTTCGCTGCCCTGAGTGGTCTTGTCTTGGAATCCGTAACAGCCACGCCACTGACCGTGACCACGTTTGCTGTCTCGTACCATGTTGTAACGGACTTTGAAGTTATCCCAAGAACCTAAAAGTTGAACTGATTGTACTCCAGGGTTCGTCTGACTAGAGAGGTAATGGAGTCAGTCTTATGTTTTTTTCCAGGGTCCTAAAAAGAATGGAAACAATGGGGAACAATTAGGTAGGTGAGGCAGTGGATTTAAAAAAGGCAACATGCCCCGGGCTTGACTATGCGGTAATCACCGTAAAAAGCCAAATATGAAATGACCCGACGGCGGCGCGCTGACAATGGCAAAAAGAAACAAGGGGATCGACGAGAGGACACCGGCTCCCCAGGTTCTGGGTGACAGGGACCAGCAGCGTTTCTTTTTTATTTCCCTTCCGGCTCATATGGGCCATGGGGGTGGTCAAGTGGTCACACGCCGCGCCAGCTGAGCGCATCACCAGTTCTTCCCTAAAGACGCGCCCGTGTTTAGACGGGGATTGTCTCGCGGTGTGGCAGGACAGGGCAGGGCAGGGGTAAGAAGAAGAAAAGGGAAAGAATTCCAGAAGCATGGATATGGGTAGAGTCGAACCTTGGCGCAGCTTCCCGCTTGAGGATGTAAGACCTTCTGAGACGTTGCTTATTGCCTGAGCTAATGACTGTAATTGGCAATGGCAAGCCTCGAAATACGGCCTGGCACTTGATTGGGACTGATGACAAGGAGGCGCAGAAGAGATGAATTGCTGAAGAAGAGATGGAGCAAATACTCAAAAAGAAAGAGTTTGCATGAAAAAGAAAGACGTGGTGTAATAGATAGAGGCGAATGCTAAGATACAGGGATCATGGGCATAAGAGCCAATAAGGGAATGCAGGAACGAGTGTGGAAAAAAAAAAAGCACCAGGCTTGCTGGGAGTAGAGAGGGCAGGAAAAAAAAAGAATTTTGCAGTATCAACCAAGTAAAGCAAATAAAGTAGGTAACAATGGGTTTAAGACTTACAGAATAAAAGTAAAGAGAGTAGTGTCTGGTGCCAGGGCCAGGTCTTGCCAGGAGTCTTGTCTCAACATGGCGGCAGAGAGTTTGCCAATATATGAATGGTTCCCTGTGACAAGAACGGGTATGGGTGCTGAGTGGCCCGTTGGTATGGATGTGCCAGTATGTGGCAATGGGGGAGACCCCTGGTCGAGAAATCCGTGGTTGGGCGGGTGCACTGTTCGTTCTGAATATGGACACAGGAATAGCAGCGAATAGCCGCGCTCTGCCACCACCAGATAATCTTTTTCTTTCTTTCTTTCTTTAGATAGTACACTGAGACCGACGACTCCCCTGACGGGTTGACATGTTTCAACAGTCGCGGCGATGCAAGCACACAAACAAACCCCCAGTATTAATTCTGTTCGCCTGCTTTCCCCAGGACAAAAACGGTTTTAGGGCCTGGTTTGACCAATGACGAGCTTGGACTGGCCAAGTGCCGTTGATGGTGATTTGCGTGCGGAAGCGCCGAGATGACGCTTCAAGCAGGCGGCCGGGTTCGTCGGGCGCTTAGAGCTCCTGGCGCCCGGGGGGTTCCTGGGACGAATAAAAAGCCCGAACTTGAGAGAGAAATCAATCGCCTGTCTCCGGAATGGGCCAAACACCAGCAGCAAGCACACTTGTAGAAAAGTCAAGCCTATCCTTTTCAGGGGTGGGTTGGTTGGTTGGTTGAATTGCTTGTCAATTGGCCGTCTTTTTAGGTGAACCCGAGCAGCAAATGGACAGAGCACCAAGACTGTGGGACGGCGCCAAAACAGTCCCGTCGCTGGGTAGAATTATGTGTACGACCGGGAAATGATAAAAATAATGATTTTGAATCAAAGAATTGTGAGCGACAATGTCTCGTCTTGAGACGGGCAAATTGGATGCGTCAAGCGAGATGCCGGTTGAGGGAAAGTAAAGTTTGGGCTTGTCTGACCTTTCTTTTTCTTCTGTAATTCCCTTGGAGGATGACAATCCAAGATCGGATGGAGAAAAAGAAAAAAAAAAAGGCAAGAGACAGGGAGCCAGCTAAGGTCAGCTTATTAGTACATACAAGCCAGCAAAGAAAGCAACAGACAGACTCGAGACTAATATGGCCGGGACATGATACAATTAATATTTAAGCTCGATGTAGACGATGCAGGAAAAGAGTCGATCGGTGCACCGCTAGGAATCCAATAGCTTGGGCTGAGCTCCTCAACGGCGGGCTAAGGAAGCTTCTAAAACATGGCCCTAATATTGCAATGGAGCTCGTCTGAGACGTTGGATTGGCTGTCGACGGAGCCTCATCAGCTGAGAGTTTGCTATGGCGTGGAGACTTGATTGGCTCTTGATGCTTTTTTGCTCAGTCTTTTTTGCGACGCAGTGGAGTGAAATCTCATCTCCTAAAACTGTGGTTCTGGGTTTGTGCCTGGGGAATCTCTAGAGATCTTGATTCTTTTGATGCCGCGAGATCTCCATCATGTGTGTGCAATCGATCTTTTTTTCTTCTCTCTTCCGGCCGGTGAATGGTCGGGCACCGGTTAAGAAAGAGTGATGCTGGCAATTAGTAAGAGAGAAGTAAAAAGCAAGCAAGTAATGAATAGAGCCCCGGTCAAGACTTGGGATACCAGGGGTTTATCATGTTTGTTACAGGAGGAAGAGAAGAAATGACGACAGAACATGTCTTCCGACTGCTGTGCATGAACATGTCAGTTGTGCGACGGGCTCGGAAAGATGTGAAAGGCCTCTCTTGTCATTGCTACCTGATCGTGACAGTCTAGTCGTGCATTCATTCGTTGAAGCTCAATCCAATATTCGTGGGGCATGACGATGAATGCGACACAAGCAGGTCGTCGAATATGTGGTACCTGGACAAATAGCCAACGAGGGTATGCGACATACCTGGCAGCAAGCACATCTTGTTACTTGCTTGCAAGTCAATGCCATGCACATGTTTCTATCATGCATGTCATTGCTCATCACATACACAAGCTGCATGGCATCTTGCAAAGGCATTCATGCGAATCGGGTCAAGCAGAAGTACATGAGCCAATCGCGGTTCTCTGACTATGCATTGTGTTATCGCGGGCACCTGGAGACCTGGAAAGATCACAAATGTTTGTCCCTGGTCGGGTCCAACCAACAACTTCCATATCTACTATGTACATGTGCAATTACCCTGGTCACTTGCCCCGTAGATCTTTCGGGTTTTGGGGTCACACGATAGCTGAACGCATGCCAAGTATTGGATAGAGACAGCTGCAGCGACAGCCAGTTATTAGCGGACAGCAAACCTGCGTGACGAAAGCAGAATTGAGCTGCATCGCTTAGTAGGCTGAAAAAAGGGCGCTATCGAATTGAGTTGGGCAGATGGATGCAGCAGCGTTCGTGCACCAATAGAAGCCCACAATGTCCACGAGATGGTCAAGATAAACATGCTTTTCCTCCTTTCCGGGAGCAAGCGCAATGACCTACAGATTACATCTTGTTGACACTTTATGAATTCTTACTGTTGGCGACAAGGGCCCAGACGTCTCCAGACAAGGCCAGAGAGTTTTGATGGGACGCGTGGAAGAAAAAGTCTGAAACAGCTCACTCAGCCATGCCAAGAAGCCTGTACTGTACTGGCCTAGGTCACTGGCGATTCCCGCTGCTTCGGGCTACTCGGACCACTAGGCTTTTGGTTTTTTAAACTGCTCTTCTGGCTTGCTTCTAAAGCCTCTCTCTTTCGTCACTAATCGGACCGCAAAGTAGCTACCAGTTGCCGTGATCCCGACAGACCCCTGATGCCAGAGGGAATAGTGACAGAAGGAATGGGAAAAAAAGCCGATCATGACAATGTGAGATCCGATCGAAAATGCGGTCATCAGGTTGTCATAGTTTCAGGTTTACACGACCAAACCTGGTTTCGCAGGGCTTTCGTCTCTATGGGACCCGAGCAGAATGCATGGACTTTAGTCTGGATCCCTAGGCCAGGGTTTCTGCCAGTGGGCCAATTACCAAGGACCCTGAATGCCAAGGGGGCTACTATGTCGGTATATTGCGATTGGTAGCTCAGAATTATCTTTGGCAAGGGTATGGGGGCTGGCTGGCTAGGTAGCTACCAGCTATCTTATTTCCAAGAGGCGCAAAAGGCCAAAATCAAAATAAAGCCGGCGTATCATGAGTGCAGACGCTATTTCAGCGCAGAACTCTAGAGAGAGAAAGAGAGAGGCCACCATCGCCGACTTCCGCCAATTGTGTCTTTCAATCCTCAGCTCTCCATTGATCGCTTATCTAGGCATGGAACACATCCTACTTCATGATACCTACAAACCTGTCTTGACATCTTGATTGGGCTAGAGTTTTCAATCTGTTACTGCTCATCTGCAAGCAAGGTGCCTGACATTGACATAAGCGAGATCTTCAGCAGGGAAAATAAGCAGAGCTGCCTGTTGCGCACTCTTGATTGCTTTCTTCTTTTATTCCGCCCTACTGCTGCAGCTGCTACTTGATGCAGCTGCACGAATGCTGATCACGAACTTGTCCCAGCAATAAGGTTCCCTCATCTTCAGTGGTCCATCTACCCCCATCTGCCCCCCATCTGGGAATCCCTCATTTAACCTAGATTCCACGCTGCAACAAACCCCCCAGACAACGGGGAATTGCTTCGCCGACCACGTTCGGTTCAATTTGAATAGTCAGCCCGTACGTACGTATATGAATCATCCTGGCGACAATGACAATTATATGTGCGGCTGTAATCAAATGCCAGTAACCGAGAAGCAATTGGGACTGCCCATTTCATGGCAAAGCAATATGACCGAGCCGGATACGATGGTAACACGGCGAAGCGAAACGCCTCAGCCGGCTCTCGAGTATCACCATCGGTCGGCCGAAGCCGTCCTGCCAAAACTGCGCTACAATCGGGAAACACTCAAACGCTTGCCCAGATCGAGGGTCCCAGCTTTACATGACTACGTGCTGGCTACTGCTACTGTCATACCTAGTACAAAGTAGCACCCGATGATTGTGGAACGGCTGAAGAGGGGGCCCTGCATTCAATTGCCATTATCCATGAGGCTCACGCTATGCCGTGTAGTATTCTGTTAGGGGAGGGGACCAGCTCCATTTTTATTTCCCCCCCAGAAATTGAGGCTGCTCGGTGCTGGGCTGAAACGTCCGAACGTGATCTCTGTGCTAATCTCAACTCGCCCGCTCGGAAAATTCTTTTTTCTAGCACAAGGGTTTCGTCTTGTCCGATTGCATACCTCCCCTCTTTGTTGCACTGGGCTTTTCGTCAAGTGGAGGTTTCTCTTTTGCAAATAGTAAGCATGGTGTACCAGTAAAAGTGTTCTTCTTTTAGTGGCCATTTTTTGCTTCTCGTCGATCGGCATATACTTTGTGTACATGGGCGAGATGGGATGGTTTTTTACTATTGACACTTTTTCAGTGGAGCCTCTATTCCTTGAACGAACCATGATCTGTACTCAACCACCCAGCCGGATACCATACATCGTACATTGTCCAATTAAAGAAAAAATAAACAATATGATGAAAACGATCTACAGCAGAATGCCTCATGCGATTTTGATTGACTATGATGCTTTTGAAAGCAAAGCTACCAAACACACAAAGTACGACCCCCCAGTCTAATCGTGAACCTTTTTCACACACACACACACACACAATCATACAATGCAAAACTAAAACATCAGGTACCATGCATCTGTGTGCATGTGTGTGCACCACTTGCCGCTGCAAGTTTCGGCATTATGCACGCCCTGTTGAACCACTCTCACGGAAAGTATCCCTTCTTCTTCCTCTCTCTTTTTTGTCCCATCGCTGTATGGGACTTTGCGTGTAATCAGTAAGCTTGACAAAACGAAAGTAGCCGGCTGGTTGCATGCATGGATTTGCATGAACCGCACATGCCGAACATTAAAGAAAAGAGTAGACGCACAGTTGGTGAAAAAATGCAAAGACCCGACCGGCCTGGGCCTATCATCAAAGTATCAACATAACAAGACTTGCGCGGGTTTTCCTGCAACCCAAGGGGGCCCTTGAAGGCCTCTGTAATCTCATAGAGGATGGGCTTGTTTATTGTTGTTGTCTCTATACGGTGATGACTGCATGCTCTCCCAATCAGGTGCTCCACTGCTGTGATCTGTCCACCATCTTGTCCAGCTGTTCCTTTACCATTGGCCCTCTCCATGCCAGCTGAACCTGGACGAATCCAATGGTTCAATCCTCCTCATGTGAAAACATGCGCTCTTGCTCAAAATTCATCCTTTCCCCCCGTCATGTATCCACCAAGATCATCTCGAGGATCCAATGCGCTCAAGGTCAGCTTGAGATTCCTTGGGCAGAATACCCCGGTGCAAGGCTGACGAGGGTGGAGAAGCTCTCTGTCGGCGACTGCCTTCTTTATTGGGCTGACATTTCCTTCCGTTTTGGTCATTATTGCACAGGGATCTGACCAGCTGAATCATTTGCGCAGCTCCTGCGGCAGTCAGAACATGCCACCAACCGTGGAGCTCGAGGGCCAGGGCCCACGGCCACCCGACGCGCTGCCTCTGGGCCCGCAGCAGCGGCACGCAGAGCTCCAGGTCGGCGTTCCACACGGCAAAGGCGGCGGCCAAGTAGGCCGCGCCCGTCCAGAACCGGGCCGCGAGCTCGGCCGTTTCCTGCTCAGGCCGCTGCCGGCGGTATATCAACTGGAGCAGTCTCACGCCAATCAGGGCCACCGAGGCTCCGAATGCCGACATGTGTATGATAATGTCGCCCGAGTGCACGTAGACGAGCGACGCGCTGGCCACGCTGAACCACACTGCTGCGGCAATGACTCGTGATAGGCCGGCAGGTTGATTTTGGCAGTAGATATACTGCATCATGATTCCGGTAAGGAAGAGCATGGATAAATCATCGGCAAACTGCGGTCCCTGGCGTAAAGTGGCATGGAATGCGCCAGATGCTAGGCCAACCAGTAAGAGACCCCAAGAGAGCGAGTCCAGGCGGCTTATCGTTGATGTCTCCTGTGTAGAACGGCCTGGGTATTTGAATGCAAAATAGACTATACTCGGCCAGTTTGTTTAGCCATGTCCCTCGTTTCAATATGAATTGGCCAAGGGCCAGGCATACCATAGGCAAGGTTGGAAAGCGTATTCATGAACTCTGCGATGAACCTTGTCACAGCGTAGTCCTCTTCACAAAAGCTACCAAGAACTTGTTAGTTTTGTTGACTTGTTTTGATATATTGCTTACCACTCACTTTGCGGCGCTCGTTGGAGGACCCCATATGCCCACATGGGCATCACCCGCAAAATGACGGTTGTGGTGGCCCATTCTGAAGCTGCGAGGAACGCTGTGCTGACTAAGTGATTAGCGTACTCACAAACAAGTCATTGATAGCTCGTAACTGAAGGTCGTTTCTGATGAAATTGGCAGTAAGCAGCGTTGGCGTTCCATCCACAAGCCACCGTTTTTATGACACGGCCACCAGGGACCCCGCGGAGCCCGGCTCCGGGTATCGATGCGGCGGCGACACGCAATGCTACGCCACTGGCACCTATAACAGCAGCCTGATTCGTCGCTTGCAGCACGTAGATCTTTTTTAATCCAGTCGGAAGCTCGTATTGAGTTCCATGCCTGCTCATGATGCTGCCATCATGCTCGTTTGTGGTTTCAAGTCATGGCGAGTGACTAGGCAGCACAATTCTTTGGGATATGAGACATTTTCCAGAAATGAGAACGTGTCTTTTTTGGTACAATTCCGATGACCGAAAGATTGTAGATAGTGCTATTGATAACCCTGTCTATTCATGTAAGCTTAATCATGTGCAACTGCAACGTACTAACTTGACTATACCAAGGGCCAAATACCGGGGAATAGTAGACCGCTCATCTCACCTTGAACATGCGCAAATCAGGCCACAAGACATGAATTCATTGGATACCATGAAATTTTGATACCAATCCAATCAAGTTTCCCTGTTTTGTGATATCGAGTGCTATGCTTAATGTAAAAGTGACAATCCGTATACCATCCCCATGCTGACCGATGCAATGTTTCCTTTAACTCCCGACGCTTGTTGCACATTGTGATTCATGCTTTATAATGCGTTCCACTCTCGAACATCTTCTCTCTCGCACATACTGTTCCTTAATAACCCTTGAATACGGCCACCAAACTCGTAGCCGCCCAGCTGAGCACCAACCAATCCAGGACCTTGAGGAGCTCATCGGTGCGGCGCTGCGCCTCATTGTAGTCCTCCATCTTGGGCAGGGGCACGCGCTTGCCTCCGGCCCAGAAGCCCTGGACGTGGTTGCGGGCCAGGAAAATCGCCACGCCGACGACGGGGCTGGCAATCAGCCGGAACAGGGCGCCGCCCGAGCCGCCCTTGAACAAGAGGTATAGCGCCGCCAGCAGTGAGGCCGCAATGGCCAGGGCTCCCGAGGCTTGAGTGGTGCGCGTCGTGTGTAGTTGACGCTCGGCCTCGTTGGAGTATTTGGCTAGCTTCTTGCTCGTGTCCTCGTATTTTTGAAGGTTGGTGATGGCAATGTAGGACTGCTGTGCGCCATAGCCTGCCAGAACGGCCTGTGCCAGGTGGAGGAGTTGTAGGAACATGGTGGGTGTTTGATTTGGTAATTCGTTTTGATCAATGACTTGATTCCAGATACTCAAGGCTGTGGTAATTTTTGTCATATAAAATGGGAGGATGGCTCAATGTTTTATAATCTCCTTTCTCCGTGTAAGTGGAAAGGACGCTCCTAGTCCATTGTGACGTCATATTGATGCTGTGGACTAGCGTTCAGCCGCTGGGTTCCTGTTTTGGCGAACGGCTTGTGAGTCCATGACGCAGCGCGGGACGACGGTGTCTTTAAAATGTGAATATACTGATTAGCCTAGAAAAATAGGGGTTTCTTTGTCAATAATATCAGCAAACTAGACCCTGAAACTAAAGTGGTCGGGTGGATGATCATGCTAGGATTCAGATGATTCGACAAAGAAAGGCGCTGGAGAATTGGGACGATGACTGAGGAAGCAAGCTGGTAGTAAACGCCACTAGGACCTTTACGACTCGGTACAAATAACATTCTATCGTTATTGAACAAAATGGAACTATTCTTCTATTTGGAAAGGTGGATAAAGACTTCTCTACTTGTCCGAATGCTAAGCGTGAGGCCAGGCGATATCGCATGCACAATGCCATGTATCGGAAAGATGAAGCTGGCTTCTTGGAAAAGTTTCCCCATTTGTCTATAAGAAAACACGAAGCAGATAATGAATAATTCTCTGAATTGCTCCATCAGGTGCATCCTGCTTCCATCGTGATCGCTCCTTTGTGTATCTAGTCTCCGTGTATATCAAATTCACGGTCCCTTGGCCTCCTCGGTGCTCGCATTAACAATGAGCTCTACAACGTATTGCCTAACGGCATCGTCCTCCTCGAGGGAGTTTGCCCAAGGATCCGGCATCTCCTTTTTATACCAGTCGGCGTCTCGGCCCGTAATAGCTCTGCCTACCCACTCGTGAAGATCCTGCAAACTTGGACGTTTGGAAGACGAAGGATCTTCGCACCATCGCACAATCTTGATGAGATCCGAGTCCAGGTTCTTATCCTCTAGCGAGATTCTGGCACCGGCCAATACAATAGTCTTCATTTCCTAGAATATGAATGATTCGAGTCAGTAGGTCAAATCGAATGATTATATCAAAGCCCGCAACGAGAACTTGGACTTACGTTGCCAACTTGCCATATAAGTTCACCGACGTTGTGCTTCCATATTGCTTCGCTGTTGTTCTATTAGTCTCGCAGACGGACATTGCAACGAACCTATCATTGATACACTCACTTTGCTGTCTTTTTCCGTGCGATGTAGCCCAAGTCTATCATCTTCAACATGGGCGATAGGCGATGCTCGAGATGCGGGCTATTGGGATCAAAGTCGCCAAAAACCACTATATTTCCCTTACATGTCAGAATACCACGCTGTCTCTATCAGTAATGTGCAGAAAATAAAAAGACTTACTATTTTGACTATGCATATCCGAATTAAAGTGTATCATATCCGGTATATTGCTTTGTATTTCTTCTAGCTGATGCGTGCCACTGACGTGTACTTTGCTCCAAGCCATGGCAGTAATCATACGAATATCTAAAACAACCGATCAGTAAACACCCAAGACATCCCAAGTTGTTTAAACTCCCACTCATCTTCCCCTTGGTCTCGCTCTCGGTTGGTCGCAGATGCAGTCCACCTACAACACATGAAGATCCTCCACAAGAGTCGATTCGGCACTGGTCGTTCCACATCCCTCGCTTTCTGCAGAAACGAGTGCAGTGTGCCATTATCTAGCCACTCGAGATACATCCAGCCCGAAACCGGCATCATGGGGGCGTCTTTGATATCTCGGCTCAAGGGGTCGGCACCGACAACGTTTTCTCTCATGTCTAGAATCTGTACCACATGCATGGCACCCGAGAACAACTATACAAAATGATATATCAGTAAATACGATTCGACGAGAAAAAGATGACACGGCAACCAAGACCCTACCCTTAAAGCTTCTTTCTCTGGTATCATTTCCGACTTGGCTGTTCGCAACTCGGGCATGGCCGGAACCTTGACGGCGACGCGGTCGGGCCCTGGAATGTCGGAACCATGCTTTTTGATGCGAAAGACGTCGGCCTGTATGCCCGAGCCAACGTAGGCGTCGAGAAAGTACCGCCCGTCATGGTCGAACCGCGTCTTGAGGATTCGTGCTACTTTTTCTGCGCGCGCACTGAGTACTGGAGCCATTTCTAGCTGTGGCCAAGTGAGAGAGTGAATTCTACATTCTTTCCTTCCACAGCAACCCTCCGTAGCTGCGCTCTGACCACTGTTGGCCTGGCGACTTTTTTTTCAAAAATCTTGACAATGCAATTGGCGCCTTTATTTCTTCCATTTCCGGTGCTTTGTTGCCAGTTCAGAGACTTTAGCGCAGCCGTTCTTGAAGGGGCCTCGGCAATGTCGAACGACGAAACAAAGCCGAATAATAAAGACTAAAAAACATCCGTACCATTTGAGCTAAAAGCATGTCATCTATGGTATCTATTGTGAAAGCACAAATCCCAATGTTGCTGATGGGGGTATCTTGAACCAAACCAATAACGCCAATCTGTCTATAACCAATGTTATCCGTTTCCAACTCGACCGCATCCTGTTCGTTTCCAAACTCCTCTACTTGGCATGGGGCTTCATCCAAAGATCATCCCTTTGTGACCTTGAACCACGATCGGCTACAGCTCTGTCCTCATCCGTACTACCACCAAAAGACGAAGGACTGGGCCCAGCTACCGAGGACAAATCTTCTTCTTCAATGGTATAGGTGCCAAGCGTAGGCTCAGAAGGGCCAAAAGCTCGACTTCCTAGTACACCCGGAAAGGCAGAAGTGCTTGGGATCTCGCCAAACGTGCCCGATCTAGACAATGTGGCGTCTCGGGGCTCGCTAAATGTGCTTGATCGAGACAACATGCCCTCGTTGGAGTCGATAAATGTGCTCGACCTAGATATCATGGTATCTCTTGCTCGGGTCTTGTCGCGTCCTGAGGATTTCCTAGTCAACCATGTAGGAAGTCGTATATCGTCCCAGGCATCTAAGCATTCCTTGTCGAACTCTAGTTCATGATTGAGCGGGTTCTCCTGGTTCCTTTGTAATATCGCTTCTGCCTTCTGCGTCTCGGAGCTCCAATGTTGGCGGAGCCAGTCCAAGATTCCTTCCAAACGGGCCGTATCTGATTTTCCAAGCGAGCCTTTGTACGGCTTTTTAAGAGTCTTGATGAAAACCTGCCTCTCCTTCTCCAGAGCGCTTGTCCTGTCTGTTTCGGAAATAGGGAATGACATAATCTGCTGGTTCAAATCCAGCGCGTGTACAAGTTTTGCCAATTGATGATGGTCAAAGTTGTTGTTCTGCATATCGAGCATTGCTAGCCCCTTGTTTAGTGCAATTACTCTGCAAAGTTCCGTAATATCCTCTGCCGAGCCCATGTCGTGGTTACGGACTCGAAGCTGGCGAAGTGTCTCGTTGTGTTTCAACCCCCCCAAAGCGCCCGAGAGCCCCCAACCAAGATGTGCGTCCTCGAGCTTTCCGCTGTAGCCAGAAAAGTCCAGGTATTGCAATGTGTGGTTCTCCTCTAGAAAAGTCGATAACAAATCCGAAGTTTGAGGGCTGGCACGGCCTGGCGGTCCCGTTCCGATGAGACTCAAATACTCCAGAGTTGTGTTCTTGGCCAGTGCTTTCAAGAGCTTGTCAAAGTTGGCCACGTGCTTGAACTCAATCATATCCAAACTCAACTTGCGGGGAGTTTCGTCACCATGAATGAGTTCGATCCAGTCCACGGACCCAGCCTCGAGTGGGTTGCTGTTCAAGTGAAGATGCATGTCTCGATACTTTCCAACCCGACAAAGTATGGCGGTGGCAACTTCTCCAGAGATTCCACAATTGTTCAACATTAGTTGATGAAGACAGTCCGACTCTTCAAGCTCCAGATATCGAAGAAGTCCACTGATGGTGTCAAAGTTGATCTGCAAATGTCACTATACTGTCGCCATGAAGTTTTAATCAGGATCAACTGACCTTCCATCCTGACAAATTGATTTCCTCGAGTCGCCAAGGATCTTTATAGGGAGACGAAGTCCACGGCTTAAGGAGGGGGCCGTCTAGCGTTCCCTTGAGACAGTAGGAGAGATCCAATTTGCGTAGGTTGGTGGCCTCGCGCAAAGTTTGTGCTACCCTACTCGCAGCAAGACCGCCAAAGTTGCCAGAAAGGTCTAGAAATTCAAGGCTTTGACGTTGCTCATGGATTCCTTCCCAAAGAGTGACCATGGCCATTTCATCTAGCTGGCACCGAGAAAAGCCCAGTCCCCTCAAGGTTTTGGGCTGCGACTGAAGTGTTTGACCTGGGTTACAAATTCATCAGAGTTTGCAAAACTATAACATGAGCTCATCGCAATGACACTTACATATCTCTGAGACATCGATCTGATCCATAGAGTTGCCACTGAGAATGATGGATTTGCAGCGACTCTGCAACGATCGAATGAGGAGAATAATTGGAGGGACAATCTCGCATCCTGCATTTCCGGGAGAAGACGATGTGGCCAATGTTGGAGGCGTGGCCTTGGAAAGTACATCGCTAAAATCAACGTGTCGAATGGACTCTGACCCCAATAGCATGGCGACTACCTCTTGGAACAAAACTGAGGACTTTTCCACAATTTCAAATTCGTCACGGGTGAGGCTTCGTTTGCCTTGTGATTTGTTAGTCCCTACAAAATTCAAGCCTAGATCGAAATAACTGCTTACCTGTTCTAGAAAGCCAGGCAGTAGGCTCCATTCGGAATGCATTGTCAGAGAGATTAGACAAGGTGGAAAAGTCCACGCCACGAAATGACAGAGACTTGAAAAAGTCGTTGAAACGCAGAGCTCTGAATACGGCGAGAAGCTGATGAGGGCTGTATGTGGTGCTCTTGGCTGGTGGGAGCAACTGAAATTCTGGAGGGTATTTGACGTCTCGCCAATTGACCTTCCATTCAACTGGGGCGGAATGATAGCCTTCCAGGAATGCTTCAAGCGTTCTCTTGAACCCGCCATAGTCCTCGCCCGAGGGTAGGGGCATCTGTTGCGACTCTCCCTCAATGAGAAATGTCTCCCGTCGAGTCCATAGTGGCCAAGCTGGCTTCAGATATGTGTCTGATTTGAACAGACGCGACACGATACTTCTATGATATTGACTTGAGAGCTCAAGCTTCTTTGGCCTGTCTAGTGGTAATCTGGACGCAGCGTTAGCATATTCGTCAAAATTTAAGAAACAAAACATACCTGAAGATCAAGTCAAACCTCTCATCATTGGCATGAGCATTGACCTTTGAAAGTGTGACCAAGCCATATTGAACGACGCTGGGATTAACCTTGTGACCCGTGGGCGACCTAGTAAATTGTGCTAGAAAACAAATGTTTTTGCTAAAAGCCAAATAGAAGCAGGAATTGTCCCTGAAGCCTTTCTTGGATTCGTTCGAGTTTGATCGCAGTGGTCCGTATGGTCTACGGGGGACTACGGGGTATATGTCCAGGTGAGCGCTCTGGTGTGGGTATTTCGCTTCGAGGATGCGAGCCAGATCCAATTCGAGTTCCTGGTCCATTGACATATGGTAGTCGTCTACCCAGGAAGCTTTTGTTCGCTGCCTAACTGCATGTTGGATTTGCTTCAACCAGTCATCCCGGTCCTCTGGAAGGGCAAAGTTGAGCTCAATGTTTGCATAATAACCAGTGTTGGAGTGGTCCTTCCACCATACCTCCAACCCAAAACTTGGCTTCGTCCCTTCATCCTTGTAGACCGTAATGACCCTGTCCAAGGGAATGTGAACCTCGGCCCCGACGCCAACGTCCCGAACAGAGGCAATCGACTCAACACGGGTCAAGCCGTCGCTGGTGTTTGCTGTGAAAGAAACTTGTGGAAATTGTTCAATAGCCACCTGACGATTTTTGAACTTGAACAGTCCTGTAGTGGTCAAAACCAGGTGCTCCCTCCTCGTCCTCAAAACTGATGACTCTTCCTTCAGGGGTCCAAATTTGACCACTGTTGTTCCATCACCAGAAATACTAGTACCTCGACTGCAACCGCCCGAGGGCGTCGTCGGTCTCGTCGAATTGGAGAGGACTTCGATGTAATCTTCTGAGGATGCCTTGGAGGGGCGACGCCCGAGATCTTGCCTGTCTGTCGGCGGCCTAGTTTTCCGCAGGGTGGACTTGCGTCTCTCTGTGCCATGGCCCGCAATGTCAGGGTCAGAGGCATTGGAGCCATGTGACATTTGTGAACCAATGCTGAGACTTCTGAATACCCTCATTGGGGACTTCATGGACGAGAGGGAGGACCGTCTCTGGGTCTTTGACGATCCCTTCCCGTCGATCATCTGCTGCGCCGCGTTTCTGGAATCCATGTGGAAAGTCGAGATACATTGATATTTTCAAGCCAGTGTTCCAGAAGGATACGAGCGGGGTGACTATGTTTAGATTCGACTTCTGGTGTCGTCCGGTTGTAGCAGATCAACACTGCAACTTGATGATCGCAGTGGGCTGACTACTTGGAGATGCCGGATAGATCTCCGATCCTTTCCTGGATGTCGCACGACTCGGTTGCTGTGTATCTGCGTGTAGGTGGGTGACAGATGCAACTACTAGGTAGGTATGCAACCTGGGCCCCGTGTCTTAGTCCTAACCCCTGAGCGTTCCACCTAGCACCATACGCATAGCGATGCGACAAGAATCGTGGTTGAGATATCCAAAGTATCGGCCACCAAAGTCAATGGAGCTTGAGGGTTGAGTTGAGCTTGCTCTGCCTCGGTAGGTGCGTGTATTTTCTGGGGCCAGCACACACACGCACACACAAACAGTGAATGGTCGCTAAGGGACGGGAAGGTATCTCGTCACTGGCCGTGTACGATTAGGAACCGGTTTTCTGAAGCTGAGTCTGCCCAATGAAGATCGCTGCAGGGTAGGTATCTTTTGGTTCAAGGCGATCGCCCAATGAGACAACAGCCGCGGCGAGACACAACGCAAAATTGACAAGGTGTCTGCGTACCAAAACTCGTCACGAAGCGGGGAGAAACTTTTGGACTTTTGGTGCGTAGGATTGGTGTCGGTATTCGTTTAGTTTTCTTCCTACGAGAGGAAAAAGAATACCAGTCAAATCATCAAAGCCTATCCCGCGTTTTGATAATAAGGAAACTGCCCCTGGAACTGGGCAGGCAATGGAAAGCCCAATCATCTCAATATCCAAAATTGAAGAATTGCATCTCTGACAGATGCGGACGGCGACGTCATAGATAGACCCTGGCCCGCAACTAGCTCAGGTTGCTAATCGCTAATTAAACAGACCAGCGCGCTTCGTTATCACCATTCTGGTTACGCGTCTGTCAATCTTCATCGTTGCCCATGGACAAAAAGTTTCAGCTCGACTCTTCACTGCAATGTTGGTGGGGATATACCTGACGAACTGACGAGTCCCATTGGGATCTTGTTGTGGAGTGCATTTCTTGCGCTATTATTATCGGTACACTAGAATTTGACCTCCTTTTCCCGAATGGCAAGGCAAGGGAAGGGAGCGGTCCACGTCCCCGAGCCATTCAGTTGGGAATCCCAGGAACCTCATCTTGGACCCAGAGTCTTGTCCCACAAATGCTGTCACCATCTACATAGTACTCCTATCCCCGGGACGAGGCCGAAGTACGATTCATGTTGGGCCATGCTACGACAGTGATGCGAATCAGCTCGCAACCGGCGTTTTATCCGTGTCCACGGTGTCCACGATGACGGCATCAATCTCGCTATGTGAAATCGTTCTGGGTTGGCCTAGCTAGCTGCATTAGGATAGGCATGATATACAGTGGACAAGGCAACCGCGAAATCTGTGAATACCCTCAACCATGACACATGCCTATCAATAGTACCTACCACCTTGAGTATGCTTGATACTCAATAATATGGGTCCTGTACTAATGAATTGAAACATTGTCTTCGCTCATGTCTGGCGGATGACCTTATTGGCTTGCCGTAGACTGCGACAAGACTGCATCTAACCGTCTGCGATGCTCCCATAGACGACTGCAGGACGAGTCAAAAGGATCGTGCATCATGAAACTTGCAGCCATGGTAACTCACCTGACCTGCTGATTCATCACCGCAACTCGAGCTGCGGCTTTAACCAGCAGACAAGTCAGCCACGCTGTGCAAGTCCTGGTGGTTCATCCATGCGAGTATCCCCGTGTATGCACGTGGAAATTGAGTTGTCCTACCTGCTTTTTACGAACAGGGAGCAACATGACTATTCTCGCAGGAAATCCATCTTCATAATAGTGATCTCTTGGTCGGTGAAGAGGTGGCTGATCTCACGGAGGCCTGAGGGATGTAATAATAAAATCATGTCCAAGCTATCCCCCTAGATTAATGCATCCTCAGATCCCGCGATGGCTCCTTTCGGATGCGGCGCAGCTACGACAAACTTGATTTCAAGCGGCATAAGCAACAAGGCAGGAATGTCAGTATTAAAAGATGATGGGCTAGTATATAGCCTAACCTCGTGGTATAAACGGAGGAATGAGAATTGCATCCTCATGGCAATCCGACTGCTTCCGGGTCTTTTTAATGCCCGTGCTAGTAGAAGTTGCCGAGTTACAGTATCATGAGAGAAAGGAATGCAAGTTAGCCAGTGTTAGCCCGGCTCCTTGGCTCAATCAAGGTAATCACTCGTCGTGATGCGATCGGCAAGGAGTTGTAGGCATTTGAGACGCGGTCTCGCAAAAAAATTGGCCGCTGAAGACTAAAAAGACAATGTCTCCCTTGCCATTGATTGTCGGCAGGATGTCGGCTCGCACACACGGCTAATAGCTAAAAGTCTCGTGTCGGTCCTCTCAAAAAGAGAAATTCGTATATTTTGCAGGCTTGGCAGTCAAGTCGTGAAGCTGGGGGACTCGCAGACCCGAGCCCGTCGAAACGCGGCGAGTTTCACATTGGCGATCGTTGGTTGAACCCCTGTTCAGATCCCTGGAGTTGGGCTGCAGGGTCGTCCCCCGGGGGCATGAGAGGCACTCAAAGCACTGAGGCCACTGAACGCCCTTGAAAGTCGAGAGAGCGATATATGTCCCCACTTTTCATTCGATCCGCTCGTGCCGATGTCACGACTCTATTGGCTTACCCATTCATTGTATCAGCAAGCACCAACGCGGCGAGCTTCCAATCAATATCATGTTTTTTATTCTACCGGACGTTGCTTGCCTCCTGCTACCCTCCGCTCGCGCGGACGTATCAGTGCGTGCCCTGTACAGTGATTTGTTTCCCCCGATCCCGTCTGTTGGTGAAGGGATCAGGATTTTGTTTCCCCAAGAGAAGGAAACCAAAGGAAGAATCAACAAGTGGACCAGCTCGTACTAAATTCCTTCCTGCCACGTCCTTGGCCCCGAGATTCTGCTGGATCATGTTTACACTATCATGGACGCCAGGAGCCCTAGTATACCTGCATAGTAATACACACGCCGGCACCCCTGGCCGAATCTGCCTGTTGCGAGGAGAATCCATGCTCGTCCAGGTGGCGAGTAAACTGTACAAGGTGAAATGAGAAATGCGTGTTACGTGTTTACGGGATCATACTATGCTCTTGCGCAAGAGAGGAAATGAGCTCGGGACGCAAAGCTATGCATCGCTGATAATATCAGAACTCGATAAGACGGTCATCGCCGTTGGCAATATCAAACCTGGATAGCTCGGTCATCAAGCACGAGTTGTAACGCCTTACGCGCCCTGATAGTACCCGATTTTGGATGTTCGTTGGACTCATTGGCGCCAACTCGTAAAAATTCCTGTGAATTGATGCTGATCAGACTGATATTCAACTGTTGATCGTGTCTCCGTCTCAAGGTTACCTTGGACCCAAGCCTTGTCAGGGCTGCATTTCATACTGCAAGCTGCGAGGCATATTGAGAAGATCGGAGCCCCCTTTTCTGGTATTGTATGCCATTTATTCCTCGAAACTCTTTTTTCAAAAGGGTATGACAGCATTCTGTGTGATCGATCGCCAACAGATCGTCGTTCGATACATCCATTCCGTGATGGTTGTGGGATGTTGAATGCCGAATAACGGACAGCAGTACATAGTAGGCATGATGGGCGTAGGATGACGATGGGGCCGTTTGGGGGACAGTGGCATCCTAGGGGGGCAGAAGAACCACTCAGGTACGAATACAAGCACAACGGTTTTGTGAGTGTGGGTTATCTGCACTGTAGCAGCAGCAAGCGGCACGTTGGCACGGCACGCACACACGCACACACAACAGTGAGTGGCCAGCGCCATGATCGTCTGGTCCACCTTTGCCGAGTTTCACCAGACACCAGCTGCCGCCGAGATAGAGTCAGCGACAGGGGGATATAAGCCAATCATGGCAACATGGTGCACCGCTGAACGAGCTCCTGGAGCCTGCCACCAGGCACGGATTCTGTGGAAGGACAACTGATCATCATCATGCCCGGGCAAAATACGACCCCCAAAGGCACCCTCGGGACAGTTTGACGGTCTGATCTTGCTGATCCTGGGCAGACGTGAGCTTGTTTTTGAGATTCCCTGCTCGCCAACTAATAAGAGTCTCTCCGGATCACGTCCAGTGTGTGTATGTACAAGTTCCAAAATTGAATCATTCAAGTGAACACGACCTGGTAAATATACTGTATCGAGCACGTAATTGCAGGTAAATTCCCGCTTCCAGGTACATGAGCGTCATGTAGGATGGCATAGGAACGTAACTTAGGTTGGGTAGCTCGCTTCAGATACTGCATCCAACATGGTCAGATAATAATTATATCGTCCAATGCCTCCAACCCACTGAAACCAGCAATTCTCGTCCGCCAACCAGATCCGGCAGCTCTAGAATCTCCTCTTTTAATTTTTATTTTTCCTCTCACTTGTGCCTCTCACCCACCGGTTTACACCTCACCTGCATGGAATTTGCCCTCGCAAGTTCTCCCTCGCCTCGCCTGTCATCCCGAGTGTTTTGTTTTGCATTGTCTCCTCGCAATCTACCTCCTGCCACGTCAGGCTGCTTGACCTCTCCATTTCGGAATCCGCGACACAGTCAGACAGGGACAGCCTCTTTCTTTCCTTGTGTTTCTTTAAACCGAGGCTGTATGGTCCGTTCACTATCTATCTATCTATCTACCTACGTATGTGCTTGCTTGTACGCCGAGAAGAAGAAAAAGAAAATCAACCGAAAGAGCTCGGGGAAAGAGGTTTCATCTCCAAAGGGTGGGCCGATCTTAGTGGGATCCATCTGATGCTCCTACAAGGCACCCTAACGCAGAAAGCCAGAAGCCAGAGTCCACTGCAGTGAGCGAGTTCCCAGGGACTGCAGCGCTAGGCTTAGTATCCTCTCGCACCCACTCGCTTGGGAGCCTCTGAAAGCCTAAAAGCGCTGCCGGTCGACGCGGCCAACGCTATTTGAAACCGCCGAACATTCTGGTGGCCCACCCATCAACCAGCCAAACGCGGCCTCGGATTTGCTGGCTGCAAAGATCCCACGCAATAAACCGCTCGACACCGCTCCAAACAAAAACGACGCTATTCCCACCCGCTTCTGGAGCTGCAGCTGCTCAGCGCCCACTCTCTCACCGTTGCCCGTTCCCGACGCTGCCCTGACCGCACCGCGCTATACAACTACCAAGAGCAAATCGGGGCGCTCCGCCTTGTAGGTCCTCACTAAACTACCTATCTAGGTAGACCTACGCACCCCACGATACCATCGGTCCAGCGAGAAACGAGCAACCAGACGGCAAATAAACCTCAAGACCCTCCCTTCTGATTCGACATTTCTCGCAAACAGTAATTAGAGGACGAGCAAGGCCATAGTGCCACCAGAAAAGACCGGAATCAACTTTGGGGAACATTTAATATCAATCGGACTCTTCCATCGAACGGGTAAACTAATCGACGACCCATTTGTGGTGATTGCCGGCTCTTTTTCCTTCGTTGCTCTCACCAGAACCCGCGATACCTCTTTTCGACACCTTTTCGAGTCTCATGTGGGCCTAAAACAATACAAAGGAACCGAGCGTCGTTGTTGTTCCTTTTGCAACACTCGGACACAATGGCCATGCTAGCCCCCAAATCCTACCCGGCGTCACTCGGATCGGCGGCGTCTACACTGGTTGGTAACAGCCCTTCGGCCAACATGCCGCCCACGAGGAGAGCCCACCCCATGCCGTCGTCCGGTCAAGGCTTCGCCAGCCCTACCGAGTCGGAGTTCTCGGACCTGGATGGTCCGGACGCGGTCAAGAATTGGAACGAGGACCAAGTCGCCGAGTATCTGAGAAGCGTAAAGTGCGGCGAATATGAAAAATTATTCAGGAAAAACCACATCAACGGCGAGAATCTGCTCGAGATGGACAAGGAAGTATTGAAGGAAATGGGTATCGACAAGGTTGGCGATCGTGTACGCCTGTTTCTCGGCATTAAGAAGTTGAGGACAAGAACTTATGCCAATGTCAAGAAGCGGAATAGGGTGAGTTTCCCTCCCTTGTATATTGCGTTCATCTTGTGCTCGCACCATTTGTGGTCAGGAGGTGGCCCGCGACGATCTTTTCTAACACACATGTGCCCAGGATTCGTTTGGCGGATTGGCAGACACTCAATACACCCCGTCGACCGGGTCGCCCAGGCCCCCCAACTCTGCCAGTAGCAGAGCCATGCCGACTCCGTCCTCAAATAAGAGATACTCGCGACAAGTAGATCTCTCCAGCTTCAACAGTGGGTTGAGTGCTCCCATTGACAGCGGGAAGGCAACCTCGCGACCCAGTTCCCCGTTGCCGAGCGCAGATTTGCGTGCGGCCAGAGGCCAGAGATATCCCACCCAGCAAGGCTACATGAGCAATGCAGCCCCTAATACAGGAAGACTCCCTAGCTCACCCCCGGAGCAACCCCAATCCCAACGCCTGGTAAATACCCACACCAGAAACCAATCAAGTACGGATGGCTCGCTGATGGCTGGACTCCCACAGGGTCAAGACGTTATCCGTGTCATCTCTACGGGTGGTGTCACAAAGGTCGTGAAGATCTCGGGATGCAGCACTTGCGAAGAGGTCATGCGGGTAACGTTACGAAAATTCGCTCTACGGGAAGACCACGATAGGAATTACTGCTTCTGGGTGCTAGCCGGTGTCGAGCCTGATCCTAAGCAGTGCCGGCGACTTGGTGACACCGAGCTTTGGCGCATTATCAAGGACCAGAAACGCCCCGAACGAGGCCGCCTCATTCTCCGTAGAGTTCCCGCTGGTGAACCCGGAGACTCCGAGTTACAGAGAGCTGCAGCAATCGCCATGGAAGAGGCCCAGCAAACCCACGCACGAGGTCTTGAGAATGTGCAAGATAAGAGAAGCCAGCTCAAGGTACAAAAATTATTGGGTGAGAACTGGGATGAAGGCCTGCAGCAACCACTTTCACCTCTTTCTTTCCAGGATCGTGAGCGAAATCTCCAGAGCGCTGCCAGAGACTTGGAGCGCCCAGCTCCTGCCGATATGAGGGGAGCACCTCGACGAAAGCTTCTTCGGCAGTTTGGCGGCCTCAGACCGCCCAGCGAGCTTATTACGTCTGATCTAACCTCTTATTTCCCGGATCATCCCAAGGATGAGATTGATCGAACCGCAAGACTATCCATGCGCCGTTCTACACGCCTCAGTAGAGTCAACAGCCGCCTTAGTGTCGCGAGTAACCTGAGTTTTGCGTCCAGCATACAAGACGCTCCCCCCATCCCAACGATAGCAGATAGTTGGCTCACTGCCAATGGCCAAGCCAAACCCAGAACGAGGGAACCGAGTCGATTGCAGCACCAATACCGTGACTCAATCGCCTCTTCCATGCTCGGCACCTTGACGGAAGAATCATCTCTCGAGCCTAACCGCAAGTCATATGTTTCATTTGCAGACAGTGGATCTGACAGCGCGACTGGTATTAGTATCACCGATCCCGATGGTCAGAGCCACATTATGAGGCAGAGCTACTTTAGCGAGACTAGCACACAAGGCTCTGGTTCTCTGAAAGAGATCTCTGAAGCACTGCAGCAGGACGGTGAAGATGAAGATGCTGAACTGGAGAGCTTCCTTGCCGGCGATTCGTGGGATGACAACAAGTGGATGAAGGGTGCTCTCATCGGACAGGGCTCCTTTGGCTGCGTCTACTTGGCACTTCATGCCATTACTGGTGAGCTTCTTGCTGTCAAGCAAGTCGAGGCACCCTCGCCAGGCGCCAACAGCCAGAGCGACTCCCGCAAGAAGAGCATGATCGAAGCCCTCAAGCGCGAAATCAGTCTTTTGCGTGACCTGCGTCACCCCAATATTGTGCAGTACCTCGGATGCAGCTCCTCTCAGGAGCATCTGAACATTTTCCTCGAGTATGTGCCCGGCGGTTCCGTACAGACAATGCTCAACTCTTACGGTGCCCTGCCTGAACCCCTTGTCCGAAGCTTTGTTCGACAAATCCTTCAGGGTCTCTCTTACCTTCACAACCAAGACATTATTCATCGAGATATCAAGGGTGCCAACATTCTCGTCGACAATAAGGGCACCATCAAGATTTCCGATTTCGGTATCAGCAAAAAGCTCGAGGCTACCAATATTCTCGGCGGCGCCGCCAACAATAAGCACAGACCCTCGCTCCAGGGCTCCGTGTTCTGGATGGCTCCCGAGGTGGTCAAGCAGACATCATACACGAGAAAGGCCGATATCTGGTCGCTTGGCTGTCTGGTCGTTGAAATGATGACGGGCAACCACCCGTTCCCAGACTGCTCTCAGCTTCAGGCAATTTTCAAGATTGGCGGTGGTCGGGCGACACCTACCATCCCCGACACTGCGAGCCCCGAGGCCACGAGTTTCTTGAACCAGACCTTTGAAATCGACCACAACAAGCGTCCAAGCGCCGATGAATTGATACTCAGCGACTTCCTGAGTCCCGTTACTTAGTGTGCACGGGACATTGGCAAGGACGGTGAAATCTACTTTAGTGTAAACTTTACCTAAGTCTGTACCATTCTGCAGCAAAGTTCACACCATCGACTCAACGAGGCTCAACACAGGGCCAACCAAACTTGCGACAACGGTTGTCATGACTGATAATCATGATGTGTTGCGTATGACGAGTTTTATAACACGAGACGGTGTACAGAGCATGAAGCGATACCCCATTGTAGAAAAGCTTTCATTGCCTGGCAGTCTCGGATCAAAGTAGCGCGAGAGAAATGGTGGGGCTCGCCAATGTTTTATTCTTTTTTCGCATATTTACTTCTTGCCCGATTTTCATGGACATAGTTTTGTCATCCCATTCACCTTAGATGTGTGTGGGTATGCACATGTAATATAGAGGGACCATGCTGATGAGACGGAACGACCTTGATGATCTATAAAGATATACACTGGGCAGAGGGGACACAGCACGTGTGAGAAGCTTGGCAGGCTTGGTTTCTCATACGCCGTGGAAAATAAAATAATTTGATATCCTGATAATTTTCAATCATGACCACTTTTACACTAAAGATTTGTGCTTGTCTGACAAGAGGCTTACATTGTACATTTTGAAATTTGGGTATCACTCGCACTTACACTACTAGATCGCGGATAGGTATACAATTTTCAGGCGCCTTATTCCCGACCAACGACGACAGTTCCCTTGACGCTCAACCCACCCTCGTTGTTCTCAATCCATACATCCCACTTTTGCTCTTCGGCAGCCACATCTTTCTGCGGTCGCACACAAATAGACAGCGGCTCGCCAACGTACAGCGGCGCAATGTTGCGATAGTCAATGCTGTGTATTCTCTCCTTGGCCTTGAGCTGCGATCGCAGGACCGCGAGCATCAGCGTCAGAGACAGCGGGCCGTGAACCAAAAGGTCTCGGTGGCCCTCGATCTCTCGGCAGTATTGCGGATTAAGGTGGATTTGATGTGCGTTGTAAGTCAGAGCGCTGTAGTTGAAGAGAAGTGTCGGGGTCGGTGTCAGGGTGTGCTTGTAAGTCGGCTTATACGGAACTACAATGAAAATATCTTGTCAGCAATTTTTTCTTCCCTGCTTTCCACTGGTCATGGTCCAGGTCGGAATGCAGCTTACCTTTTACCACCCGAGCCCCCTTGGCAACCTCGGCCTTGGCCTCCTCGGGCGTGCGGCCCTTCATAAAGACCAGGGTCCGACTCTCGGTGACGGCCTCGTCGCCGTCGGCAAACATGGCACCCTCGCCGTAGCGCCGCACCACATCGACAAAGATCTTTTCTTGGCCGGGCTTGCCGTGTACGCTAACGCCGGAGATATTCTCGCGGCACACGGCCTCCTGGCCCGTTGTAGGCAGCGGCTTGTGGAACGACACGCGCCCGCCGGCCCACAGTCGCCGCTCGAACGGGGCTCCGGGTAGGCAGTACGGGTCGGTGCCGTCGGCGACGAGCAGCGAGGGTTGGAGCTGCAGCGGGAAGTGGATCAGGTGGTAGGCTTCGGCCAGGGCGGTGGTAGAAGTAGGTACCGCGGCGGCGGGCAAAAAGTCTGACAGCGAGGCGTTGAGGAGTTGCGAGGGCATGGGGCTCAGGTAGTCTGGCGTCAGAACCTCGGGGCGGGCAAGCAGCGACGCCCGCAGGGTCTTGAGGTCGAGAGGGAGCGGAATCGGCGCCGGAGGGTGCGCTGCACAGTAGACGGCATGATTGATAGGACCGCTGCTGTTCGAAGGAGAAGAGATCGATCGTGAGGATTCCGAGACTTGCGAAGAGAGCTGCGTGAGCCGGCGCAAGGACGTGGTGCGGGGAGAACTCATGTTGAATCAAGGGGAAGACAGTCGTATATACAATAGTGCGCTGATGAAGAAAACAAATACAATTGTCGCGAAACACGCAAATACTGGAGCCAAAACAAAAAGAAGAAAATTGAAAGTATGGAATATATTCCCGCTGCAGAAACGCCGGAAAAGGAAGCTCCAGCAGCGGATAATATAGGCGGGCCTCGGGTTGCGATTTCGCAGCTCCAACTTTAAGTTGCATGCATAATCGATAAAGCTCTATACTCGAGTGGAGCACAGTAATTTAATCTATAAACACTGTCCCCCCGATACTGTACGCATTCGTCTCGCGTCACGATCTAGAATCCCAATTAACGCGGGCAGGCGCGTCGCTAGCTTGGATGATGGCCCTTCTGCCTACAACTCGGAAATCAGATGCTTTGATTCTAGGCAACTTTGTCTCCATTCCAACACTCGAGGATTCCCTTCTTCTTCCGTCTTTAAATATCGGGGTTTTCTCTTTGTCATTTGAAATAAAACACAACCACAATTGTTCGACAGGGGCAATTGTCATTCTGGCTTCTCGTCAACTCATCTTGCGTTTTGCGACGAGCACGTCCAAACGACTGCTCAGCACAGCTGCCATCAATATGGCGCCCAAACAGGCAACCTTAGGGTATGTAAAGTCTTCGCAAACCACTCTGGGGTCGGTTTCCTAGCAATGTATGGTGACACTTTAATATCCATTGTGTGCTGACTCCATTATTAGCAAGTTCTTTGGAAACCCAAACGGTTCGAAACCCGCCGCCGCAAAGCAACAATCAAAGCTCTCTTTTAGCACAAAATCAGCTGCCAAAAAGACAGAAGAGGACGAAAGCGAAGAGACGGAAAAGAATGGTGCCTCCAGCAGTAGCACCGAGTCTCCCGGGCCCAAGTCCAAAGTCAAACCTGATCCCGAAGCCAAGGAGAATGCAGCGCCTGCCGATTCAAAGAAGCGAGACCGGGCTAGCTTGTCGCCAAAGAACAAAGTAAAAAAATCACCGGTCAAAGTCAAGTCTGAAGAGGTCGATGAAGACGAGGAAGATGTTCCAGTGTCAAAAAGAGCGCGCAGGAGTCGTAGGACGGTAGAGGAGGACGAGGAAGATGAGGTCATGGCTGATGCCGAACCTGCAAAGCCGATCAAGTCACCAAAGACTAAGAAGGCAGCGCCCAAGAAGCAGGCAGCTGTGGCTTCCAAAACCAAGGCCAAGCCCGAGCCAGTAGAGGATGATGCCTCAGCCAAGGAAGAGGCGAGCGCCGCTGAATCTGCTTCAGAAGTGGAAGACGTCGACGAAGAGGATGAGAAACCCGAGGTTGCGAAAAAGGCCAGAGAAAAGGTGCAGACCAAACTCAAGTCCAAGGTTAAGGATCCATATCCCGACTGGAAAGAAGGATCGCCAGTGCCGTACGCTGCGCTTTGCACCACATTCTCTCTGATTGAGCTCACGACCAAACGTCTGGAAATCACTGAGCACTGCGCACTTTTCCTGCGTCAAGTTCTTCGCCTGACGCCCGATGACTTTCTCCCTGTGGTTAATCTGATGATCAACAAATTAGCACCCGATTATGCTGGTATTGAGCTGGGAATCGGCGAATCTCTGATCATGAAAGCCATTGGCGAGACCACTGGACGAAGCTTGCAAGTCATCAAGGCCGATCAAAAAGATATTGGTGATCTCGGTCTGGTGGCCGTCAAGTCTCGATCGACGCAGCCCACCATGTTCAAGCCAAAGCCCTTGACCGTACGAGGTGTACACAAGGGTCTCATGGACATTGCCACGGTGGCTGGCAATGGTGCGCAGGGACGGAAAGTCGATGGTATCAAGAAGCTTTTGTCCTCTGCCGACGCCCACTCTACGGGCAAGGTGGATATATACAAGGACAAGGGTGGCCCAAGTGAAGCCAAGTACTTGATTCGGTTTTTGGAGGGCAAGCTACGACTGGGTCTAGCAGAAAAGACTGTCCTGGTCTCAGTGGCGCAGGCCATGATCATCCATGAGTTTGAAAAGAAGGGCAAGGTGCCCAGCACAACCGACATGGAGCAGGCTGAGCAGGCTCTCAAGACGACTTATAGGTATGTTCCTGCGTGCAGAGACTGACCGACATGATCAAGCTAATGATTCATTCTAGCGAGCTTCCCACTTGGGATGTCATTATCCCCGCAATGCTCAGGAATGGCATTATGAATCTGAGGGAAACGTGCAAACTCCGACCAGGTGTCCCATTGAAGCCTATGCTTGCCAAGCCTACCAAAGCCATCACCGAAGTTTTAGATCGTTTCGAGAACCAGACTTTTACTTGCGAGTACAAGTATGACGGCGAAAGAGCTCAAATTCACTATGTTGCCAAAGAGCACAAGGACGAATATATTGACGGTGTACCTGGTGCAACAAAAGAGGCTGCAAAGGGTATTGCCTCCATTTTCTCGAGAAATTCCGAAGACTTGTCAAAAAAGTATCCAGATATCTTGGCCAAGCTCAACACTTGGGTCAAGGACGGCACGAAAAGCTTTGTCCTGGACTGTGAAACAGTCGCTTGGGATGTCAACGAGAAGAAAGTCTTGCCATTTCAACAACTCATGACGAGGAAAAAGAAGGATGTCAAGATTGAAGACGTCAAGATCAAGGTCTGCGTGTTTGCTTTCGATCTGCTCTTCCTCAACGGCGAAGCTGTAGTAGAAAAGCCTCTGCGTGAACGTCGCGAGCTACTCCACAAGTCCTTCCAGCCTGTCGAAGGAGAATTCGCCTTTGCCACGAGCATGGATGGCCAAGAACTGGAAGAAATTCAACAATTCCTCGATGACAGTGTCAAGGCTTCTTGCGAGGGTCTCATGGTAAAGATGCTGGACGGCACCGAGAGTGGATATGAGCCCAGCAAACGCAGTCGCAATTGGCTGAAGGTGAGATACTTTTGTGGTTTCACTGAGATTGTAACATATTAACCTGTGCCACAGATCAAGAAGGATTACCTTTCTGGTGTCGGCGATTCCCTGGATCTTGTCGTGCTGGGCGCTTATTACGGCAAGGGCAAACGTACTTCTGTGTACGGTGCCTTCTTGCTTGCATGTTACAATCCAGGTACTGATACGTACGAGACGGTTTGCAATATTGGCACTGGCTTCTCTGAACAAGTCCTCGAGGACCTGCATAAATCGCTATCGGAGATTGTTATTGACCGCCCGAAGCCTTTCTACTCCCATTCCAGCGGTGGTCAACATCAACCGGATGTCTGGTTTGAGCCTAAATATGTCTGGGAGGTCAAGACGGCAGATCTCACCTTGAGTCCCAGGTACAAGGCAGGCTGGAAGGAAGGTGTTGATCCCGGCGGTGAGAAGGGTATCAGTCTGCGTTTCCCGAGATTCATCAAGATCAGAGACGACAAGAAGCCGGACGAGGCCACGAGCAGCAGACAAGTGGCAGAGATGTACAGAAAACAAGAGGCCGTCACCAAGAACAAGGGCCCCAGTGTTGACGATGATTTCGAGTACTAGGCAAATGGCGCGTTTGGCAAAGGGGAATATTGTAATAAACCGCATGGCTACCTGATTCAGGTCGAGTTTTAAATGTCGCTTTTTTGGGCTGCTTAATTATACCACTTTGCATTATTGAATCGACTACTTAGGCCGACTACTTAGGCCTTGTCGCTCGGGATATTTGATGTTACAGACTGATAGTATTGTAGGAATGACTTGCTCGGTGGCTCCACATTGATAGCCATTGCTATCAAGTCAATCATTTCGGTACCCTCAGCCTTATGTTTCTCGCGCTGCACGACATATGGGACGCTAAGCCTGATTGTGGCTATGGTAGAATCAGCATGCATGTCGAGAGCTACGTTTACAGATTGTATTGGTTGCAAGCCCCGCCCCTCTTTGCTCTTCCCTGTCATCATGGCAGCCCACGGGTCTGCCTTGTGGGCATTCAGGCGGCCTCGAACCCGAGCTTCCGCAACATTTCCTTGCACTTCTTTTTCACCGTCAGAGACGACTGTCCGCCATCTTCATGGGACCTCATCCTTGATATCTGACCATGGCAGAGGTCCTTGGTGCCGTTGCGTCCGGCCTTGCCTTGGCTGAAATCGCACTGAAGCTCAAAGGTCTTGTGAATCAAATCAGTGATGCTCCTGCGACGTTGGAGTTTCTCGTCAATCAAGTCGAAACCTACGCTGGCGTCCTCGACGGGTTGGAGTTGGGCGAAAATCGCGACGGTGGAATCCCTCCATCGCTTCATTCTTCCCTACGAGTCGCCGCTCTTCAGTGCCAGAATGCCGTCGACCAGTTATCTCTTGTGGTAAGAGATCTTTCGGCACTGAGCAAGACTTCTTCTCGACGCCGCAAAATGGCAGCTATAAGATTTGTGCTTCGAAAAGACTCGATTGCTCAATTTGAGCATCGACTGCAAACAGCTGTCCAGTGTCTTGCCTTAGCACATCAGCTATACATGTTGTACGTTATGCCCCCCACTGAATATAGATCGTTGTAACTAATTACCATACGTAGTGCCTGGCAAAAGACACAGCTGCCTGATGCCATAATATCACGATTGCAAAGCCAGCATATGCCCTCTGCACCCAAAGCGTCGATCACAACAGTTGGGAACATGACAGGGCTAGCGATGAACGCATGGTCTGAAGCAGCCTCTGCTGGAGCGAGCCAGCCCATATCCAGGGATACCGCGCTCAGACGCAGAACTGCCCTACTGCCCGACGCACGCGGCCCTGAGTGGCCACCAGAAGGCCGGGTCGATGAAGATGAAGATGAAGATGATACAGCATTGGTTGGCCCCTCGCAGCGTCCTGGCAAGGTACACCCGTACCGCAAAGCCAAACAATTTCGAAGAAAACTCCATTTCTCGACGTGGTCGTATTCCTATGTTTTCGAGATGCTCTTTCAACAGAGTTACACAGGATGGAAAGCCTCGCTTGCTGTATACAATATATACGATTATGGTGATTCTAGTCATTGGGAGGACGCTTTGGATTTCATCTCGACCAATGAAGTCTCCGAGCTTTATCAAGCATTCGAGCGCAGAAAATATACCCCACGAGATCGTTTTGTTCGTCCAGATGGATACACGGTTTCTTTCGCCGAGGTGAGTACACCGTCACATGATATATTATCTCTGTCTAAGTCTAGTGAAGATTGCGTCAGCATACCAACTTTGGGAAGTTTGCAATTTCCTCTTGGATATCAATCCTGAAGTAATTGACCTAAGGGTGGGATATACGGTTAATCTTCCCCAAGATGCGGACTGCATACGACAGCAGCAGATCCTTCTGAAGCGGGATCTCCTATCAGACAACGCTCGTTTTGCAATATTGGCTCAGTTCATTGGAGACGCGGTCTCTTTTGATCAACTCAGACGTCAATGCTGGCCTGATGATGAATTTTACCATGATTCATTCCTCATTCACCGGAACCGACTGGCGTGGTACGTTGCCTTAGATGCGCCCCAGTGTGACTCATCACCCGAAATCTTTCGCCACATTCTATCGCCTCAGGGTTCTCTGAGACGTCAGGATATATACTCTGGTGAACTTAATTTGCAATTTTGCGACGACGCTTTGCTTCATGCTGTAGCATCGAACGTTGCAGACGGGGCATGGTGCAGCTTGGAGAATCTGCGGCGCAAAGGAACGACTACATTGCAAACATCAACGGTGAAAAAGTGGACCTTTATTGCATACGACATTATATCACTGGTTGATGATTACCATGTGTTAGCTCAAGCAGAAATGGGTGGCAATCAAACCGCATTGTTTGCGTTGCTATTTCGTTCGTTCAAATTCGGATCAGAGCGAATGTCCATGCATAAAAGTCTTCGCCGATGCGACATTGGGTTACAAGCGTGGCTCAAGATGCTACAGAGCAGCGGGGTTGATCTAATGAGGTATGGCGAAAGAGAAACAGAGCTCGTTGGTATCGAAACATTTGCGAGGCAGTTTGAGATGCAAACCGATAGTGTCGGGTGCTGGTGGCATGATCCTGTGGGCATTGAACTTATTGGCTTTCAGTACGGGCCAGAGGTTGAAGATTGGAAGCTCTGGTGGTCAGAGCCAACCGATGTGTTCGCCGGAGACTTTTGGAAGCTGATTGAGCCTCCCTATCAGCCAATTCCAGGGGCTTGGGTTGAAGACTGACCAAGCCAGCTGTTCTTACTTGGACCTTCTTTGGGTGGTTGTATATATCGAGAACAAGCAGTAATTTGAATAGATTTAGCAATAGGGAGACACGATTCTAGAAGGGTATCGAAGGGACTTGGGAACGAGCACAACGTCAAGGCAACCGAGTATTGCGTTGAGTTGAGCTGAAGTTTACCAGATGTGATAGAACTGAATAGACATTTGTATCATGCAAGACGGAGCCCATTTCCTTGGAATGGGTTTCCCCAATTACACACGTTTACTCCAGGTGGGCCGGTATACCGGGTAATGACTGTTCAGATATATTTCGTAGCTCGCCAATAAGGCTCGCTGCCACCTCTAGAACATTATCAAGTAACATTTGGCCCCCTCGGCTTATTTCTCAAAGCTACAATCCCGTCAAGGATTCTGCAATAATGTTAATATGATTGGCAATTTGTGTACTTGGCCAAGTAATTGACGAACCCCTTTGTCCTACAAAGTTCTTTTATTATCGTCTGTAGGGTGTCATTCGGCCCCCGGTTGTGCTCTGTCATCAAATGGTTTCGCGGGTAACATTCGGGGGCATTTTGAGAGGCATGCATAGTAGCTGCAGTCCTGGCAGTCACACCGTGGAAAGACCGCTTGCCCCCAAATAACCTGACAAAAATAAAAGGCATACCTCTCATCCAAGTCCCCCAGAAGGCCAACGTTGAGATCCCGAATTGACTTTGTTAACTGACCATGGCAGAGATCATTGGCGCTGTAGCGTCTGGGCTCAGTATAGCTCGGGCTGCGGGGGAAATTCTGTCAATTGGCATGAAGCTTAGACGTCTTTTGGGAGAAATCCGCGATGCTCCCGAGAATCTCAAGTTTCTACTTGGGCAAGTTGACATTCTCGCCACGGCTCTTTGCGATCTCCATCTCGACAATGTTCCGGAGGCGGACATTTCCGTCACGCTTTGCGGCTCCTTGCGTGCCGCTACGATTTAATGTCAAAACGCTGCAGAACAACTATCTTGTGCCATTAGTGACTTGTCTACACAATTGGAGACCAAGCAAGGATTCCGCCGCAAAGTGGTAGCCGCCAGGCTGATCTTCAAAAAAGGCTCGTTGGCAAAGCTTGAGCATCGCCTATACACGGCTGTGCAATGCCTCACCTTGACACAACAGCTCTATATCATGTTTGTGCTTACCCTGTAAACCGCAAGGATATAATATTAATAGCAGCAGTGCCTGGCAAAGGATTCAACCTGATATCATAGCGTCTCGTATCTTGCAAGAATGCGAGCTTACAACCAGATCTGGTTGTTCACCACTCTCGTCCAAGGACGAAGAAAAAGGTGTTGTTGGATTGCGGAGGATGCGCATGAGGGTCGGACCAAACACTCACAGGACCGTTTCGAAATCCATGTTTAATGACAGACCCACGACATACGCCTTGCAGATTGGTGTTCCCACTCTTACTGGATAACTCACGGTCGAGACGCTATTGCCAGATGAGGGCGAGGGTAAAGTACAGGTCTCGGCTTTAGTCTCCAAAAGCACCGGGCTGGGATTGAAATTCCAGATGCCATCATGGCTGGCATCTCGAATGGTAACAATCCTGATTGAAAAGAGCTACACCGGCTGGCAGGCATCGCTAGCCGTGCACAGAATCCACGTAATCCATGAGCTCCAAACCCGCAAGACCATGGAGATGCTTCTGTCAGATGACAAATACGCCATGCATCAAGCATTTGAGCGCAGGCAGATTGGTCCACGGGATCGGTTCTTAAACACAAATGGGGATGAGTGCACACTCAGCCAAGTGAGTACTCTTGCTACTGGCATGGAATGAGACCTGAAACTGACATCAGTCTAGCTTGCATTGTTGTTTGGCGCATGGAGAATTTCTAATCATCTTCTGAGTCTATTACATGATACTTTGGAAAGACCGCCTTTTGGTATCAACTGGCAGCGACGCGTCCTGGACGAGGAACGGCTACACGAGCTACAGACTCTCGTGAAGAGGGACAATTTTGGAGTTCATGTCCGTTTCCAATTGCTTGGCAACTTTGATGGCAATTTGCTCGCGTTCGATTCGATTAGACGACAAATTTGGTCAGATGATCACTTCTACAGTGATTCCTTTCGTAATCACCGCATTCAATTTGCTTGGTTTCTCGCTATATCAGCCAATGCCATGGCACCTACTTTCTTTCGTCATGCACTATCGCCTCATGGCATCCTACGAGCACGAGACATGTACACTGGGCGACTGCATCTAGGCTACTGGGACGACACTTTACTTCATGCTCTCGCATTAGGTGTGGGCAGCGCCGCCTTGCATGGCCAAGAAACCTCGAAAAAGTGGGCTTTGGTTGCTTCCGAGGTGCTTCCACTTGTTGACAATTACCATGAACTTGCCCCCGTCGCTGCAGGGGACAAGTTTAGAACCCCTCTGTTTGCGTCATTGTTCATTTCACTCATCCCGTGGCCGACACCCAAGGCTCAAAACCGCAGCCGCAATGTGTCTCTCTCGAAGCGCCTTCAACATATGGAGACTGGGATAAAGGCATGGCTCCAGGTGCTCAAGGACGCGGGCGTCAATTTGCAAGAGTACGGGGAGCGAGAAAGAGAGCTTTTCAACTTGGAAAGCTACGAAAGAGGATTTCAAATGTACAGTGGTGAAGAAGTCAGTTGGTGTGATTACCTGCGTCGTGATCTTGTCCTAATCGGCTTCCAACATGGCCAAGAGGTCAATGACTGGAAACTATGGTGGTCGGAGCACACAGATGTGTACGCTGGGGATTTCTGGAACTTGATCGAGTCTTCCGTAGGATCTTCTGATCAACGAGTTCCGGGGGCGTGGGTCGAGGATCAAGAATCGGAAATTATCCAGATGTCTGGCACCGTTGGTGAGTCTTGTTCTGATAAGACGACCACTGATGCTTGTGCAATGCAATACTGAGGTGGAATTTCACATCGCGAATGTGCTGATGGGACTTTTGTTTTGCTTGCATGGGGCCTGACGACACTCATTCAACCTTCCAACGTTGTGCCATTGCGAGTGCACGAATCCCAGCGTCACGTCTGACGAATCTATTACGGGATCATGTTAGCAAACTGTGGGAGCAAACTATCCAAACAATGCGACAAGCAAACTTGGCAGGCAAACTTGTTAGATACGATGTCATTCAAACCTCGTATCTACATTCTCCAGAAATAAGATTGAAGTGGAGTGTTTTTTTTTTCGACATGCGGAATAAGAATCCTGGCAATTTGCAAAGGCACAGGATCATGACTTAGGTATCGTGAGATCAGTCTAATGTGTTGTTGACTATAGGGGTATTTCCGGCGACTTTGATCTCAGCCAAAACAAAAGCGCCAATGAGAAACCTCCCGAGTCTAGCTGGGTGGTAGCATCAGCCCTGATTGCCGGTGAGCTGAAATAGTGTTGCACATTAAAGTTGCATTAGTAGCCGTTGGCTTTTCTTGACAACTCAACAACAGTGGATCAACTAGTTCTCTTCATCAAGTAGAAAACCCCATAATTAGTACAGACGTGCAAGTGTTGCGGGAAGTTCTAGAAGCCCGGCTAGAGCCCACTGGACTGTGTATTCACCGCCGAATAAACGGTTGCTTCGGCAGCAGTACCGAGATACTATTACTACGGAATAGATCTCCAGATCTCTCTTTTTGCGGAGACTTACGTGCCAAGTGAGTCCGTGATTGGATCCAAGCCCGGCGACCCCTGCCCAAGACTGTCCAACCCCGCCCTCGTGTCCAAGTGATACGAAGAATGAAGCCTCGTATTGCCCCAGGTCAGCTGACAGGGCATAGCATAGGCAGGACGTTTTGCTGAGCCGGACGTGCAACTCCTTTTTTTTCCGCCTGGCGAGGTGACCGGATCTGGCAACATTGCGATGCCATGATGCTCTGAGGTGTCACTCGATGCTACGAAGGGACTTGCGCCCCAACCGAGCGCATGTTGATGGACTGACTACGTTACCTCTAGCCAACATGTCACGTCCTCGGTTGTTCAGAGTACATATACGGCCGTTGCGTCGCCTTTGTTCATTCAACTCAGACTGACATCTCTACTACAATCCGCTCCAATACAATTAATCATTTGCATCTCTCTTTACCTTTTACAATCAAAATGAAGTCTTTCGCTACCATCATTGGCGCTGCCCTCGCCGCCACTGGCGCTTTTGCCCAGCAGGCCGTTGTCAAGAACAACTGCCAGACCAACATTTACGTCCAGTCTTATCCCTTTGACGGCAGCGCAACCGGCCCTCTGACCACTGTGACTCCTGGTCAATCCTTTTCCGAGGACTTTAAGACTGCCGGATCGGTAAGTAACCTAGTCTATTGCGGGTGACTTGAAATTGTATAATTGGAGAAGAGAAAGAAAAAAAAAAGGCTAATCAACTTTCCCGCGCAGACTGTAAAGATCGCCAAGACTAAGACTCTTGACGGTCCGCTCTTCTTTGGCTACTCCTTCTCCACTGGCCCAGACTATGCATACTGTAAGTTCTATACTCTGCAAAAACTCCATCAATTGTGACAAGGCTAACATATTCTTCTACAGACGAGCTCAGCACGTACGTTTAATCAACTCATTGAGACATAACTTTCCAAAAATTTCCGTCATTTATTTACTAACACTTTTCCCTCTCATTAGTGAATGGGGCAACCCCTTTGCCGATGCTCACAACACCCTGACCCCCGGCGACGGATGCCAGATCTTTGACTGCGCCGCCGGCGATGCCGCTTGCTACAGCACGCCCGCCTCCAAGAAGGTCTACGGCTGCCCCCAGCCCGTCAACCTCGAGGCCACCCTCTGCGCTTAAGCTTGAGGATGATTTTGCTTTGAGCACCATAGTGGTTGCTTTGTTTTTCCGAGGGCGTGTTTTTGGTCTAAGTGCTCGTGGTAATTAGTTGGTTGTGGCATGGCAGAAATAATTTTTAAATCTGGCCATTCAAGAGAGTTTGAGCCATGAAGCCGCTCGTGTCAAATCAGTATAATAATAGCTTGTAAAAAGTAATTGATTTCACTTTGACAGAATTCACAACTGGCTTACCTGAAGCTGTGATCCGCTATATTCTCAATTGGGCGCTGGAACTTTTCATCATTCAATTCCTCGAGCCGCACTCCTAGACTGAGACAGTCGTGAACTTTTTTTTCCCCCGTACAAATCATAGTATATACAGTCGGTGCATAAACTCTTTCATGTTTCTGGGACATACTCTCATGTCAAAAATTGAGCTGAAAATCGTGTCTCGGGAATAATGTTGCGCAAAAGGTACAGGCGAGTCTGGTAAGATGGGTCTAGCTTTCAAGACTGGAGCTAAAAGTCTGGTTTCAGGGTATTCTATCTAGACTGTGTCTGACACCATGTTGTGTTCTCGGTCGTGAAATTTTTGTTCTGACAGCCCATGTGCGACAGCATCCCATCGGTGACATTTATTATTGACTCATGCTTGTTGATACTCGGTGCAGTTTTCCTTCAGAGTAATTTTGGTTCAGCTGCTCCTAGCAAGTTCATGACAGGGCATCCAAGTTTCGCATCAAACGTATGATTGTTCATTGAATTAATTATACAAGTCTTGAACGATTAATATTAGAATGGTATACATGGTGCAATCATTCCACGTTGCTGTCCTTCCACCAGTCCTTGATAAAGTCGGCACATCTCTCCGCCACCATGATTGTCGGCGCCATGGTGTGCGCGCTCGGGACTCTAGGGAACACGCTGGCATCAGCGACACGCAGGTTCTTGATTCCGTGGACGCGTAGTTTCTGGTCAACGACGCCAGTCTTGTCATCATTGGACATGGGGCACGTCGAGGCCACGTGCAGACTACTCATGCCGACGCGTCGGACATAGTCATCAATCTCGTCGTCCGTGACTGTCCTCCACGTCCTTGGTGGAGTTTTGGGAGGTGGCGACTTGGGTGCGGGACTCTTTATAGAGGCAATGGCTTGCCCGCGTCCCAAGGCGTATTCTTTTGGTAAAGTGTTTGGGACGTTCATTTCCCAGTCACTCAGAACGTTCATGTTCACTCCCGGTGCAAAAGCCAGCGGTGCGGGATACGGGTAGCCCGACTTTTCACCAAACTCTTCTGCCAGTCGCATTGTGAAGCGTACAGCTCGACGAATGGGTTGCTGTTAATAATCCAAGTTAGCTATCAACAATCTCGAACGCAGAGGATATGTCAATGGTAGCCCGAAACTCGTGCGTACGGGCTCAGGACGCGACTGCTATGGGTAAGAGTGCACTCTGTCGGAGAAGAGTGAACAGAGCATAGAGTAACCTACCAAGTCTCTTGAATCTCGAAGCATTGGGTGAATAATCCTCGGGTTCGCAAGTGGATCCTTGCTCACAAGTTCAAGCCTTCCAGTCGAGTACGGCTGCACCATTGTCGGAAAGAAGCTCATGAGCGAGCGGCCCTCTATTGCCCTCTCAAAGCTGTTGACCGCTTGTATCATGATCTCTGTATCTGGTATGTTTCTTGCTTGCAGCATATCCATGTTCTCAGGATCCGAGTTAATGGTCATGGTTTGATCGTCAATAGCGGTGGTGCGGACAAATATGGACAGCGGTGTTGAGCTTCTCGAAAATAAGCCGACTCCTAAAACGATCCAGAGAATCATATGCCACAATCCATAAATTGACTCGAGTAAGCCGCTCAGAGTCTCGTACTTTGGAAGCTCCAGCATGATGGCAAAACTCCAATGATCCTGCAATCTTGTTCCGACAGGGAGTTCCTTTGTGATCGGAATGCCCTGTGCCTCTAATTGATCTTGGGGCCCTATGCCACTGCGCATGAGTACAAGGGGAGAACACACGGCGCCAGAGCAGATGATGACTTCGCGCCTAACATTTACGTATGGCATGCTTTCAGTCTTGTCTCTTGGCTGATTTCTTTTCGTTTCGACTGGGCAAAAGTATACCCGACGAACCGTGCCGGTTTGATCAATGTCCAAATGAGAGGCCACAACTCCGGTGCATACTGTTAGGTGGTTCTGCCTTTGAGTGGCCGTTTGCTTGTTGAGAAAGGCGCTATATGCCGAAACTCTCTTGCCCTGGTCGTCTATTGTCATGTCTAGGCGGAATAAGCCCATTGCTGGGGCTGAAGGGTCATTGTAATCATTCTCAATGGGAAGTCCGAGTGCCTCGGCCGCTGTCCCAATGCTATCGAAAAGACCATTAGCGTGATATGCTGTTTACACTGTAGGCAAATGAAACCTACTAATCGAACCACTTGAAGGACGGAAGTGACTGCTTTACGTTGAGTGGGCCTGCAAAGACATGATCAGCATCATACAAATGCCATTGGATCCTGACTATCCATACCAGCATGGCCTCTCCAATCCGAGTTTGCATGCGCCTTTGCATTCTCAATCTTTTCAAAATATGGTTCGACGTGTTCCCAACTCCAATCTTTGAGCCCATACTTGTCGGCCCATTCGTTGTAGCCACCAGGCGCTCCGCGCGTAAGCAGCATGGCGTTGATACGGGACGCACCGCCGAGACCTTCGGCTGTCCACATTCGGTTGATCCTCCCATTGGCATTGGGTATGGGCTCAGTAAATCGACTCTCCTGTACCTGTAGCGGAGCACCCATCCAAAAGCTCTGGCTCAACAATGGTATCCGTGACACGAGGTTATCCTTGACGTGCCCCTTCTCGAGCACGAGCACAGAGACACTCGGGTCCTCGGATAGTCGTGCAGCAAGACAACATCCCGCAGTGCCACCTGTGACAATGTTTCATGTCAGCGCAGGAGGATTGACATGTCTAAATGTTGAATTGCCAGGGAACCCACCTCCAACAATAACGTAGTCGTAGGTTTTTCCATCAACCTCGGACGCTGTAGCTTCCGGATAGGATGAGAATGGCCACATATTGTCGCCCGTACTTGTGTCGGAACAGCAAGATGGTACGTGGAATCTTGCGCGACGGCTGACGAGGATATCTTTCTAACAAGCCAAGATGATGATATGAGCGACCTCGGCAGATCCTCGCGTAGTTGTTGGCAATTGCTACATTGTACTCGTTTGCGTGACAAATTGGAGATGGTAAGCGGGGACTTTTAGTATGCGTTATGCTTGCAGAATACTTTGTGTTAGTCGCCTATCGAAAAGGGTAAAGGGTCCACCACCCCCTGGTTGAGCATTTTACAACGTCGGTGGCTCAGGTCGTGCGTAAAAATCGCGATAATTGATGAGATACTCCAGGACAATACAGTTGATGTTTATAACTTCATGTCTAGTCAGGCCATTCGTCGAAGCAAGTGGTCATATGGTGCTTGGATATGTACCCAAGGTGGAGAGTACGCCTAGTTCAGGTTCAAACCTTGATTCCCAGTATAGAGTAACTGTTACAATACCATCTTGTGTCAATCGGAAATGGAAAATAAAAAGTTGAAAAAAAAATTAATAATAATAAAATACACAAACATTAGGCGACGCACTCCTGTCTGCTAGTATGATGAAAATAGACAATTCATCTTCCTTGCCGTACTTTTGTTATGAAATAAGGTTTGGGAATACCAGATACATGCAGTACCCATTTTACAGAGTATACCAGGTTCAATTGCACTAACCATGGGGCATTATCAGATCATAAATATCCTCTGGCTATTGTTAGACACTCTAACCTTAGTCACGTTCCCCCACAAGAAGATAATTGATCTCAGCTAGGCCAAGGACGGTCGGTAGTCCCGCAACGCCACCGCCGTTCCCTAGGTAATCTCACAACTCTAATTGATCATGGAGACATCGGATCAAGTAAATGGTAGGTATTGCTGCTATTCGATTGAACTTGATCGTTTTATACTAGAAAAGAAAATAGCCGCAAATAACTTGTCCAATCAATGAATTTACGACTCACTGCAGAGAATATTGCAATATTTGCTCATTAGGTTCTTCTATTTGGGGCTATGGTCATGGTTCTATATACAAAGTCGTCTCCAAGCCGACGAGAAATTTAGGCCAGAGGCTTGTGAGGGGCACGCATCTTACCAACACCCTCCTTCCATTCGACAAAGAGTCCCTCTCTGACCTCGCCATCAACGCCGCCGAGGGCGCCAGTGGTGTAGAAGCCGAGCATGCGCTTGTGGCGGTCCGACAACTTGGGCCAGACATCCTTGCGCAGAGACAAGAAGTTGTTCTCTTGCTGGCGGATAAAGGAGCGCATGAAAAAGAGCAGAATCACGGGTCGCTCGCCCGACTTTTCGACATTGGGACCAGTGGCGTGCCATAGTCGCGACTCAAAGACGAGACAGGATCCCGCCGGCGCCGCGGCGGCTACGGTGCCCTCGACGGTGAAAATGTCGGGCGGCGCAATGGGTCCAATGTGCGAGCCCGGGTACACGCGGGTGCCGCCATTGGCCTCGGTAATGTCCTCGAGGTAAAACATCATGTTCATGCCAAAGGCGAGGTCGCGGATGGGAGGCTGGACGGCCACCTGGTCCGTGTGCAGCTGCATGGGCACGTTGCCGGGGCGGGCAATGTTGGCCGTGTAGGTCGTGATGACGGCGTGCTCGCCCAGGCACCAGGGCACCATCTCGTCAATTAGCGGGTGGTTGAGCAGGTCCAGAAAGTCGTCGCCCTTGTTGATGAGCGTCCAGATGCGCTGGTTGGGGCCCGTGGCGCCGCCGTCCACCTGGGCAATGCCGGCCTCGCGCTCGCCAGCGGCCTGTTCTTGTACGGCCTTTTTCATGATGGCGACTTGCTCTGGCGACAAAACATTCTTGACCTGTTTACATGTGTAAGTCTTGGTAGTGCCATTTACGCAGTCCACGTCAAACACTTACAATACCGTAACCAAACTCCTTGATATCCCGCTTGACCTGCTCAATGTCTTCAGTAGCCTCGGGCAGACGAGGGAACTGGTCGGCGTGCTTGGGAGCAACGGGCGGGACCGGAGTCAGCAAGTCGGCAAACTTGATGGCCACGGGAACCTTTCCCTGGGGCATGGAAGCCTCGTTGAAAAAGGCATCCTTGAAGAGACCATATCTAGGCTCGAGCTTGTTCTCATAAAACTGCGAAATGTACTCGGGCTTGATGGTTAATTTCGTGTCGGGCTCGTCGCTGCAAGACTCGAGAATGGTGGCGGTTCCAGAACGAGCGTCGATCCAAAACGGTGGCTTGTCGCCAAATGTGATTTGGAGCAAGGCCTTGAGCTCGCCGAGAAGCGGGAGCTTTTCTCTAATGATGTCGTGAGCTGTCTTGACATCAGTCTCAAACTTTTGTGAGAGATTGCTGTAAGACTGATTGGAAAAGTCCAAGCCGGGAGTATAGGTCTTTCCTGGGGCAACGCCGGCCATCTTTATGGTGATTTAAGAAATAACAAGGGTAAGTAGAGAGAGTTGATGATTGAGTTGCTTGGAAAATTGCGGAATACTCTTCTTCACACGACTTGGGGATTATCGAATCTATATAAGGCCATCGGCAAGTCGAGCTGCAGTGTCTCGCTGACTATTGCCCAGAGCCCAGGACCAAAGAGCATATCTGGTCCCTGACATTGGTCTGATCAGACTGTGGAGACGAGGGTGCTGATGGATATGGGCTTCAACCAATTATAGAGATCATGTCTTGAAGCGCACCCATTCATATGGCGGAGAGCGGAGAAAAGGGTGGGACTTGACTGGGGAAACCGTTGGAAATGGGGGTCTTGATTTGGTCCTCATACGTTGACTCCAAGTCATTTTTTCACTAAACAGCTCCATGGGCGTTGCTAGGCCTTGAATATTGACTCCTTGGCTTCTGTCGCGCGCCCCTTATGAGACCTTTGATAACCGCTCCAAAAACTTTGCTGCCGGCATATGATTATGATGCACCCGGCAAGCATGAGTAACCTGGCGATCGATGAAACCGAAAACCCTTGTCAGCCTTGAAAGCCACCGCCGTAAACCCCCGCCAAGAATGTTTCCTCCACACGAGAGAGGTTACCCTGGCTTTGGCTGGCTGGTTTCAATGACCCCTGGTTTGCGAGTTGGGCAATGGCATACACAATACTCTACAGCATCAGACTTGGGTGCAATAGGATTCCTTGACAGATATTGAGCAGATGGAGAGTCTCTTTAAAGGGGGATTAGAATGCCTGCTAGTTATGACCCAGGCAAATGGATTCATTGACTGTTACTCCATTGTATAATCTCGGGATTTGAATGTATTCGTCTTCCCTTTTCAGTAATGAACGCCAATATTCCACCATCTTTCTCTATTCTTTTCTAGAACTTCTATTTTGCGGCACGCAATTCCGATGCGTCGGAAATAAAAGAGGAGGTTATGAGTTGCAGAAATCTCCAAGCAAGGGAGATGGTATGCCACGTATCAATCAGGGTGCGGCGGCAATGCGAATCCTTTCGGCTCTTGTCAGAAAACTTCTCATGATTGTTCTAGACTCGAGGAATAACGTATAACCATATCGCCCTCAACTCATCAGATCATCCAAAGTCGCGGTGCTACCTAAGGGACTTGCTTGGCTGGTAACTTTGTTCACTCGCTTGTCGTGGTGAAACCTCTCTCGCAGCGACAGCTTGTCTTGTCGTGAGCTTGTTCTAGGGCTCACAAACTTGCGAGTATCTCGTCTAAAATACTCGCCTCCACTCAAACGTGCCGATCATTGCACTGTTCGGACCTAAACCCCGTGTTGCAGGGCCCCGAATACTATTATGCTCTTTGAAATCCTGCCGGCAGCGGCCAATCCAGCCCTGCCTCCGACACCCCTACTAGTTTTGCCCAGTGGTTTAGCTCTATTCCGTACCGGCATCTCTCCCGCCTCCCGTAGGCGCAGCTCCCGGATGGAGAACTGTATCCACTCGGGTCCCCCATGATTAAGTATTTTTTGCACTCTGGCGGAGTACAGTATTAGGGGCGAGCGTCTTGCGGATATGTCTTTGGACAATACGCGGCATATTGCGACACGTGTAAAATTGACCGCCCGTGCAGATTTATTTACTTGTGCATGTTGAAATCCGACAAACAGATTAGCTCGTGATTTGGACGATATCATAATAATATACAAGGTTATAATGATGCTACTACTAGCCTAAGAACATAATACTGCTGCTTATTTAGCGTCTGCTGGCAGTGGCACTACGCTACACTAGGTCAGTAGCAATTATATTAACCGTTGACAAGTATAGAACTCAGGGTAATGCCGCAGACAAAGAGACTAGAAGAGAGAAAAATCCATACAAGAGGGTGGATCTGAAGATCACCTAAGCCAGCACCAACTACTACAATATGTAATGAGGAGCACCTCATTAGCTGCAGGGGGTTGGTTGTTATGTCAGCCTGGCCAATCGAGGAAGCTCATATCGGCCATGGGAGTTCCACTGCCTGAGAAAATCGAACCATGCACACCTTGCTTGTCCCACTTGGACTTGTATAATCCCCGGCCATTGGCTTTTCGACGACTAGGTTTCAACTCCGGATGAGGCAATCATTTTCTTCAAGCTCAGTGAAAAAATGGACGAATGGGAACGCGATGGTTTTCGTGCAAAGGAGCCGCCGCCAAGTTGAGCCTTATTAGTATTACCCGTAAAACTGGATATGAAATGGGGCCGTTGGTTAGGTGAATCTCAACGGTAAATGGATCCTCTACAGCCCTCTGTCTCAATGGTCCCTGTTCGAGAGACCACGAAACCTAGCGTACCAGATGGAATCTGGACGGTTCGGTCCCGGCCTCTCTCACAACGTGAATTTTGATTCGTGGGAGCGCGACAAAGTCTCCTTTTGTCCTGACACAAGCACTTGTGCGAACCATGCTCCAGTTTCCCACTGCAATGAATGTGTGTCTCGGCAAGGGGTCCTGGCTACCGACAGCTATCCGAACCTTTTGTTAGTTGTCGCGTGCTTGTGATAGTTACAGCTTCGCTTATGAGGATGAGGTCGGCAATTTGGCTCTCCCTTGGACCTGCTTGATCGGACGGCCTGAGATCCGCGGGCACGGTAGAGTACTTCCGATAGGCCTTGCCACGCTTTTCTTCAGCTGGGAATATTCATTCTTCGTCTTTTCCACTTCCTTCTGGCCCCATACCGCCACATGTATGTAGCGATGTTCCTTGACCAAGGCGGTGGGCATTCACAAATGGCCGTGGTGGAGTAAAACGTTGCCCGCGGTCGACTTCAGGAACAATTTCGGCCGAAAGTCTCCAAGTAAGCCCGAGTGGTCAATGATGGAAAGCCATAGTGCCACTTTCATATTCATTGTCAATACTTGGGGTTTCGCCTCTTCTATACAGTACTGCAGTATTTTGGTCCGTTCCTTGGTTCTCCAGGTTGGGTAAGTCTCGTAGTTCAAGCATAACCCTTACAACTTTTGAGGCGGCTAGACAAGGGGAGTTTCTTCCATTCCAACATGCCCAGTCTCTTCCAATGAACCCTCCCAGCTTTGGCCGTTTGATGCTCCAGGACTAGGAACCCTTGATACATGCTACAACCGGAAAGGATTGACTAAATTCCCTTCCTTCAACCCTTGCCGAACATCTATGAGGGCTCATGCAATTATAATTTCCTTGGACGTTGGGAACTGGGGACCAGGTACAAAGTACGCATGGCGAGAAGAAGAAGAAAAACGGGGCTTTCCTCAAGTAGACATCGAGTCTCAACCCACCTATTCGGGCAGATTTGTCGTCGGAATATCTCAAGGGGATGTTGATGATATTACATGTCTAATATACAGCTATTGTCTGGGCATTGGGATCTGTGTAGTCTCTATGTATTAAAACTTTGGACTCTTACCGGCTTGAGAGTCTTTCGTTTCGCCTGCATAGTAGTCTCTCGTTTATACGCTTTACAATTGCTTGTGATTTCCCTCTTTTTTTTTTTCTTCTTGTTCTTCTTTCATTGTCTTGGGGCGAAAGTTGCGACTGTGTCGTCAAAATGGCCGACGATCTCGTTTATTTCACCGACATGACGCCCAACTGGCTCACCAATGTCGATGGACTCGGCATGGCCTGCTTGGGTATCACGATATTTTTAACCATTGTATCACTCCTCGCCGTATCATTGCGAATGTTTGCGCGAATCGAGTCTGGTGCCACTGGAATTGACGACTGGTTGATGGTGATTGCAACGGTAAGTGTCGGATATTTGAAAGGCCTGAGTCGGGGTTTCAAAAGACTAATACTGAACTTGTCTTGTTTCGCAGGGTCTTTTCACGACAGACTCCATCTTTGCGTGTCTCGACGTTTATGCGAGCTTGGGTAGTCACGATGCCCGAGAAGACTTGACGGACTGGAACAAATCGGCCGTCGTCATGGTACATAAGCGACAACACCTCCAGAGATGATCCTCGGGCTGACTTGTGCAGTATCTCATCTTGTGGCAAATCACTTACGCCTGGTGTCTGCCCTTTATCAAATGCAGCATCTGTTTCTCCCTTTTTCGAATTACCAGCGAAGTTAAATACCGACTACTTCTCTGGGCCGTCATGGTTCTGGCTACCGTAAGCGCAATGGTTGGCTTCATTGCCGTCGTCATTACTTGCCAGCCAATGGCGAAGAACTGGGATCCGGTCATCCAGGCCGACATCAATATTGGTTACTGCATGACGGGAAACATTGTTCAGAATCTGAGTTACTACGTCTCGGCATCCTCCATTGTCACGGACTGGGCTTGTGCCATAATCCCCTGCTTCATTGTGTGGAACCTGCAGATGAAGCGCAAACTCAAGATCTCGGTGGCCGCTATTTTGGCCTTGGGTGCTGTCGCCAGTGTTACGACCATTGTCCGCCTACCGTACCTCAGCGCTTACACAGCACCGACTGATACCTACTGTGAGTAGAACGATCTTGTTCTGGCCTGAGAGTACAGCAGAGCTAATCCCTTCTTTAGACCAGGTCGCCAACATTGTCATTTGGTCCGAAATCGAGTGTGGTGTTGGCATCATTGCCGGATCTCTCCCGGCTCTGCGCCGCTTCGTCAAGAGCATCCTCGACAAGTCGTCCAAGGGAGGCTCCTACGACCCGCGCTCGGGCTCGGGCGTGGGCACGCAGACCATTGGCGGGGGCAAGGGCCGGAGCCACACGGGCAAGATGAGCCGCAGCGTCAAGATGAGCAACCTGAGCCGCAACGGCAACAATACCGTCATCGAGGCCAGCAAGGGCAACAACAACAACCACCACCACGGCAACTGGATCGAGCTTGGAGATGACTCGGACAGTCAAAAGCATATCATTACGCAGACCAATGAGATCTCCGTGTCGGTCGAGGACAGCAGCGATTTGGAGAGGATGGGCTCTAGCTCGATACGTCACCATCATTAGATGCTCCAAGCAAGAAAGGAGCAATTGGAGTGCCTACTCCATAAAAACAACAGCATATAATAATAAATCAAGCAAGCGTCTCTTTTGTCATCTTGAACTTTAGTCATAAACATTGATATCCAGTCAAGTGTCAAAACTCTAAAAAAAAAGTTCTGCTGGAGCATGGCTGCTCAAGCCAGATGCTGACTAAATCATCCATAGGAAGCAAACTGCCGAGATTTCTTCCATGTGCTGTGACTTTCAAACTTAACTGTAAATCCTAGGCACAACTTCCCCTGAATTTTATCCGTCTCATCTTTGAGGAGAGCCTTGGCTGCGAGAAGTGCCGAACCAACTAAAGCATTGCGGCAATGGAGCAGTGAATCCTTCTTCCCTAACAGGTATCCTCCTTTTTCCCTTTGTCGTTATGCCCCCTCTATATTTGTGCTTGGCATACCAGATTTGGATGTGGAGATTTCGATCCCCCGTCTGGGGTGACGTATTACGACTTTGCAGAATGAGTGCCAAGCAAACCTCGTGGTGATATTCAATGCCCCTATTCATGACGCATTGCTATAATATTGACTTGTTAATTGGGTCTTACTTGAATCCAAGTCCAAGCCGTCCATGAGAGTATTACAAGAGTATGATCAAGCTCTCACATGTTGGAAGGAGACGACATAAGTCGAGGAAAGGTCTGAGTTCAAAACTAGTCAAGTATCGCTACCATGAATCATATACAGTATTGACCGAAAATTGAGAGCGATCATTCATTCATCCTTTTTCAGAATCTGCCTTGAAAAGTTTATGTATCGAAACTTGTTGGAGAAAGACTTGGTGTTAATGACGGAGTCGTTGTGAATAAGGGGTCAATGGTGCCAAATGTCTTGGATGATGCAGTGGCTTCCACAAATCGTGGCCCCTTCAACGCCTCGCCCAATAAACGGATGTTATGATCCAACTGGTTGGTCCATATTGTTATCATGGACTCTAGTTCCATCTTCTGTTTGTCCGTATGCGATGCCTTTTTGAAGAAACGACAGTGCTTTTGCGCCTTGGAAATGTCATTCTTGATTTTTTCAGTGCCGTCTCTGACAATTTCAAGGAGTGCGTGCGCTTCTTGTAGATGGACCGAAAAGTCTCGAGCAGGAAAGTGGCCGTATACAGTGCTCGTCTCGGTGGTCTGAATCCCATCCTCGAGATCCTCAATCTTCTTTCTGGCCACCTCGGCCCGGTCAATGACCAGAATTATCTGCTCCATCGAGGTTTCTGTGAGGCCATCGTGAATCTTCGAGACTTCCCAAGTACGAAACGGGTCCGTGTTGAGGAATTTCCAGCGGGTCTTTTTCGATATGAGAGCCTGCAGAGATGCCTTGGCCACCTGGTTTGCAACCACGAGCCGTTGCGCCGTCTCTTTGGCCTGCTTTAGAAAGGAGCCCAGGTCCAGCACGGCGTGACTAAACTCGGCACTATGGAAAAACTTACTTTCTAAAGAGTAGATAGTAGGCGTCTCACTTCTTTCCTCGTCAAAACTCGATTGATCGACTTTGGTGTCTACTCTCTTGGCAGTCTCGGTCATCCTGTCCGGAAGAGTCGCCCGCTTCTCGATGTACTTGAATATCTTTTCGTACTTGACTTGGGCATCCAACACCTTGGCAAAGGTTTGGTCTGACGGTGGTGCCAAGCTGCACAAACCCATTGGGAATTGCGAGGCAATGGTAGGCACGCCGGGCATCTGACAAGCCCGATAAATGATATTAGACAGATACGTTATTCCAACAACATTTGTTGCCCACACCACCAAAATCGATAACACCACGACGAGTATCGGGGTTCGAACCTTACATAGGCACGTCCTCACACCCTCGAACCGATCTTTGCGCTCTGGGCGCAATTCTTTGCAGGGTGTTTCAGGAATCTCCTCGACTGCTGTCGCCAAACTCGACCTCCTGGATTCGTCCTCGCCGTCTTCAACATTTTCATGGTCAGTACTCTCCGCCGGACTAAAAATGCTTCCGGCTCTGATCCGATCGATGCTAATGTTACAACTTGGACGCCTTTGCTGATCTCCCGCAAGGCTGATGGAGCCAGGACGCCCCAAAGTATTTTGTAGCGCTCTTTGTCTTACGGGCGATGCCATCGGGCTTCCTGATGGCGTTGAATACGATGAGAGGCGCTCGTTCCTCCATGGTGACAATGGCGTCGTTGGCTGGCTGTCTGTTGCCATTTTGCTCGTGTACCCATCCGTGTTGCAGCCAAATCAATGATAAAATGTTGACACTTGATTATTTGGTGGAGTTTCATGGTTTACCTAAACAGTATTTCGATCCCCATTGTATAAGAGCTAATGAAGTCATGCCTTTGTTCTTTAATCTGCCCAGTGTCTGCCCTTGCCGAAAGCGGATGGTGGCAAGTGAGCGAAAAGGACAAAGGATAGAGTGTTCCTATCATCAATCAATCGCTCAGACGGTTGTATATTTGTAGAATAAAACAGCAAAATTTGTTGGCTCACGTGTTCTCGTTCTTATTACGCCATTCGACGTCGTATTTCTTTTATGTGACTTTAAACTATGAAGATGTTGTAGATGCAAATATCAATGGCTTTTGGAAGCATGACTTTGTCAATGATTTTCAAACATAATTGTCCGTATACATGTTTGATAGCCAAGATCTACCTCGCAGGTCTACGCTCATCGGCGCATAGGGGCGTGTACCCGACGATATTATCCCCCCAAGTCTAGGCCGTGTCAACGGTAAAGTCCAGAGGTCCGACATAGCTCTGACTCGACGAGGCACCATTGTTGGTGACGACGAGCTCGTCACTGGTAATGTCATAGACGCCCGTGACATTGGTAGCCGGGTCATCGGTAGACACGGTCGTGACGCTCAGCTCGAGGCCCGCGTCGTCCGTCTTGGCGACGCTCCACGAGTAGGCTGCGTCCTCGCATCCCGTCAGCGCGACGGCCGGTAGGTAGTCGGGCCCTTGCAGCAGGATGGTACAGTTGGTGGCGGCGTCGACTTCGAATTGGTAGCTAAGTGCAAGAGATGTTTTGTTAGTCTCGGAGATTAAGGAGGCACTTGGCATGGATTCAAATGCACTGCTAGTATTATATACTTACCTGCACAATGTTGAATGCGGGATACAACTAGCATAGAAATCCGTTATGGCATATGATCCCGCATCACGCTGCGTCAGGGTGCTAGCCGAGGCGGCAGCGGCGAAGAGGGTTGCAAAGGTGAGTTGCATGATTTCAATATGTTGATGTGAATGTTGAATGTTGACGATATGCTGTCAAGTCTGAGGGAGAGAGAAGCGATATTCGAGGATATAGTAAGAGGTTGGATTGAAAAACTACTTTATACTACCCGCCATGTTTACTGAATACGATCGATCCACTTTGAATGCTACTGCATACTCTATTCGAGCCAAAAGAATTGGCTGTCCAGCTACTAAACATGATACCCAACAGTGGCTCGATGTGGTCACGCTGCTTGCCTGTTTCCGGGGCATCTCCGACGATCACCTCGTATCAACTCACCTCCGGCCCGAAGCGGAACTGGGGCCCGGGACAGATGACGCAATTACAGAAGGCGGCGGCGAAACAATTCCTTTGCGTGGCATTCGCTTTGACTGCCTTTTGCTCGGCTTTAAGATATGATAGGTCGGAGTATTATAAACTTTCCATTCCATTGCCTTTCCAGGCTGGCGGCTATGGAAAGTCGACTCTGTTCAAGACAACGCCCTGGAAGTCTGCAATAATTTTAAGCGATTAAGCAGCGCTTCGCTTTTGCGGGTAGCCTGAAACTTGAATCCATTCCGTTGCATAGATGCACTTTTGAAAATGTAGTCATGTGTAGAAACATTCCTCATTTCGAAGAACCAACACGAGCCCGCATTCCACTGTGAATCATAACAGTCATATTTGGCGCTTTCTAGTGATATGAACAGACCGCGTGCATTGAAACCTCGATTGACCCCTGATATGATATCATGCCTGCGTGACCAAACTCCCAAACTCCCCAGCAATGACAATGCGCCCTAGACTCATGGCGAGAATGCATATTGAGAAAAAAGATCTCAGGACTCATCCATGCGATCGTCATGAGGATTGGAACTTGGTGCACCAGCCTCGTCACCGAGCATCGAAACCACTCTTTCCAAACCTTCGACCTCGCCTCTGACCAGATTCCTGCCCTCGGCTTGCCAGTCTCCATCCCTGACCTCTCCGTCCTTGCCGAGCTCAAGACCTTGCACACTCTCGAGATGCCGTCTCGTCGCAGTTTCGACGTACTCGAGTCTCTCGCGTCGCCAGCTCTTGTGCTGGCCGCTATCCGTCTCATCCTCCTCTGCGCCCTCGGCAGGCTGCAGGTGCGGCGTCATGGTACGTAGCGATGTAGACAGGGCTCGCAGCGCCTGGAGTTGTGACAGTGTAAAGGCCGTGGTCGTGCTCAGCGGCGTGTCGCCACCAGCATCCTTAAGCTGCGTGACACCATCGCGGAGGAACGCCAGAGGCCCAGGGGCCGTCGTTACCCCGTTCTCACCGTCCGTGCCCGTGGCCGTGGCCTGCTCCTCGTCCTTGACCTTGTCGTCCCTTGCGCCTAGGAGACCCCGGAGGTCTGCCAGCAGCTGCGCGTTTCTCTGCTGCTCCTCGTGCAGCATTGCGTTTAGCTTCATACTCTCGCGCAGTCTGCGTCGCAATTGATTTATTGATTCCAACGTCGGTCTGTCGCCAGCCTCGGCATCTGTATTTCCCTCTGTCCCCTCCTCATTGGCCTCGCTGGTTATGCTCAACGACGAAAAGTCCAATCCATCGTAATGGCCAAGGCGCATCCAATTCCTAATGTCGACGGGCTTGACGCACAAAATATTTCTCAACACGTAGATTTCAAACTTGTCAAAGCTGCGGTCGATGCTGGCGCACAGGAGAGTCTCGAGCTGATGTGTGCCGGCATCGATTTCATTCTTGGCCAGTTCAGCAGGGTCAGGCGCGCCGGCTGCTTTGGAGCCTTTTGGCTTCTTGAAGCCTATCGCTGCGGGCGGAACATTGAGTAGGGCTTGCTCGACAGAGGTAAGGGCGCGATCGGCGAGAATGTTGACAGAGTTGATGATGTCGTCAATAAGACTCTGCGACAAGGAGACTGGTCAGCTCGTGCATGCAATAGCATTATTTTGTCCATATTTGTAGAGAACGAAATAGCATCGATACTTACGACAGGAGGATAGCCGAAGTGCTCAGTCAAGAGCTCGGTATCCGAATTGATGGAGGCTGACATGATTGCATCTTCATTTAAAGTGGTAATGGAATCGCGACTCTCCTAGGAAGAAGCGCGTCGCGGGCACCTGCAAGTCAATATTTAGGTTGGTGGTTTTTTTTGGAGGGGTTCCCGTCACTTGGATTGGACTTGTCAGGGGTGTTCCCTGGCCGCTGCAAGCATATCATATCGGTAATGCTGGCTAATGCCCAAAGTTCCCAATTGATAAGTAAGACATGAATGACCCTGTTCATGATCCATCTTGTGAATAAACTTCCTCAATCATTTTACAGCTATTATCATTCAGCCATGACGGTCATGTTTACACTCGACCTCTAGCTTTCAAAGTAGGTAGGTACACAATGGGCTGCTAGATGCGGTGTAACTTGGCATGTAGACATCAAGACCCCTTGTATGCACCAGTTGGGCCTCGACTTCTAGCGCTTCTTCGGCGTCGTACGTCATACCCACTTTTTGATTTTAGCACTGCCGGCTGAGCTAGTATGGACAACGGACGGCCCGCTTCTGCTTGACGCATCTGATAAACCTCCCTCGGCCCTATCTGCATGGCAAGAATGAATTTCTTTTTCTTGTAATACTGTCGCATTCGTTCATTGTTAGGCAAACCAAACGCTCAAGCAGTAATCATGTCTTCGAGATGGAAAGACCTTGCCAAAAATGGCTGGCATCCAGAGAAGGAAGGGACGACATTCAAGGGCCAGATGGTATGCCACCTACGAATTCCCAGAAGCAGTCGAGCCCAACGACTACTTTTGTAGGATCTTGGTTTTCAATTGGCTAACGCAAGCAATCTTTCAGAAAAGTCTCGTGGGTCGCGGTGATTCAAGCCAGGATCGCAGTTCCCACGTCGCCGTCCCGATATCGTCCCTGCGCGACCCGGCCTCCTTTGCTCCTCCGCCCAAACGCGATCCCTCGGCACCCATTCCTCCTCCAACCTCGTCGTCTTATGCGCCTGCACTGCCTTCGTCGACAAGACCAGGTCCACCAGCTCCCCCGGCTCGATTCGAGCAGCAGCAGTCTCCGGGCGCTGCACCACAGCAAGAAAGTCCCATGGAAGCAGCGCCTAGGCCCGCGCCCAAGAAATGGCAGCTCGATACCACGGGCTTGTCTACAGCACACCTTCCACCGCCGCCAGGACGACGAGATGGTGCAGATGGCCGTTCGCCCGTTTCGGCTGGGACGCCGGTGTCCGCTTCGGGGACCATCACAAAAGGCCCGCCGCCATCTCTCCCACCTCGCCTGCCTCCCAGATCCGGCACAAACTCTCCCGTGCGCACTGCATCGCCCAGTCTGCCATCAAGATCTGCGACGCATACGCCTACGCCTCAGCCTGTAGCGACAGCAGAAAGCGGATTCCTAAATCAAGGTGCAGCGAGCCGATTGGGAGCGGCCGGCATCTCCGTCCCCGGCTTTGGAATCGGTGGAAACAAGACCGGCCCCGCGCCGCCTCCACCTCGCTCGCCAGCTACTTCCATTTCTCCAGCTCCACCGCCATCACAGGGTACGACGTGGCAGCAAAAGCAGGCCGCACTAAAGACGGCGTCCCAATTTCACAAGGACCCCTCGAGCGTCTCCTTTTCGGATGCAAAATCTGCGGCCAGCACAGCAAATAATTTCCGTCAGCGCCACGGGGAGCAGGTCGCAGGCGGGCTCCGAACCGCCAACAGCCTCGGCCAGAGATTTGGTGTTACGCCGCCGGCGCAACAAGCTAGTGCTGGTCCCGACGCGACAGCAGGGGCCTATGGACAGCCGGCATCAGAGTCGGCAGGGTCCATGTCAGTAAGAGATCTGGCGTCCGCGATAGGCAAGAAGAAACCGGCTCCTCCACCGCCTAGGAAGAAGCCTGATTTGAGTGCGGGCGGTACTGCGGGCGCACCGCCGCCGGTCCCCATGAGCACAAGACCGACCTTTTAAGTGGTGGAGATTGTATGTCGTTTTCAGTCTTGGACAGTGTATAGATTTCAACAACGGTCATTGAGAGCTCAAGAGTATGGCATAGAATAGCATTGGGTCGGCGCAAGGTGTAATATAGATTATTTATCACATTGAAGAATTGACCACATGTAATAATTACAACGATACTCGGACGACCCGTGTTAGTGGTTTGTCGTACATCTGCGAAAGTGTGAGATCGACTTGAACGGCTAAAATCAAAGAATCACGAATTATTGAGGACAAGGTGCTTGGATGGAATATGAAGTTATTTTGTGGTGCCCCTAGTGTCATTACTGGAACAGTATCATGATGCAATTCATTGTTTTCGTGCCGTGATCATCGCAATGTTGGCGATATCATAGATCTATGCCAAGTATTTTCGCGCAACCCCCCATAAATGTCATTCATTCGTGTCCCATTTTAAACCTTCTCACCCTTGAGAGCGTGCTTCCAGAAGGTGAAGTAGGGGGTAACACCATCCTCACGGTAGTTGAGGAGAGCGACGCTGCATTTGTGGTTAGATTTGGTGCTCTTTTCCATCTTTTTCAATGGGGGGCAACTTACTGCTGGTCGTCGTTGTCGCTGGGACCGGCCTCACCAATGTAGAACTCGTAGTCGCCAATGTTCTTGAGGACCTTCAAGATGAAAGCCTGGCCCTTGCTCTTGAAAGCCTCGAGCTCGGCGGCCTTGGTCTCGGCATCTTTCGTGGTGTCGGCCTCAATGTGAGCCTTGACGGTCTTGATGAAAGCTGTTTGGCAGGGTTAGCCTCTGGTCCAAGCCGGGTTGCCTGCAGGCAATTATTGCGAGTGTTTGTGACAGGAACGTACTCTTGACGTGGGCCTTGTAGCCGTTCTTGTCCATGGGCATCTCCTGGAGCTGGAAGGAGTGGATGATGTTGTTGACCTTGGAGACACCGTCCTCGACACCCTCCTCAGCCTCCTCGGCGGAAGCGTTGGCACCAGTGTCTATAATAGAAAGCAGTCAGCATTGAATGGCAGCCTCACAAGATGTGCGGTTCTTATAGCGGGTCAACGTACCAAAGGTCTCACCACCGACCGAGATCATGGCGCAGTCGGCCTCATAGAGGATGCCATCGATCTCCTTCAGATCGTAGGAGTCGGAGATGAGCTCAGAGCCGGTAACGATGTCCTGTGATTGCGGGGTTCAGCCAGAGTCGCAAAACAAGATTGCGGGGTGACTGTCGGCCACAGAAAGAGGCAACGACATGGAAATGAGGGCAACTTACCTTGAAGATAATCATTTTGACGGTAGAGCGAAGCGACGCTTACAAGATACTAGGTAGAAGGGGTTGGTGGTGGAAGAATGGATGAGGAGGGAGGAATATTTTCGTGGAGAAGTTTCGTCGGTCCAGGTCCCAAGGGGAAAAAAAAAAGCCAAACCTCGCGAAGGGTATCAACAAGGTGAGGGGCAACAAAAATCGATACCTTCTGGCTCAATTTTGACAGGCCGCAGACACGGAAAAAGTGGGAAGGCAGTTGGGGAGAGAGCTAACCAATAGCGGATAAGACCAGGATCTAAGCCTATCGCGGTCTAGAAGAATTCGTTATCGGGTTGTCTGGCCGCGGCGCTGGGTCTTTGCATTCAATGTTTGGGCCTTTTGAAGTGGGATGCACATTTCATACATTAAGATTTTCGGCTTCATGCTGGTATTTTACATAAACAAATACTACTACAGTTCAATTTAATGCATTATTTGCGCCCGGACCTTGTTCTTGAGAGGACTCGTTGACAAGCGGAACAAAGTGCACATGCATGCTCTGGAGACTTGATGATGCCCAGCATAATGAATCGATTCTAATTCGAGCAACATTCAAGAAGATAACCTAAATGGACGTGAATAGGTATTCTGCTAGACTTCCTCTTTCCCTATTGTGTTGCATGGTCAAGACGGTGAACAAAGTCTTGCTACACTACAGGGCGGGAGCTCCGTGACTATCATCTGATGATGGAGCTTCTTATTCAAGCGCCGCGAGGCGCCGCCAGTCCCAAAGTCGGCGCCAGGTTGGGCCAATTTGCCACTCTACCATATTGAGGTTTTATTAGTGTATAAGTGCCAGAGAACAGGCTCGGGCACAAAACTAACTACTAATAGCCCGCTGCACTCCACGGTTCCTTTGTGATCTGCATATGAAGATGCCCCGGTTTACCTGGTTTGCCCAGTGTTGAGTGCCCGCTTGGTGTTGGAAGGGACCTGTGTATTCACCACGATATGCTTGGAAAACGCGCGCCGAGGACAGCGAAAAGGTCACGGAGGGTATACACGACGCGCAGTTGGCTGCAGCACATAGCAACATGTATCCAGAATGTTTCCATCATGCCAAACTCGTCGAGTTTATGATCTGTCACCAGATGCCAAAGTCGCCAAAGTGTCGTCCCATAATCGATCCAACGGCCCCCACAAAATCGCGAAAACAGGCGATGCCGGAAGACATGGCAAAGAAAAAAGTTCGCGAGGCAAGGCGGCCGCGGACAAGCGAAATTGAAATTAGGAAAAGGAGGGCATCGGAGCTATCGGCATTTCGTGAACAAGGGTGATTTCGCCGCCTGTTCCAAATGCCAACCCACTGGGCAGTCATCAGCCATTGGCAGTTTTTGGCGCGCATTTTATTAATTATTAGTACTGTTTAGCAGGTTTTCTTCGGGCTTTAGTAAGACTCCAGACGGGCAGCAGCGGGCATGAAGCAGAAGCAGAACTGATGAACATTGTACCATTCATTCATCCACTCAGGCACAAGGTACAGACAGGCATTGATACCTACTACATATTAATTAGCACGGAGACCTGCAGCAAGGACCTTGCCTAGTTTCGTCCCAGTCTCTCTCTCATCACTCTCTTGATTAGATTGAAAAGAACTCCGTCCATCCGTCATCGTCACCAGTTCAGTCCGAACCTTCCCTCTTCCAACCAAAAAAATCAGGTATATCTACCTATTTAGGTACCCAGTAGTTCACCTGCAACCATCGGATGCTTATGCGCATCCTGCTGCGGTCCTCTTTTTAATTCCTCGCTTTCCTTTCTGCCTTGCCCCTCGACTGGTCTGACCGACTTCCAAAAACTTAAATTATTCATTCCTTCAAAACCTCAGCTTACATACATCTGCTGCTTCCGCTGCCTTTTCAGCTCAAATCGAATACCGCCACCAATATAGAACATTCGACCAATACATAATCCCCTCGCCACCCGCGACCAATCATCGACATTCGGCCACCCGCTTCAACCGCATTCATAATCGCGTTCACCACCGGCGCCGCGGTTACAAGCAAGCAATAGCTGGAGTCGCCGAGCTTGTTGAGATATCAAAAACACCAGCGGCAACGGCTATTTTGACGCAAAAGGACTCTCAACGTTCCTCCCACCGCCAACTGCCTCAATGGCCTCGAACATCACGATGCCAGAGGCGCTTCCGCCTCTACCGTCCTATGAGCTGACTCCCGCTCCTCATCTAATTTCCGGACTCGACGACTTCTACCTCTCTCTAATCGCACCCATCTTCGCCTACTGGGCCGTCTCGGCCATCTTTCACGTCATTGACGTGTACGATCTGTTCCCGCAGTACCGCCTACATACGCCCGCCGAGATCGCCTCGAGAAACAGAGCTACCCGGTACGAGGTATTTCGCGATGTCATTCTTCAGCAGGTTATTCAAACAGTCGTGGGCGCTATACTTGGCTGGATGGACCCTCCGCAGATGATGGGCAAGGAGGACTACGACGTGGCTGTCTGGGCTACGAGAATCCGTCTGGCGCAAAGAGCCTTGCCGGCAGTGCTCGGATTGCTCGGCCTCAACGCTGCTGGCATCGCCAAGAACATGTCTGCTACTCACCCACTCCTGGCTGGAGTTTTGTCTGGCGGGCACTACCCCTTCCTTACCACCGGACTCGCCGGACCCGACGGAATAGACGTACCTGCCTTTGCCACATGGGAACTGGCGGTTGCCAAGACCATGTATTATCTTATTGTCCCAGGACTGCAGTTCTTCTTGGCCGTGACCTTTGTCGACACATGGCAGTACTTTTTGCATCGCGCCATGCACATGAACAAGTGGATGTACAGTACGTTGTGGAAATTGAGTGCTCCAGATTCTATTGAGACAAATGCTAACCAGATTCTAGCCAAGTGGCACTCGCGACACCACCGACTCTACGTCCCTTACGCATACGGTGCCCTCTATAACCACCCAGTCGAAGGTTTCATTCTTGACACTGCTGGCGCTGGTCTTGCCTACCTGCTCACTGGCATGACTGCGCGCCAAGGTATTGTGTTCTTTTGCGCCTCGACCATCAAGACAGTGGATGACCACTGTGGATACGCGCTGCCCTGGGATCCTCTGCAGCACATCTCGGGCAACAATGCCACTTACCACGACATTCACCACCAGAGCTGGGGCATCAAGACCAACTTTTCTCAGCCCTTTTTCACCTTCTGGGACAGCTTATTGGGCACCATGTGGAAGGGCGACACGTCCTTGAAGTATGAGCGATCGAGAAAGAACGCCGAGGTTGCTATGGCAGCTGAGACAAAATAATTCATGGTTCTTCTAAAAGAAAAACCAACAATTTCATCGCACCCTTTTTTGTGCGGATTCTTCGACTGTATGATTTTAGGGATTTTTTTGGGTTTGGCGACAGGATAAGCCTTGTCATTGAACTTTCACGAATGAGGAGCATTGGTTGGGCGTTCTTTTTGACTGGGGAGAAGGGCAAAGACCCGAGCTCGAAACTTGCCTGCCGAGTCGGAGGCTCTTGATGTTTGTGGAAGGCTGCACAGTAGCAGTTGAGATTGTGCCCAGAAGAGCGGAAGCAGAGACTGTACAACAACGACAACGACAATGCATGCCGCATGGAGGGCTGAAAGAAAAAGGCAAACCACGTCAAAACCACGTCACTCGCTACATTACCAGTTTGCAACATCGGAAAGGTTGTGATGCTGCTATTTATAGCTAATGATAATATCTTCGTCCATTGTGGCGAATACACGATTCAAATTCCAAGAGTTTTCTAGAGACAATTCTCGTTTAGTTACGTGATGTTTGTGAGGTCATAAAGGCAGATTCAAGAGCTCAAAATGCCGAGCATATGGTCAATGCCTGGGAGCATGAATCCACTCGCGAAAGCACAGCACATTCCACTGATCACGGATTGACTCAAGAGAAGAAACTTGGCTCTTCATTTCATTTGACATGTTTCCTTGAAAGAAGACTGACATGGTTGACGGGTTTGTTTCCTTGCTTATCATGCTGAATCCAATCTCTGATATTATCCTGGTGTCCTTGGCGCAATACCGCAAGAGCTGCTCATGGTCTCCAATGATGACGCACTCGTGACCCGCGATCGTGAATTACGACAAGACAATATCCGCGAGCCGAACACCCGAGATGATGAGGAGCGCGAACGGGCCACGAAACTGTTCTATGATTTATGAAAGACGAGGCTCCACAAGACTCCAGGACCGCAGAGAGCACGGTCTTGGAACCCGTTACAACGCGGAAAAATACGATTAATGCCCGAAAATCTCGAGCTGGAAAATAAAGTGCCATTCAGCTAACAGTGCTCATGAGCGAGAGAAGAGTCAGCGGATTGGTCCCGTTACGAGCCAAAAGCATGCAGGTTTCCCCCCAATTTACTATGGCCTCGTTATGTAGACGTGCAGACACAGCGCCAAGAGGCACATGATATGTCTAAACTTGAGAAGAATGGCATGCTAGGCTTTGCTTGAATGTATGTCGCTGTCAATGTTGCACCTCGAGGCTACTTTGGCTGTTGATTGACTGATGGACGTGGCAAATGCATGGGTCCTACCCACCCAGTCTTTGATATTCGACATGATCCAACAGTCGATAATGCGGGAAAATCACATTGCTCGCCCCTTGGTGGCAATAGCGGCCCGCGCCGCCCTAGACTAGAGTGGCCTAGTACCTAGCATCTAGTGTACCCAGAGAACCATTACCAAAACTTTTCTCTTCACCATGGATGAAAAACGATGGGCAAACCCATTAACAAGTGTCAATGACAAGGTCACTTGTGATACTGCTGTTTTAACCTGCCAAGAATTTCACTATTCGGCCAGATTCTCTAGTATCGTCCTGGCACTTGCATGAACTTGGAAAAACAAGTCACTGCCAAGAGCCACTTACCAGTATTTTGCAGAGCACATACAGGCGCAGCAGGATATCCTTTGCGGAGTTTCTTCTTCAGCGAGCGCTACTACCCAAAGCTGCTGATCGGACGCCCCTTAGGGCTGAATGCTAAGCCTCACCCGAGAGTCGTGGGTGGTATCATGGGACCGGGGGGGCTTATGATTTGCATGCCAACATGGATTGTGCATAGTATCTTTTGACGCCATGTGGCCTGGCAGCCTATAATTTTCGAGTCTACCATATTTGCCAAGAGCATTTTCTGCATGTGTCGGAGAAGCGGCGGCTACTTGGGCTTTTCCGCAAAAACTTGTTGTAAAGGACCATTTCTTTCATGTCACCGGCTTCGTCTGTGCATATGTACTCATGATGGGTACCTCTATAGAGATCATTAGCGCCTGCCATTTTGGTGGACCCGACTATAGGATAGTATGATAAATAGCAAGAAAGCAAAATCATGATTAATTTAATCAAGCCCTGTCTCACTCCAGCAGAAGTATCAGTTAGAAACATAAAGGCCTCTTGAAAGAATTGCTTGCAAACCTCATGCTGTCCGGGTATCTTGCATGACAAGACTTATAATCAATAAACACCCGTCGAGTTCATCAGTTCTCAACAATGACAAGACTGGGGGCCGTACGAGGAGATTTCTCCCTTCCAACTCCCCATACGATAGACGGTATACGGTTGTGGGTTCTAGTCTAACATACATGCAGGTGAGGTAGTACAATTGCCGAGGCCCATTCTGAGCAATATAGAAACAGGGCATGAGTTCACAGATTCACTTGGCTACTGGGGGCTTTGGGCTACTATTCGATAACTGCCAGAAATCCTTGCTCGCCTTGCCAACCCCTGGCAAAGTATTGCGCGTAAGGCTGGAGACTGTTCTTGACGAATGCTACATATCCGCATTAGCGGCTTTGCCGCCAGCCAACTTGATTCTGTCATTGTCTTGTCGTGTTTTTTTTAAGAGTCCTCTGGGGAATACAACATACTATAAAAGTTTTCTTGACGCTCCAACGGATCCTCCTCTCACCTTTTGTATAATTGTTCGCAGATTCTTTCACGAGCCTCTAGCACTTTTGTTCTGGCTTGACCAGGAACGAGAACAAACATCCCAATGATGCAGTCTCCTGCTATGGAAAGTGAAGCACCAGAGCTCTACCGGGACGATGGGCAGTTCAAGGAGGTCATGCCGTCCTCCAACCTGGGACCATATCAACAGCAGGTTGATCCAGCAAACCGCGGCGGCGGAAATCACCAGTCCCATCTCGAGGCGGTCAGGATCGGGCAGGTAGACCCTGAGGTGCTGGGCTACGGCACATATTCGAGCACTGGCACCGGTGATCCGCAACTAGCACCTACTGACCATGACGAGCCCAAACCGGCGCCGTCAGATCAGAAAAAGAAGCGAGATGACAAGAAACGGATATGGGGGCTCACGCTACCGACTTTAATCTTTATCATTGTGGTCGCTGTGATAGTCATAGGTGCATCTATAGGAGGAGCCTTGGGTGGTCTCAAAGCTACAAAGTGAGTTTCATATTAGTAGGGTATGGAATTTTGAGTGCTAGGTTAATATCTACCATGTCAGGGATCGTAATGGAGCTCTAAACTCGGTCGACAGTGCAGAATCGAGGTCGCTGAGCACCCAGCCCAAGGCGACGGCAACAACAGCAGCGACAGCAACTGTAACTACAACGCAGTCGGCAGACATATCCAACTACATCGCGCCAACGGACAAGGACCTATATATACATATTGATTGTGCTGCATTAGAAGATGACCATCAGTCTACGCAAATGGCCAATGGGCAGACGTACAGCTACTCCGTCGAGTGTGGCAAGGACATAGTCCGCTTTACTGGCGATGTGGGTATTGACATATTTGCCGCCACGACATACACCTTTGAAGACTGCTTGATGGTCTGCTCTTCGTACAATCAAAACTCTAATAGCACCGGTTGCAAGGCGATAGCTTTCAATAGATGTGAGTGACACCCACCCCTCCTCCCAAAATAGAAGATAAAGAAACTTTGGAAATGAGATACTGACTAGAGTCAGATGCTGTGAGCTCAAAGAAAAACAATAATGGTAATTGCTGGGTAAAGAACACTACGGAGGGCAATCGGATGGACCGTGAAGATTATCACGTACTAGCTACGTTCCTGGTGTAGCTACTGAAAGTAATGAAAGAGTAATACCAGCTCTCCCAAGTCAATTGTATTAGTGGACGCGATGTTTCAAGGCATGATTAAAGTACTCTCATACCATATATAACAATTTGCAAATTTGATCCTCCAGCACAGTTTCATCTTATATAAACAATCACCTTGTTGCAGTCCAATAATGATATCGTAGTTGATTACCGAATGAGACCAAGCTCGCTCTGGGCCGTCAGTCCACCCTTGGCTGATAATTCGCATACAAACATGGATTGTGTAAGCCACTTTCGACACTAGCCACGGTCTCCTGCAAGGATACACAAGCAGTATAGCACGGTTGTGGTAACCTTAAAATAGCACTTTATTTCAGAAAGAAAAAATCAAGCCATAACAGAATTCAACAGGTTGTGTGGAACATCTTTGACTTAGTGGGCTCACCAATTAATAATTACACACAAGCATAGGTGCGTCTTTCCTTGACATTAGAAATGTTACTCAAAATGTGGAAGATAAAGTTCCAACCAAGTGCGAGATCCACGCGGCAACGCGTTCGTAAACGCCAAAAATTGCTAGAGAAATCCCTGTACATGTTCCCATGCATTACGTTTTTCTTTTCTCTTTCTTCAAACTTCGTGCATGACAAGACTGCGCAATCCAGTCCTACCATCTTAGTAGAGTCAAGCAGTATTCAGATCTCGAAAATCTTGGGGGCCATGGAAAGCTGAATTCTTTCTTTGCAAGGCTCCCACGCGATGAATGTAGAACAAGGGGTGTGGGCCCAGACCGACGGACAAGAACACAGCAAATCCTACAAGTTCTAAACTAGTCCCTGAAGCGATTGGATTGGTGTATAATAGTAGTCAATATGGGGAAAAAGGTTAAGTTAAGTATCTCGCTTGGGGGCCGTTGAGCTACCATTCGCCCATTTCCTCGTTACCCCTGCGCAGCCGCTTGGCTGGCAGGGTTCTTAACGAGAGCTGCATATTCGGGTCAGCAGCTGGCCGGGGGGCTTGGAGGCTCAGGAAAGTAGGAAAAAGAGGATCGTGTTCTTGTCTTAAGGTCCCTTTCCGGGGTGTACGGAGTTTGAAGTCGTTTACCACTCCCGCGGATTCTCTCTCTGTCACTTCTTTCGTAAAACCTTCGTAAGTTCCTCTCGTATGTTCCCAACCCTTTCACCTTGGCTACAGTAAGAGTAAGAGAGACAACGAAGAAAAAAAACGAAAAAGGAAACAAAAGAAATCCCACAGTCTTAGTAATGGTTTCACCGGCCAGGGAAAGTGAAGCGCCAGAGCTCAACCGCGGCGAGTTCAAGGAGCGCATACCGGCTTATCTGGTCTCGTCATACCAAGTCCACCAGCCCGATCTCGAGACTGTCTACTCTAGCAATGGCACGACGACACAGGTGGACCCCGAGGTGAACCATCTGGGCTACAGCTCATATTCGCCCAGCAATGGCGCGTATCCGACAAACCACAACACATATCAACAACCGGGTCATTATGATGATTCCAATCAAGTAACAACACATGGCGCAGCATATGGTACTGGCGGCGAGTACAAGCCATTACCACCAGATCAGCAAGAAAAGCAAGATAAAAGACGGATATGCGGTCTCGCACTACCGACTTTTATTTTCTTCATCGTCCTCGGTCTGGTAGTGATTGGCGCTTCAGTAGGAGGAGCCTTGGGCGTAAAAGCTTCACAGTGAGTTTAACCGCAGAGAAAAGAAACAAGCAATTTTGAAAATTGCAAAGTGGGTGAATTATTGACACTGAAACTTTTTTTCCTTCCCTCGCCAGAAATGCCAAGGACGCACAAGATGCAACCGCGTCTGACAGCTCAGCCACGGGCGCAGCATCAAGCACTCTAAGCAACCAGCCCAAGGCGACAGCGACAACAACATCGTCCTCGAGCAGCCAAACGACAGACAGCAGCGCCCTCTCGGTTCCGACGACGGATGTGGTCGTGGCTTTTGACTGCGATGCGCGGTCCGGACAGAACCAGACCATGGAGATCAGTGGCGGGCACCTATATGTCTACGCGGTCGAGTGCGGTGTTGACACGATCAGCAATGGTAACACTGGTATTGATTTGTTTGCCGCCACGACATACACCTTTGAGGACTGCTTGAGGGTATGTTCGACATATAATTACAACTCGGGCAGCAATACCTGCAAAGGGGTGTCTTTTAATACGAGTGAGTTTTCCTGCCCGTCTTTCGCCGAGACAGATGCCTCGATATTGGAAACAGCTTCAAGTACTGACATGACGTAAGATCTTTCGGCCGCGACCGCCAAGGACAATGGAAATTGCTGGGCAAAGAATTCAACAGATGGCAATAGATTGACCAATCTTGGAAACGATCGGATAAGCGCCGTATTGAAAGCGTCATCATAGATATTATAATATTAATACGTTAATCTCAATCCCCACATCCAGCATCTCATCACTCCTCGATACAATATTCATCTACTTGTACAATAACCTGACAATCAAGTCTGGTCTGATTGACTAGAAAACATTCATGATCGACTCCGACTAAGCTCACTCTGAGCCGTTGCCGTCGGTCCGCCCTTGACTCTCTGACCGCCCGTAATCTTCTTTTCGCCTTCAGTGATGTCGTGCAAGCTCTGAGAGTTGATGGGCTCATTGGCATGTTTTTGCGCCTGCGCTGTTGGGCCACCCTTGACCGGTTCCGCGCTGCCAGTGAGCTTCTTCTCCGCCTCGGTGATGGAGGATATGGTGGCCGAATCCAGCATTCCCGAGTGATGCTTTGTTCCCGTGCCCTGGTATGTATGTCAATCAACAGTGTCATCAATATCCTCGCATATGTTTACGTACAGCATCAAATATCCTCTGCACGAGAGCTGCGGGGCCGCCAGATATGGGACCGTTGAGGCCGGTGAGTATTTGCTCGCCCTTCATGATATCTGCGACAATGGCTGAAGTCAATGGCTGTCCAGCATACTTTTGGGCTTGGGCTGTTGGACCATCCGCCACTGGGCCGGCCTCGCCAGTAATGAGCTTCTCCCTTTCCGTAATGGCCGAGATGGTATTTGGGTTCAAGTTGGCAGCGGCTGGCCGTGCTACCGAGGTATGGATATATGCAGGGGCTCGACGTAAGCCAAATGCAGCCCTGCACTCTAGTATTGGCTGTGCAGGGCGCAGAGACTTTGATATCAGTGCCCGCGACATGATTGCTGTGGAGGTTGATAACGGACAGTATGGTAGTGAAAGGAGTTGATATAGAGATTATGTCTTTCAAATACTAGAATTTTGTGTATTCAGAATGTAAAATATATCTAGGAACGAAAAGCTTGCAAACACCTTTGAGTTGTCAATCAATGATGTCGAGGAAGGACTTGTATGCATCATAGCAACGCCATCGCCCATCATTCGACGTCGTCATAATTGGCAGCGGTACCTTGCATTAGCGTGAAGTGCTTGTTTAGCTGCAACCCACGTATATAAACTTTCCATGATACCTAATCTGTCTATTGACCATTGGTTTTTTTTTTTTAAATGTGCTAGTTTATCCAAAGGGACAGTGATTGTACCCGGTAGTTTGAGGGTTAAAAGAACGTAATGACACGCACGAATGATTGTCTGCTTCAGTTTTCCACACTGCATATATACTATTGCAAAAGTTGGAGATTTTCCTATTTATAAATGTTCTCACACTATCTGGATATCATCTATTATTGTGGATCCCGCATGACGGCCTTTCCACCACGAACATCTGGTATCCAGTCGATGAAGCCATTCCTCTCGGCAGTATGCCAGTATCGATGACCCAGCCAACTGCCCTCACCACGGTGTTCAGCATATCTGTTGACCGTATCCTCGACCATGTCTCGGGCATCATTGCGCCTGTCTGCCAAGAGGAGAGCATGCAGAAGCTCGTACTGAGCATCAAGGTTGACGAGGAAACCAGCCGAGCTGAGTCTGCGGTAAATATTAAACGCCGTTTCATGGTCTCCAGCAGCAGCATAACCTTTAATGACCCGGTCGTAGAAAATACGGTCCATGTCGTCATAGTCGAGCAGGCGCCGGCGTTGAATCAATTCATTGACAGTCTCGAGATCGGGAGGGTTGCGTGAAAAGTAATGCTCAACGAGCGATGTGTAGATATGCGGCGACAGCTCTAGACCTTGTTGCCACATGTGGTCCAAGACGGCCTTGACCGACGCTTGAGCACGATCGCCAGAGCGCAGGAGCAAATGAATCATCTTGCCATAGTTTTGATGATTTGCCTCGAGGCCGGCCTCTTTCATGTCGTCAAAGATGGTGGCCACAATCTCGACTTGTCTTTGTGGGTCCCAGGCCTCGAGCTTGTTGAGTGTCCCCTCAAGGATCACGGTAAATGTTGCCGGATCGGCATTGATGCCCAGGGCCTCCATGTGCTTGAAAATTGCCTCGACTTCTTTATCACGCCCTTCGATAATGAGCGGCCGCAGCAGCAGATTGAATGTGTAAATGTTTGGGTTGATGCCTTGTTCCTTTGCCCAGGCTAGCAGACGTTGCACGGCGGAATGGTGGTTGAGACGAATCAGTCCCGAAAGGGCTGCATTGATGGGCTCTATGGTGAGAGGAGCGGCATGCACGTTCTTCTTTTGCTGAGCCTCACGCCAGAGTAATGCCATTTCCTCGAGTGCCATGACGGCAGCAGCCGGATCATTACACTCCATCAACCCGGCTATCCTGGTAACCCATATTGGCATATCCAATTTGGCCCCGGAACTGATCAAGCGTTGCCAGACTGTTGTCAGCCCCTTGAGGTTCTGTGCCTTTTTGCAGCCATCGAGCATGACATTCCACGTCTTGAGCGTTGGCTTGAGCCCGCATTTGGGCAGAGTGTTCCACACCTCGATAGCCTTGTCGGGCTTGTTGAGAGCCATATAAGTATTGATGAATGAATTAAAGATGTGAGGGCTCTGGTTGGGCGTGGATGTTTTGTCCGCGGTGCTTTGCACGAGAGCGCCAGAAAACTCTTGCCAAAGACGATCAACCTCGCTCCAATTTCGAGTCACGTATGCTTGGCTCAGTTTCTTTTCGAAATACCTTGCATCGTGCGAGCCCTTGGCCGCCCTCGAGGTCGTTGAAGATCCTTGACGTTCACCGAATGGATTGGACGACCGATTGACCTCGTCAATGTATTCCTCCAACTTGGGCCATTGCCCCATGACATAACCTTCAATTGAAGGATAGGTGATCTTGATGGCCTTTCGAAGAGCCTTTTCATTTACACCGGTTGCTTTGATCAAATGAGCCACCTTTGTCATGAATCGCAAAGCACCGCGCCTCGAGCTCGTGTTGCTCCTTGCTCCATCGATCAGAAGCGTGAGTGTCGCAATAGCGAGGACGGAGAGCTTGTCGCCCAGCTGATTGGGGGAGTGCTGGGGGAATAAGCTGCTAAGAGCCAGAGAAAAGTTGTTTGATCTGGCATGTTTAGTGATGGCGAATTTGTCCAGTCTCGGGAACCAGAAGCCATCGAGGATCTCACTGGCATCAGCTCTGATTTTCCCGGGTCTGGGTCTGGGGAGCGAGAGAACTTTCCAGGTCTCAACAAGGTCTGAAATGATTTTGTTCTTGGTACCTAGGTGGTCCTCAAAAGCTTCAATGGAAGGATAGTCATCTGCAGACGTCTTCATCTTGCATAGGTACTTGACCAGTTCCCCAGCCAGCGGAAGCCAGTCGGATGCCCTGAATTCTCCTAGGTGGGCGCAAATACCGAGAATCTCGGCAGTGGGAGGCAAATCGGGATTCAGACTGTCTTCCTTCTTCATGTGTATTACCTCATGCAGCAGGTTCGACGCCACAGTATAAAAGACTTTGGGTACAATGATACCCTCCTGTTGAGTGGCGGGATACAGGGTCGTCTGCAGAAACTTGAAAGCATCTGATATTGGAGCTTTGGCATCCAGCATATCTTGCAACTTGCCAACATCCTGAACCAGCTTGATATTAATGTAATTGGCATGTTCCGTTTCAGGCGAATTGTTCTCCGTGCCCGGCCGGTCGACAATCTGTCTGAAGAGATCTGCGACATCGACATTCGCCGTCTTCTTACTGTTGGAGCCTCGGGGCCTGGGGGTCGTCCGTGGCTTTGTTCGCCGTCCTACCTCTGCAGGTCGTTCGGGGCGTGCGTATCCAGAATCACCACTGTTCAATCCTGTTGTGTTCTGGACCGTCTGGACTGTAGATGCTGCCTTGACTGAACCGTCACCTGCGGCGCTCGAAGCGCCAGGCCAAGACGACAGTTGCGCGCGCCATTGCCGTGGTTGCACGGCCGCCTTTGTCGCAAGTCGGTGGCGACAGATGAGACAAACTGATTGAGCTGCCCTCATAACATCTAGGGTGCTCGAATCGGCGATCGATGATGGGCGAGAAGTCGAGATTCGAGATACTCTACAACACCAAAAGAGAAGGAAAAAGTTCAATGCACTCACGATTATTGGTTGTAGCTCTGATGTCGGAGTTTAGCGCAAATAGCAAGCCCGCAGCCAGGGGTGGAGCTCCCATTAACCCCTGCTAGACAGCCAACACTCCCGCTGTATCTTATCACAACGAACCACTGAGAGCTCGCAGTTGGGACATGACCTGATCGACGTCACCTAGCGCCCCAGCTCACGATACCTTGAGAACCTAGAAACTTCCGGGCTGCTGGATGAACGTGGGCGACAATTGGCAGGCCCATAAAGTTCTCTTTTATTTGTATCCGGAAGCTCTTCTCTGATTAGTATTGTGAGGCAATTCTAGACACCAATACTGCTCTCAATTCTTACTTGATAGCTCCAAGTTGATCTTTCTATAAACACTGGCCGTTGTTGACCATGACAACCCTCACCCCCCGCGCTCCGTATACGGAGGAAGAGCTCAAGCAACTGTATCCGTCTGACCTCAAACTTCAGTTTGTCCAGATTCTTCTACGACATGGCGAGCGCTCGCCCGTCTCTGCTCGCTTTTCCAATGCCGGCCTTCCCGCCTTTTGGCCTTACTGCAACGCAGTGCGGCATATGCGCAATGCCGTCTTGGATGGCTCGTTCACGTCACCGCAATTCACCACATTGGAGTGGAAGCGCCGCCTCGAGGCATTCGGGCCCAACGACGAGCCCGTGATAGCCTCGGGTCCTGGTGGCGAGCTCGACGCCATTTGCGACATGGGCATGCTCACCGACAAGGGAAGGGAAACGACATTCAACCTGGGTTCTCGCCTACGCCGCCTCTACGTGGACCAATTGGGCTTCCTGCCCTCGACCATCAACGATGCCGACAGCCTATACCTCCGCGCCACACCGATCCCCAGAGCTCTAGAGTCTTTGCAGGAGACTTTTCTCGGCTTGTATCCTGCCGGCACCCGCGCGCCAAACTTTCCTGCCCCAACCATTCTCACGCGGTCCATTGCCGATGAGACCCTTTTCCCAAACGACAGCAATTGCCGCCGATTCGCTGCCCTATCGCGTGCTTTTGCACAACGGGCGGCTGATAGATGGAATACGACCGACGAGATGGAATATCTGAACAAGTTGTACGGAAAGTGGATGCCCGAGGCCAGCCCACGAGTTGCTGTAGATGGAAAGCCCAGGCTCAGCGGAATCATGGATACGGTCAACAGCACATTGGCACATGGCCCAGAGACCAGGCTGCCCAAGGAGTTTTATGACAAAAAGGGACTGGCAATTGTCGAAAAGATTGGCGTAGAGGAGTGGTTTGCCGGCTACAAGGAAAGCCAAGAATACCGCATGCTGGGCATTGGAGGGCTCATGGGCGACGTCGTTTCAAGAATGGTAGGATCGGCTGAGCGAAGCACTGCTGACGGCGAGTACGAGGTTGCACAGAATCTGAATGTTGGCGGAGTCAAGGCTGGAAAGGGTGCAACGCCTATACGCTTTGGCATGAGCGGCTGCCATGATACAACGTTGGCTGCGGTCCTGGCAAGCATGGGCACCTTTGACACTGACAAGTGGCCTCCATACACGAGCCACATTGCAATTGAAATGTTCCGGAAAGCTGATCTCCCTACGCCTGCTACCACGAAACCAACGATCCCACCCGCGGAATCCTCGGCGCAAAAGTCTGGCTGGCTCAGCAGTTTCGGTTCCGTCTTTGGATTTGGATCCTCCACGAAGCCGGGGCTGCCACCACCAGGAATCGGCCGCAAGAAGACGGAAGAGTTGGCTGCAGATGAGCGAGCCCAGTTGGACGGCTACTATGTCAGACTTCGCTACAATGATCAAGTCATGAAGGTCCCCGGTTGCAAACCAGCAGGCAAACATCTTGATGGCGACGACAGCTTTTGCACATTGGTATGTTGATAATCATTTCCTTCATCTTGGCGACACATATCACTAACACAGACTGCAGGAGGCATTCAAGGCTATTGTCGACAAGTTTGTGCCGCAGGATTGGAGGGGACAGTGCAGAGCCAGTGCTGACAAGCCTACATTCCCAAGCAAGCCCGAGCCTGCTGGATATTGATCGTCCAGATAGTATATACGCAAAGATGGATTGCTGTGACCACCATGGTCTATTTATAGATGACAGCTCAGCAGCAGAGCCGATAAAACTGTATATATCCATATCTTGGTATAAAGAACTTTTGGGCGTTTATTAGCGCCTTTGCTGTTCAAAACAACATGCTTTTGCTATTACCACCAGTTTGATGCGCCGTACGTCAAGTGAGCAATAGTTCCTAGTATATCTGAAGTTTATGACGACTTCGTGGTTCCTCGGACTTTATCAGCGTCGTCTAATTGCATCAAGCACAACTCGGGCGCAAAGATGGCGGTCACATGGTCATTGAAGCACATATTTCTTGGGGAAAAAAAAAAGACCCGAGGTGTCACACGCATTGTTACACTCTCACAGCATTTCCCTGGATGACACCCGCCTCCAGCCGCAGATGACAGCAATACACAGACCCGAGCAACTGGATATTGCACCATTGCACAGAAAAATACAGAGAAATGGAAATTGTGAAAACCCCTCCCAAGACAAAACTATCTTGTAAATAGTTTTTGTAGTGGTAGCTCAATAGCGCGCCAGTTTGCAGAGAAATAGCCGGAGCGTTGAGCCGGCGATTTTAGAAAGGCACTTGTACGATGGTATGAAAAGTCCGCTTGTCCAATCGGCTTGTTTTCTCTGTCCTCCCATCTAATGCTCATCTAGGATGGCATTCCAGTGTCTTGGGTACCTGTCAAAATGGTTGTTCTCGAGAAACGTTTGACTTGCAGATCCAATCTGAGAGCACGTGACAGTTACATTTACAATTTAGGGCGGACAATTACAAAACAGTCCCGATATGGAAAGTAATATTCACCCAAGGCTAGCCGACAGTGTTGAAGATAAAAAAAGAATTCATGACAAAACGAAGCTGTCGGCAGGATGGGCCGGGTATAAGTGCGTAGTATACAGTATCCCATACCGTGCCTACTTTGTACAACGGATGGTGTGCTCAATTGCATTACGCATCTCGGGTACCTTGCCGTAGTAAAGTTAATTTGTGCACACAAGTAGGTACCTCCCTTTGGGAAAGCTCGCGCCCGCCAGGGTCTTGTGGAGATGACAAGGGCAGCCTTTTGGGTAAAGGGGGTTCGGCAGGGGCATCAAGGGATCTTCTCACCAACCTGGACTTTTGAGGTGAGAATGTCAGTTAACCTTTTGCAATGCCAAAGATGAATGCTATTACGTCTGTAATGTGAAACTATTCAACTGACCACTGCATGATCATGGTACATGATTGTGACGAGTATTCAAGCAAAGAATAATGGACAATGGCTGTGTGATCCTGTCCAACTTGCTCACCTTGCCAGTGGATAATGAGCGCCGGAGGAGAACACTATGCACGTGGGGCTAGATTAATGCGTGTTAAAGCCAGTTGGTCTCTTTGAGCCTCAAAAGTCTGAGCTTTTTTCGTGCGTCTGAGCTTTTTATTTTTACGAACGACGATCTGATGTCCACTGGCCAACTCCAGAAGCATCAAAGTTGCCATCAGTCCATCTTTGACGCAGGGCGTCTTGCATTCGGGGGTGTGAGTTTGTCGCCCAGAATAGACCCTGACCCCACTCGCCCGACACACACACCAGACCATTCAATCTATGGCTTGATGGGTTACATTGAATCGGATTGGCAACTTGCGAATCGATAGCTTGCACGGAGAGCCTCAAAAGAGGAAGAGAGTTGGTGAAGAAAAGGAAGAGAATGGCTGCTTGATACAGTGCGATCCAAATCTGGCAATGGACTGTATAAGAGCGGCACCGGCCCAGGTTGACAGCCAACTTAGCACAAAGCTAGAGATCCGAAGCCAGGTGCCAGGTACGCTAGGAGAGGAGAACCCCGCGAAAGGGGTTCAATCATGGACGAATGGATAATGCTGCGCCTGGCTGTGCAGGTTTGAGAATAATGATCTTGTATATCGTATCATGGACAAGACCCTTTTTCGGCAAAGGCAACGTCTGCAATTGTTCCTTTTGATCTAGGTCACCATGTTTGGCATGACTCGCTTATGTTGTTCTTCCAAAAAAGAGGTTCTGGACCAGGTGTCTTGTCTGGTGGATGGGCAAGCTTCCAGAAATACGCAAGCGTCCCCGGGGGCGTCGTACACACGATAGTGGATGGCAGTGGCTGCCAAATGTTTCATCCGGGCATAGCGCTCTCCAGGAACGATGGCAGCGGCTGGCCCGTGTTCGTTCCACGCGACCAGGGAGCCGTGTTGCAGAGGCTAGATTCTCGAGGACCTGGCATCAATGGATACTTTATGGATATGGATGACATGTAATTGACGAGACTTGGTCAAACGGTCAACTGAAGTTGACGGGCTTGGCTCGTCTTGACTTTTTTTGTTGAGAGATGGAGGAGGCCTCACACGTGAACAGGCTCAGTACATTTCTTGTTGCAATGGTCGATCGATCAATTATTCTGCTACAATGGCGGTGGGAACAGTTCACAAATAATGGCCAGCTTAAAGTATATAGGTATCCACGAGCCTGAATACGTTGGTACTAGTAGAGAGTGTAATGTTAAGCGAAATATATTGTGTTTCTTAGGCGACGTAAGTGTGTAGTTTGCCTTTTGACTAAAAATGCTTGGGCACTTCTTTTATTGAATCTGGTGAGACGCGAGCTGCTTAGCAATAATACCCATCCATCACACAGAAAATGGCAGGTATAGCAGGTACGTTGCATCGCTGAGAGAGCGGGCTGCCAGCTCGGGTACTGCATACCACTACATATTACCACTGTACATACAGTGAACCCCCTATTTGGCCATGGCACTAAATAGAGCGACCAAATGAATGGACATGCACGCGCCAACGGTGATTGGTCCGCTGCTTGTGAACTTGAAGATCTGGGCTCTTTTCCTCGGAGCTCAATATTGTATCCATGCATATAACAGTTCCTGGACAACATGTGCTCGCAAGCTACAGCTGTGTACAAAGTAGTCCCATTACCATCGTGTAAAGAGTCAAGAGACGGCATCACAATAGCTCACTTGAAAGAGAACTTGTTAATTGCCTCAGATCTGTGCCTGAGCAAGTATTGTACCTGCTTCATAGGCCAGTACCTAGGTTAGGTTGTACATGTGCATCCACGACCGTTGACAGTGCAAGTCAAGACTTTATTCAATTTGCCGTTGAGTTGGAGCTGCTGCATGTCAAAAGAATGGAGAGACCTCGGGACCCTTAAGCTCCAGCCAGCACCCGAATGCTTGAGCTTGAGCTCTGCTGTAGCCTTTTGTCTCCATATCTAGCATTCATTCACTTACAGCGAGGCAAAATAGCATGCAAGGAGTTACACATTATGGCAATGGCACCCTGGCCGTCAGCAGGCTGCGCTTCTTTTCTCCATGATCAACTCCCTTCCTCAATAGGTTCAATACTTGAGTAGCCCACCGCCGATCCGTTCTACCTAGAGACGGCAATCCTAGAACCGCGTGGTGATAGAATGCAATTGACTGCAGGAGAGAGTAGTATTCCATGTAGATAGATACATGTGTGGCTGCAGGTACAGCGAGAGTGCCCCCCCTTCACCCTCGCCCACCAAGTTCATACCTATACATTGTACATATGCACCCATCACCTGTTAGATGAGATACTCGTGTGCGTGCGTGTGTTGGACACGGTCTAAACAGCACAGCAGGTCCCCTGCCGCTAAAAGAACACGCTACAATGGGGATTGATCCCTGAATGGACTCATTAAACTTAGCGCGGCCAGCTCGGGCAGTCTTGCGCCAAACCACCCCGGTTCTTCGCTCCAGTGGCCCTTGCCGTATTCGTGCTGGCGCCTCTCCTTCAGGGCCCTTTTCGCTTGCCTCTCCTCCTGAACGGTGATCGGGTCCTGACCTTCTGGGGCCCGTCGCTGGCTCCTGGTTGATCACCTTTACCAAAAGACCCCATCTCCAATCTCCCCTTCTTCCCTTCTCTTCGTCTCCTTCCTTTGCCTCCACCTTTTCGCTCTCCTCTCCCTCACGCTCGCTCGCTCTCTTGCTTCTGACCTGCTCTTCAATCTCCTCTGGTCATTCGATCCTTTTTCTCCCGACCAACCACAGGTCTCCGCTTTTTAGATCTTTCTCCATCTTCCGTCTTTTTTTTTTCCTTGCCTACACTCGTTCACTATATTTTCGTAATATCCTTACATATTTACGGTACGGCTTCGAGCTTACTCATCTTGTCCCGCCAGCGACGACGACGACGATTTGACTTGCCTCCTGGCTGCTGGAGAACGGAGCTCTGGCCGAGAAGGAAATATATTTCGTTGACCACTCCTTCTTCCACCCCCTGGTCTTCGACTTTTTTTTTTGTGCGCAGCTTCTCCGAGACACAAGGGGCGCCTTGTTGTTTGTCCAGCTTCTCGACGCTCGTTCACGGCCGTCCCTCTACGCGCTCACTTTCTTTGGGAGGAAGTCAAAGTCGCTTCGTCCACCTTTGTTTGACGTGGCTCGAATTGGACGACTATATCCTAGACCTACCGTTTCTCCAAGGGTCAAAGAAACCTTGATCAGTTCCCCTCGACCACAGGCAATATTCATTCGTCTCTTTCGAACCAATTCAACCCATCTTTTTGGGTAGTTCTCCTGGTTCGATACAGTGTATACTCTGTTCGGCATCTTTAGCGAGCGGTCCTGTTTTACAATCTTCAAGCTTGACGGCACCTAATCTCTTGCCATTCAATACAGTGGATTTCGACCTGTTGCACTTGGTCAATATCCCTATACTTTTTTTACTGATCGCCAATTTCAGTAATTCTTTCAAAAAACCCACTTGAGATACCCCCTGACCTCGAGTTTGGCCGCCATTTTTGGACAAATTCGAGCTTCTACCATTTGTTCGGTCAGCCTAGAGCAGCTTTTATAATATTACCGGCCTTGCTTGATTGTAAATCTGCCAACCGCTTTGGTTTGCGCATTTCAATTCGGTCGCCAGCTTGTTCAATTGTTATTCGTGCCTTATTCCGGGCACGATAATTCTTTCCAAAACGGCGGTTTTATCTCACGTATCGAGGGACAGCCTTGTCCCTCCTCATCTACTCGGGATGCAGGACCTTTCAGTCTCTGGGATCCCTACCGGGCCCTCTCAGGGCTCTGGTGGCCGCTTTGGTCATTCTTCCAAGCCTTCCAACAGCGATACTGGTTTCTCTCACGGTGCCTTTACTTCCAACATTTCTGGATTCGCCGATAGACACCCTCGCCGCGGTAACATTCCCTCGATTAATACTCAGTCGATGAACCAGCAGCCTCCTGCTCCGACCAATGCTCAGGATATGACCACTCCTGGCACTGGTTTTGATATGCAGTTCACCCCTCTGCTTCCTTCTCAATTGCTCCTTGGTAGCCCGTTCCAGCCTGGTACTCCTGCTTTTGCCAACAACCAGTTCCAGAACCTGAATGGGTACCAGCAAGGTCAGCACGGCGGTCAGCACCAGAACAATGGCATGGGCAGCCCAGTCCAGCAGCCCATGTCTCCCCAGCAGTACCAGGCCATTGTCTCTCCTTCGACCTACGGCGCACCCCAGTTCTTTGCCCCTCAGTCTCCTACCGGTGCCTTTAGCAACATGGGCGGGCAGATGCAGATGCAGCCTACCTCGCCTGTCCAGATGAGCCCTACTGCCATGGTCACTGGAACTAGCAGAACCGTTTACCTTGGTAACATTCCGCCTGACACGTCTGCTGAGGAGATCCTGGGCCACGTTCGTAGCGGGCAGATTGAGTCCGTCCGCCTTCTCCCCGACAAGAACTGCGCTTTCATCTCTTTCCTCGACGCCAATGCTGCTACTCACTTTCACTCTGATGCCATCTTGAAAAAGCTCTGCATCAAGGGCCAGGATATCAAGATTGGCTGGGGCAAGCCCTCTCAGGTCCCGACCTCGGTTGCCCTTGCTGTCCAGCAGTCTGGCGCCTCTCGCAATGTCTATCTCGGTAACCTTCCCGAAGAGATCACCGACGAGGAGCTGCGCGAGGACCTAGGAAAGTTTGGAGCCATTGACACGATCAAGATTGTCCGGGAAAAGAACATTGCCTTTATCCACTTCTTGTCTGTTGCTAATGCCATGAAGGCAGTTCAGCAGCTGCCTCAGGAGCCCAAGTGGCAGTCTCCCCGCCGAGTATACTATGGCAAGGATCGGTGCGCCTATGTCTCCAAGACGCAACAGCAGAATGCTGCGCAATACCTGGGCATCAATCCCGGTTATGCTCACATGCTTACTGGTGCAGACCGCGAGGTCATCTCCAGCGCCCTTGCTCAGCAGTCTGTTGCTGCGGCGGCTGTTGCTACCACGGCCGGCGGCATCAACAACCTCGGCAACCGAACCATCTACCTTGGCAATATTCACCCAGAGACCACCATTGAGGAGATTTGCAATGTTGTTCGCGGTGGTCTGCTGCACCACATCCGTTACATCCCCGACAAGCACATTTGCTTCGTTACCTTTATCGATCCGACTGCGGCCGCTTCGTTCTATGCTCTGAGTAACCTTCAAGGTCTCATGATTCACAACCGCCGCCTGAAGATTGGTTGGGGAAAGCACTCTGGCCCGTTGCCTCCTGCTATTGCTCTGGCCGTCAGTGGTGGTGCTTCGCGAAACGTCTATATTGGCAACCTCGATGATACTTGGACAGAGGAGCGCCTGAGACAAGATTTCTCCGAGTTTGGTGAGATTGAACTGGTCAACACTCTGCGCGAAAAGAGCTGCGCCTTTGTCAACTTTACCAACATTGCCAACGCCATCAAGGCTATTGAGGCCATCCGAAGCAAGGAGGAGTACAGAAAGTTCAAGGTCAACTTTGGCAAGGACCGTTGTGGCAACCAGCCCCGACAGCTTCAGCAGAACCAGAGCCAGTCCCCTCGTGACGGTGCTTCCCCGCCGCCCAACGGTGGCTCTAACGGAGTCTCCCCCACCGGCGCCACTTCGCCTCAGTCCGCTGGCAGTGGTTCAAACATGTTTGGCCAAGGAAACAACCCGTTGACCATGTACCTGAGCCAAGTTTCTCAGCAAGCTCAACAGCAACAACACCAGCAGCACAACATTTTGAGCTCCCAGCAGGCTGCTCTTTTCGGTACTGCTGCCTCGTCGCCAAATGAGCTTTCTTTGGACATTCCTCAGCAAAGCCACTTGGGCCACGGCCAATCGGCAAGCATCTCCAACGGCTATGCTGGGTCCAATGGCACCCCTACCGCAACCACTATTGGTGGCCTGCTGGCTCCAGGACCCCGTGGATCTCACAACCGTGCTGTGAGTCTGCCCGTCTTCAACCCTGGCTTTGACAACGGCGGCAACAGCCCTGTCAGCGCCATTGGACACCCCGAAGGCGAGCGCAGAGGTCACCAATACCAGTCGAGTTTCGGCGGTATGGGCTCCGGCTTTGGCCTGGCCATTCAAGGTGGCCTGAACGGCTGGGTCGAGGAGGAGGTTGCCAACTAGGAAAATTGTGCATGAGATGGGCCAGGGAAAGACTAATATGTTGTAATTATCGTGTTGATTTCCGCTACTGGGTTCTTTCGGTTCCGTTGGTCCGGTGCGTTGTTTTTATATGATGTTTTGTAAAAACACTTGGCTCGTCTATTCCCTGGTCTGCTCATTTTCAGTTTGAGGTGGCATATAAGTTATGAAGCAAGGATCTACAGAAATAATGTCCCCACGATTTAGTAGTTGTGGTTGTATGTGGTTGACTTGGGGAGGTTGGCATATATTCCACCTTTGGCAAGTACACATGAGAGATGGATGTCTGCAATTATTGCACGGTTATGGAGTATAATAAATGATATGAAACGTGCCTTGTAGCATCCCATTTATGGCGATAAGTGATGTGGATTGAATAGTGATAACAAGGTGAAGCTTGAGATTCTAGTGAGATTTTCTTCTTTTGCAAGGAAATTGTATTGGTCTCGGTTTATTGTGACTGTCTCTGTTGATATCAGTAATCTAGCAGCCATGGCTGAGTTGATGTACACTCTGCCTCACAAACGATCTCATTACGGTGAGTGCGCTGACGAAAGAAACGAAGAACACTCATATTGACAAGCCCAAAGAGTTACATTACGAGGCCGCTTATCGGCCCCTGTGTAGATTTCAACCCGATTGAGTTTCTTATTTGCGTAGTATCTGGGAAAATGACTCTTCCATGACTGATGCTGATGATACCCATGAGACAGATATGAAGCTTGGCTCGGGCCTCGCACAGCACCTATCTGCACTGCACATCACCGCAGTTCGGCGGCCCAAGCCTCGAGATTAGGGTGAGTCACTCGCAGCCAATCAATCCACTATCAACAGAAGCGATTTGGTAACTATGAAAGCACCCCACCATTCTATTCATCCATCCCACTTGTCTGTCCCTCCTCCGATTCAATCACTGCACATTTCTACTGTTTTGCCCCGCAACACCACAAAAAAAGTGTCATTGCCGACCAAACATACAGAGCAATAGGCGGCTACTCGACCTCGTCAACACACTTCAAGTCAAACAGTTGGGCATAGAATCGCACCGCGACCATGGCCGCAGTTCAAGACCTGGCCGAGCGCGTCAAGGACGCCGTTGTCGGCGGTGAAACCGTCTACATTGACACTGACGCTGTACGAATGCCACCCTACAGAACTTGACGTTGTACTTTGGTCCAATGGCCGCCACTGACACCACATCCACCATAGGGCGCCGACGACGAGACTGCCGATGGCACCGAGGCCAAGCCTTACAAGTCTCTCCCCCACGCCTATATTCAGAACATTGACAAGCCCACACCGAAATACCAGATCCGCGCCTCGGTGACTGGTCCCGTGGCCGAGGGTGAGGACCCCTCTGTGCGCCTGCAGTGGAAGGACCCCGCCAAGAGCGCCGTCAAAAAGGCCGACAGTGCCGTGACTGCGCACAAGAAGAAGCTCCAGAAGCAGGCGCAGGCCGCTGCCGAGGAGGAGAAGCAAAAGCAGGCCCGTCTGGCCAACCTCGAGGAGGCCAAGAAGATTGTCCTCAAGGAGGACTCGTCTCTGCCTAAGGCTGTCAAGATCAAAATTGGCCGCAAGGATATTGAGTTGGGTGAGGGCGACAAGAAGGGCACAAGAGTCAAGGTGCTCGGTCGCATCCACCGTTTGAGAGCGCAGAAGCAGGCTACCTTTATTACCCTGGTGGACGGATACGGCCACCTGCAGTGTGTTCTCCAGGCCGGCGACCTGACCAAGACCTATGATGCTCTGACCTTTGCTCAGGGTACTTCCCTGGCTCTGTACGGTGAGATGCGCAAGCTGCCCGAGGGAGCCACCGCCCCCGATGGAAGAGAGTTGCTCGTCGACTACTACGAGGTTTTGGGTGCTTCGCCCAGCGACCAAGATGCCATTACCAACCGGGTGTCGTCGCAGCAGAACCAGTGGGACCCGCAAATGCTGGATCAGCGCCACCTCGTGCTGCGTGGAGACAATGCTTCTTCTCTCATGAAGATCAGAGCTGCCGTCGAGCGTGCTTTCCAAAAGGTCTACGACGACCTCGAGCTGACCAAGGTCTCGCCTCCTGCTCTTGTCCAGACTCAGGTCGAGGGTGGTGCTACTCTTTTCAGCGCCCCTTACTACGACGAGACTGCCTACCTCACTCAGTCGTCTCAGCTCTACCTCGAGACTGTGCTGCCCAGTCTGGGAGACGTCTACTGTATCGAAAAGTCTTTCCGTGCCGAGAAGTCATTGACTCGTCGCCACTTGTCCGAGTACACCCACGTCGAGGCTGAGCTGGACTACATAGAGTTTACCGACCTCCTTGACCACTTGGAGGAGGTCATTTGCCGCGTCATTGATATAGTGCTCGACAACCCCACCATTGCCGGTTACCTCAAGGAGCTCAACCCTACTTTCCAGAAGCCTTCGCGCCCCTTCATGCGCATGAAGTACACTGACGCCATTGACTGGCTCAACGCCCAGGATCCTCCCATTCCCAACGAGGAGGGCAACCCCCACGTCTTTGGTGACGATATTGCAGAGGCCGCCGAGCGCAAGATGACTGACGCCATCAACCGACCCATCTTCCTTACCCACTTCCCCGTCGAGATCAAGGCCTTTTACATGAAGAAGGACCCCGCCGACCTGCGGGTGACTGAGAGTGTGGACTGCTTGATGCCCGGTGTTGGTGAGATCGTTGGTGGATCCATGAGAATGGAGGGCTACGATGAGCTGCTCGAGGCATACAAGAAGCAGGGCATTGACTCCAAGGACTATTACTGGTACACTGACCAGAGAAAGTGAGTTCTTTTAATCCCAGTGAATTATCTTTATAGCCAACTAACCAATATCCTCTAGGTATGGAACTTCTCCTCACGGTGGATACGGTCTCGGACTCGAGCGTTTCCTTGCCTGGATAGCCAACCAGCACACTGTCCGGACAACTTGCTTGTACCCTCGCTTCATGGGTCGTTGCAAGCCTTAGATGGAATACATTTGCTAAAGTGGCTCTACAATAGTATAGTGCTTACTTTCATGAATAGACAATAAATAGATGCCAAGATCTGCCTAATTGACATGGTCGTGTATTTGTGTATTGAAAGTCAGATCTGTATGATCGAGGGACGGAGAAAAAGTAAAGTGCGTTTCGCGTTTCAGGTACTCTGAAATGTAAATTGCATCGTTCTCGATCAATATCCGATGAATGCCACTTTTCTTCATCGAAATGATCCATTCTGAACAGATGAGATGGATCATGCCAAAGCAAAGGAATGAATTTTTGACGTTGTGGTTGGTCCATGTTTGATGAATGGTAATTCTCGATATGATTATGCTGATTCTTGGGTATGACAGTGCCCCTCAAAATAATTGCAGTTTACTTCAAAGATGTAAAACAGTAAATACCCGTGTCGCTTCTACGTTTTTCCCTCCATGCGTCACTTGCTTCCCTTGTTCTAACAAGATAGCCTATTCTGGTTCACGGCAAGTCTGTCTCTCTTCACGAGCTACAATACTGCCCGACGGAAAGAAAGTGCAGGGTCATAGAGGCCCTGATAAAGATGACGAAGGCTCAATCCACTCGATGCTGCTGCTAATAATCCGGGAAACACAAGACCCTGTTTCATGTCTGGCTCTTCATCCTCATGAGTCAGACCCATTTTGAGAAATAGTACACGTCGGAGAATATTTGGATACCTAAGGTACAACGACGGTGCGTGACGCAATATTAATTGTAGCCACTTTCCAGTGTCTTGTCTTTTAAAAATTGCACAATATTCAAAAACAGACAATCGGTCCGTAGCCATGAATGGTATCTGGACGATAGAATCCAGGTTTCCGAAGAGTTGAGAAGGGTGTTCGAGTAGAAGCTCCGTCATGTGTCGCAGCATCGCATCCGTGATATCTGAAGAAGGAATCGCCGTTGCGACCCTGACAATTGGAAGGTCCATTTGCTCCCAGAAGACTTCAGGAGCAGGCCCGACATCAAGGGCCATTGGGGTTGGCCTCCATCCACTTGATTGCGGTCCTGTAAAGTCCATATGGGTGGTATACGCGATGTATTTTTTTAACATGCGTGGTCGGTCGGTTCGATCCTTAGCAAGACGCTGACCTAAAGCTGCCATGGTGACTAGCCTCTCCGAATTGACGTCCCTATCCCGAAATCTTGGGTAATATAGGTTCTGACAGAACAGCATCACATCCGAGAAGAGACTTTTGCTGCAACGATTCAAAGCCATAACAGCTCGTATCGCCTTTTGCAGACGTTTTCTGACTGGTATTATATTCAAGTTTGCTGATTCTTGAATAGCAGGTTGTCTTGAAGTAGCGGATTGGCCTTGGTGCACCGTACTGACCGCTTCAATCAGTGTCTTGCGCATCGACTCTGGCGATGGAGCAACAGTGGCTTGTCTTTCTCCGTGTGAGGTGGAGTTGTCAAAATATTCATCGACAGAAAGATCTTCACCCTGAAGTCCGGCAATAATTTTGACCATCTTTCTCCTGTCTGGTTCATTCATGAAGAAGTATAGTACTTCATGCGGCCGATTGATATCAAAACCATCAAAAAGGCTCTCAATCAAGTAAGTCGACGTCCAACGGCCGATATAGCTATCATTCAAGCGACCCCGAGTATCCCAATCACGCTCGCATTCTCGAAAGTACGAGAAGACGTCTTTCGCAACTTCAGACAGACAAGTATGTGGTGTCCTGTTCTCGAGACAGGCGAAAGTTATCAAGTAATGACCAGATGGGATCAATAATCGAGGCCCTCCGTATGTAGGTTCTGGCAGTCCTCTTATACCGGCTCGAACAAAATCCTGGACTGTTTGATGGATGAATTGTACCGAAGAGATTGTGCCAGGTTGCTGTTGATCAAGACTGTAGCCTGGTGTGGGAGAGATGGTGATCTCCTCTATCAGTCCTCCAGAGCGACTGGCTAGCCACGCCAATGTCCGCTGCGAAGCTTCAAAATCCCATGGAGGGTGTTGGTCGATGCATATTTGTGTAATCACGTACAACTCAGAGAGTGTAAGTGCCTTCTGACTACTATACAGAACTTTCAAGGCCACCTCGAGTTCTTTCCAGTAGTCTTCTGGGATTCGTGTGACAGTATACTCGTACATATCTTTGAGTTCCTGGGGGTACTCCAGGACCTTTGTCCTGAGTACTTCGATTGAGGTTCCATCGATGATGTGGCGACGTAAGTTGTCCACCACCACTCTGACCCAGACGAACACCCCATTAGCTCTTCCTGTGATCTCGCTCACCAGCAGGGACTCGCTTTGATGTGCGACTGGAAGTCTCAAACTTTGCAATGGCTCATCTAGAAGGGCAGAAGCATACGATCGGATGTCATTCGTTGTGAATTCGTGTATGGCAAGTGACGGTATTCGTTGATTCTCCCCCAATTCTCTTTGAAACAGCGTCCATGACCTGCTGGCCAGGCATATCTTCAATAGCGGTGATTGTGAATTCTTCGCCGTCGACTCATACTCGGCAGATAGTCGCTTGATGAGCGACATCATGGTTTCATTTTCATGCTGATTTTCATTCTCGTCCAGAGCATCGATAAAGAGAAACACTCGATCTCGGGTTGTCTTGGATCTCGAGACGAGGTTTGGTATTTGCAAGAAACCCTCAGCCAGGCTGTCCAAGTCCCATTCGCGAGGGACCAACATTCTCACCCTTCGTTTGTAGATTGGGCCAATTTGTGCATAGAAGTGAGGGAACTGGTGAAGTAGTTGATATAGGAGCTCCTTCAGCATCCCCTTGAGACTCTTCTGTGTCGTCGACTTTCCACGAAGATGGAAAAAATATGCCAATGGGCTCCCAGTGGACTCTGGCAAAAGCTCAACGGTGCGCCTATCTTCGAGTGCAAATCGCATCAGCGTGGATTTCCCTGAGCCTGGTCGGCCTGTAATCCAGAAAACCGGGCTGAATTGATTGGTATCATCTTGTAGCCATTTGGTAAAAGGTACCTGTTCCGTGAATAGCCACTCGAAGCTACTCGAGTTTGTCTGGGACACCTGGTGAACCCCTTGGACTCGGAGTCGTGCATCTGCATCATCAAGGGTTTTCAGGCACTCTATTGATATACTTAGTCGACAATCTTAAAGCTATTCATTGGTACACACACCTTTGTATTCTTCTGATTCCGAGAAATTGTCTGCGAAACAACTTGATTAATTATTCTGGTCCATGCTCGGGAGATCTCACTGACTGACTTTGGGGATCGCGTTCTATGTCCCTGACCCAACCCTTCAAGACATTGTTGACCTTTACGAAACCATCATCTTGAGTGCTAGAATATTTGGCAATCTGCCTATGATCTCCTGAGATGCTGCCCCAATCTTCTTTGATGTGTCTAATCCTGGCAGAGTCTGCTGGTACAATCTGCATGCCGACGACGCCAAATCGGACCTGTTTTTCCTCGCAAAAGGACCACATTCGCAACACGTTGGTCTTTTCCAAGGTTTCGCAAAATTCCGTCGACAGCTGGTCAAGTGGTTCAGAGTTTCTCTCAAGGGCCGTTAACAGTTTGATATTCGCACTCTGGAAGGCGATTTTCTTGCTGAGGCGGAATGCCGTGCGACCATACATTGCAGCACTTGATCCATGATGGGGCGTTCCCAGAAATATGATGCCACGAGTATATCCCAGGGTTCGATTTTTCCTCGCATCAGTACTAGTGGCAGATTGATTAAGAGCCTGCAAATGTTAACATGGTTCTAACCACGGGAATCTGCTGGAATATTACCTGCTTGACGACAAGACCTCCTAGACTATGGGCAACAAAGATTATTGGAAGCGGCTAAATGATTAGCTTGATTCTCTGCAAGACTAATACATATAAAACATACCTCTGGAGTCTGTTCGAGTAAATCCGAGGTTGCATTCAGCAGGTTTCGGGCATGTTGATACAGACTGTTCAGACCAGCCGCCCCCATGATCCTTCCAATATCCGCATCGTACCCAAAGGTGAATATGCGCACATTATTGATGGACCGAGGTAAGAGATCGCGAGGCCAAAAGACTTGCTGGGCAGCCTTTGCATCCCCAGGGCCTTGATTTGTGGATGAGCCATCGGGGGCCTGTGCCGGCGATTGTGCATCAGAACGGGGTCTCTTTGCGGAGAAGGACTTCCACGGCCCTCCAAAGAGACCGTGGACAAAACAGATGCTCGAATTCGTCAGATTGCATGGCTCAGCACATATAGTCGGGACACTTACTTGGCAACCGCCTCAACTCCCTCTGGAGGCAAGTACACTTCTTGCAGACCGATATTCATTGTCGACAAATGTCATTGTAGTGGCAAGAAGGAGAAAAAGACGCGAAAGAAAAATTCTCGACTTGACATCAGGCTCTGCTCAGCCTCATGGGAACCCCCAACCCCTTACCTCTACTTTCAGGGCGGCGCGGGGTCACTTACATGGACGCGTCCTATAGGTGCGTGTCACCACACGAGCTGCAGGAAATACAAATTAGTTCACGTGATTAGATGAATCTGGCGACCTGGGCTTCCTTATCCGTGCCGTACCCCAGCTGACCTGGCGCCTCTTTTTGGCAATGTAAGCGGTATATTTTTCAGAGGTCTGCAGAGATGCAATTTCTCCATAGTATCCAGTAGAATATCAATAGGCGTATGACCAACGCTCTGACACGTGTGGTTCTTTCGTCTCCTCTTTATCGTCTCCAGACCATTAGACACCTTTATTGCCTCGACTAGAGCATCTGTCTGGTGCTAGGTCGCCTATAAAATGTATATTCACAAACCAATCAACCGCGAGAAGGCAGAAATACGACTGGCCAGATTCATCAAAGACAATGAAAACAACATTGAAAACAAAGAACAGCGGATCGCTCTCGAGATCCGACCGGCATCTTTAGAAGATGAAACTGTCCGATATGCAGCTCTATCGTATGTATGGGGAGACACCCAGACAGGATGAGTGGACATTGACATCGACGGTTCTCCCTTTTTCATTACTCGGAATCTTTACACGGGATTAAAGAGTATCTCGCAGATCGCCGACCACAATGACCCTCCTTGGCTCTGGGCTGATGCCATTTGCATCGATCAATCTAATCAGAACGAGCGGACATGGCAAGTTGCTCAGATGCACGATATTTATAAACGCGCCGACCCCGTCTTCATGTTGCTTGGCTCCAGTTCTGAAAACACTGACCGAGCCATGGAGTTCATTGCCAGTGTAGGCCCGCGGGCTGTTGCTTCTGGCATACTTGCAAGCCCATCATGGCTATCTGAACAACAAGTAGGAGATTTTCACGACTTGGTCACGGCACGGTTGCAGTCGCCAACACAGGACATCAAACAAGACGGGATACGAGATTCTGATCTTCTGCAACTCATGTATGAATTGATTCATGATGAACGGTTGTATACATCAACAATCCCGGGAGAGGCTGTCTGTGCCGGCATAGCGGAGCTTCTTCGAAAGGAGTATTGGCATCGTATTTGGATCATCCAAGAAGTGACGTTGGCGAGAAACCCTATCCTCGTTTGTGGCAACCAGAGCATATCTATGTATCTTTTGGATGCAATCGTATACGCCATACGTCATTGCTTAAGAACGGTCTCACGATCCTGGCGCCAGGATTCTGAAGAAATTTGGGCGAAGTTTCAATATTTTGCGTGGAACATCAGCGGAACGGAATTCGAGGTCTTACCACTGACCATACGCCGTCAATATGGCAACAAACCGGTTCACTTGGTCGATATACTAGTACAGAAGGGTGTAGCGCCTTATCGGCCGTGGTACTCTGCATCTGATCCCCGAGATCTTGTATTCGCTCTGCTTGGAATCGTTTCTGATGGCACCCACCTTGGCTTGAAAGTTGACTATAGCTGCACAATTGCCGACGTCTTTACCAGCCTTACCCGAGCTTTCGTGGATGACGGACAGGGTCCATCTTTTGACTTGGATGAGTGCGTTCCGAGGGCGGACGAGGATAATTTACCCTCCTGGGTACCCGACTGGACACAAATCGGCCAGGGAGGATTACTGGTGTACCCTATCAACCACTATCGAGAATTTCGAGCTACCCGTGGTGTTCGTGTACCCCAAGATGATTCTGACCTTCAATCACCCATCTTGCGCCGCTCTGGATGCTATGTTGACGTGATCACGGAGGTAATGGAACCGCCAACATGGATCCGAGCAGACGATTATTCGCCATCGTATCTACCGGATGTCAAAGGTTGGTTTGAATCCATTATCAAATTCACTAAATTAGGTCCAGATTCTGGTCCAGGGGAGGACTACATTTGGCGCACTGTTATGACGAGTCGAAGACATGATCGAGAGAGGACTTCTTGGCAAATGGATCCACCTGGCGGCGATGCCATCTCCGAGTTTATTCGCAAGGTCTTTCGCCACGAATCGATTGATGCTGATGACCTTACCCCAGAGGTGGCCCAATATGTCTCTGAGGGGATCTATTACTTTAGGAAGGATGAACCGCAATCCAAGTCTCTCAAAACGAGGCTGGCGTATATCATGAGGGAATGGCCGATGGTTATTGGAACGATTTGTCGTGAAAGGACACTCTTCAAGACAGCCAAAGACATGCTGGGACTCGGCCATGTGGCCATCAAACCCGGCGATCATGTGACGCTTGTATGGGGCGTAGACTCTCCCATTATTCTACGACCCCGGAACGGCCGTGATACGAGTGAGGGCTTTAGATTTCTAGGAGACGCCTATGTCGACGGAATCATGCAGGGCGAGTATCTCGAGAACAATCCGCCACATGAGATTTTCGACATTATGTAAGTGTTGGGATTGCGTTGATACGTCATTGAAGATGTCTCGAGGAGGAAGAAACGGCTATGTTGGAATTGGACAACGTTCGACACGAGTACAATCGAGCCACCGAGTGTCATGAAACCACCTGAATCCTCATCCCCTCATTCTTTTTTTTAATCTAAATAGAGGCCACCACTCGCTCGATCTTGCGAATCGCCGATTACCATAAGATAATAAATAAATGGTCATGTTACCATTCAAGATAAGTGAACATGTAGTGCCATATTGAGGAGATGACCATGATTCTATTCCCAGTCTAGATGTTCATATGGAATTCCAAATTCGTGCCAAGCTTATGCCTCTTCGGCCTGGTCTGTAGCCTTTGTTTCCTTCTTCTTAATGTTGATCCAGCCCATACCAAACGATGATATCAAGCCGACCAAGGAGCACGCAACGAGCAGATAAAACACCTTGCTAATGGCCAGCGAGTATGCCAGAAGCACACCGTCGAGCTCGTCGCTTCCAGCCGGGACAAGTGCACGCACGGCGTCAGCACTGGCACCCGCAGCCAGAGCCGCTACGGACGAGACAGAGGGTGCATAAGTTGCGAGCTCGGATACCAGTTCGTTTGTGAAGATGACTGATCCCACAACAACCAAGACGGCGCCCGAGAAGTTTTGACAAAATATCAAAAAGGCCACGCCAACGGGGATCTGGTGAGCAGTGAGCACGTTTTGCACTGCTATCAAGCTCTAGCACGCCATGGATGTTAGTAAAATCGAGTTAGGACCCAACACGAGGGCTGAGCAGGATGAAAAACTTACCATTTGCATACCGAATCCCCTACCAAATCCTAAGAGAACCTGGGTACCTGCCCAGTACGCCGTAGCCGTCCATGGTCTATAAGTCGACACGAGACCATTTCCAATAGCACTGATGCTGCCGCTTGCCACCGAGAATGGAAGATAGTATCCTACCCGCTGCACAAGCGCTCCAGAGATTAGAACAGCGAAAAGCTGACCTAGAATGCTGGGCAGCATGTCGACACCGCTCATGGCCGGTCCCTCTCCCCTCACACCCTGGAAATACAGGGGCATGTACTGTGCCGCGGTCAGAATGATGCCCATCAAGGCCATGCCGTTGATGGTGCTGGTCCAAACGACGCGTTGCTTGACTACGGCTCCGGGAATCATGGCGCGGTCGCCCGCGCGGCGCTCCCAGAATGCAAAGATGACGGCAGTCACACCGGCGCCGACAAATAGGCCAATGACCACCGAACTATTCCATGGGTAATTATTACCTCCCCACTGCAGTGCCAGGAGAAACATGATGGATGCGGGTGCAAAGAGACTGAAGCCAATCAGGTCGAGCTCGGGGATCGTCTTGCGGACCAAGGCCAGGGTAAAGGGTGGTTTGACTGTGAGATCAGGTATGCTCAAGAATACCAGGATGAGACCAAGGGCACCTCCAATGGGAAGATTTATGTAGAAGCCTATATAAAGTGTGAGCCTTTTCATTCTGAAGCGAGAGGAAATTTTCTCTACTGACACCATCGCCAAGTGACATATTCTGTAAAAGCGCCTCCAATCAAGGGCCCGCAAATGATGCCCATTTGGCCGACGCCTAGGAGCAATCCAGTATAGACTGTTACCGGATGTCAGTCGTCTTCCTCTAAATATCATCGTGAACAAGTTAGAGTTTGCTTACAGGCCCGCTTCTCAAGAGGGACGGCGCCTGCGACAATGGTCAGGCCACCGTTCATGAGGCCCGAGCTACCGAGACCGGCAATGGCTCGACCGCCTATAAACATGGAAGACGAATTGGCCAGACCGCATATGAGAGACCCGACTTCGAATAAGAACAGGAAGATGAGATATGTCCACTACAAGAAGATTAGTCTCACATAGATGTCTGTAGACAAGATGATTGCGACGCACTTTTGCTTTGAAAAAGGTGTAGAATTTTCCCGTCAAGGGTTGTAACGATGCACTAGAAGAAAGATTAATAAATTTCAATCGTGGTGTCATAGATCAAGGGATAATGTTACCTAGCTAATTGATATGCTGCTGTATACCATCCAATATCTGAGAGAGACTTGAATTCGCTCGTAATGTAGGGAATGGCCTGTGCTTGTCAGCTCCCAGATTCTTGACCGTAGTCAGCCCTCTCGATACTCACGGTGGAAATAATACTCGTATCGAGTCCCATGACAAAGCAAGTAAGTGCTACACTGCACATGACGACGAGCAATTTGACCCCGGTAACATACTCCTTGTTTTCGTCTCCTGCGGACTCGTTATTGGTCGGCTCGTCTGGTTGTTCTTTTTTCTTTTTTACCACGTCCTTTTCGTGGGATGGAGCATGCGACTGTGTATCCGTTTCATCGTCTTGCGTCCTGGCCGTTGTGGGCGGCGCCACGGTGGTGGCAGATTCGAGGCTCTGGACCCTTGTCAGGGTCGAGTCGTTGTCCATGATTGAGCGGTTGTCCATGATTTATCTGTTGGTGTTTGTATGTGTATGTGTGTGTAGTAATCAATTCAAGATTTTATCCTTGACCCCTCAAAACATGGGAAAGGAAATAGAGAGAAAGAGTCTCGTCTGTCTCTCCTCGAGACCCCCGCTCTGTACACTTTTGTTGTTGTTCGTAAAAGAAGACTGAGACAATCAATCAATCGTGTACGACCCGGCCCCGGGCAGCCACCTCTTCTTCAATCCTCCCTACGTCCTTGACGGTGCTTACGCCGGAGAAGAATCCGAATTCCGCAAGTTCCACTTTGAATCCTTCGGCACGGCCCCAAGGCACCACCATCCCATGGCTCAGTGGAATTGGATGGCAAAGACTCCATACCTATTTTGGGAGCTTAGACGAGTCGAGTCGGTCTCCGGAGGGGTGGGTGATCCAAACATTGCATGGTCACAATGGAGCACCATCTACAGACAATTTTCCTTTTTCGAGTATTACTATGTAATGTTGCACTGACGTAGTCAGTACCCATGGCAGATCACCTGCTCGGGGTATACTAGATGGCTCTTTAGCACCTCTCTTTGGTAGATTGTAGGATCAGCTCAGACATTTTCACTGCCCCTTGGATCACATCTTCCCCTCCACACATTGGCTCAGGTGGGAACTGAATGTGCATGTCCTTGTCAAATGATTATCCATGTCCATATTTCCATAGCAATGTTATGTAAGTAAAATAAATCATGATGCAAATCTATCTCTGAACGCCCTACTTGCAAAGCCATTTCTATACCATGTACCCACAATGCCCATTCTACAGTCCCGGTGCACCTCCCCACGAGGTAAACATGTCTGCAAGCCACAAGTCGTCTGTGAAATCCATCAACATGGGATCAACAGCCTCTGGATTTGTCCCCATGGTAGACGCAGTAAGATTGCTGTTGTTATGCGTTGCCGTGACGGCGCCTACTTGTTCCAGAGTAGCAGCCCACGCAGGAATCGTCGACCTTAGGGACATTGCAGCCTTTGTGAAGATGTCATCCTCGGAAGCGTCCATGCCGGCTCTGGCCACAATGTGCATCCTGTCAAAGAGCTTGGCCGTCTCTTCAAGATAGTATATCACGTCGGCCGTTTGTCTGGCGGCAGCACGGTCCCAGCCTGGATCGTCGAGCAGGGCGAGACGGTACAGGGCTTGCGTACAGTGCGCGAATTCAATCTATTTCATCGCAATGTTAGTAATATGATGAGGGAGCTAGATGGCGAATATCACTCTCGTTTCGATTAACAATATGTTTCACTGATACTTACCAAACCCCAAAATGGTAGACCAATGTATTCGGCCGCGTCCAGAGCCATGAAGCAGTCCAAAAAGTTCTTGCATGAATCTATACATGCGTGCAAGTATTCTCGCCGCTTAAAGTCTAATGGCTTGAACGGTTGCGTCGACGTTTGCTGGAAAATGGCTGGTTCGTAAATGACTATTTCGGTGCTGTGTATGTGGAGCTTGACGAGAGCTGCAAATATTTAGTTTACTGTGAAATCGGCATTGGCGGCCGGCGCTCTACTCACGATTTTGCAAGATATCTGTTGTTACTGTGCTCTTGACCTGCTGTAATGATGCCAGCAGTGCTTTAATGTGGAACATTGTTGCAGTGGCTTCCGAATCCTCGGACCTGGTTGTGAGTTGGGTGCTTTCATCTGCAATGGCGGATATACGGATGAGAGTAACCAGTATTCTGTCATTGGCTGCCTCTGACACCTCCCACAGATGATCCATGTATTTCTCCATGTGTGGCTTCCATCGGACAGCCTCATATTTCATATACGTCGATCCACTAGAAGAAAGGTGAGTTGATTTGGACTCTCTCCACATGCCTCGATATCAAGGGCGCTTACAGGGTCGTAGTAAAGTAGCAGCCTAGGACTGCACGCCTCTCCTCATTCGTGCGAACCTTGCTACTGGCGGCTTGGCCAGGCCGGGGAAAGGGGTATTGCTTGAAACAGCTCAGATTCGGATTCGAGAGCACGTCCTCTCGCGATTTTCTGTCAAGACGGAGGTCCGACACCAATGCCGAAGCCATGCCGCAAAATGCACACATGAAGGGCCTCCCGACCAACCAGTGGACAGTCCTATCATCCAGTGATTAGTGTAAGTTTTTATGTTATTTCAGTGGGAAGCATTCAATATCTCATACCATCCCATGTACGCCAATATACCCAAGAGAAGATCAATGCTTCTCTCACACTCGACCTGTCCGATATCAGTACGGCTGCTTTTCTTTTTGTGGCCCAAAAACAAAGCTCTTCTGTCATTCTGCAACAGAAAAGACGTTTAAAATTCCAAGAAACATACCATTATTTGATTTGATAAAACTTCCCGGGCTAGTTTTCCAAGTTCGTGTTGCTCTGTCGAAGATTTTGTACACAGCGCCCTGATTACCAACCAGAGAAACGGACGTTCATGCTGTACTTCCTGAGCCGTGGCCGAAGGAGGAATGTACAGAAACGGGTTATTCTTCATGAAAACCGTTCGAAATTGATGCAACATGGCCTCTGCCATGGTCGGAGAAAGCTCAGCCATCCGAGATGAAGGTGTCAATGGATCACATGCCGAATTGACCGTGGTTGCTGGCGTCACCGCCATCTCTTGCCAGTTTGGATTGCTGGTGCTGGCAACGGGATGAGATGTTGTATCACCATACGCTCTCGGTACGGCTTCTGGCTTTCGTGGCACGTCTTTGCTCCAGTTTCTGGGTATCCATGGATGTCGGCCATCCGTTTCGGAGGCTGCTTCTGCTGGAGCAGCCTCTTGGACCTTTTGAGCATTGTGTGACTGGAGCAACGCGACTAGATCTTCCAGTCTGTCTTCAAGCCTTGCTCTTTTGGAGGAGGAGGAAGACGGCGTCGCCTTGGGAGCCTGCCGTTTCCGGACAGCGACAGATGGTGTACATTCTTTCTGAAGGCGATGACATCTATATTGTGTAAGTTGCAAGGCGTTTTGGACAAGTTTATCAGGGAAATATTTCTGATTTGGTGTGGTCTACTGTAGTAAACATTTCGGGTGCGTATTTGGATTCTCTGAACTACAAAATTGGGGCCATTCGCATTATACTTTGGATCTCGTGTCCAAGTGAATACATGGTGGCCTGATAGCCTCCACGTACGCTTATCGTGACCAAACTTGGATCATTATATCGATATAAAGAAGCCTCTGACATACCTTTCACAGCTTCCTACTGCACGTGGAATGCATCGAGTCTTGGCCTTTGAGCAACCAGTACAAGCATGACCATAAGGTGCGGATGTGGAGCTTTTGCTATGCTCCATGCTGCTCTGACGAAATCCCGAACAGGGTAAGTGGTGGTGGTTACATGGAGTAAGTTAGGGGTTCAAAGCCGAGCGGGTGGCGACCAACCCTCAATCCCGACAATTTGTAAAGTGACGATGTATGCCAATAGTTCGGATTTGATCGATCGAACCACTGAAAGGCCATGTGTAATCTTGCGGGAATGGGAATTGGAAGATCAAAGCAATACCCAAGGGAAGGGAGGGCCAGCTTGGCGGATTTTGCTTGCTAATATCTGAATTCCGAATCAAGACGGATTTCGTGGCGGAGTAGTTGAATTCCGCCGGAGCTACGACGGAGTTTAGTGTCAAATCCTCAGTATCGTCTGGCACTTGTCATGATCTTCATCTTCAAGCAGTAGCGCAAAAGTCAATTTATAATACTCATCCAGATGACATTAAATGGAAACAGCTTCTAGACCATGGATTATATCGAGTTCCTATACTAGTGGCATTCAACCTTGAAGGATGTCATCAACTAGCAAAACGGTCTTGGATAAGTTTTGTTTCTAGAAATATATCCTTGGCTTGCCCATACATCTTGAACAAGTCTCCGCTGATAGACATGCCTCTATACTTGTAAGCAACATACTCCAAGGTATATAAAGAATTGTGAGATTGCTCTGTATGAAGTACTGCCTAATGAGCATGGCAGTGTCTTTGAAAGTGACAGACAGGTATTTATTCTCAATCTGTAATGGACAAGCTGCGATTCCAATCACAAATCCTGAAAGCAATGAGCATACCAAGTTTATAAGTACTGATACCCCAATAGAAAGACAGGGACAACATATCAAGTCAATAAGTCCAACTAGACGGATGGCCTGTCGAGTTCCATGCACCATGTGCCGTACAGTATATTTGGTACCCGAGCCCGGGATAGCGGTAAATGACGTAGGTTCCACCAGTGAGCTTTAGCGCATTGAAGATTATACAGCTCCGCCATCGCTTTCAGCACCCGCCCCAGAAAAAAAAATTCCCGAAAGGGGGACGAATTGTCAAGGAAACTCACGATAGCTTCAGATCGTGGATAGAGTGAGTGGGCCTCTGTTTGCTTAACACTCGTCTTGCTCTACGTCTTCCTTCTTGCTCTCAAAGAAAAACCTCGACACACGAGTCCAGCACAATGGCACCCTCTCGGGCCATGCAGCCTCTACAGGCTCTGCGCCAACTCTCGCGGGCAACGGCGGCCACGATAACGACTCCTAGGGCCGCCTGCCTCTACTATTCGACCAAGCGGACCGTCGATCTGGCATTTGACCACCACGCCCCCGAGGCGGGCCGGGAGACGCGCGGGGCCACGTCGGCGCCCATCATCTTCATGCACGGGCTGTTTGGCAGCCGCAAGAACAACCGGACGGTATCCAAGGTGCTGGCGCGGGAGCTGGGCCGGCACGTGTACGCCGTCGACCTGCGCAACCACGGCGACTCGCCGCACGTGGCCGAGCACAACTACAGCGCCATGGCCGACGACGTCGTCGACTTTATCGGCCGCCACGGCCTCGAGGACCCGACGCTCATTGGGCACAGCATGGGGGCAAAGTGCGCCATGGCCCTGGCCCTGGCCGAGCCGCGCCTGGTGCGCGACATCGTGAGCGTCGATAATGCGCCCCTCGATGCGCAGCTCGGCAGCGACTTTGGAAAGTACATTCAGGGCATGAAGCGCATCGACGCCGCCGGCGTGACCAAGCAGAGCGAGGCAGACAAGATTCTGGCAGAGTACGAAAAGGATCTTCCCGTGCGCCAGTTCCTGCTCGGCAACCTGCACCGGCCGCAAGGGTCGACGCAGCAAAAGTTCAAGGTGCCGCTGGGCATTATTTCCAAGGAGCTCGACAACATGGGAGATTTCCCCTTCAAGGACCCCGAGCAGGTCCGGTTTGAGAAGCCGGCGCTGTTTGTCCGCGGCACCAAGAGCAAGTACGTGCCCGACGAGGCGATTCCGCTAATCGGCCGTTTCTTCCCCCGGTTCCAAATGGTCGACATTGATGCTGGGCACTGGGTCATTTCCGAGAAGCCCGAGCCATTTCTGAAAGGTGTGTCTTGAAACTCTCTCTTCATATTATATACAAGTCACTGACACGATCATGTAGCTGTGATTGAGTTTCTGACGCCAAAGGAATAATCATAATAGGGTGTAGAGCTACGGATACGGATACCACAATTTATAGAGAGATACCCAACCATAGACATGGAAGAAACATAGACGCTCGCGCGGGTCCCAGGGATATCAGCCGCGATGAACAAAAACAAAAGTCGTATACACTCATGGCTCTCGAAACCCAAGATCCTTCATGTGCTTCGTAGCTATTCGTCATCCTTCTAGCGCTTGCCGAGTTTCCATCTTGCTCAGCAAGGGCAAGCAGAGGAGTAGTCGGAACCGAGATTGCCAATACTCAGGGTGCCGTTATTTGCATTGGGCGGCTTAATCAGCTCTGGCTTCTGGGCAATACGATCCACCACCTCGATAAACGGCCGGCGGACATTTTCTCTCGTCTTGCTGCTGACTTCACAGAAACCTGCCCCCTGAGCATCGGCGTAGGCTTGGCCTTGTTCTTGGGAAATGACACGGCCACCGGAGGCGTCCTTGTCTAGTTTGCTTCCAACCTACAACATGTTTGCATTAGTCTATCACGGCTATAGTATATCGACGAGAGCAAAGGTTATGAGAGAAGGAAGAGCAACGTACAATGTACAGTACAGCATCTGGGTTGGCATTATTTCTCGCCTCTTCGATCCACTTGTCCATGGCCGCAAAACTGGATCGACTCGAAATGTCATAGACAATGATTACACCATGAGCACCTCTATAGTAACTGGTGGACAAGGTGCGAAAGCGTTCTTGGCCAGCCTTGTCATCAAGTCAGTGACTTTACTCAAAACAAGTTCTTGAACAGAGACGACCCACCGTATCAAAGACATTTAATCTGTACGCTTTACCTCTAACTGATAATCTCTTGGTCTAGATGGAAAAATGAGCAAATACGTTCAAGGAAATCAAAAGTACTGCAGTGTATTGCCTCACCTTGAAGTCTATCCCTATGGTAGCCGTAGAAGTATCCGGGTCAAAGGTATCCTCACAGTACCTCATCAATACTATAACATGTCAATCTCGTCAGTCACAAAAAGGCTATTATTCCAAACATGGTCCGGGCAGTGGCAAAGCTCGTGGTGGCGCATGATAGACTAGATAGAACAACCACTTACAAGCGCTCTTGCCGGCGCCCGACGGCCCAATGATGAGGACCTTGAGCACGGGCAACGCCTCGTCCGACGAGGCCATGATGCGCGTTGTCGTGGGCGTCGGAACGCCGATAAGAATAGCTGAAAACGGAAAAGAGGGTCTGTATGTTGAACAGCAGGCGCAGTCTTTTGGGTCCGTATCATGTGAGATTATAGAGAGAAGCTTTGTCGAAAAGAAAAATCGGGTATAGTTTTGTTTAGGGTGGTAGGAGGCTGAGTTGAAAAGCAAAGACGTTTTCTCGTCTTGTTCGTCCGCCTTGTTTCTTTCCCGTTGCCTACTAGGTATGCGCCGAACAACGGTGTGGGAGCGCTAAATGCTTCTGCAAAGGGTCTTTCTCTCCTCCCTCCACACACACACACACACACACACACCACCCCCCAGTAAGCTTCTCTGTTTTTAGCTGGTGCCCAAGATCTTTGGGGAATCCCTTCCTCGAAAATTGCCGCCTAATGTTGATGAAACACCCAAATCCTATTTAAATACTTTGGCGTCGAGACGAGAAAATGTTATGCATAAATTCTCCCAACAAGGTCTTGTCACCTTGGTGACGTTGAGATTCAGTCATGGGTCTTGTTGGTGCTTAACGCGTGATCCGCGGCCGATAAGGCTGACCGTCTCTGTGCGTGTCTCCATACCCCATGGACATGATCCAGCGAATAGAATACATAATTTTGCTGTACAACGACCCAGTCAGTGATATGACGATACAGTGATAAGATACACCACGACGTCAGAGCAAAACTCGGGACACACGAGGTCGTCATTACTGGGCAGTATAAAAGTCGGACTGGAACAATATTTGACATGGAACACACAGCTGGTCGTGCAAAAGAGACGAATATTTCACGTCTCTAGGTCGTGATATTTACCAACTTGGACACCAACAAATTCAAATGTCATCACGTCTTCATGTTACAGGAATACATGGTAGAATATTTTCAATTTTACCACCCTAAAACCACACCATTAGATCTTTCGGTCATATTCCCAAGATTTATATCGAGGGCAAGGTGGTATTTGGTATCCACAGGCGTCATGGCATTCACCGTAAAAAGAGGCTCGAGGTCATGATCTCATAAAGCAGACTTTCCCATTTTTTTTTCTCTTTCATGAGAGGCCGCTTTAAATCTCGCGGCTTACCCATAGCCACGCCAAATGCAAGCAGAAGTGAGACCTAATATGCCATTGCGGGAAAAACCACACGCCGTTCCATGTCCAGAGTACTCATTCTCATTGTCGCATTTAGACCTCCTCAAGCACCCGCTCCTTGAACTCCCGCTCAATCTTCTGGCCGTCCTCGTTTGTAGTCGACTCGCCGTGCAGGGCCAGGAGGCCACCGAGGTCGAACTTGGGCGACTTCAGGAGCTTGACCTTGCGGATGTGGACCTAATCAACATTGTTAGCAAGAGAGCAGAGACAAAAGACCAATAGTTGTAGGGGGTTTCCGGGATACGCACGTTCTGGAGGGGGTAGATGCCCTGGGTGGCCTTCTCGATCTCGCGACCAATAACCTCAGGGATGAGCTTGGAAACAAACTGCTGGAGAGTGCAGCTGGCAGCCTCACGCTGGATGATCTCAACCATCTTCTTGCGGATGGCACGGATCTGAGATGATGCAGCGTAGGTGGTCTTGCGGATCTGGTTGGGGCGGCGCTTGGTGAAAGCAATGGCAAAGAGGCGGAGGAGGTAGTCGTCAGAGGTCTTGATGGTGATGTTGGCCTCAATCAGGGATTGCCACTTGCGGACGAGCGATCGCAGCTTGTCAGAGGTGAAGTCGAGACCGTGGAAGTTGGTCAGGCAGTTCTTGCCCTGGACCTCGTCGACACGGAGCTTGATCTTGCGGAAGGAGTGGTCCTCGTCCTTCTGGAGATCGGCCAGAGAGACCTCGACGATGCGGCCCTTCAGAGCATCGTTGGCGTTCTTGAGACCGGTGGTTCTGTTGACCAGGGTCTTACCGACACTAGAAAGAAATGTTAGAAACGAGTTCTGCGCGTGAATATCCCCCAAGTCGGGTATTGTAGAGGCGGTCATACTCTCGGATGTTGAAAGGGGCCGGTGCCTATGTAATCGAGTTAGCTCTCATGCCCCGATTGAAAAGTCATGTCCACGACCTCGTGGAAACTAGAATCTTGACGCACCTTCAGGGAGTACCAGTCCTTGCGGGCGAAGGGGTCCTGGGTCTTCTTCTTGAGACCCTTCTTGCCCTTGGACAATCTCTTGTTCCTATTTGATGCCAGTAATTAGCATCCGAATTTTTTTTTGTTCCAATCCGAGCACCACAAGACGACAAAGGAACGGCGGGCGAAGATATCAACGGCGGTTTGCGATTCGTGCAGGCTCGAGACTGTGATTGCGTCCTATAACTTTCGAGGTCGCGAGATCGGCCAAAGGCGCCATCGAGGTGAATGGAGTGTTTTTTTCTTCCCGCCGTCCAGTGTCTGTGCAAATGTGCTGAAAAAAGCAATCGTGTACTCACTTTCCAACAGCCATGATTGCGAGCAGTCGAGTAGCCGCGCAATATCTGGAAAAGTCGAGATGGTTGAGGAAAGCCGGTTGGTGGTGGTTGACTTTTCGAAGGAGGGTCAAGTCAAATCTCAAGGCCAAGTCGAAATTGTGAATTTTCTTGGGGCGGGCGGCTCTGTGGGCTAGGCTTAGGTGAACTAGAATTAATCAGGGCCGGGGTTTAGCCGCACGTGCCAGTCAACAACTTTTTTATTTTGCGTCCACAGAAGTGACGGAGGTGCCAGATTCTGCCAGCTGCCAGCCAGCCAGGGCCCATTCGACCAAGAGAAATCTGCCCAGCATTGTGCTGCCTCTGTGCACTAACATTGCTAGTACCCTCCTGTACCTTTGCCTCTTTTGAAAATAGCCAATGACGACAGGATGCTTCCAAAATGGTTGAAGATCTCTGAATGATCGACTGCGGCTCTTCTCAAAAGTCTCAACTTGCAAGATATCCTTGTCCGAGTTCCGGCTTGATGCATTAGGCCTTCCTTTTTGTCGGTGCTCTAGTCGGATCTGTTCCATTCAGGACGACTATAGCTTGTTGGCGTCATTTTATGATCAAGGACGATAAACACCACACAGTATCGTCAGTGACGTCGCTCAGCACTAGTAGAATCGTTCAAATACCCGAAGTACGCCAATATGACACTTAATCGGAAATATCTATCAAGTGGTTAATGGCAGCCGGGACATCAAATCATGCAAAGCATATGCAGACGAGCCGAGTTGAAAAGGTATTGTATCATATTTTCTTTTTTCTTTTTTTGGTGTTAAATATGTTATACTATTTATGCCTAATATTGTGACTGGAAAATTGGCCAAATTTATATGGTCACTAGGACTTGTAATGACGGCCATAGGATGGATGGTCATGCTGATGTGTGGCCCTTTTCTTCTCTTTCAATCGCCAGGATATGTCATCCTGAACTGTTGTGCTGCTCAGAGCCACTTCCAGATTCCATCACATAGTGATATTATATCCTTGGCATGTTGCGCTGCGCATGTGCAGTCTTGTTGCGCAGCAACTTTCATGCTTCCTCCTTGTGTATACCAAAAGTCAAAGTTGAAGCTGGTATCTTTGAATCCTTGAGAGGCTCGACGGCCGCATGTGTTGAACGCCGTGAGCTATGCAAAAAAACGCTTCCCAAAAAAAGTCCCAAACTCCAAGCCATGATGTGTCGCTAATAAAAAGGCGCCGCCGAATTATCGTCCGTTGTTGTTGTTGTTGTTATGGTCGCCAGGAGCATCGACAAGTTTCGCCGTCTCTCGCCTCTCGCATCACGAGCAAAAGCTTCAAGTGAAGACGGAAAAAAGTATGTATACTTTGGTGGCGAGTGACTCGGGGAATTAAAACAAATAAAAGTGTTGTGTGTGTGCGTGTGTGGTGTGACAAGTATACAATATCAGTCATTGATATGCATGGGCTCAAGGCATTTCCTTGCCATCCTCTTGTTGCTCAGCATCCCAAGCATCAAAGTTTGGAAAGCTAAAATAGCATGCGGAATCTATACAAGTATGGTCAGTATATGTGAATGATATTAAAGGTAGGTAGTCTTGAGGAGGCACGTCATTGTAGGACTTACATGGGCTAATATTGCTCCGCAAAAGTTCCCTCTTCTCAGCCTCTGTAAGCCCCGCCGCCTCAAAGTCCGAAGAGGCAAAACTCCGAGTCGAGTTTGGTGATGAGCTCAGTACGGCAGCGTTGGAGACGGCTACACGGCTCAGGATTTCCGTGGCTCGCCTGCTAGAGTTGGGACTCGCCGTGACTCCTCGGTAGGCGCTCGACGTTGTAATGGAAGGCTCTGTAGCGCAAGCCCGGAGTAGTTGAGGTCGCCGCCTGCTGCTGCTTCTGGCACTCGGCCTGGGTGATGATTCTCTCCGCGTAAGCTGACGCGAGTCTCTTAATGAAGACATTGTATTATATAGATGTGTATGTCTGTCAAGGTGTTTGTTGTTTTGTGTGTGACCAAGTTTAGTTGGAAAGAGTGTCTTCTTTTAAAGTGACAGCTCTTGGCGCTTTTTGCTCTCACACAAGTGGCGATACGAGAGTTTGATAGGCTTTGTGTTTTTTAAGACCTGCTTGTGGCTATTTCCGAGACAAAGTTTTGTTGGACAGCGAGAGATATTAAACTCAAAAGCTCAATCAAAAGTGATGGCAAGAAAGAAGATAGTGAGGAAAGTCATCAGTGTGCGTCCAAGGCTGCCATGGCCCAAGGTTTATGAACGAGGGTTTAAGGTATGGACGGTCGGCCGGTACGTAGTGTCTGTCTTGTCATCCATCCCATCCCATACCATCCCATCCTTGGTATCCGGAGACCACCCCGCTAACCACCAGGAGCAAGCGGCGGCCAGGTACCCGCCCCAAAGAGGCGCCAGCGACAACCATTTGGCACCTCATTGATACCCATACCTCTCCGGTGCAGCACTAACAAACGTACCACGACCTCTCGAGACAAGACTGTTCTCGGAGCAGGACATGGCATGGTGCCACATGGCAATATCCAATAAACGGACGGGCGACGGAAGGGGTGTGGGAATGGGGCCCTTGGCCCAGGGGGTAATTCCCAATAGAGCCAAGCAGGCGAGGCACCCCAAGGGCACCTCTGAGCTGTCGTGTACAATCTTGTGTGGTGGGCATCCGGCATGTCGGGCGTACATACATACATTACACACATAAACATGGGTAGTAGGTTACAGAGTACCTGCCTACATTACCTTGGCTGGCTGGTGCTGCTGGTAGCGTACCAAATTATGTACATTATAATTTATTATTCACCCATTGATCAACACCCCCTACCTGATACCACCACCACTGACCACCCCATCTCCGGTACACTTAGCATCAGGTTCCTGGGCTGGACGCTGTTCTGTCCAATGTCTTTCCTGTTGCTTGGTGTTACAGAGCATTGTTGGTCCTTGGTCCAGATCCGGGGCCCAGTCGCATTGTCTTGTCTCTCTTGCCCTGCTGACGGGTGTGACGACGACGTTGAAGGGGAACGGCGGCCTTGCATATTTTTTCTCTTCCTTCCCTCTTCCCTTCCCCCCTCGCTGCCCAACCCACTTGCTTTGTATACGGTACCCATTCAGAAAAAAGAGGCGGCAACCCCCGCAAGGGAATGGAATGGCGAACTTCCATTGAAGGGTTCGAGGCAATGGGGTGGGGCAAAAATTGAACACACGGTAAAAAAGAAAGATCTCGGCCGTCTTGGACTCTTCTCATCAGCCAACTAGTCCGTCTTTTCTGTACCATGGTAACTTGAATTGTCCTAGGTAATAGGTAATCAGCAACAATGGTGACGGGGAACATGGACTTTGGGCCCCGGTCTCTCGTGGCCAAACTGGGCAAAAAGAGGGCAACAAGAACGCTAGAGGTAGAGAGAGGCCCGAGTGGCCGTCTGTGTTTTTTCTTGACATTTGATCGCGGGCGGGCAGCAATCCATAAACAAGGTCATGCTTCCGTCCGTCCACTCTCACTTCATCCATTGCCCGTTGGTGAATCCATGATGCCATCATCGTCGACCCCGTTTCCCGTGACCCGTCCACGACAACAGTTGTTGGGGTCCTAGCTTTTTCTCGGGCTCCCCTTTTTCGTCTCGATTCCTTCCTTTGCTTCTTCCATTGCTTCTACGACAGCATGTTTCCTTGTCATGATCCTTGGAAAACGGAGAGGGGCAAGGAAGCTATACACTATACACCTGCAGCCGAAGCTCCATCACTGCGCGTTCACTTCGGTTCTACCTACACTAGGTCGAAAAGCACGGGTCTTTATTAACACATGGCCCCGGAAAGGGCAGAGAGGGCTGACCATTTTGACTGAATACTGCTTAGCGAACTGGCACCGACTACACAGGATTAGCTCCAGTACCGTCCCAGTTGGAGACATCACGGACTCTCTTCCGCGCCCACCGCCTCTACGGACAGTACTTGCATGACAGTATTAGTGGCCAGAAGCAGTAACAGCAAGCAAACACCTTTTTTCCCTCTTGCTCTGGAGCATTCATCCATCATCCAGCAGCAGCAGCAGCGGCAGCAAGGCCCTGACGCTTGTCTTGTTCTGTTCTGGTTTCTAGAATTTCCTCGAAGGCCTAATGTCGGTCAGGAACCAGACAAAGAAGAAGCGGATCACGAAGCAGTTTCCAGCCTAGTCGCCATGGCCACAACGCACTTCAATGCCGTCTTTGGCCTGATCTCTCTTCTCGTGACCAAGTCAAGCCAGTCCACTATCATCCTTTGACTCCTTTTTTCTTCATGTCTTTTTTTTTTTTTTCCATCTTGTTCTCTCTGGGGCGGGCGGGGAGTGGAGGAAACGTTGGAGACCCGTTCCAATTCACAACACGAGCGCCGAACAGCAGACATGTCACCTTAGCACTGCTCACCGGTCCGTACGGTATTACATACTGAAAACGTATGCTACGTTGGTAGGCTCCTTTGTGTGTTGGGTGGGCATGCCGTCTGGCTGGCTGGCTGGCTGTAAGAAAAAGAACTGGTCGCTATTCGTTCCGTTGCTGCAGTCTCCGAGTCGCCGAACCAACGGGCGTCATTGCCGATTTGCCAGTGGTTATCGAGTCACGAGTAATACTCTACATCTGCTCCAATAACCGAGCGTATGACAGGTGTTTGCAGTCCATTTGCGACATTTTTTTTTTCTCCCTCTATTCCGTGACAGGCTCCGGCTCATCGCGTTCAGAGCGCTCGGCCTTGGCTTGCCCAGAGAGCCTATGTTCAGCTTTGCCTACCTACTGGCCTGTCTGCTTACTTACCGCAACTTATGCCCCATTGAAACCGATACATGGTGCAGCATAAGTGGACAGCTCACGACGCTTCAGCATGTCGTCCACCAATCAGACAATTCCCGGCCCAGAAATGGTAGGTAGTCTCTCTGTGTTTATCGGCCAAATGTGTCTCGTCGCGGGAGCCGAAGTGGCCGGACAATTCATTGGTCTTTGCATTCCGGTTATCGCAAGTCGTGGTGGTGGTGGCTGACTGTTGAGTGTTTTCTCTACCCTCTACATACGGTATCTACAGAGTGCGTGCATGCTCATAATACGCAGACACCTACTTGTTCCGCGCAGCACACTGGCGCACATGCATCTAGATTCTTGTCTCTGACTCTCTGTATCCTCAGTCACCCGTCGTTTCTTCGCGTCGTTGCTCATTGAGAACATGTCACTAGTGGTCGATGCTGCATTCTTGTTAGCAATTGTGCCACGTTCTCTTCCATCCTTTGCGCATGTGTCATGAATTCATGCGTGGCAGCAACTTACTCTTCCCACATACGGCCCTGGACGGCCTTCAGCTCATCCTCCGTCATGCGGTGACCCGTTGTGAAGTAGCCTGTATTTGCAGCCGTGGTCAGTGTATATGCACGTTTACTCGGTATGGGGCCCCCACGTGGAGTGAGGGCTCCCTGAATGTTGCAGTGTTCACATACCAGCAGTGATTTTGGCATCAATCTCAACCCGCGAGTCTTCAGGGATAAGTTCCTCCGGGAGCTCCACTCGCTCGTGAATCGGAATGCTGTGCCTGAATCAGAATACTTGTGACTTTTTTACTTTGGTTTTGACTGGGTCTGCATTCTTACCCTTGTCCAACAATGGCATCGTGCTTCATACTGTATCTTTGCTTAGCACACCGTCTTTCGTGTCAGAATTCATGACAGTAGAATGGACTTACTTGCTCATGCTCAGCATGCGGTCAATCTTCTTTATGCCAAGCCAGTGCAAAATATCCGGCATCAGAGCCTGGAATCTCATGTCCTTGACTCCAGCAATGTTTTCGGTTCTCTTGAAGTAATCCGAGGCACGGTCCTCGCCTCGTTTCCTGGCATTGTACACGACTAGTAAGGGTTAGCAAAGTTATAGTCCAAAGTTTCGAATCTATTTGGTAAATTCTGATTGGACGTACGGTACTATAATCCTGTCAGTAATAGCTTCATACAACGAGAAAAAAAAAAGATAAAAAAAAATCTTGGAATATAGAATAGCATACCTTTGTCACTTCACCAAGGGCTCTGCCCTCCTTGCGGAAATAGATCACGACACCGCTTCCGCCATTCTGTGCTTCCTTGACAGCTTCCTCGATACCAAAGATCAGATACGGTCTGCAGGTACAGATATCGGAACCGAAAACATCGCTACCGTTACATTCATCATGAATTCTGAGGGCTAGTCGGACTTTTTCATCAGACATCTTGGCAGGATCTCCGAAACAATACACGGTCAGTCCACCGATAGGCGGGAGGAAGACCTTGATGTCATTACGCGTAATCAGCTCCGGGTAACTACCGCCCGTGTGCTCAAAGAGGGAGCGGCGTAGAACACCCTCGTCAATGCCGAATCTCTCAGCGACTCCCGGCAAATACCACACGGGTTCCACGGCGAATTTGGTCACGGCCAGCTCACCAGACTTGTTTAAGCAAACCTTACCGTCCGGCACAAGGCGTCCGCTTCTTACGCTCTCCTCAAGTTCCGGGAGCTTCATGTGCGCCTTGGTAATAGCAATGGTTGGTCGAATGTCCACATTCTGTCCCTCAATGGTGTCCTTGAAGAGCCAAGGAGCCAAGTGACCCCAGGGATCCATGGCAACAATCTTCTTGGGGTCACCCCATTGCGGAAAGGGCCCAATACTGGCTGCAGGTTCGGTATTGGTAAAGTCGGGCCGGTGGTTGATATCCAGCTGCTTGCTAGCCAGTGCCAGGGCAAAGTAGATGCTGTAGGAGCCTCCATGGGCGCCAATGGCATTACGTCTGCCAATAGTAGATGAGGAACGTGAGACAACCACCGGACCTCTCTCTTGCGGTTCTTCTGCACCCCAGTTCAATGCCAGAGGGTCAATTCCAATCTGCTTGGGATAAGTTCTGGGTTGTCTGTCAGCGATTTGCCCGAGCATGGTGGATGTATTCGTAGGCTTACGTGAGAATGATTCTCGAGGTGAATCCCGACTTTTGTGCCTGGACCGCAGCATTCTCCTTCTCTGCAGAAGTGGCCGGAGAGCCCGGGGCAGGTATGGGACTTGCGCTGAGACCCAAGCCGTTGCTGGCACCGCTCTTTGACGATGTAGCTTTGGCCTGATCTTCAGGTGCAATCTGGTCGAGTCTCTTTGTTACATTTAGTAAGCCAGTGGACAGAACAGACTGGTTATCCTGGATTGCCCTCAACGCCTGGAGGACAGCTGACATTTCCTCGCTCGCCATTTTGAAGGATATATGACAGAGGTGGGACAGAATAGGATGACGAGTTGAAGCAAAGAGAGGAAATGATTTGTGTGATGATGTGTAGTAAATCAGACCCAAAATCCGTCGAGGCCTGACAACAACGACAACAAAAACAAAAGATAAAGGTAAAGTGGCGTCAATCGCCAGCTAATACACACAAGGGACGGGAGCAAAGCCAGGGAGCACGTGGCGAGCTACAAGCGAATAAGAGTTCACGCTTGCAGATGTCGGTCAACGTTGGTGAATAGCTCGAGACGTTGAGTAAAGCTGGAAGAAAAGGGAAAGGATGTCACGGTTTTAAAATACACAGGAGAGAGAAATGAGGTGTCACGGGACATGAAGCTAGGCCAAGCAAGCATGTAGGTTAGGTAGGTGATGGACAGGGCGAAGCAATAAGCTGGTCTACATGGATCGGAGGTTGGCGGTTACACCTAGAGGTAGGTACGGTAGGCACGGTAGGTACGGCAATGCAATGGCAGGCTTCCGACTCGTCCTGCCTCTCTAATCTAGATCAGATAGCTGCAAGAGAGAGCTCATGTTGACTAAGATGAACTCGCACGGGATCCTCGATAGAGAGATATGGATGACACCTGTATCAGCCGCCTGAATCCGTCGGGCTGAGCTAAGTTAGTTGTTGTCGCTAGGAACCCAGCATAATAATCATAATAGGTAGGGGTCCGGAGGCGATCACGAGGAACCCCTCATGTCGCGGGGAACTCCCCGGCGCCGCCTCGATGTTTGGTACTTGAGGATTCGACATTCAGTGACATTTGAGGACAGACTTGAGGTATTATTGTCATTTCTTAATAATGTATTCGTACAGATGGAACCAAAGAATGGCTGGAATGCAACATTGCAATAGAAGAAACTACTTTATTGGCTGGGTCATGTCTGTTCGGACCGGCCTATGGGGGAAAGTTCAGAGGCGTATCAATGTATCGGAGGGCTATACACTGAAAGTCGGTACTACCGCTGGACAACTTCGATAGTTGAATAGAGCTACCCCGCTATATCCACTTTTCACGATAGAGATCAATTGAGGTGATAAGCCGTTAAGGTTTGCCAAGTTACCTAACCTTGTGGCTGATAGTGGGGCGCTAGCCTTGTACCGGCGACGTCAACCTTGACTCAACTGCACCAAGGTTCACTGACGGAGGGCCTTGACGGTCGCAAGGCTTTGTTAGAATTCACGGCGGACCGAATCACGAACACTCAACCACAACTCAAACACTTACAATACACAAACACTGGACAAGAAATTTTCAATCACGACGACTTTCTAAACACCGAAAAAGCATTTCCATCCCGACTGCTTTCCATTGCCAAAAGAGGAAAAAAAATTTCAACAGTGAAGCGACAGTCGAATCCACCAGTTGCGACGACGGGCAGATCATTCGTCGCATCGCAAACATAACCCAGCCAAAGGCTTCATTCACATTCCGACCACAAGATGGGCAAGCGCAAGTCCTCGAGCAAGCCGCAAGGCCCCAAGAAGCGCGCGCCGCTTGCGACAACCTTTACGTGCTTGTTTTGCAACCACGAAAAGTCGGTCTCGGTCAAGGTCGACAAGAAGGCCGGCGTAGGCTCCCTCAGCTGCAGTGTCTGCGCCCAGAGTTTCCAGTGCGGCGCCAACTATCTGAGCGCCCCCATCGACATCTACAGCGAATGGGTCGATGCTGCCGGTAAGTATCTCTACTTGTTTGACCGCGCGCTCGCACCTTGACTAACAAAATGCACCCCAACAGATGCTGTCGCAAAGGAGGAAGCAGGCAACCCAACCAGAACCCAAGCATCCAACTCGAGATCGAAACAAGCGGCTGACAGATATGATGACGACGAGGACGACCGGCGCTACGAGGGAGAGGGTATCGTGGATGACGACGATGAATATTAATGCTAGAATCGCTAGGTGTGGTGTGGCGCAAAGATCTCTTCATCTGTATTTTTAGGCACAAGGGCGGTCACTGTTTTTGCGAGACACTCGATAAATTTGTTTGCTCGCTTGGGACTATTATGAGGATTTGTTTTGTTTGCAAAGTCCAAGGCAGCGCGTAACATGGAAAGCGTGATACTGGATAGCTTTCGAGTCACCCCGCGATTGCTTGATATTGTTCTTTTATTTCTCAGTGTTTCATACATGATTTAAAGACGTATTCGTTACATGGTGTAGTATCTGTCGCCAAAGTCTCCGAGACCTGGAATGATGTAGCTTGTTTGGCGTTAGCAAGAGTTTTACAGTTGGGTAAAAATGTGACATACTTTTTCTCGTCAAGACCAGCGTCCACAAATGCAGTCACAACCCGCAGCTTGGGGAACTTGGTGGCAAAGTTCTCAATACCCTCTGGGCTGGCAATGAGGTTGAGGAAGAGGATACGCTCCTCGGGAACGCCTCGAGACTTTAAGACATCGACAGCCATAATGGCGGAGCCGCCTATCGCGAGTTAGCAATCACTGATGCATGGTCGAATCGTCAAGATGTGTGCCATACCCGTGGCGAACATGGGGTCGAGAAGGAGCACCCATCGGCTAGCAATATCCTCTGGGAGCTTATCATAGAAAAGCTTGGGCTTGGCAGTCTCCTCATCACGTTGAATGAGGATCTTGCCAATTCTGACAGAACGACAGCAGTCTCGAAGGCCTTGCTCCATGGATTCGCCTGCCCTCATGATGGAGACACCACAAATCTTGCCCTGAAACTGAAGTCCTGCATAAGAACGTCCGACAGGAGTGGTCACAGTCTGTTCGACAATGGGAAGGTGGTTCAAGCCCTCCTCGACCAGCAGCCGAATGATTCGGTTGGAGTAGAAAATGAAGTCTGCTCGCTCCGTGTTCTTGTCTCGAATCATACTAGTCTCGTGTCAATGCATTGCCAACTGTACATGATTGTAGGACTGAACAAGGAAAACATTTCTGCGGCCTCGAGGTGGTGGTGGCAGTCATTTCCAAAGCACGACAGAAAAGGCCACGCTCTAAGCGAGAAACCCATTGGGGGAACTACTCACGTGAGCAACGCAATCAACTGAGGCGTCTGGGGAAGCGTGATAACATTGTCATATTTCACTGGAGTCGACACCGTAGCCGTTGGCTTTTGGCTCTCAGATCGATAATCTGGGCCTACACACTTTGTAGGACCGACCTCGGTTGTTTCTGCAGACATGATGAGATTGTAAAAGTTGAGGCGATCTTGGTTGAGCGGTCGGGGTAATTGAGCAAGCAAATTTTGATCAACTCGTCAAGAATGGATTAATCTTGGGTGGCAGACCCGTAAGGTGGTTTTTTCAAATACGTATGAAAATGGAACAGGCAGTGCCGAAATCAAGACAGTGAACGTGTTCAAGTCGAGGAAGAATCCGAACCCAGCTCCAGTCCGGTGAAAACCCGATACGAAATAGAACAAGGTTTGTTGGGATCGTTGCTCTACTACCAAGAAGACAATGTTTGTGTGTAAATGTCGTAGCAGATTGGAAAAGGACGAGAAAGATCTTGGTCACTTAAAGAATCGACAATGTAAGGACGAGAGTCGGAGATCGCAGGGAATAAGTCCAGCAGTTATAGAGGAAGATATGTGATCACACGGCAGGGTCCGCGATATGTCTTATTTGCCAGCGTGGGTGGCAGCACTAGTATATATGAAGCTATACCGTATATATGTACTTTTTGGATTGCTTCGTTTTGTGAATAATAAGTAGTACAAACCAGATCCACTGTCGGCCGGTCCCTCGAGCTAAGGGCTCGTTTAACAGATCCCCCATCGACACCGGCCAGCCAGGGTCCAGTCCAGGTCAGTGACAAAAGATGCAGACACTTTTGGCTATCCTAAAGGGCCCTGTAGCAAAACAACAATCTAATCACTGTGGAACTCTGGTTGCATGTCAGTCAATCAGCCAGCATCAAATGTCCACTGCTTCTGCTGCTCGGTGCAGTCGGTCAACAAAGCACCGGTGGCCTGCTTGTTTCAGAAACGTTGACGCTAAACAATCTACTAGCTAATTTGTGTGCCGCGCCGATAATGAGGGGGGAAACAGAAGCAGACGCTTTCGTCACAGGCCGATTTTGGGGGGATTGTCGAACCTGAACCTGGTTGGGCAGAGGGAGCAAGCGGGTGGGTGGGCTCAAGACAAATCAACAATGACTACTACAGAGTACTTGGCTATACTTGCGCACATGCACACATTCAGCCTGCAACATTGACCCAAACCACCACGTTTGATGGAAAATCATTGCGATTCTTTGAACCTCTACTCAAACTACAGGAGCTCTACTTATCCTACTTACCCATTAATCAAAAAAGTTCCAACTGCCATCATCTAAAAACGCTCTTGCAACTTTTCTGCGCGCGTTTCATTATCTACCTACAACTTACTTAACCCAGTACCTAGTAGTAGACGGACCCTCCTTGGTTGTTACCAGCGCTGGAACCGTCGCAACTTCTGCCGATTGCGCGCCGCATTTCTTATTCTTCTGCATACTTTCACTCCAAATCGAATCATCAATACAGCACTCTCAGAGTCGACGGACTTTTCTTTGCGCCAACTCTTCCGCCTCCTACACCCAGATAGGCTCGGACTTTTAAGCTCTACCTGGTCTGACTAGGAGCTTCCCGCTTCTCCCCCAGAGATCGCATTGTTTTGACAATGATTACGCGGTTACTGGTGATTTGATCAACGAGATCTACTTCACGGGTAACACCACCGCTTTCCTGCCAAAATGGCTTCTGTCAAGGCACGACCGCAGCTCAAGCAATACGGAAAGAGTACTACGAAAAAGCCAACGTCGACGCGACCGTCCCGGCAGCCATCAGAAACCAGTCGCGCCCCTCTCTCGCGATCGGCATCTGACGTCCCAGCTGCGACCAAAGCCGACGAGTACGACCCTTGGTCTTTCCCGGCTGACGACTCGCCCACGCGCGTTCCTTTCAACGGCAAAAAGAAGATTGAGCCGCGAGCTGGCAATGGCGCCACACAAGTGCCCATTGAGCGCAAAAGGAAAATCGCCCAGGTCTACCCAGCTAATAACCAGGGCCATGAACCGACCAGCAAAGACGCTTCTCCTGCACCGCCCAAGCCGAAACAGCGCTCGCGGGTGCCCTCGCCTACTGACAATGCGGCAGCTCCCAAAACAAAAACGTACGGCAGGTCGCGACAGATTCGCTCGCTTTCGGCGGAAATGGCTGTAGATGGCGCCGACGGTATCCTGTCTAGTCCGCCCCCAACACCAAAGGATGGAAAGTCAAATGGAAAGAGCGTATCAAAGAAGGAGGAGCTTCCATTTTCGCCAAATACCATGAATTTATTTGGCAATCTCAACGTTGGCGACGCAAAAGCTCGACAGCAACATATTCCAGTTCGGCCCAGACCCAAGCCCTCCAACACGGCTCCGAACGCCGTACGAAGGATCGAGCCACCCAGGCAGCATGGACCTTCTACCTCAATGTCTATTCAACCGGCCAAGAAGCCTCGAAAGAAGCTAATTGATGCGCTGGTTGAGCAAATGGACGACTCGGATGATGCCATGGAAGAGGAAAAAGCTGGCAGTCAGGGAACACAAGTGAGCTGGGCCGAGACTGTCGAAACATTCGCACCGCCAATGGAGAGTCAAAGTTCCTTCATCTCGCCAAGCCAGACCTCGGGGTCTCGAAGAACTTTTGGTTCTGCTGCGCCCAGGACATTTGCCCGCGCGGGTAGCTCGGGTAGCTCGCTCAAGCGAACGTACGGATCCTCAAATGTTACCATGCTGGAAGAAGACAATATCCTCGAGTCATTGGTCATGCCTGATGAACCAACCTTCTCTGCTCGTAGGCGCCTAGAGTTGACGCCCAAGAAACTGTCGAGACCCAGTGTTGAGCCGGAAGATGAGCCCAACCCCAGTACGACGCCCCGCAAGATTAGGGACATTCATGAACTGCGGCAGGCAGGAGCAAATAGCCGAGTTGCGGATGAAATGTTTGATTTGTCGTCTCGTCTGGGACAGCCATCTGCGAAGCCATCTTCTCAGCGCAGAGCAGCGCTTTTGGATGTTGCTGATCAAGCAAAGAACAAGGACTTTAGATACCGGTTGCGTGATCATGGTCTGGATACCATGATTCTCCAAAAGATTGGAGAGGAGACTGATCCCATCTCTGGTTATCTCATTGCGGCTTTCCTCATCCAAATTCTCGCCAGCTCTGCAGCACCGCACATTACCCAAACACTGCAAACTGAGGATGCTGGTCATCTTTTCGGGAGGCTTATGCAACTGGACGAAGATATAAAGAGGCTCGTCCGAGATCGCAAGAGTAACTTGTCCAAGCGTCACCAAGGGTTATTGCTCGCCGTCCAATCGACGCTCTTGGAATTGCCCATCTGGCAGCCGGTCAAACCCGTGTCCATCACCCCGAGGACGATAGCCTTGAAGTGTCTGGATATGATTGTTGCTCAAGATGCCCATCTGGGTAATGACGATGCCTTGTTCCCGCCGGCAGTCACTGAAGGACTGTTTAGCGCCCTATCGAGCGCCTCGGAGCCAGATTTCTGGGACGCAACAACTAGCAATGACACTTTTGATGTGTCTTGTACCTTGTCTGTTCTAGAGTTCCACGCAGTCAAGGCAATGGAGGCTCAGAATAGTGAGCAGCTGACTGCCAAATATCTACCGTCTGTCGCAGATGCCTTTGGTGCTGCCCTGCAGAATCCCACAGCCCATGGTGATTTGCAGAGTCTGCTTCTCAAGCTGGTGCTTAACATGACTAATTCAAGCATCACGGCACCGGACATTTTCATAGCAAGAGATCTGATCCTGCCTCTATCGACATCCATCTGCACAGGCTTCAAGCAGGCTTCATCAGTCGTTGCCGGTGGCGAGGAATGGACCGAAGAACTTCTCAATGGGCTCGTCCTCAGGCTTGGTATTCTTATCAATTTTGCAGAACAGAGCGAGCCTGTCAAGGCGGCAGTCCACCAATGTCAAAACCCTGAAGGTGGCTCTCCAATCAAGGAAATGATTCAAATATTCTTGACAAATCACCGAACAACAGCCGAGGTAAGTTGCGCACATTTGTGAGTATGCCAAGAACACGGCAACTAACAATGTTTACAGGCCGACTCCGAAGCAAAAAGCCAGCTCAATGTGGCATTTGGCTACTTGTCTGTACTACTGGGCTACTTGTGCCTTTTCAAGCCCATTCGCCAAGTCTTTAGATCATGTCAATCGGCGAAAAGCATGGGCCCCTTGGTCGACTCGATCCAGGAGTTCATTTCGCACCACAGAGCAATGGAGGCGAGCCTTCTCGATGCGGGCGTAGAAGATCCGCGTGCCCACGGAGGATATACCGAGAGGCTGCAAGGGCTTGTAGACCAACTCGACGCAAGCGCTGCTTACGACTGATTACGAATATGACCCGACGACTTGATCTGTTTCACGAGTATGAACAACGAACAACGAAACGAACAGCGAAATCGAAATCAAAGCAAGCGTGAAACCTGCAAGATATAGATTACTGGCTGCGAGTGCCAACTTGTGTTGCAGCTTCAGGCTTCTCAATTCTACAGCCACGAGCGATGCTTTCGGATAATAAAGCATGATAAATGGCAGCCATTGTTTGGAGTACATGTTTTGATGAGTCGAATTGATGGATAAAAAGGGGGCCAGGAAAAGGTTGCGCAACATGGGCTATTAGCACAACTGGTCTTCTTTCAAGGGGTTGGCGCGGCATTATACCCATACATAGATTAGGCACTCACGATGCTTTACCGACGCCACGGTGCTCGGTCTCGAATAGATGAATCATTGAGATCCATGCTGCCTAGATTCTGTAATTATGCATCCCCATGTGTCGCAAGTGCATTTGTCCAAGGTTTGGTATGTGGGGATGCCACTCAAGAACCAAGGTACTTGAACACGGCATGAAATATTGTATTGCAAAAACTTTTCATTATGCAAGCATGCATTCTAGTCTATCATACATGTATATACGTCTACAGAAAATTTCAATCGTGTATGCAGCAGAGAGAATCTAGATCAGGTCCTCATTCTCTCGGCAATAACCTTGTACTCCTTTCGCTGCTTTGGCGTCTTCATGATCCTCAGCTTGGCCTTGCCAATCCACCTCGCCAGTCCTTGAAAGACGTAAATCTCGGCAGTCCAGGACAGGACAAAGTACGCAAGTCCCAGCACGAGCAGCGTCATTTTAAAGCTCGGGGAAATATTGGTCAGCTGCATGAGATGCTTGATGCTGTGCGAGGGCGCCAGAACCATGTACGTGTTGATGGCCAGGGCGGCAATAATTGTTGCCACAAAGGGGTAATTCTGCCACATGGGTTGTCTAAAGGGCTTGCCAGCAGAGAGCACGATGCCGATGAAAGTGTACTCGAAGCATGAAACGAGAAAGAGCGCAGTGTTCTCCGAGTTCTTAATGTTGGACTTGTTTGGGTTGACGTGTGGTGGGATGAACCAGTCTTGCTCCCTGACGAGTAGGAAAGCTGTTGCCTGTATCAGGATACAAATGAGGATCTGGCCCAGCAAGGGTGTCAGGACTTTGCGTGAAACGAGATCCGCAGTAGGTCTCTTGCGGCTCAAGACTGGATATGGGCCGGACCAGCCCATGAAGACGGCAATGGGAAGAATGAGTAACACGTCAATGAACAGGAATTGAAAGTCGCCAAGATTCGACGCCGAGGCATACAAGAAGCTCACAGACGTGAACTGGATGGCCGAATAAAGCGACATGAACTTGAAGCAGCTGAAACTCGTGACGAGAGCGGCTCGTCCTTCACGAATAACATCCGGGACGCAGCGGATATCAAATACCCGCGATGTAAAGGGCGCCGCCACTGACGCTTCTGCCTCGGAAAGGGAGATGCCAACGTCAGCTGCCTTGAGAGCGCCACAGTCATTGGCGCCGTCACCACAGAAGCCAGCACAGTAACCAATACTCTGAAGCTTTTCTACCAATTCGTGCTTTTCATCAGGCGACATGCGTGCAAAGATGCGTCCCTTGATCAACATGCGATGCAGTGTTTCTGTTGGGGCATAATCAATAACCCAACGAAAGACGTCGCCCGTTACTGCAATTGAATAATTGCTTAGGTTTGTGATATCATAGGGCAACGACGCGTCCCGCTCGGCAGGAACCGGGAGCGGCAAAAGCGTCCGTTTGTCCAACTTGAGGTCGGGAGCATCGATGCTTTCCCAGTGGAGATCAGCATTGGGATCTTGGAAATGCCCTTCCACAAAGTGCGGCACGAAGCAGTGGGCATTCTTGTCAATGAGGCCACAATTTCGCGAAACGCTTATGGCGGTGAGAATATTGTCACCAGTCACCATGACGGATCCAATATTGGACTCATGAAGCTCCTTGAGCACACCAGCCGTCGTGGGCTTGAGCTTGTTCTCAAACACAATGAAGCCAACAAAATCGAGATCGGATTCGACATCCTGACGTTTCATCTTTTGACTCTTGACCCAGGACAACTTCTTGAGGTGCTTGGTTGCGCAGGCAATGACACGATATCCCTTGTGGGTGTAATAGGAAAGAAGCTCGTCATAGTCCTCGGGGAACGAGTCAGCTCGACAAATTTCTCGCATACACTCTGGAGCGCCTTTGACGTAGACATCAGCGCTCTGCTGGCCGAATGCTCTCACGAGGACGCTGGCACGACGCAAATGGGACACGAACTCGAAAGACTTCAAGACTCCGAGTTCCACCGAAGTGTTTCGTCCTTGAGCAGTACCGAATTGATCCGTATCGTACAGGGCCAGGGGAGGGGGGCGCGCAACAGAAGGGGAAAGACCACCTTGCTCTTCATTCTCCTGCTCGCCGGCACCCTCTTGTCTACCTTCCTCAAATGTCCACTCGGTAAATTCAAACATTTTGAGATCCAGTGGGTCGCCCACTAATTCACCATCGACGGATCGTAGCGAATGACACGTTGCCATGGTAAAGAGCGCAGCACGACTAGTGTCTTTGATATTGTCTGGAGTGGTCTCATAGTTGGACGGCTTCACAAGAGAAGAAGCCTTTGCGACGAGTTCGTCGAACCGCTTGGTCGTGTGGGAAACCAGTCGTACTCCCAAAACATCGAGACCTTCCTCGGTCAAGGTGCCAGTCTTGTCAAAACACATGACATCGAGCTTGCCACCCACGTTTACCCTTTGTGGGCTGATGCAGAATATCTGCTTCTTTCGCAGTCGGCTCAATGCAAAGTTTGTTCCAATGGTCAGGGTTGCTGGCAGGGCTGGAGGAACGACAATGGTGATTAAATCGAGCGCCCGAACCACAATCAAATGCCAGGCCAGTCCAAGTCGGATAAAGTTGATAAAGGATACGACAAAGCCGAGTAATGCAATACAGCCCATGACGGCAATGTACCGGAAGGAATCGCGATAGAACTTGAATCCCGAAGGTTTGGGGAACAGCATGGACCGGACAAGGGAGCCTTTTGTGGTGTTGAATCCAGTCCTGACCACCATGGCCAATGCCACTCCTTCATCCTCTCCGTTATCTTGAGGTCGCCTGGCTCGGATGATCTTGGTACCACAGAACAAGAAATGGCGTGCTGTCTCGGGTGAGACGGACGCGGCTCCCAGGTTCATAACGCTGAGACTCTCGTCCGTAGCAGGGACCTTGGAAACAGGTACAGACTCGCCCGTCAGCATACTCTCATTGACGATACAGTCTCCACTCAATAGCAGACTGTCGCTGGGGAATTGTGCCAGATTTGGGTCGCTGATTTCGTAGACGTCGCCAGGGACCAGATCGCTCGAAGAAACATTGGCCCAGAACCCGTTTCGCAAGACACGCACGTCGCATTCGAAGCGCGAGATCTCGCGCAATCGCTTCATTGTAGAACGTGTCTCGATGAGGGTAGCAATTATACTACCGGCTGACATGACAAAGATGCAGACCGCATAGTAGTAGTACTCGTCCATTGACCAAAGAACCAGACTGGCTATTTGGAATACGTAAAAGGGATGAAACACCTCATCAACAAGTAGTTGAAACGACGACTTTTGCTCGATATCGATCAAGTTTGATCCAAAGACGTGCTCTCTTTGTTCCTTTTCTTCGCCATCTATTCCAGCACGAAGTGTGCGTATGTGTGTCCAGTTTGGGTCTTTCCAGCCACTGCATATCACAAACTTGTCCTTTAACGGATGAAAGTATAGACGAACATAGCGATAGTTGAGTACGCGGAGGTCTGACAGGATCGGATCGGCATCCTCTTCGAGCATCTGGGCAAACAACTTTTCGGGTGCTCCAAAGACGGTGGACATTGGTCGATCGTACGGCTGCGCGGAGACGGGAAGTATGGACATTTCGCCCCACTGGTTCTCGAGGACTACCCATTGGCAGTCATTCAGAGGGCAAGGCTCTCCTATGAGCTTGACCTGCCAGCGCGGAAGCCATCGTAGTAGCAGATATGCTAGGCCGAGGGTCGTGACGCACAGGAACACATAGGCAGCGAATCCAATGCGACTCGTTCGGAAGCCGGCAATGACAATGGTGAGATCTTCATTGACCATGTATAGCTTTTGGCTGATACGACCAGGCATTCCATGCCCGCTCACGTCTGTCCGACCGCTGTCTGTTCGAAGAAGTCTAGCATGAACCGAATTCCGAGAAATGGTCGAGGATCTCCGATGCATGGAGTAATCATCATGGGAGTGGCCATTTTCCAATTCAACCACTGCGCTCTCGTCATCTTCAATCGTTTCAACACCAAATGGGATATCATCCAAGTCTACGGCAACAGAACCGTCGTCTTCGTACAGGGGACGCCCGTCCTCGTCGTAGATTTGAGGCTCTTCCTCTTCTTCGTTGTAGTACGTAAAGCTGGCAGTGGAGTCGGCACGGCCGCGGCGATGCGCAAAGGCTGACACGCTCGTAGGCAGACTCTCGGCGACGGGACCAGAAAAGAGTTCGTCCTGGGCCATCTCGACATCTTCAAACACGCTCTGGCTGCTATGGTTGGAGCTCATTCGGTATAATGTCCTGCGCCCATTCGCCGGACGCGACCGCGATCGGGATCGGGACGGATTCCGACGCTCATTGTAACCGTCCATGGTGCAAAATCGGGGTGCTGTGTCTCGAGGCGGTTGCGATGCATTCTAGACGCCAACAAGTCCCCGGTGCCGTGCTCGAGCACCAAAAGCCGACGAGAAAAGTAATATTTGCTCGGACCGATGATGCTTTTGGCAGAAATGATCACGAGAGTAGTTTCCGGGTCCAGCTCAATTCCCACAGACCAATGACGCTGCTGGGAGAAGCTTGTGCCTGATGACCCACCGGTTGCGCTTATCGATAAGACGACCACGCCGACCTAAGACCATACAATCTAATTGTAATAAGCAGTGGAGTGATTATAGTCGGTAGACGGCGACTTTCTGTACAATACAGACTAGTATTTCATATTTCACTTATCAAGTGTATCACAATTTTGGCAAGCTGAATGATGGGATACTAGTCCATTCTATAATGTTGCAGGGTGTTTATTAAAATGAAAGCAAAGTATGCATCATGGCGTGAATTATCAAGTGCTACCATAAATACACCACCCTACTTGCTCTCTTTCCAAGTATTAGGACTGCTCTCGATATTCTTGTGAGAGAAAGTTGGATCCTCAAAATAGCTTCAACACGTTTCTAATTGCTTACTTTAGAGAAACCTTGACAACCGTCTTCTTGTACAATTTGGGTGGCATGAACATATATCTCTCAAATTGTGTCACCCTTCTTGTTTTGCTGCGGGCTAATGAGCATTCTTATCGTCCTGATTGGATCCAAAGCTGGACTCAAAGTAGGTACATGTTTTGCATTAGATCGTGGGTGGATCCTTGCTATCGGCCACTATCTTACTACGGCTACGTCAAGTCGGTGGTTTCGCGTTCTACTCGGACCTTTTTATATGACGCGATGACTATCTTGTCATGATCAAACAGCAAGTAAATGGAAACCTTTTGCTCATGAGAAGTGTTCCTTGGCTGCGAGTCTCGTCGGGCAAAGACCTGCTTGTGCTACCGGCAAACGGCATGCAAAGAGGAGGCCTACGTTTGTAATAAGACTTTTTTCCAACAAGATAGGGCACCACTAATTCCCCGCGAAAACATTCCCCCCACGTTGCGTTGTGGTGTGTGCATACATTAACGTTCTCGAGTTGGAACAATGAGATCATGGCACGTTGCAGAGGGCATAATTTTCCATGTAGTATGTGTTGTAAATTCTTAGCACAGGGCAGAAGAATAACAAGCCCCCCAACCAGCACCACATACTACTTACTCGCTGTAGTATTTTGCGTGGGTAAAGTATTGGTGGTAACAAGTTTGGAAAGGGCCTTTAATTCAAGGTGTTCACCGCCGGATAATGGTTGTTCGTTTTGGAGCCAGCGAAAATTAGTCCTTGAAAATGGAGTCTCTTTTGGGAGCAATGCACCTGGGCAACGAGAACGGGCCCGTCCAACAAAATAAATGGTAATGAGAAAATGTACCTGAAATGGCTAGAGGACACCCGAGAAAAAGTCGGCTTAGCGCTGCCCAACAAGTTTTTTTTTTCCTGTCCCCTTCGTCTTTTTCTTCTTAGCCAGGCCGACTTCTGCAGACTCTCGAAGCGATAGAGGTGGGGTAAACAGGGACAAGGCGGCGGTCCACGCAGTTTACAGAGCTTTCCTCCCATTCATTTTTCCCCTCCAAAAAATCTCATTCCCACTCCAGCAGAGTTCAGCACAGGCACGGAAATTCACCAACAACCAACCCATCAGGGCTTAGTTTAGGTCAACCGCAAAGCAGAGACAGCAGAGCAACAACGTCTTGTCTTCCACCCTCTCACTCACGCTCTCACTCTGCGAATCCCCCAAACCAAGCAGCGACCGCAGGTCCGTCGAGTCCCGTCTACTTCTCACTAGGTAATTATCTCCTCCCACTTTCCCACTGGATTCCCACCACCCCATCCGCAGCATCCATCAATCAACAGCCTGACACTCATTGTCAAGAATATCATTTTCCTCTGCAGTTTGTTTACATTTTTTGTTTCCACCTCACCCCCCAAAAAAAGACAAGACATTTCATCTCTCTGTCGTCGCTGGGCCACAAGGTAGGCCCTGCTCTCTTGTTCGGCCCAATACGTGCTAGACCCGACTGACGCGACTCGATAGGTGAAAGCCAACTAGGTCCCCGCCACTTTCTCCATATCTTTTTTTCTCCGCCTTGAGCATCTCTTCACTGCTGCACTTTTTCGCAGTCTCTGAACTGAACCTCAACGCTTCTTGTTTAGCAGCAACTTGTCACATTCACAATCACAATGGCTGAGCCTATCAAGAACAAGCGGGATGTCGTTGCGCCGTAAGTAAAACCCCTCGGAGCAATAGGAAGTCCCATCTTGATATCAAGAAGACGGCTCAAATTCAAGAATAATAATCATACTGACGACACTCGCATCGCAGGACCCCGCAGAACACTCCCGCCAACAACGCTCCCATTTCCTCGCACGCACAGCAGCCTGGTGTCTCCAGCATCAAGGAGGGTAAGTGGAATACTCACAAAACACCCCATGTCGAGTCATCCCACTAATACTTGATATGCAGACGAGCTGGCCGAGCATGCCTCCCTCTTTGCCCAGAACCCTCACCTGGTGTCCATGATCCAGGGTCGTCTCGGTTCCCTGGTCGGCCGTTCCTCTGGCTACATTGAGTCGCTCCCCGCCCCTGTCAAGCGCCGTGTTGCTGGCCTCAAGGGCATCCAAAAGGAGCACTCGAAACTCGAGGCCGAGTTCCAGGAGGAGGTCCTCCAGCTCGAGAAGAAGTACTTTGCCAAGTTCACCCCTCTGTACCAGAAGCGTGCCGAGATCGTCAACGGTGCCGCTGAGCCTACCGAGGAGCAGGTTGTGGCTGGCGAGGCTGATGACGAGGAGGACGACGACGAGGCTAACGAGGCCGAGAAGACTGAGGAGAAGCCCACCGAGGAGACTGCTGAGAATGTCTCTGGTATCCCCGAGTTCTGGTTGTCGGCCATGAAGAACCAGATCTCCCTGGCTGAGATGATCACCGACCGTGATGAGGCTGCCCTGAAGCACCTTGTCGACATCCGCATGGAGTACCTGGACAAGCCCGGTTTCCGCCTGATCTTCGACTTTGCCGAGAACGAGTTCTTCACCAACAAGACCATTACCAAGACCTACTTTTACCAGGCCGAGAACGGCTACGGCGGTGACTTCATCTACGACCACGCCGAGGGTGACAAGATTGAGTGGAAGGAGGGCAAGGACCTGACTGTTCGCGTTGAGAGCAAGAAGCAGCGCAACAAGAGTAAGCTCATACCTTGCATATAAATTCGAGCAGCTTACTAACACTGTAGTAGACACGAAGCAGACTCGCATCGTCAAGAAGACTGTGCCCACCGAGTCCTTCTTCAACTTCTTCTCGCCTCCGGCTGTCCCTGGTGAGGACGACGATGCCGCCTCGGACATTGAGGAGCGTCTCGAGCTCGACTACCAGCTGGGTGAGGACATCAAGGAGAAACTCATTCCTCGTGCCATTGACTGGTTCACTGGTGAGGCCCTGGCCTTTGAGGAGATTGAGGATTACGATGGAGAGGATCTGGATGATGAGGACGACGAGGATGAAGACGATCTTAGTGACGATCGTGACGAAGACGACGAGGAGTCCGAGGAAGATGTTTGTCACCACCAACTCCACTTACCACCGTGACTTTGCATTGCTAACCTGCTTTATCTAGGATGACGGTGCCAAGCCCAACAAGGAGGCTGCCGAGTGCAAGCAGAGCTAGATGCCATCTGAGCCCGCCTAAAGCAACTTCTTGTATTTGTCACTGATCCCACCGTTGTATCCGCCACTACGGAGACATGCACATCTGCCCAGGTCGACTTGCAGCATGCCGTCCTCTGCTTCAAGCGACAACCTGCCCTCACCCCCCACTCCCGGGCAGACTGTCGAGCATACCACATTCACGCCCCCCACCCGACCCTGACCATGTCGCGAACATGATCAGTGTCGAGTAGGAGTGGGCATTCCCAACATCCCCCCCCCCACCCTCACAAAATAGACTGGCATTCTTCATAGGTTATAGGTTGACTTTGGGGTCTCATTCTGCGTTTAAGGGGCCGGAAATTGTTACTGTTTTAATTAAGCAAGCACATGACGAGTCCAAAGGACGTGGCAGTGTGTTTGGACGACGCAAGCAAATAATCGATAGAGCCAGCTGGACTTTCGGACGATGATCCCATACCTGTGCAATAACAGCAAGTGCCATCCCGGCTTCTTGAAAAAAGCAAAAAAAAAGTGGCGAGGCAATGAAATGACAAACTGCAGGCCGTGGATAACCGCATTTACTGTTTCTTTGCACATATCATGTATGTGTCTACCTGGACATCAAGGTGGAAGCTCATCTCTAGTGAGAAATGTCCACCATGTTGTATGCATGCATGAATGCATGCGTTGGGGTTGCGTTGAACTTTTAAAAGGCATGTACTGCGTAGTATTTTCATCATTCTGTTGCACTACAAGAACAATGACAAATTCTCCTCCCATGACAAATACTAGAATCGTGTCGTCTCTTTTCTTGTCTCGTGCTTGATGAAAGTTGATCGTCCCAATTTATTCATTGCAAGCCTCATTGTTGACATGTCGTAATCCGATGGCCGGAGGGGTCTGACGCCAGGTTGACTTGAAAAAAATTCCTCAGACGCCGGCTAAACCATCATAGCCCGAAACCCCCGGACGCCGAATTGGGACCCTTTTTCAGGTGGCGGACCAATGAGATTGTAGAAAAGTCTAGTTGAGCTCATTTTTATGCAGATTTCGTGCAAGTCACGCCTTGGGCATAAAATTTAAGGGACCAAGCCCAGAAATGGAAGGGACCGCGGGGTCATTGATGGCTCGTTTTTGACTGAACTGACCTGTAAAAATTTCGGAGAGAGTAGGTAATAATTGCTGGCGGCTGCGCTCCCTTACCGACTTGCTTCTGACTCAACCGACGTTCCAATTTATAAAAGCAGAATTTCTGCTCAATACTTGGTCTCTCGTCTCTCGCCATTTCCATATAACATTTTATCCATCACCAGATTGATTGATACATTCATTTATTCACCATGGCAGCTCCGCAAAACATCAACACTTCGTCATCAATCCCCAAGCCGGATTTCACTCACAGGCTGAGCGTCTCGACGTCACCTACAAACACTTTCCAGTCCCCGCCAAACAGCTTTGGCGGGGCACTCGCTCAACGCGCAGCACCAAAGCAGCTGAAGCCTTTCAACACCCAAGACATTAAGATTCTGCTGCTTGAGAATGTCAACCAGAGCGGAAGGGATATTCTGACTGGCCAAGGCTACCAGGTCGAGGCTCTCAAGACCTCTCTGCCAGAGGACCAACTCATTGAAAAGATTCGGTAAGCAATCTCTACGGCTTTCTTTTACCCCTCTGGGATTTTTTTCCACACTCAAATGCTTGGTCAGGCCATGACCCAGAGACACTTTTGAGACTGACTTGGTGAAAAGTGACGTCCACGTCATTGGTATTCGCTCCAAGACGAAGCTGAATGAGAGAGTTTTGCGCGAGGCCAAGAACTTGTTGGTCATTGGTTGCTTCTGTATCGGTACAAACCAGGTTGACCTCGAATATGCCGCCAAGCATGGTATTGCCGTCTTCAACTCTCCCTTTGCCAACTCTCGCAGTGTGGCCGAGTTGGTGATTGGTGAGATCATTGTGCTTGCTCGTCAGCTGGGCGACCGCTCAAATGAGATGCACCGTGGTACCTGGAACAAGGTCAGCAACAAGTGCTGGGAGATCCGTGGCAAGACCCTGGGTAAGTTTACTTGCAGAAGAATCATAATATTCAGAGCCACTGCTAACAAGACGCTTAGGTATTGTTGGTTATGGTCACATTGGTTCGCAATTGTCCGTGCTGGCAGAGGCCATGGGTATGGACGTCATTTACTACGATGTTGTCAGCTTGATGGGTCTTGGAACCTCCAGACAGGTCCCTACCCTCAACGACCTTCTCAACCAGGCCGACTTTGTCACCCTTCACGTCCCCGAGTTGCCCGAGACCAAGAACATGATCTCCGCACCTCAACTGGAGCAGATGAAGGAGGGCTCATACCTCATCAACGCCAGCCGTGGAACTGTTGTTGATATTCCCGCTCTCATCAACTCGATGCGTAGCGGCAAGATCGCCGGTGCTGCCCTCGACGTGTACCCCAACGAGCCTGCTGCCAACGGTGACTACTTTACCAACGATCTCAACACTTGGGGCGAGGATCTGCGCAGCGTAAACAACATCATCCTCACACCTCACATTGGCGGTAGCACAGAAGAAGCCCAGAGGGCAATTGGTGTCGAGGGTGAGTTTTCAAGTATATCGAATAGAAAAAGAAAGGACGAGCTAACCTTGTTTTTTTCCCAGTCGGTGATGCACTTGTTCGCTACATTAACCAGGGTATTACTCTGGGTGCTGTCAACATGCCCGAGTGCAACCTGCGTTCCTTGACCCTCGAGGAGGTTGGCCACGCCAGAGTCATTTACGTGCACCAGAACGTTCCTGGTGTCCTGCGCAAGGTCAACGAGATCCTCGGTGGCCACAATGTCAGCAAGCAGATTAGTGACAGCAAGGGCGACGTCGCCTACATGATGGCTGATGTCAGTGACGTTGGATTGGCTGATATCAAGGACATTTCCGAGTCTCTCGAGGCTCTCAGCTCAAAGATCTTGGTCCGCGTCCTATACTAAACATGTGATGAAATAAAAAGCAACCATCTTGAGACACTAGGTGTGTTTGGTGGTTTTGGTTTTGGAAAATGGAATGGGAAAAATAAATTACAAAAAGGAAAGCATAGCTGGCGTTGCAGTCACGTAACATTCAACAATAGGCATGAGCGCGGGAATTCTACAAAAAGACGTGTATAAAGATATTACACATAGATTGGCGGCAAGCGGTCGGTTCAACATGGAGAGCACACAACGTCATAAATAAAAAGCGTAAAAGAAGCAGCAACAAGCCTCAACTTCATATTTTTCGTGACATTGGAATATTGTCATGGCAACGTGGGAAATATGGCATTGGCATGTGCTCTTTAACATGACGGCTGCTATAGTGTCGATATGTCATACCCAGTAACTGTTGAAAGAGCCCGCATAATAGTGTTAACCAGGGTCCGCCGGGCTGTCCCTTGGAGTTCATATCCGAGAACATGCATCGGGCTCGGGACTACGACCTGCTCAACATGCCCATGCCGAGAGTGTGTGCAGGTAATAAGGACAAATTGACTGTTTATGCGATTGAGATACTGTACAGGAAAACGTCACCAGAAAAAAAGAAGAAAAAAAGTGTCTTTTTTCGATTCCCCCACGTGTCCCCCATGTATAGACTACTTATTACTCCTGGACATGAAGCGGACCAACCCAAGGTGCGTGCATATGCGGCTTCGAAGCATGTGCATTATTGGGCTGAGATGATGCCCTCTTTACCGTTTGACACCCGTACGTGCATTTGGAACCCTGAGAATTCAAATAAATGACCAATAGCAACATGGTTTCACCTCCCAAGTTCTGTCATAGTCCTTGACAATACCACGCCAGGACCTGTCAGAGATAGGATGCGTGCAAAAGGCAACGTGAAGATGAGCAGATAGGAAAGAGGAGCGACCTAGAGTGTATTCTGGCTCACAAGACCGATGCCCGCCCCAAGTAAGCATCTATTCTTGCAAGGGGATTCCCAGGGGCCTGGTATTCTTGACTAGTACATTAGGGAAGAGAGGAGAAGAAGCAGAACTACAAAGTACCTACTACATAGTAGAGCCCCAAAACTGACAGACTATCTGCTCCAATCCCCTTCAGGGAAGCGGCCATCACGTCTTTTCGACTGATGAGTGGCCAGCCGCAGAAAAAGTTTAGGGGGAACGTGGAGAGAGAGTGTCACAAGCTTGACCACAAGGGGTCAAGCGCTGAGTTTTCAAAGGGGTCTTGTAAAACCGCCCAAGATAGGTCAAGCATTTGCAGACGTGTCTGTCTGTCTGTCTGTCTGTCTATCTGTCTGTCTGTCTGTCTATCTGTCTGTCTGTCTAGACTCTGTCTATCTAGCTATGTTTTCTGGTCGGCAGAAAGATGTCGTTTCTCGCAGTTTGACCGCGTTGTGAAAACATTGCTAGGGGTGAGAAATTACCATGTACGTGTAGAACATGGTTTAAACGTTGATAACAGCTCACAATACATGTACCTACCTAGACAATAGCAGCCATCCATGGACATGGTATTGGTGTAGTGGACGAATTGTTAATGAAAAAGAACAAGAGATAGAGACATGAACGTATCCCAGCCACCGCTCGGCACGATGGACCATTACTTTTTTCCGTATAGTAATAGTTTTGTTGTCAAATCCAGCCTTTGAGGGCTATTCGCCCATTTCCTCTTTGCTCGACGCATGTTGGGAGGGTTTTTTTTCTGCTTAGGGAGGTGGATGGATGGAGACATCAGAACGGGACCACCCCCCCTGAACACAACATCTACACCGCGAATTCATGAATTTCTCTCTTGTCATTCTCCGCAAGCAAGCAAAGTTCGGCACGTTGAATTTATCGTGAGCATCGGGTCAAACCTTCAGGGGCCCAAGAAACAAAGAGAGAGAAAAAACGTTATATGTCTTTCCAAGACAAACTGGGTACAGACCGGACGGGCACAGGCGCTTGGCTTTACCCGTTGAGTTTATTTAACCACCGTGCGTATTGCATTACTGTTTACACTCGACAATGTTCATGCACACCTTTCTGGTCCCCTCCATTGTGGGAACATTTATCAACTGGAGCCCCGTGCAAGCGGCGGTTGGCGGGAGAGGGAGAGAGAGAGAGAGGCAAAAAAGAGTCGTCCAGTTGTTCAACGTGCTAGGACCGGGCTTGTGCGTTCATGGGGGACTGGAGGGTTTAGAGCAAGCAGACAGGGCGCAGGGGTGGTTGGGAAGAGGAAACTAAACTGACTGGATAGTATTCATTGGAAGGGTATAGGTGACTTTGAGAAACAGACAACACGGCGCAGATCATCGGCCAGGGAGGGGGCCGACATGGAGTAGCGGATACTTTTTGGGGGTTCTCGAAGGGTAGGTAGCAACCATCTTGGCGAGACCACGCACCGCGATCGCACCTTTGAACTCGGAACCCCTTTTGAATGTACTCACTTTTTTTTTTCTTTCTTCCTCCTTGTCTGCTTGCCGGCTATCTGCCATTTTGTTCTTTTTGGTTGCCTCTTTGCTAAGAATCAAGATGGTGTTGAAAACATGGAGCGATTTTTAATTGGGCTTGAATTGAAGTGATTGATGCGTGCTAGCCGGCTCCGGGTATGGGTCTGGTGCTTGGTTGTAACTTTTTAGTTGTTCGTTGGCTCAGACTACAACTTGTAATAGCAGCTAAACCGGCTACCTGGCTGGGCTCCAGGACCCCCTTCAAGCCCCAGCCTGGCTGGCATTGACAACATGTGGTATAGCGCTGGCGTCCCGTAGTGAATCAGACATGCTACTTGCTACCTGGACCTACCTAGGTCAAAACCAACTAAGGAGGTACCCTTACCTTTTACATTTTGATGCTAGCTAGCTGGGTGAATCCTCCTACAAACGAACGACCAAAAAAAGAGACGTCCCGAAACCCGACTGTTCAAACTCCCACCCATCCTATTCCTTTCCCTTTTTTGCGTTGCTGCACTGAAGAGAAAGAAAAAAAAGAAGACGCCTCCTCGGAAGGATTCTTGGTTGTTGTTGTTGTCACTTTTTTTTGTGAAGCTGCATCCCAGTCCACATTGACGGCCTTTTCTGTTCTCCTGGTCCGCAATCTCACATCACCGGTGTGGATAGTAGACCGTCTCTTTTGCCCATCCTAGTAGATATTTACTTTTGTACAACTTGGCCTGTTCGAATGTATTCTGCTCTGGCTACTCCTGCCCCCTAGCCAAAATACACATCAAGCTACTTCTTTTCCACTTCCGACGACATCAACTTTGATACCTTTTCGGTGGCATTTTTCCCTCACGACGCGACGAGGTTCAGCGCACCCGCGATCCTGCACCTCCCGTACCTTCAGCTCGCCGCCCCGGAGCTTCGGACACCTCGTACCCCTTTATCCGCACCCTACATGAACTGAGAAGTTCCCGCCCCCATGTCGTCGAGCTACGATGTCGGAACGAGAGCCTGGCAGCCTGATGCCACCGAGGGCTGGGTGGCTTCAGAGGTTGTCAAGAAGACGGTAGATGGCAACAAGGTCACTCTAGAGTTCAAGCTCGAAAATGAAGAGGTACGCATCCGCGAGCTCCTGTCCTCTTGCCCACTGCATAGAGGCGGCATTCAGTCAAGACGGGCACAGCATGAGATACTAACTCGGATTCTTTCTTTTGCTAGATCAAAAAGGTTGAGCTCTCGCTCGAGGGATTGGAGTCTGGAAATGACCCATCGTTACCGCCGCTCATGAACCCGACCATGCTCGAGGCCAGTGATGACTTGACCAATCTTTCCCATTTAAACGAGCCTGCCGGTATGATTCCTACAATTTACCCCGGACTCGCCTTGTGCTGAAGCGTCAATTTGTTTTCTGGGGCCTCTACTGACCAAAGTATCCATATAGTGTTGCAAGCAATTCGTTTGAGATACATGCAAAAGGAAATCTACACATACTCGGGTATTGTGCTAATAGCTACGAATCCCTTTGCTCGAGTCGATTCCCTCTATGTTCCGGGCATGGTGCAGGTTTACGCTGGCAGACAGAGAGCGACGCAAGCGCCGCATCTGTTTGCCATTGCTGAAGAAGCCTTTGCGTAAGATTTCCCCCTCTGGCATCCAGAGAAATGAGAAACTGACTAGTGTTTAGCGACATGTTGAGAGACAAGAAGAACCAGACGATTGTGGTTTCTGGAGAGTCTGGTGCTGGAAAGACGGTCAGCGCCAAGTACATTATGCGATACTTTGCCACGAGAGAATCCCCCGACAACCCTGGAGGCCGATCAAAGAAGGGCGCCGACGCTATGAGCGAAACGGAAGAACAGATCCTCGCGACCAACCCCATCATGGAAGCCTTTGGTAACGCAAAGACGACTCGAAACGATAACTCGTCCCGATTCGGAAAGTACATTGAAATCATGTTTGATGACAAGACCAACATTATCGGAGCCAAGATTCGCACATATTTGCTCGAGCGGTCGAGATTGGTGTTCCAGCCCCTCAAGGAGAGGAATTACCACATCTTTTACCAGTTGATTGCCGGTGCTAATGATGCGGAACGCAAGGAGCTCAGCCTTTTGCCCGTTGAGCAATATGACTACATGAACCAGGGCAACGCCCCGGTCATTGACGGAGTCGATGACAAGGCCGAGTTCGAGGCTACCAAAAAGTCACTCACAACCATTGGTGTTGACGAGACACAACAAATGGGTATTTTCAGACTGCTGGCTGGCTTGCTGCATCTGGGCAACGTCAAGATCACTGCCTCTCGTAATGATAGTGTGCTGCCTCCTGACGAGCCTGCGCTGCTCAAGGCCTGTTCCATTCTCGGAATTGACGCCACCGAGTTTGCCAAGTGGATTGTCAAGAAGCAGCTCATTACTCGTGGCGAAAAGATTACTTCCAACCTGACGCAGCAGCAAGCCATTGTTGTGCGTGATTCCGTTGCCAAGTACATTTACTCGAGCATGTTCGACTGGCTTGTCGAGGTTATCAACCACAGCTTGGCCACTGATGAGGTGCTGAGCCGCGTCCAATCCTTCATTGGTGTTCTTGATATCTATGGTTTCGAGCATTTTGCCAAGAACTCTTTTGAACAATTCTGTATCAACTACGCCAACGAAAAGCTCCAGCAAGAGTTCAACCAGCATGTTTTCAAGCTCGAGCAGGAAGAGTATGTCAGGGAACAAATCGATTGGACCTTTATCGACTTCTCTGACAACCAGCCTTGTATCGACCTGATTGAGAACAAGATGGGTATCCTGTCGCTCTTGGACGAAGAATCCCGTCTCCCCATGGGTTCCGATGAGCAGTTTGTCACCAAGCTGCACCACAACTTTGCTACCCAGGAGAAGAACAAGTTCTTCAAGAAGCCCCGTTTCGGCAAGTCTGCTTTCACTGTCTGTCATTATGCTGTAGACGTGACATACGAGTCCGATGGCTTCATTGAGAAGAACAGAGATACCGTGCCCGACGAGCACATGGAAGTCCTCCGGGCCAGTTCCAACAAGTTCCTGGGACAGGTCTTGGCTGCCGCTTTGGCCGTGCGCGAAAAGGATGTGGCTGCATCGTCGTCGGCCGTCGCCAAGCCAGGTGGTGGCAGGAGGATTGGAGTTGCTGTTAACCGCAAGCCGACTCTTGGTGGTATCTTCCGCTCGTCCCTGATTGAGCTCATGAACACGATCAACAACACGGACGTGCACTACATTCGTTGTATCAAGCCCAATGAAGCCAAGGAGGCCTGGAAGTTTGAAGGACCCATGGTTCTAAGTCAGCTTAGAGCTTGTGGTGTCTTGGAGACTGTCCGCATTAGCTGTGCTGGCTACCCGACGAGATGGACATATGAGGAGTTTGCTCTCCGCTACTACATGTTGGTGCCTTCATCGCAATGGACCGCCGAGATCCGGGAAATGGCCAACGCCATTCTTTCCAAGGCCCTCGGTGAGAGCACTGGCCAAGGTCAGGACAAGTACCAGCTGGGTTTGACCAAGATCTTCTTCCGTGCTGGTATGCTCGCTTTCATGGAGAACCTCCGTACCGAGCGCCTCAACTCGGCTGCCATCATGATCCAAAAGAACCTCAAGGCCAAGTACTACCGCGCCCGCTACCTGGAGGCACGCACTGCCATTCTCGAGTTCCAGTCGCTTGCCAGAGCATTCATGATTCGCAGAAAGGCCGAGGAGTGGAGGACAATCAAGGCTGCCACCACTATCCAGAAGCACTGGAGAGGTTACAAGCAAAGAAGGGCCTTCCTCAAGATCCGTGCCGATCTTATCCTCGCCCAGTCCGCCGCCAAGGGTTACCTGCGCCGAAAGGAGATTATGGAAACCCGCGTGGGCAATGCAGTACTCTTGATCCAGCGCGTGTGGCGGTCGAGGAGACAATTGCGCCAGTGGAGAAGCTACCGCAAAAAGGTCGTCTTGGTTCAGAGCTTGTGGCGTGGAAAGCAGGCAAGAAAGGGTTACAAGAAGGTTCGCGAGGAAGCACGCGACTTGAAGCAGATTTCGTACAAGCTCGAAAACAAGGTCGTCGAGCTGACACAGGCCCTCGGTACCATGAAGTCTACCAACAAGACTCTTGTCAGCCAGGTCGAGAACTACGAAGGACAGATCAAGTCGTGGAAGACGAGACACACTGCCTTGGAGACGCGGACAAAGGAGCTGCAGGCCGAGGCCAACCAAGCGGGTATCGCCGTGGCCAAGCTCCAGGCAATGGAAGAGGATATGAAGAAGCTCCAGAACAACTACGACGAGTCCAACTCGAATGTCAAGAGAATGCAAGAGGAGGAGCGCGAGCTCAAGGAAAAGCTGCGCTCAACCGAGGCCGAACTCGACGAAGTCAAGAAGGAGGGCGCCGCCCATATCAACACGGTCAATGGTCTCAAGCAGCAGCTCGCCGACCTTGCCGATCAGCTCGAGCTGGCCAGACGCAGTGGCCCCATCAATGGCGAGCTTACCAACGGCCACGCCGCCGTGGCCGCCCCGCCCAGCGGTCTCATCAACCTGGTCTCCTCCAAGAAGAACCTTGCCAAGCGCCGCAGCGCTGGCGAGGACACTCGGGGCATGGATCGTTTCAGTGCCGCCTTCAACCCTCGCCCCGTGTCCATGGCAGTCACCAACGGTGCCCAGCGCGCTCTGCCTCCTACATCCGGTTTCGTCCCGGGTGTGGACAGCATCGAGATGGAGCTCGAGAGCCTTCTTGCCGACGAGGATGGCTTGAACGAGGAAGTCACCATTGGCCTCATCCGCAACCTCAAGATCCCTTCCCCGAACCAGACCCCTCCACCTTCGGACAAGGAAGTCCTCTTCCCATCTTATCTTATTAACCTCGTCACCTCGGAGATGTGGAATAATGGATTCGTCAAGGAGTCTGAGAGATTCTTGGCCAATGTTATGCAATCGATCCAACAAGAGGTTATGCAGCACGATGGAGATGAGGCCATCAACCCCGGTGCTTTCTGGCTCTCCAACGTGCACGAGATGCTCTCATTTGTCTTCCTTGCCGAAGACTGGTATGAGGCACAAAAGACGGACAATTATGAGTACGACCGTCTTCTTGAAATCGTCAAGCACGATCTCGAGAGTCTCGAGTTCAACATTTACCACACCTGGATGAAGGTGCTCAAGAAGAAGCTCCAAAAGATGATCATTCCCGCCATTATCGAGTCGCAGTCTCTGCCCGGCTTTGTTACGAACGAAAATAACAGATTCCTCGGCAAGCTGCTGCAGTCCAACTCGGCCCCGGCCTACAGCATGGACAACCTCCTCAGCCTGCTAAACAATGTCTTCCGCGCCATGAAGGCCTACTACCTGGAGGATTCCATCATCACCCAGGCTGTCACTGAGTTGTTGCGTCTTGTTGGTGTCACTGCTTTCAACGACCTTCTCATGCGCCGCAACTTCTTGTCCTGGAAGCGTGGTCTTCAGATCAACTACAACATTACCCGTATTGAGGAGTGGTGCAAGAGCCACGACATGCCCGAGGGTACCCTCCAGCTGGAGCACTTGATGCAAGCCACCAAGCTGCTGCAGCTCAAGAAGGCTACACTCAACGACATTGAGATTATCCAGGATATTTGCTGGATGCTCTCGCCCAACCAGATCCAGAAGCTGCTCAACCAATACCTGGTTGCCGATTACGAACAGCCCATCAATGGCGAGATTATGAAGGCTGTCGCCTCGAGAGTTTCTGAGAAGAGCGATGTCCTCCTTCTGCAGGCTGTCGACATGGACGACAGTGGTCCATACGAGATTGCCGAGCCGCGTGTCATTACAGCCTTGGAAACATACACTCCTTCCTGTAAGTCTGACCCAACATGATATGTACACTTGCACCAGCTAACATTTTTTTCCTACAGGGCTGCAAACACCCAGATTGAAGCGTCTGGCTGAGATAGTATCGGCTCAGGCCATTGCCCAGCAGGAAAAGTACGACGAAGAAGAGTACGGTGACGAGGGCATCCCCGAGGATGAGGAGCCCCTCGAGTCGGAAGCTTAATGAAATGCATCAATGATAGACCTGGGGTCTCGAGCGTGAAACAGGAATGAGGGTGCAGGTCAGGGTCCTGCATCTGAACTTGGTCAAGCTCGAGGCCAGCGGGAAGGGCATACCGCCCGTGTACATCAAGCGGCGCGAGAGAACCGCAACAGATGCTTAATGGATACCACGGAATTGAATTAGACAAGGACCTCGGGAGGCACCGGTCGAAAGGGACACGGGGTCTTGCAAAATTTTTGGGGACCAGATGATCATGATGGGTATATTTGAGACGAGTAAGACGAAAGACAAGATGAAAGAAGTGTATCAAAAGAAAGACCATGTAACATCTGGTGTATGGCTGGACGTTGTATGATTTTATATGTACATGAAACGTAATGTTATCAACCCACGTGAGGATCGTGAAACTTTTGTTATTTCTGAGCATCTCTCAAGGATGAGATGTGAATCAATGCTGAAAAGTAATAATTTAATTTTCAAACGAAATAATGAGACGGCCGTTAGATTTCAAGGGCTTTTATATCAGAGTAGAATACAGATTGGTGTTTGTTGGGTTTAAACCAGCAGTTGTCAAAACTAGGTGCTGGTGCAGGTGTCATTGACCCCACGTGACCAATCAGAATGGATGCGCAGCAGAAAATATTCAGTCTTGACGGAAATTTTCCGTGTTAGCCAACCTTGCCCAACGCCCTTGTTTATTCAATCAACAGATCAATCACACATTATTGTGGCAAATCCTCTCGGATGCAGATTGTGTCTATTTTATTTCTCTTATTCTTTATTAAACATACAACACTCGGCAAGCAAAGCCCGTGATCAAAATCGTCAAGAGGAGACCCAGTTTATTTTTCAAACCCAGTCCATCCAACATATAGGACTAGAAAAAGAACAATCAGGGAATCAACAAACAGAAAAGACGAGCAGAAAATTCTCTAGTCGAGAGGATAAACAATGGTTACTCGCACGGAACCCAACATTGTCATAACCGGCACGCCAGGTGTCGGCAAGACGACACACTGCGAGGTCCTGGCCGAGCGTTCAGGTCTGCGGCACCTGAGCATCAACCAGATTGTCAAGGACAAGGAGGCGCATGAGGGCTGGGACGACGAATTTCAGAGCTGGGTTGTGGATGAGGACAAGGTGAGTGTGGATAACCCTCAAGAGTCTCGTGTCCATCGAAGGGTTTGTGTGTGATATTTGCGCCACATGTTGGATTATCAAGACGGGGGAGAAAAGGCGCCTGCCCCAAGGGTTTGCACTGGAAACATCGCCGCAGGAGGGAAGCCATTGTCACATTAACATGTTGTTCTTTTACTTCTAGTATGAACATGTGCTAATCAAAAGGTCTCTAGCTGCTGGACGCCATGGAGGATGATGTTTCCAAGGGTGGCTGCATTCTAGATTGGCACGCCTGCGATCTGTTTCCTGAGCGCTGGGTTGACCTCGTCGTTGTGCTAAGGACGGATTCCACAGTCCTCTACGACCGGTTGAAGTCGAGGTAGATGAAATCAAACTTTGTCAATCCATGACGGAAAAAAAAAAAAAAAAAAAGAACTGACTGTACTCTATAGAAACTACCCCGAGGCCAAGCTGCAAGAGAATCTGGACAGCGAAATCATGGAGGTACTGCTGCAAGAGGCAAGAGACTCGTACAGCGAGGAGATTGTGGTGGAACTCAAGAGCGACGATTCGGACCAGATGGAGACCAACATTGACCGTATCGAGGCTTGGATTAAGCAGTGGAAGGAGGATCATCCCGAGGGCCACGACGGTAGCTCATGAGAAGGGATAGCATGTTTGTTCCATCATTTCAGCAATAACCAAAAAGGAGAAATAACAATGAATGAAACCAAGCCTGGGTATCACGTCTGATTTTCGTACGTTTGTTGTATACTTGCTACATTGGGAACATGTCAAAGAGCCTGCTAAACTTTTGAAATCCAATACATGGATTGAGCGTGGCTTCATTTGAATTCACAATCAGGTCAAACTACAGCATCTGTCTGAGCCGTGATTCCTTTTGCTTCAGGGACAAGATCGCCCTCGATCTCAACGAGCAATCCAAGGTTGCTTTCATACTATTCCTAATTTACAACGTTTCACTGTCGTCAAGTCAGGATACAAGCTGAAATCGGCGTGGGTGTCAAGGTCGCCGATGATGCAAAATAAACAGTATGCAATTGGGGGGTGGTGCCAAGAGAAAAAAAAAAAAAAAAAGCAAGCCCACCTCCAAAACTTGACCGGATGTGTCATATCACCCAAAACACTTTTTTATCTGCTGGCCGATCGGAGCCCGAGATGAAAGATTCCAGGTTCAAGAATGATATAGTCAAAATTTGGATCGTATTTAACGTCCAACTGGCTTGATCAGCACAATATTTCCTTCACATGTTGCATTTCCAATTCCAACATTGACATGCATCATACCTACATTTAGCCCCACTCCTCTGTTGGAATACCCACTGCACTATTCAAGCCTTAATCGCACCTCTACACCTCGGAATATCCATTCTTCATTTCTTAATCCTCAAGACACTGCAATAGACAACGACGAGTCGGTTAATCCCACTCAAGAACCCCCAGAGTCGGGATATAATTATAATCGAGCACACTATCATCTCGGTCACTCGCCACAAACACCTCCAACCAAGACCTTATTAAGCCGCAGAACAAGTTAAAGCAAGAAGAAAGAAGAAAAAAATGGCATCTCCCCCAATAGTCAACTTCATCACGGGCAACGCCAACAAGCTGCGCGAGGTCAAGCACATTCTGGAGCCCGCCATCACGGTCAACTCGCAGAGCGTCGACCTGCCCGAGCTGCAGGGCACCGTCGAGGAGGTGACGCTGGAAAAGTGCCGCGTCGCCGCGCAGCAGGTCGGCGGCCCCGTGCTGGTCGAGGATACCTGTCTTTGTTTTAATGCCTTGGGGGGACTACCTGGTCCTTATATGTGAGTTTATTCTTCTTCTTCTTTTTTTTTTTTTTTTTATCATGGACAAGGGAAAATCATGGTTTCCCAAAACTTGGGTATATTGAAAAAAAAGATCAAAGTAAAAAAGCCATGGCTGATCAATCCGGGCAATACAGCAAGTGGTTCATGAAGTCTATTGGCCACGAAGGTCTCAACAATCTTCTCGTGGCTTACGAGGACAAGTCGGCCAAGGCCGTGTGCACATTTGGCTTCTCCAAGGGCCCCGGCCACGAGCCCATTCTGTTCCAGGGCATTACAGATGTGAGTTGAAATAGTGATAATCTTGTTGCAAGTCCCAGTTCTAACTTATTTAACAGGGCAAGATTGTACCCGCCAGAGGTCCGGCCTACTTTGGCTGGGATCCCATCTTTGAGTACCAAGGCCAGACATATGCCGAGATGGACCAGGTAGAAAAGAACAAGATTTCGCATCGTTACAAGGCACTAGAGAAACTGCGAGTCTGGGTAGAGAATGGAATGAAGGACGAATAGATGCACATGGGACCATGGCAATATCATGAATTTCAAATCAGACTCAAATCAACCGCTCCTTCTGTGGTCTGTCTAGATGCCGTGTTCCTGGGCTCAACCCATCAAAGCCTTGAGACGATTCCGTCTAATCTAGTCTTTCCCATGCAAATAAACTCCCTGCTCTTGAAAATGCAACTCGATCCCTGTGAAAAATGCATGTAATGCAAACCGCGGCATGGTAGCCCCTTGAACCGTAAACTCCTTGCCCTGAACCCTCATTCCTCGAAACCCCTTAATGCCAGGATCCCCTGTTCTGGCCATGTTTTCAATGAACATGATAACGCCCGTTTCTCTCTTGTATGCACGCTCTACTACGGAAGCATCTGAGATGCGACCTTGAGTCTGCCCGACGGTGAATAGTTACCCATGGCAGCCTCTTCCTTGGTTCGGGCATCAGGAAGTCGAGATGTCAGCCTAATTGGTTGGTCACCAGTCAGTATACAAAAACAGTCACTTGATAAGAATGACTCACTTAAGAATCTCGAATTCCGTATACTTTCCGAGGTACCTGCTACCGCGCCGGTATTGCTTCAAAAGGCCATTAACCGATGAAGTGCGTGAATGATGCATGCCTCTCAACTTCATGACAGCATCCGAGTCGTGGAACATTGGGTCGAAAACGAGCAACTCCTTTGAGCCATTGGTCTTCTTTTCAAACCCGACAATGGTCATGGAATGCCCTCGATGCTGAAAGTAGATTGGTGGCAGCCGTGTGCGCCGGACCTTGTCGGAGACATCATAGTTTTCCTGTTCAAAATAGCTTTCGATATGTTGAACAAGTCGAGCCTCTGCATTGCCTGGGTGCGGATCCTTAAAACCTTGAGCATCGCATCTGTGATATCTGGATTAGAAACGAGACTGGACGTACTTGGTTAGATGGAAACAAGACTTACGGAATGTCTAGACTGAGAAACACGGCTTGCGCCTTTGCAACATGTCAGTCTAGTTTTCTACAAACCTTTCAAGGGACTTACCTCGGGAGTTCCAATGTATTTGCGTGTTCCTCGCACGCCACCAGTCTCGGTCCTTCCTGCAGCATTAATGTCACGATCCCAGGCTTCCTCGATGAATTCTTGGATGTCAAAGATGCTGGGGAGGTGCCCGTCAAAGACATGGGCTCCTTCTGCTCGAGCACCGATTACGTATGATGCAAGCATCTGAATATTCCGGTAACCACAGAAACCACCTTTGATTCATTGGTAAGCATCAAGCCAAAAAGTGCTTTGGATAAATTATTCAAAAGCCTACCTTCCTTTCTGAGTTTGGAAATGTGGTCAACAGCGGGATGGCAGAGGTAGGCATACTGTGTATCCCTACTCGACTTGAGAAGCCTGGCAATAATCGGTATCACGTCTGGGAAAAGTTTTAGAACATGCACACTAAAAGGCAAGAGCCTAGACATACCACCCTGTATGACTTGTCCCTTTTGGCGAAGTAGAGTAATCAGCCAATCGGGCATGGCATCCTCGTTGGCAAACCGGCCAAGTTCTGCTTTCTGTACTTGTTAGGATGGGATGCGGTCGGTCATGCATCAGGGGATAATAGACTTACCCCAAGTCGCTGCTTTTGTGGATGCGCTTCATCAGTCAGAGGCTGGGACGAGGCGCGCTTTCTCGTAATGGCTGGCAAGTTGAGAAAGTTTTTGAAATGTTCCTTGGTACCCGAATGATGGTGACGATGCCGTTGATGCCGCTCATCTGCCGAGCCGTGTCCATGGCGCTTGATGATTTCGAGTTGGTCGGCCTCACTTGATCCATAGGGCGACTTGTACTCCCTGGTTGTGTGCAGAGTTCTGCCTTGCTCATTGCCGTGAGAAGTGGTTGCCATTTCGCCGTCATGTTCTGCCGAGTGGAGATCCACGTGCTCATCCATCTCCATGAAAGCAATGACCTCGTCACAAATAGGACATGCTGCCCATTCCAGGTGATCTTCTGAAGAGGGTCGACTAGCCGAGCTCGATTGGTCCTGCACTACAAACGGCGAAGGTCCACCTTCAGGATGCTGTTCCTCCATGTGCTGTATACAATGTTGGCAAGTGAGATTCTTGCAAAGCACGGACAGGGACCTTACCAGTCTGAGGTGATATTCACTCTCGGGTCGAAAGCCGCAGAAAGGACAGTTTTCGACCGAGTGGTCTCGAGAAGAAGACGCGGCGCTTGGGGCAGTCATGGCGTAGAGACGCAATGAGGTGTTGTGTTGGCAGGACCATGCCACAAACAAGCTGTCCTAGTTGCAATGACGTTTGCGGAACTAAGCTTGAGAATGATCTGGAATCTTGTCTCGGAAATTTTCAAGAGAAAAAAAAAGAGTATGAACAAGTGCCAAGTTGGCCCTGTCTTTTGTCTTGGGAAGCTTGGTCCACGCTGGTCCAAGACAAGAGGCAAGAGCAACTACAACCCTTGTTGATGGCGGGGAGAAGAACGTCTGGACAATGCCAACCAGCAGAGGTGTCTCTTGGCTTGGGTGCAGGATCAATAGAGTTGGCCGGTAGATTCTTCTACGTCTCGGTCCAAGAGCAAAGAGATTCCGAATCGTTTGTTTGGTTACCAAGGGGTCCTCTCTGGCAGGCAGTGCTGGAAAGTGGGAAGGGGAAAGGCACCCCCGGATTGAGGCTGTGATTTGACCTAGCCTAGTCACAACGTGACAACTAAAACTGGCCGGGAAAATGTCACTGGTTTGTTTCGGCAGTCCAGTCCAGGCTCCCTCCTACGGTTTTGGGGGGGATTTATCAAACGTTTGCATCAATTCGTAGACCCTTGCTCGTTTTCGGTTGTCGCTGTCTCTTCCCTTTCCCCCAAAGGAATGTAGTCTGCTCTATCCTTGTTGAATGTCTCTGACACCTGAGAGCGGTAAAAAGTTGGAGGTTGCGTATGTACAGTCATTGTAGTAATGCACCACTTGCACGCCTATTCATGTTCTTGGCAGTTAGCGTCTATTATGCTTATTTGCATATGTTACCGTCGTGCCGGTATCCGAAGCTAGTTTATCAAGAGTCGAGACCCTGGAAATTCGTAAAAGAGGATCTGGTCCATCTGCCTTTTGTCACCAGTTATGCGACCCTCTCTGTGGATCTAGAAATGTGAATAGGTAATAATATGATGCCAAGCCTCGATAGCAATGGATCCAGTAGGCTTGCACCATGATAGGTCCATTGCCGTGTCATTTATACATGTAAATTCAACTTGATCATGGCTGATACTTGGTAGGGTCGTTTCTTTTTTTTTTTTTTTTTTTTAACAAGAAACCATCTGCAAACGAGTCAAACAAGAACACTGTCTTTTTGTATCATGTCTCATCTAAGGGTCTGTCTGTCATTATGAATGGCATCGAGTTTTTACTCCTTGCTGAACCCAAAATACCCATTTCATGCTTGCTCGCTTACACGGTGACATTCTTGAGCTTCTCGCCTGCTTGCTCAACGGCGGCCGCCACCTTGCCCTTTGCACTCTTTGCCTCCTTGGCCTTGACCTTGGCAGAGGTTGTGTCCTTGGGAAGCTCCTTGCTAAAGGGGATGAATTCGGGGGCACCTGGGAGATACTTTCGCAGAACCTCGGGAACGTTGAAACCCTACATGTCATTAGCATATGCCGGGGCACTGCAAGTTTAATGGGCAGACTTACCTCTTCCGTCTGGTAGTTCTCGAGAATACAGCACAGAGCTCGCTCCGTGGCGCACAGGGTCGAGTTGAGAGCGTGGACATACTTCTTCTTGGTATCGGTCTGGGCCTTTGTGCCAAACCGAATCTCAAGGCCACGGGACTGGTAGTCGGTGCAGTTTGAGCACGAGACCAGCTCCTTGTACTCGCCCTGGAAGGGGAACCAAGCCTCGAGATCGTACTTCTTGGAGGCGGCATTGTTCAGAGCACCAGAGACAATGGCAACCACGCGGTAAGGAAGACCAAGGCTCTTGTAAAACTCCTCAGAGTTGGCAAACATTGTGTCAAACATTTCCCAAGACTTTTCCGGGTCAGTCAAGCAAAACTGCTCAACCTTTTCAAACTGGTGGACACGGAAGATACCCCAAGCGTCACGGCCGTGGGCGCCAGCCTCTCTTCGGTAACAGCTGGAGTAACCAGCGTACTGAATGGGCAAGTCCTTGGCCTGGAGCCACTCGTCCGAGTGGAAGGCGGAAATGGGCTGCTCAGAAGTAGCAATCAGGTACTTGTCGTTTTGCGGTTCACCATCGACAACCTTGTAGAGCTCGTCGTCAAAAGCATCAAGCTGTGCCGTCTTGCCCATCAGGTCCTTGAGCATAAACTGCGGGCACTGCAGCGGTGTGTAGCCCTTTTCGCTGAGGAACTGCAGACCGTAGTTGATCAGGGCCTGGTTGAGGAAAACACCCCACTGCTTGAGAAAGTAACCTCTGTGGCCGACAACCTTGACACCACGGTCGGGGTCGTAGCCGTCTAGTCTTGTCAGAACCTCGTGATGGCTGAGCACGTCCTTCTTCTCTGGCGTGACACCCTCGGGTGCCCATGTCTTGAGGACGGTGTTGTTGTCTTCATTGTCGCTGACGGGAACGCTAGTTTCTGGTTCAGTATATTCCTCTCTGCGCAACTCTTGGCGTATCATCATACCTGTCGTGAACATAGTTGCCAATGGTCTTGACCAGCTTCTTCAGAGCCACATCCTTTTCAGCAGCCAGATCCAACAGGGCCTTCTTCTCCTTTTCGAAAGCAACCTTTTGGGAAAGCAACTCAGAAGCATCCTCCTTTGCCTATAACAAGAAAAAGAAACCATATTAGCCTCGAGCTTTTTTTTTTTCTTGAAACTTGTCCTCTCCCCCCCCAAAATTATATGAGTCAAACGAGCTCTCTGACCTTTTTCTTGGCGCCAATCTGCTTCTGAACTTCGTTGATCTTGGTGTTCAACTGCATGGCCTCGTAGTTGGTGCGGCGATGGTCCTCGAACATGGTAATGACCTCGTCAACCACTTCGACCTTGGCATAGCGGCGGCGCTGAGACTCGCGGATCTTCTCCGGGTCGCCGCCCCTCTCCTTGATAAAGTCAGTCACGTCGAGCATCTTGTCGGCGGTCGAATGGACTCGTGTTGGTGTAATAAGGATTCGGCGAGACTGGTTGATATCTTTCGGGCAAAAGTTTGCTCAAGTCTGGACCCAGAGAGTCGTGGCCGGTTGTTTACACCCAGATCAAGTACAAGTGTACGTATCACGGGCCTCAGAGTTCACAAACAAGGGGAATTTTTGGTGGGGTTGATTTCTTTGTCGAACGAGGGGCGGGCAGGTACCACTACGGCGGCGGGCGACGGCTGCTGGAGGGGTAATTCAAAGTCCCCTATCAAACTGATGCAAAGTCAAGATGTCACCTGTACCTGGAATTTGGGACACTCTGGACGGAAAAATTTAGTGGGGATTTCGAAATCGATGGGCAGCAACAGCCTGGAGGGGAGGGAGGGGCCTTGGGTTCTGTTTTATGGCGGGGCAATTTCCAGATTTCCCCAACTCCAGTGACACCCTACCTGTATTGAGTCTATAGTGGCGCAGCTTCGTACTCGAGTTGCGAGTCACTCGAGGGTCATTTTCGAGTCATGCCGTATGAATTAAAGTGGCGATGCAGGCCGGAATATACTCACAATATGCCCATTATCGGCGGAATGCATTACAACTTGTAGCACAATCTATATGGGATGGGGAAAGCCATATACAACCCACCTGTTATCAGACGACGCAAGCACACGATAAGCCTTTGATCAAGTGTTGTAAATCAAATCATCAAGCTGGTCATTATTAGCAAAACAAGTAGCAGTAGAAGCAAAAAGTAGAATATCAACATGGTTTCGTGAAACAACATCAATATGTACAGGCCACCTGTGGTCATCAGTCTCGGCCCTCTCTAGAATACCAACAAGCCAAACAGAAACAAGCTGGCAACACGTCAAGTCCAGCGTAAAAACAAAAGCAACTGAAGCCTGACCCCTTCCGTGAACACCGGTATCCATGTGCCCATAAAAATCTTCATCCACGTCTATGATCTTCGTATCCTTCCGTGATTGCCACTCGGCCTTCTTTCTCACATGTTCCGTGCCCTCTATATCTCCCTTTGCCGGCCCTCTCACTCTCTACTCACATCAACTGGCACTTTCCGCCAGCCGGGGCCTCGCCGGGGTTGGCACTCTTTTCAATCTGGGCAATGAGAACCTCAAAGGCCTTGCCAACGTTTTCGTTGTACCGGGCGCTGGCCTCGGTCCAGCCACAGTTGTACTTTTCCGCCAACTTGCGGCCGTCCTCGGCCGAGACCTGGCGTTGTTCGGGTCGCAGATCGCTCTTGTTGCCTACAATGACAATGGGCACCCAGTCCGTGCCCAAGTGGTTCAGAATCTTCTCCCTAATGACCTGAACCATTTCAAACGAGGGCAGAGAGGCGACCGAGTATACGAGCATGTAGCCGTGGATGCCGATAAAGTGCTTCGAGTTCAAGATGCTGTATTCATCCTGGATGGCGAGGGCGCCGAATTAGCTTTCTGCTTTGCCACGATAAAAACGTCCCCAATGCAAAATAGAGGTTGAAACGTACCTGTCCAGCAGTGTCGACAATCTCTGTAGCATAGTCTTGTCCCTTGAACCGAATCACTTTACTAAAGGTGTTTTCAATGGTTGGGTAGTAGCTTTCGACAAAGTGGCCATCGACGAATTGGACCGCGAGGGAGGATTTGCCTGTTGTCAAGGTCGCAAGGTCAGCAATTGGCATGGTCCGTCTTGCGCATATTGGCGATCGAGCGTTTGCACACTTGAGGCATGGTCGCAAAAGGAAGAAGAGGCTTCCTCTCGATGCTGAAAAATATGTTTCTTGTTTATTTTTTGTTGTGTATTTTCACTGACCGACTGATCGACTGCCGACAATGGCGACCTTTCTCTGCTTCGAAGGTGCAGGCATTGAAGGATTTGAGAAGCTGGTTGTGGCCGTAGGCAGGTAGAGTTTGTTTGGAGGGGTTCTGTTGAGATGTGTGTGTGTTGTCGGCCGAAATGCAGAGCGGGAAGGATTGAGTTTGGTCTGCACAAATAACAGATATAGATGGATAGCAAGTAAGCACTGCGTAAAAGTGCAAATCGAGCAGGTAGACAACAAGTATGAAGAGCTCCAACTGGGACCTCTTTTTTTTTTCTGGAGTCGTGCGTTGACAAGGAGGGACGAGACTCGAATTAATATGGTTATGACGTAGGAAAGTTGATCAATGATCGGGTTGCGGGAAGATCGATTGATTGATTAATTGACAGGATGACTGACAGTTTATGTGAGGGAGGAAAGGGGCGCCGGTCCGTTTAGCCTATTAAACAAAAGATCCTGTTCCCGCGAGCTTGATTACTTTTTTTTTTTCTTCCTCAAGGGTCTCGGAAAGGGATTTTTGACAAGAGACTACCAGTACCTTGCTTATTATGACCACTCACAACGATGATACTGAAACCTTTTGATCCCATTTGGGTAGTAGAGTGGATTCTGGCATCAAAACTGTGCTTTGGCACCTGACCTCAAAGTCCCCTGGCCTGTCCAGACTTTGGAGACTTTCTCGGGGTCTCCTCACTGGAAACTTAGGTGCATGTTAGGTGCCTAAGCTGTCAAGGCTGTGCATCTATCTGTGGAACTACTCATGTAAGGTCAAGGGAAAAGAAAGAGGAGCAAGAGGAAGAAGAAGCAAAGCTCATCCCCGCCATTTGCCGTTTTCTTGCCATTCCAAACTTGACTGACATCGCATACTCTTGCATGCTTGTTTGCAGTAGTCCATGTAGCCATGGTTCATGGTGTCTTGCAGTCTTGCAGTCTCAACACACGGCCAAGCCGACATACACTATCGATAAACGATAAGAAGACTCCGGAGCAGCCTCCGACGTGCCGCAGCATGCCTGAACCTTGGATATACAATGTCTTGCTTGATCATGCTACATTAGAATTGGTTCTTGCAGTATATACTGTATACACGCATGTTATGTAAGTCCCCCAGCCACTCCATGTTTGGTTTCGTAGACATTGCAATCAGCGCTTTATCAAGTACTGCGGATCGGGTCATGACTCGTGAAAGATCAAGTTGAAATACCGCCACGATAATGAAATTGCTTTTCGGTTGTGAAAACGGTGGAATCATCCCTTGTTGGAGATATATTCAGCCAGAGAAGGAGACCTCAATTGTCCCCTTTGCTGATATCATCTTCGCATCATCTTTTCAACATTCGGTATCCCGTGTCCAACAAGATGGCACAAGACTCTATCTGTCTTTGAGCTGGCATATCTTGCCATTTATTTGTTCTGCTGATGGATTCGTCGTTGCTTGGGGGCATACAAGTGCCGAATTCAACCCTTTTATCCCGTCCCTTGGCCAAGAGAAACATAATGAGACAAAATCTAGGATAACAGTACTCTTGATGAACTAAATTTGTCCTTCTTGGCGAGTTAAGAACACTTTTCGCGGCACCGTTTTGATGATTCTTATTTTATACGTGAGACAGTGCTCGGATGGAAAGGCTGATGGAGTATAATTGCTTCCAGCCAATGGGCGTATTTGGCTACAGTTTTCACTGCTCAGGAACAAACAGATTTCTCCAACCCATTCTTGTCTGTCCGTTGATGGGTTCCTAGCCTTGAAGCCGTCTCAAATGCTAGCAGCCGTGCTTCAAGTGCAGGAATCTGCAGCATGGGTTTTCGTTTCGTGATACGGGGCGGATATAAAGTACTGTCACACGTTGTCAATAAATGCTCCTCGTAGAATGAATTGCGCCAGTCCCAACATCTGGGGACGTTGAGGTCACTGCAGGAATACTGAAAAGAGTTGAACGAATTTTTGACTTGAATTGGGTATAAAGCTGTGATGACCACTGGTACCACCTAGATGGTTGTGGTAGGGCCATGTTCAGGTGCAACTATCGCTGCCAGGAGGGCTTAGATGCTCTCTTGCCCTCAAAGGACTCCTTGATCATCATCATTGTGTAGCCTTATCGCCGTTGGTCACAACCGACTTGCCCAACTTTGGGATTTCATATACCACAGCACCGTTTCTACCTCCCTGCACCTTTTTCCACTTGCCTAACCTGTGGTCTTTGCCCAGGGCTGCCACGACACACAAGCCGTCTCTACCGCGATCACCTCTTTCAAATACCGACAAATCATTAATGACTCCCTTGACGACCCAGGGTTCGCGGCCTATTTGGGGGCCATTGTTCTTCTTTTGATCGTCAGAGTCCTCGGATACACCATTGAACTCTGGGGAATCTCTCGAGCTAGGCTCGCCCAAGTTGCCAACAGGTAGTATTGACCTCTTGTCGTCGCTCAGCTTCCAGACTTTGACGACACCGTCCCATGATCCAGAGAGAATCACATCCGAGTAGGGAACAGTCCTCAATGCAGTAATCCACCGTGGCTGAGGGGGTGGTACAATACGAGCATCCGGAACTTCCTCTGCAGATATTTCTTCCGGCTTCAAAGCCGGGTCAAGGCCATGCGCTTGAGGCATGACATAGAGCGGCTTCTTCTTTGCCAAACTCCAAAGCGCACTGGAACACACGAGTCAGTTGGGAAATTTCTATAGCAAAGCAATGGTTCCACACGACTTACATGCTTCCATTATCAGATCCAGTGACAAATAATTCTTCATCAATCATGGATACACAGTCCATGCTGCCTTCGACAGCTAAAGATCGAGGATCAATGTTTGGTAATCGTTTCTTGTCAATGGCGCCGCCACCTCGGAATACGAGTTGTGTCTCTTCTACCACCTTCCACAGTCTGGCTGTTCGGTCACGAGCACCAACAGAGATGCAGCGTTCAAGGGCGAGGGCATCAAGATCCACAACTTGGTCGGCATGACCAAACAGCGTCTCTACGTATGCCATGTCGTCGAGACTCCAAACCTTGACCGTCCTGTCTTTTGATGCCGAGTACAGTTGATTCGACCCTCTCCGAAAGACTAGAGCTGTGACGGCGTCACGGTGGTGTGTCCATGCCTTGAGAGGCTTCATGGTGTTGGCGTCGTAAACGCATAGACGGCGATCCGTGCCGCCAGTGACCAAGAATTTTCCATCCTGTGATGCAGCAATACATAGAATCTCGCCAGCCACATGTCCTTGAAAGTCCTTGTCCTTTGATTTGGAAGGCTTGATTACGGCGACTTTTTCTGGTCGTTTCTTTGGCGGCGCTTGCTTCTTGGGCTTTTTCTTGGTCTTTTGGGGATATTGATACTTGGGAAGATCTTGTATCCTCCACTTGATTATGGTCCGATCCTTGGAAGCTGTGTAGCAGAATGGAGCGCACGTGGTGATATTGGTCGTTGTTAGAGTATCGGCTCGAAACAGGCAATGTGACGCCTTATCAGTAGCCAATTCGTCGGCAAGCTGACGGAAAACCTTGCCCTTGAAGACGGCAACGTCCTCCTTTAACCGTTCGGCAATAATATCGCGATCGACGTCTTCGGCATTGAAGCCTACGGCCATTTCCTCTTGCTGCCGTACGCGCTCCAGATATCGCTCGGCGAGACGCAATCGCTTCTCTGCGGCGGTTTCGCCCTCCCTTTCCGAGTCGGACCCAGAGTCCTGAGCCTCCTCATCGTCGGCCGCAACATTGTCATCCTCGGAATCGCTGCCAGAGATTGACTCGTCATCGCGTTCTTGCCGCCTGTTTTGAGGTGCGGCTTTCGGCGGAGCTTTGGTTGCTTTGCCAGAGGGTTTGCCCGTGCCTGCAAATCGTTTCTTGGGGCCGTCTGCAGTCGTGGGAGCCTGCTTGCGCTTCTTCTGCGCCCCGGGCACGGTGAAGAAAGACGACATACTGATCACAATGGGTCGTGGGCTGTCTCCCTGTTCTTCCTTCTCTCTCTCGTCTGCCGCAGTCGAACCCGTTTCTACGCAGCAAAAGTGCTACCAGAAAAAAAGTTTGGATCGACTCCAAGGAAAAAATTACCGATAACGATAGCGGGACAATTGACAGGGGTCTGTTCTTTTTTGGCTTCCACCAGCCAGAGTACGCTGCGGCGCTGGGCTAACTAGGTTGTGGCTGCTCACCTCTAGCGCTGCAAGTGCTGTGGCTCAACCTCCGACCCCCGACTCATTGTTCATTCGGGTGCCATCCCCTGCTAGGCACCTTCTTGGGGGGAGCTCCAGTTGGTGCTTGCCGCCTCGTCCACATCTGCCAGGCTGAAAGCTGCTGCGCGTCAAGAGAGCAATCGACGTAGCGCATGTCCATTACGCTCGGAAGGCTGGAGCTCGTCTTCAATCAACACATTCCTCTCCGTCAACCCCCATTACTTTCCCCAACGACAAGCTCAATTTTTTGGCAATACGGCGCGCATCTGATAGCCAAGGGAATCAAGACATTAATCGAATCCATCCTTGATTACCAAACTTGTCGACCTGTGAAGCTCAAAGCTTGGTGCACTCACCCCGAGCTACCTACCACGTTACCCACCAACCCTCGAACGACCATTTGACAGTTTCTCAAGATGTACGTCCTTGTCCTGAAGCAACTTTACATGTCCATACTGACTACTTGAATAGGGAAGTTCTTCTAGGTATTACCGGCAAGGACTTTACTCTGATTGCCGCTTCCAAAGCAGCAATGCGAGGAGCTACCGTCCTCAAGGCTTCAGACGACAAGACTAGACAGCTCAACAAGCACACACTGGTGGCATTCTCTGGAGAGGCCGGCGACACGGTGCAATTTGCCGAGTACATTCAGGCCAATGCTCAGCTCTACTCGATGCGCAACGAGACCGACCTATCGCCGACCGCCCTTGCGCACTATGTCCGTGGCGAGCTCGCTCAGAGCCTCAGATCGAGAAAGCCGTACAATGTGAACCTGCTTCTTGGCGGCGTCGACCCCATCACATTGAAGCCCAGTCTGTTCTGGTTGGATTACCTTGCCTCGTTGGCACCTGTACCCTATGCCGCTCACGGATACGCACAATATTACTGCCTGTCAATTCTTGACAAGCACCACCACCCCGACATCAGCCTAGGGCAGGGCATCAAGCTTTTGGAGCTCTGTACAGATGAACTGAAGCGAAGGATGCCCATCGACTTCAAGGGAATGACAGTAAAGGCTGTGACAAAGGATGGAATTGTGGATATCGAGTTCAACGATGACAAGATAGTCAAGAGCGCTTAAGAAGCAAGTGCGGACTAGCCAGTCAAGTGTATTATACCGAGAGCAAACACGAGCATCAGAGCGGCTTGGGAACCAATTCTGAGCTGGGGGTAATGCTCTCATGGTGGGCCATGGATCCCAATTGATGAATTCACATGACTATGATCAGCTCGTTTTTCCGCTATACTCTTGTACAACCTGGATACACGGTGCCTCGGTGTGCAAACTTGTGATGCTGCTAATGGACACCATATGGAGGCACAAGGTAGTAGCCCAACCCGCCCTTTGCCCTCAATTTCATGGATCTGAGGACTCACTCTCCGTGACCTGTGCTCTGAATCCAGTTTCTATTGACGGGTGATGTGAGCAAGACCCTCTCGTAAACTAGACGAGCTGTGCGTAAACAGTTTCTGCAACAGTTTTCGATAGACATATTTCAAGAGGCAAATGTGTATAGTCTCATGTGTCTGAGTAGAATCAGTCTTTGGGACATCGGGCATACAGACATGATTCGGGATGATTGCTAGCAACAACTGGTTATAAACACCCATCATATACCACACAAGATGGCTCAAGTGCCCAACTTGTCTCTACGTGATAGTAGGATATAAGGGTTACCAATTACGCCTTGTGCCTCCCTGTTTCATCAATAGCAAGATGAATTGCGTACTTGTTATACAGGTTGTGGCCCAACCTCCCAGTAACTTGTACGTCTTCCCAGCGGTGAGAAATGGAGAATTCCAACAGCCAGTTGCTGCTCAAACAAGTCAGTCTAATGCAACTGGGAAAAGCATCCCATTGGCAGGGAACCTCCAAAACTGCAGGGGCCGTTTAGCGACCATCCGTCTACTGCTTCGGCTTCTCCCAGGGTCTTGGGGGTCTAGATGGGCGACGATATTTGCTGCCGGGCTGCCCATTAATATGCACGGGCAAAACCCAATGTCGAGTTATTATAGAACATGTCAAACTTTTGCAACGATCATGGCCCTGCAGTTTTGTACTTGGTCACATGGAAAGTGGGATTAGGTCAAAGTAGCTGAGCCTGACTTGAGAGTACTCTGCAACGGTAATACAGGCCCAAGCTCACTGAGTGATGCCAGGTCTGGGGGTCAGTCAGCAAGCACCAACCCTCTCTTGATGCCGTCATTGACTAATACCCACTGCAGATAATGTGAGACTGCCAGCAAGAACTAAACACTGGAGGTTGGATTTAACCCACAGTGTGTATTGTTCGATACATACCCGTGCATCGCCACGCAAATAACAGACCAACATGAAAGGTGGTGCAAGGACTCGGAGGAGGAGAAGGCTCCAAAGTATCAGTAAATGCAGCATTCTGCAATCCATACAGGTAGTTTGCTTTAGACAGTGTACTTGCCCGCAGTATGACACCACCGTAGGGACGCAGGTATCCTGAATGTGGGCTGCCAATCAGCTACCACTAAAAAATCAGTATTGCGTTTGGCGTTTTGGCGTTTGCAGCGGTACGTGGGCGGCGTGGGCGGCGTGGGTAGCGGAAGGCTGGAGAACCTCTCCACAATGTGAGAAGGAGGGTGGCCAAAAAAACCAGAGAATCCTAAAAGTCGCCGTCATCCTCCAAGCCTAGCAGAGCCCAGTCAGACTCTACCTCACTACTGCAGGCTGTAGTCATTTTCCTTCTTACCCTTTACCCGATCTGCGTGAAGAGAAAGAGTTGAGAGGGCCGCATACAACCAAGACTGCACAGCGCACGCACACGCACACGAGGGAGGCGATAGATTTAGTACACTTTCGTCCCTAGCGACCAATTGGGGTAGCCGAGCGCTGGGTTGTTTCCATCTAAAAGCACGCTAACAATTTTATCAAGCGTGGGTGGACAGTGGAATTCTCGAACCTGCCGGAAGCCCAGCCGCTAGAAAGAGGAAACCCCCCAAAGCAATAGGCCCTGTCAATGTACCTTGACGCTGCAAAACAGTGGCTGAGGAACCTGGTCAGCGTTTGAACCCAAATCTCTTACCACAGACCCGGTGCAGAGATACAAAAATCTTTCTGCCTCTCCTCATCCCACGTTGGACCTTTTTCCTTTCACCATCACCACACCCCCCCTTCTCTTTCACGAGACTTACACGAAACACAGTTCTGCATTTGTTGTCTTCCTTTCCTTTGCGAAAAAGATTGGTTTTCTTTTTTTCAAGTCAGAGGATCTCGAGGACCTTCATTAGACGTGATTTTAGAGCAGTTTTTTTTCCTTCCTCACGAAAAAGCTGCCCAGAGGTCACATCGCACAGTACAGTACACTACTACACGTAATACCCACATAGAGAGCCCTTGTGTGTCTGGAAGCTATTTTTTTTTCAAGTTTCCATCCACTCTCTTTTTTTTTCTTCTTTCTTGTTGTCGCCGTCCCTCCCTCGACCGCAGCAACAACACAAGAAAAAAAGTCAGGAATCCTTTTTCGGTGCCTGACAACTCTCATTTTTCTCGTTGAGGAACAATCGTTCTTTTTTTACGAGAATCTTTTAATCGGCTGGAACGAAAATTTTTCCATCCAACAACAAACGAATTCTGTCATTTCAGGATTTTTGCTCAACCACCACAACAACCCCCCAAGTCAAAAACAACCATCCATCATGGCTGATCAAATCAACATGGGCGGCCTCAGCCTGGCCGACCAGCAGCAGCCTCGCTCCTACATCCCTCCTCATATGAGAGGTCGCGTCGGTGGCGGCCCCGGTCCTGCTGGTCCTCCCGCTGGCGTTCCCGCTGGTGTTCCTCCCGTCGGTCCTCCTGGTGCTGGCCCTGCCATCAACGGTGGCCTGAACAACAGCGCCTGGGCTGGGTAAGTTCTTTCCTTATTTTCGTTGACTGCTCCATCGACTGTCTCTGCCAAGATGACAGTCGAGAGTACATGTCGACCTCCATGTCTCAATTCAATATTGTGGCGAGACCTTGGCGCTAATTCTCATCTCGAATAGTAACAACAACTACGACGCTCGCCCTGCACCCGGTGGTTGGACCGGTCCTACCCCCGGTGGCCCCGACTTCCCCCCTCCTCAGCAGCAGCAAGGCGGCCGTCCTGGCGGCTGGAATAACAACCGCCCCGGCTTTGATCGCAATGCTTACGGCAATCCTGGTGCCGGTGGAGGTGGAGGTGGCCACGCCCGTGGCTCTGGTGACGGACAGTGGAGAGACGGCAAGCACATTGCAGGTCCTGCCAACCCTCGTGTCGAGCGCGAGCTTTTCGGTACCGCCGACGACCCTTCCAAGCAGCACACTGGTATCAACTTTGAAAAGTACGATGACATTCCCGTCGAAGCATCCGGTCATGACGTTCCCGAGCCTGTCCTGACCTTTTCCAACCCTCCCCTCGACGACCACTTGATCCGAAACATTGAGCTCTCTCGCTACAAGATGCCCACTCCCGTCCAAAAGTACTCGATTCCCATTGTCATGGGTGGACGTGATCTCATGGCTTGTGCCCAGACTGGTTCCGGAAAGACTGGTGGTTTCCTGTTCCCCATTCTGTCTCAGGCTTTCCAGACTGGTCCTGCTGCTACCCCTGCTGCTGGTGGTGGTTACGGTCGTCAGCGCAAGGCTTACCCCACCTCGCTGATCCTGGCTCCCACTCGTGAGCTGGTCTCTCAGATCTACGACGAGTCTCGCAAGTTTGCCTACCGATCCTGGGTTCGCCCTTGCGTCGTCTACGGTGGTGCCGACATTGGCTCGCAGCTCCGCCAGATTGAGCGTGGTTGCGATCTGCTCGTTGCTACTCCTGGTCGTCTTGTCGATCTCATAGAGCGTGGTCGCATTTCCCTCCAGAACATCAAGTACCTCGTTCTCGACGAGGCTGATCGCATGCTGGACATGGGTTTCGAGCCTCAAATTCGTCGTATTGTGGAGGGTGAGGACATGCCTACTGTCCAGAACCGCCAGACCCTCATGTTTTCGGCCACCTTCCCCCGAGACATTCAGATGCTGGCCCGCGACTTCTTGAAGGATTACATCTTCTTGTCTGTTGGTCGTGTTGGTTCCACTTCCGAGAACATTACTCAAAAGGTTGAGTACGTCGAGGACGTTGACAAGCGTTCCGTCTTGCTGGACATTCTGCACACCCACGGCGCAGGTCTTACCCTGATTTTCGTCGAGACCAAGCGCATGGCCGACTCGCTGTCAGACTTCCTCATCAACCAAAACTTCCCCGCCACCTCCATCCACGGTGACCGTACCCAGCGCGAGCGTGAGCGTGCCCTCGAGATGTTCCGCAACGGACGTTGCCCCATCCTCGTCGCCACTGCTGTCGCTGCTCGTGGTCTCGATATTCCCAACGTCACCCACGTTGTCAACTACGATCTGCCTACCGACATTGACGACTACGTCCACAGAATTGGTCGTACCGGTCGTGCCGGAAACACTGGTCACTCCACTGCCTTTTTCAACCGTGGCAACCGTGGTGTTGTCCGCGAGCTGATTGACCTGCTCAAGGAGGCCAACCAGGAGGTTCCCAGCTTCCTGGAGACCATTGCCCGCGAGAGCTCCTTTGGCGGCCGCGGTGGCCGTGGTGGTCGCTCCGGCGGCGGTCGTGGCCAGGGTGCCAACCGTGACTTCCGTAAGTTTGGCGGAGGTGGCGGAGGTGGCGGCTCCGGCTTTGGTGGTGGCTTTGGTGGTCCCCCCAGCGGTGGCTTCTCTGGAAGCGGTGGCGGCGGCGGCGGCTACGGCGGCGCTCCTGGTGGTGGCTACAGCGGTGGCGGTGCCGGCGGCGGAGGTGGTTATGGTGGTGGCTACGGTGGTGGTGGTTACGGCAACCCCACTGGTGGCGGTGGTCAGGCCTCTTGGTGGTAAATTTTTCCACCTGGAGCGTCCATTCTCTCGACTTTGAGGAGAGTCTTTTCCCGCCCAGTATATGGATTGTACACGCTCCATTAGGCGGGCTTTGTTTTCAAGTTTCCTTTTGTTTGCTCTTTCCGGTTATTGGCATTTTCGAGCGCAATACAAGCGACATCCTCCCTTCTTCTGGTGGACGCAGACTTCCCCGTCCAACACTGGCGGGAACGAGTCCCACGATAAAGGACTTCGGCATTACGATAGACAGCATTCGTCTTTTGTTTCGGCTGCACACAACAACAGTAACGCATGATACCCATAGACGTCCTGACGACAGGACGACTTGCGAGAAACGCAGCTGCATGAGGCGAGAGGCGAGACTTTTCGACGGGGGACAGTATGAGGATGATGTCCTGGATGGAAAGTAACGTCTTATGCCTTTTACGAAGTCTATTTCAGCTATGATGTACTTGTTTTCGGCCTTTTTGAGAAGGGAGGCGTCACCAAGAAAAAAAAAGAAGATCGTTCTCTCATCACATAGAACGGGGTCTGTTTCGCTGCATTGCGATCGATCGATCTGTTAATGGCATACTCAACATAGACAAAAGTGGATTTCTCGGTTCTCTGGTTGATCAGCTCACGTGGTGGTGAGCCCATCATCGCAGGATGGAACCCATTGGAGGGCTCATGGACATAGAGACAAATGGTTTATTGTTCCCGAGGCTTAATGGACAACGAAAAGAAGAAAATTCAGGCGTCTGGCGAGCAGAGTTGTGGCTGCAAAGCCCATGTCAGGTCTTGGCAGGCATTCTGCATAGGAGGACGGCTGAAATGATGATGGCTCAAGGCCCTTTTGCACGGTTTCGTGCTGTGGTGGATAAAGCATAGGATGCTACCACAATGGACTGAGAACTCCCGACTAAATACAAAAAAAGTTCATTGCTTTCATAAATGTGTCTTATCGTGTAAAGTTACTTGTGATCTTGTAATTGCCGTATTGAAAGTTGTAGCTTCACTATAATGCCTCACGTGACAAGGCGTCGAGACTACAAATGTCAACCGCGATGGTGGGGATTTGGTGTTTCTTCACGTCATTCATTCCTGTTTATATTGAAAAACAATTTATACGTGCACTTTTCCCTCGCTTTTTATTTTACAGCGACCTCCGCAGCAAGTTGCCTCGGATTGAACGAGGTGCAAGCAATACAGCTCATCCATCTCAAGATCACCTACAAGGATCAATACAATGGTAAGCACATGACCAAACCACCAGCTTTTCAACTCGAAAGCTAAAATACAAATCATTAGCCACCAAAGCGCAAAGCCGCATCAAGTTCTGCTGCGGCAGCGCCCAAGGAACGTCAATCCAAGCTGGCCAAGGAACACAACATCACGGCGCGAGAAGAGGCCGAAATTAGGGAAGCGTTTGCCTTGTTTTCCGAACCCATGGATGGAGAAAAAGAGGGCGTGATACCGATTGATGATGTGAGGAGAGCCATGGTGTATGTTTTTTTTTTCTCTAAATCCTCTTGTTTCACTATTAGATTACTGATGATGGAATCTAGTGCCCTGAATATCCCACCGACCAAGGCCGAACTCAAGGAGTTCCTAGAAATCCTCGACCCAGACGAGGAAGGCCACGCACAATGGGAACCCTTTGTCGCCATTTGCGCGCTCAAACTGCACCAGCGAGATGACTCCGACGACGGAGACGAGGCCCACGCCGCCGAAGTCGCGGAAGCGTTTGCCTTGTTTACCGGCTCGGGAGGAGGACAACAACAACAAGAAGTCGGCACCGAAACCTTGACTATCGCCCATCTTCGTCGCGTCGCCATGACGCTCAAGCAAGATGTCCCCGAGGATCTGCTCCGCGACATGGTTCTCGAGGCAAATTACGGCGCCGGCGTCGGCAGGGGCGTCAATCGCAAAGAGTTTGAAGAGGTGATGCGGCGGGCGGGTGTGTGGAAGTGAACCACTGGGCCGACGAGAAACGAAAAGTACCTGGGGAGGATGATATCGACGACACACTTGCATGAATTTATTGCTTTACGATGGGCAGCGCAAAGAGTTGTAGACTCTGCCGAGCAATTTTCAGTCGAGGGCATCGTGGGCACCCACCACAACGAACGAGTCTGTTTAATTCATATCGTCGAATACCTTGCTGACCATGGTAAGGAATCATAGACATTAATTTCGACCACGTCTCATGGTCATGGGCAGTAGTTATGACGGCCAGGCTGCGATTGACACAGTAAATACCACAAGAAACCATAAAAGAAAGCACAGGCGAGTAGTCGGTCATCTGCGGACTGATGTATCTTAGATAGGGTATATTTTGTTCTCTTGAACCATGCTCGGGACTGTCTAGATTTCCGTATGTTCTTTGTTTTTGTTTTCTGCAGAATCGTTCCAAAACGCCAAGGATATGCTGTATATCTGAATCGAATGGTTTCCGTGTTTGGTCATGCTTTCAGCTTGTATCCTGAGAATCTCCTTCTGTGTAATTTATCCACCGTTTATCCAAACCAGGGCATCCTTCAAGCGTCGCTTGCTTCCGCCTCAGTCGGTGCTGGGACTTGGACCTTGGCATTGGCAGCAGCCGCCTCTTGTGCTCTCTTTTGCGAGTCTATCACGGCCTGAAGCTCGGGCGGTGCCTTGAAGCCGGCGTGTTCCGAATGCTTCTTGTAGAAATAATTGTCAGGACCCTTTGGCCGGAGCTCTTCGGGCAGCGATGTCAGGACGACTTCCAACAGCCCGTCGATTGACTTTTGTTTCGAGGCATCTCGGTGCCAGATGGAAATGAGGTGAGAGTTGAAGCGCACCGAGAGTCCGACTCCGCAGATTTGGTCTCCTGTGCAGAGAGACCATGTGAGCAATTCGTCCTTTGGACATGTAGCTTTTGTTCTGGGTTGTATATTTCGGCTTACCTTTCTCAAGAACACCCTCGAGTGTTTCACTAATAGCCATGAGTTGAATCCACTTCCAAAACTCACGGCCAGAGCTCTTGGGCACACGAAAGGTCCACGAGCCTCCCAGGATGTTGCGGCGGTCCTCCCAGATGGGCTTGTATCCCTCCTTGAACAGGTAGATGGACTCGCGCATCTTGATCTGCTCAATTGGGATATTGTTCTCGTACCGCCAAAAGTCGGCGACCGACTTGATCTCAGTGTCGAGCTGCTCGAGCGTGGCATGGTAATCACCATCTTCGGCCTTTTTCTGGTCCTTGGCCTGCCTGGAGGGAGCGAGAAGGAAAATGACGTATCAGTGAACAAGCTCGAGGCAACAAGGAACAAGAGGCAGGTGGGCTTACTTGTCAAAGTAGCATACCCAGACATGCTGTGTCGGCAGGCGCATCGTCTGGAACATGTTGGCCTTGGCGCCGGCTCGCTGCTCAGCCGGGGAGCTGACATTGGGCGAGCTGGGATCGCTGGCGCTCTGGGAAAGCGACGACAGTCCACTGGTGAACATGCCCAATCTCGGTCTGCCTGGAGCTGCCATCTTGTTTCTTTCCGTGTCTGTCCTGTTGTTCCTAGTCGAGTACAAACGATAAAGTAGACCCGGCGTGGAGGGAAGGGGAAGAAAGCTGGACGAGATGGATGCTTGTTCAACTAGACTTATAACCCGTCTGAACAAGACTGATTGTGCTGTGCTGTAATTTCCCGTAGGCCGTTCTACAGGGTATATAGCAAGCCGTTGGGAACTTGTAGTAGTGACCTTGTGAAAATATGTCCAGGTATGTTGTTGGTCTGTTAATCAAGGTGATGCAGTACCAGTAGAACGGTTGCCGTCGATCGAGGGGCTACCTAATCTCTCCACTCCACTGGGGAATGATACCTTGTAGATACCTAGTAGTTTGGTGGACAAGAGCCAAAGAACCTTGAAAAGATGGCGAGAAAAGAGAGAGGACAGAATCAAGAAACCAAGACAAAGCCCCCGACCCAACGCCCAAAGGAGTGAGTAGATCGATCGAGAGAGAAAAGGTGAACCGATGTGATGAAGAAAGAGTCACAGATGGGATTGACGACCCGTGATACGGAGGATACAGGTCAGGTATCACACGTTTCAGTGCATTGATTCCACTGGATTGGGGGGTCGAGGGGGAGCTGAAACAATGCCTACTGCACCCTTCTTGGCCAGTTGAACTCGCTGGAACACTTTCTTTGGCTGCCCCCAAAGGACCCCGCGCTCAGGGGGGTCGGATGTGTTGGACGGCCTAAACCCATCCACTACCAAGACGCCGTCGCCATGGCCCCATTGGTGGTGGACGGGCGGGCAGATCCACGGTCTCTGCGCTACTCTCAAGTGCTTGCATTCTTCGAATCAGATCCATCATCACGGTAACTTTTTTCTAGCTTTCCTTCTGTTAGGTCCTGTGGATTTGGATATCGCAGCGAACCGGACGAGAGCCCGGGCTTTCAATCGGCCCCCAGTAGCCCCCAGAGACCCCCCGGAACAACTGTTGTACGGTTCCCATTCGTTGACGATCGGCGGGTGCAACATGTAATAATATACAAGGCCTACCGCCGTGGGTCAGATCGCTGTCAGCGTTACATTTGGTTGCATCGTTTTTGGGCAACTTTTACGTGTTGCTGGCTGCTGAATAGCACAGTATATTCCAATTGAGCACGTACAAGTGGGCGGAAATTATAAAAATACGAGAACCGTGTCAATGTTGAAAAGTTCAAGGCAGATTTGACCCATTAAAAGGGAATAGAAATGCTGCGGGATAGTTTCGTCATGGTGTGAGCCGGACTTTTGCCAAGGTCGTCTACAGATTATAATCAGTCCCACCATCCCCATTCAACTACCAAGAAAGTAGACTTTCATGGCATGCTTGAATTTTATACCCGCCACAAAAGGAAGAATTATTCGATTGACTTTTTGGAATTTCAATCTGCGTCTTGGTAGAGGAACAATGTAAACTCAATTACACCTCAGAGTCTTAATTAGACTTTCCCAACGGTCATGTATGGCATGTGGCTTTTGACTTTTTTCTGGCAGCACGGAAGCTAGATTTTGACGTGTGTGTGTCGCCGGTAACCTTGAGTTAATATTTAATATTAGAAACACCAATGTATCAGTCGACATGACATGCGTGTTCACCAAGATGGGCGGATACAACACTGGCAATTGTACACTGGGACGACACTCGACATGTCCAACAGTCACACAGTATCACAGCATCAAAGACGAGAGTGTTTACTTATTGGCTTTTCTTTTCTCCATGGTCAAAATAGAGATACAAAACATTCGTGGATCGCAATAGGTACGCCCGAACTCAACTATTGACGAGCTTTGCAAGACCTCGAGATCATCCACCACTTATGCTTGTTCACCTGGGCCAGAAACCCCCAAACTCCATATCAACATGATCGGGTACAACATTGCCCAGTCATGGTCAGCGTCAATCGCAACCATTCCTCCTATTATGGGTCTTGCCCCATGTCCCAAAAACATAGCAAAAAAACAGTCCAGTATCTGGCAGTTGATCCTTGTCTACCAGTTCATGCCCAATGTCTATCGGCCAAAGACGACCTCCAATTGTAGGATTGACATATCCTCTCTTGAAGACGGAGAATTGTGTAGTGAGAGGAGAGGCCTGTCGACAATGGGAAGAGGGGAAAAAAGTGCTGAATCCCTAATTCTCCCCAACTGTGCTAGACAGATGGCCCACCAGCCGTTGCAGTGGCCATGGAAAGATAAGGAAATCGCCTCTGCCAGAAATAAAGACCCGATTGCGCGTGGTACTGTACGAGTACTCTCAATACACCGATGGATTTGGTCGCCCCAGTCTCTCTTGAGGACTTTGCTCCGATGCGTATGTGTGAAATCAATGCCCATCAGGCTAACAAGACCATCACCCATTTAGATGAGTGAGCAGAAGCAGCCCGGAAAACAAAAGTTTCCACCCTCCACGAAACGTGTGTGTGAAAAAAAAAAAGAACCCAAATCAAAGTTGACAAAAGAAAATCCCTGATGCAAGAAGGAATAGCAGTGGTATCAGAACGCAGACGCCGTGTTTCGTGAGATGCTTGCTTCGCCATGCAATTGGAATCGATGAATAAATCGATCAAATGTGGAAATAGACATTATGCTGAATAACGCCGGAGCAGAATGATGAAAAGTTGGCAAGATCGTGAAGAGAGTCGTTACGGTCATTGAGAGGCCTGGACACACCAGTGGCGATGAAAGGCCCAGGCGCTCTTTTGACACTCCTTGCTGCAGTACTTTGTCCGACGGCAACGACGACACTTGGCAAATTGTCGTGTAAACTCCTCCCACTTGCCGCACTGGTAGTAGGCACACTGGCGAATGCCACCTCGGGTATCGTCCTTACGGCAGAGGTTTCGCATAACAACCCCAGCCCAATACTGCATGTCCGTGCTGTGGTATCGGACTGTAAACTTTTCAACCAAGGGAAAGATGTTGAAGTCGTTGGGAAGAAGGTACTCCTCCTCATCTTCCTCCTCGTTCGTGGACTCGGGCTTGACATTGTCGCCATCGAGCAGTTGCAGCTCGCTGCCAATCTTGAGCTTGGGAACAAGGTGGCTGTTTTGGAAATATGAGCGCAAGTTGCAGTACTTGGAAACGTAGGCGAGAAGCTGTAGCGACATGAGAACATCCTCCTCTCTAGGCATGGCGGCCAGCATCTGCGGGTTGGAATTGGGCAGAGATCGATCCAACAAATAACGAGGCACACCTCCGGAGTGGGTAGCAAGTGTGGGCGGAGCAGTGGGAACCACTGGTCGATTCGGAGAGAGGCCAATGGTGGGAACGGGTGTAGTGGTACCGGTCTGGATGCTACCATCAACAGGTGCGCGGTGGGTAATGTTGAACGTTCCAGCCTCGGGAACCTCGGAGACGGTGGGTGTAGTCAGCTCCAGACCAGTACCGACCAGAGTGCTGTCACCCTCGTCCATGGCAATGTCCTGGAATCCAACAGCAGGCTGCATCTCATTGTTGCCAGACATGTCTACATCCTGTGACTCGTCCGACTGGACACTCTCGGCGTTCAAATCATCTGAATCGACATTGGCATCGGCCGTGGAGTTTTGATGTCTGATGGAGGGGCGTCTACGAGTACGAGCATTGGGGCCGAGAACCGAAGCCGGTCGCACAGTCGGGGATCGAGCCTGAGGGGGCGGCAGCGGGGTCGTCGGCGAGGCTGGCTGCGATGTGTTCAAGCCAGGATGAGGAAAGACGGGAATCATGGAGGGCAGTCGATCGACATCGCGAACAGGGCGAATGAAACCATCAGCATCACCACTGGGGCCAGCACTGGCCAAGGGCTGGACGACATTACGCGCAGGAGAAGCGACAGTCTGGCGAGACTCGTGGCGGTGTCCATGGTGGTGATGGTGGTGATGGTGTCTGTGGCCGGTAAAGGTGGTTCGGTCAGGCGGCGAAGTGACTGGAAACGAGGGACCTGTCGGAGTGGCCTCGAGGTTACCGTGCTCAGCGGTGGTTGCAGTCGAGGGACCGGCAAAGCTGGCAGCTGATACATCAATCGAAGGGGGCGGAGCTTGACGACGGAAAGGACGTTGCTCGAGATCGCCGCGGCTGGTGCGATTGGTAAACGAGGTCGACTTTGAGCTATCACGATGAGAATGGCTGCGATGGCGATGGTGGTGCTCGGAAATGTGCTTTTGCTTTGCCTCCTCGGCCTTTTCTCGACACTTTTCAACCACCTTGATGTAGTTGTCGAGAATGGTGGCAATGACAGGAACCATGTCGGCCTCGACCACGCGTGTGCGAACTCCCTCGGTACCACGAACACCTATGTTGACGACGCACTGAAAGGCGAGATTCCACTTCCACATGTCCATCATATCCTTGCTTCTGCCCTGCTTGAGGATGCAGACGAGGCGCTCGATGCCTCCATCGACGGTGAGAATGTCTCGGATTCGAGCAGAAGATGTGGTCAAATACGCAAGGTGGTTTAGCGAGTTGATGAGCGGCAAGGTCGATGTGCAGTCGAGGGCTCGACGGTCGTAGAGAGCAGTGGTGATGCCCACCGATGCCTTGTTGACATTCGGGATACTGAAATTGACCTCCCTCATCTTGTCGGATGGATTTGAATGTGTTGCAAGGTAAAGGGTGTATGTAGGCTGACGATGCAGCAAAGAAAAGACCGGAGCCGGATCAGCTGAGACAAAATGTCGATGGCTGAGGGATTGCCCCGGTAGATGACTCGAGACGCACAACCAACCCACAACGCGCAAGGCTGTGAATGTGGCTCCGAGATGAATGGGGATGATCGAGTTGGGATCGTTATAGTATATAATGAAAAGTAAGAAGAAGAGAAAAAAAGGTCCACGGACCCCTGGTGTATTGCGAGTTGCTTGATTGAGATGAACGCGTTTGAGGATCAATGCGGAGTCGTTAATGCAGGCGGGCGATGGTGAGAAAATGACCCTTGGTGGATTGGGCCTCGAAGGAAAAAAACACCGTGGGAAAAAAAAAAGGTCGCAACTTTTGGATCTTTTCGAGTATGAGATGGATTGGAGCGATGATTTGGTGAAAATGTTTGTTTTGTTTTTTTTGGAATCAAGTCGGTTACGATGAATGTCTAATGCGTCGTGATGCGAAGGGGGGACAACGAGATTCGAGAGCCCAAAACAATATTTGATCGCTGATGGCAAATGTGGATGCGTAAGCAGCAGAGGCTGAATGTTTGCGACTCGTTTCGAGTTGGTAGTGGAATGACTCTTTTTGATGAGAGTAATCCAGAGATTCGCATCGGTTCGCAAAGTCGTCGTCGTTGAAATGCTGGTCGACCGTTTAAACCAAATACCTCAGACCGCCGCTTCTGAAGTAAGTCCTTTTTTGCGGGTGGAAACAGTGTACTCGAGAGACCCGGGAAGAGACAAGAAACCCGAGAAATCTCCAACTCCACGCAGGTTGTCAGTCAAAAAGACACTGCTCCATCCAAAAGCCTGGGACTGGATGCAGGAATGGGAGGAAAAAAGAAGAAGGAGAGGCTTTTTTGACGATTGAAGATGGGGGTTAGGAAGGGGGGGGAGTGAGAGATGCGGGTTATCGTCGTGGGATTTGGAGAGGTGGAAGATTGATGAGACTGGGATTGAGAGGACCAGGCTGTTGGAAATCAGAAATTCGGGCCAGGCAGTTTAGTTTGAGTACGTTGCGCGCTGGGAAAAACCGTGGTAGGTACATTTAGTAGTGCGTGCGGCGTGGGCGTGAGAGCATGGGCAGCAGGCAGGCAGCGGCTGCAGCGTAGGCAGTTGAGCAGTTAAGCAGTTTGCTCAGTGCGTGCACGCGAGAGGCCCGACAGCCCAGAAGAACCTTAATGTCGTCGGCTGGTAAGGCCTGACTACCAGCGACTAGGGTCCCCAAAGGAGGCGTGGCGTGTCTTGCCCTTCTGGCGGGTCCGAGGCGTTCTGTCAGCGTTTACTGGCTGGCTCTGGCGGGGCCGTTCCTTTTTGGCGATTGAAGCCCCCTGTTCTCTTGATTGCTGTATAACTAATGTAGAATGTCGCCCCCTTCATAAAGCTGCCAGCACTTTTCAGGAGCAATCCTTTAGCATATGGCGCTGTCCGCTTTGTTTGATAGGTACCACTCGCGGGCGGCATCGGCTACTAAAGGAACTACACTAGCTGGGCATTGTGAAATTACCCCCGATCAACATACGCAATCCCACTACAAGAAATTACTAGGAATAGACTTGTAAATGACCACAATATTGATCAATTCATTGCACGGGCCCTTGATGTTATGACGATTACCTCGGATTAAAGACTGTCGTGTCCTAGTTGTCAAGTTCCAACAATGGCAAGAGATGTCGTGCGTGGCCATGAAAATACAAGTACCTACGTTGTAGGCAGTCGGCCTGTAGCTAGAGCTGTCAATCGGCGTGCACGAGAATTCATCATCAGATGGAGGCAAAAATGCAGGCTCCTTGGCCACCCTGTGCACCACTAATCCACTGGAGGAAGAAAAAAAAAAAGTCTGTATAGCTACCTGGGTAGACGGTATTTATGACGTCTGTTGGCTTGGATACTTTTGTTGGTCTATTCAAATTTCGAGCCGCCATGCCCGATGAAAACTCATTTTTCACCATGTGCGAAAGAATCTTTGCATGCATTTGTTTGATTGAGAATCTGGGATGAAGAGACATTTTGGGAAGATGATTCCATCGTATTAGTTGCTGGTAATAATTGAGCCTCACCGTACTGTAGGTACTCGGCCGGGTAATTTATCCACCTATTTATTTCACCATGCAAGACCCAAGTAATTGAAGCTGCCCTTGTTCATTGATAAATTATAGCTTGCATTTAGCTTTTTGAGCACGGGCTGTTGAGAGATCCATTCATCATCTTCACGTGAGCACAGCAATTACTTATTCCACCATTTCGACATGTCTATAACATTTTCAACAACCTCGAAGCGGATTCTCGAGTGAACAGTCTTCTTGAACAGGCCCCCGCCACTTGGTCGGGGGACTACGGGAACCAGGTTTGTAATAGAGCCAAGCGTGCAAAGTATTTCAGGGCCTTGATTAGCTCCCCCACGGCGGATCACACGCTGGTAGAGGTTACAAGGCAGGGTAACCTCCAACTTGTAGAGTGCATTTTTAGTCTGGACAATTGGCCCTGAATATCAAGTGTGACATCTGAGTGTTGCCCATCACGGCAGGAACAATTGTTTATAGCCAGAAACCCCTCATCTCTAGCCTTTTTTTTTTTTTCCTGGTTTGGTAATAGGCCTACTACCCGAGATTCTTGTCTCGTCTGTCAATCACTTGTCCATTAACATGCCCATTACTGAGAAAAAAGCCTATTAAAAAGACCCTGAAAGTCTAAATACAAGTAACCGGCAAGGGCTTCTTCTAGCTTCAATGTTTTACAAGAGGGTCCCACACTCTTTTTTGGAACAAAAGTCAAAAACCCCGACTCAAGTCCATGCCGCAAGTGTTTCCAGAACAATAAGGAGGCGAACCCCCCAGGGAAGGGACAGGGACAAAGAATGAGCTCCGTGTGTCAGGCCAAGCCTCGAGAGCCAAGACTGAGAGCTCAAAACTTGCCCGCAAAAGGTCGATTTGGGCCTCGATTGGATCAGCGTCACAGACATGGAAACTCCTTCCAACCGGCTTTCTCGAAAGAGTCAGGTGAGAGCTCGGAGGCCAAATACTTGTGATACTTGATGTCTGGCTACATACTACAAAGTGCTAGGTAGCTGATGTGCGCTCTCCACACCACCAGGTCATTTGCCTGTGAGCCAATTCGCCAGCCTTTCTCAATCAGTAATAAAATCGCCCACATTGGGCTCCGACATTTCATCACACAGACACACACACACACATCTCATGGCATGTTGAGCGAATACATGTCGGTTTTTCACACTTGGCAGTACAACCTGCCATGACAAACCGCCACAACACCATCTTGGCCCATACCAGCAGCCCTAGAGTTTTATCCAACAGCCGTCGGACCACGAACTCAAAAGATGGAAGCTTGCCATGTTTAGTTCTTGTTGGCCGTGATTCCCAAGATATAACAAGTAGCGTTCATCATTGTAAGCGCCTTGACTTGCTGCCGGCCGTGGGCATCTTTAGCACCCCAGCCACGGGATATCAATCCGAGGCACCAAGAATGTTCGAACCCCGCCTTGCAGTATCTTGTATTGCTTTCTCAACCCATATCGGCCCAAGTGTTATAGTCCAATGGCATGCCAGATTCAAGACTCCTCACCTATCAATTGTGTCTTGATGCAACTCTAATTCGGCCCTGCATGCGTTTGTCATGTTTGTGTGTCTGCCACTCGCCACTTTGCAACCACTGCCCTTGGCCAGATCTTTGAGCTCATGTCGAAATGGATACCTCGTTCGGGAATACTCTTTGAAATGGTTCTAGGGTGACATGCACCATGGGTTTTCTTGTATACATGTAGGCAATGTCGATGTGCAATCAAGTCATTGTACCCAATGTGGTTACCTAGTCTCGGTGGTGCTTGATCTCAATTGCTTCCTTTTGTCTTGCATCTTTCCGTCTGCACATGGATGCTAATCATGGCAAGTCAAGACAAGCATATCCCATCTCGCCCGTAGCTACATGCCGATAACTCGTTGATATGGGACAAGTTGACACATGGTGTTGGTGCAAGGTACGGGCAATTTCGTCTGAACCTGGGCACTGTAAGCTATGCAATACCTCATGTACGAGCTACAGCGCCAGTTCTTTTGAAGCGCCCGCTCTGGGGTTCAGTTGGTTATTGACCGCCATGCGCGTCTCACCACTTGTAGATACCTTGGACTTGAGTAAAAGTCCGATTGTCTGGGAAAAAAACAATTCACACTAGACGTGTGTCGACGCCTACAGATACCATGACGAGATTCGAAACCAAGTAAATCAGAGGCGTGTTTTGCCGACGCGAATAGTAAATCCATCACGCGGCTAATACACCACCCCTGATGCAGCTACGGGCAACACTCACCTCCAACCTTTTTAGTCTCATTAGATCCCCAGTACCAGGTCATGACGCCAGCAAACAATGTTGGCTGGGTTTTGTTGTAAGCAGTCGAGCTTGCAAATGGTTAGATGGACGCTCAAAGACAAGGAGTAAATATCCAAATTTGGATTATACAAGCATTCCATCAAATGGGCGCGGGAGGCAGGCCGCCGCACAATCCTTGTCCAAACGTAGTAGCAATGGGTACATTTTTAGTTGCCGCCACGGCACAAGCGGGCGCTGGGCGCTTACAAGTTTGCAAGTCAAGAGGAACAAAGTCAACTTTAAGCCATTCACTTCACATGGGCACTAGGTAAAAGTGCCAACCACCTCTCTCTCTCTCTGTGCCCTCCCTGCGGACTGGCGGTCTGACTCTGGCTTGAATACAGCCGAGACGTGAAAGGAATTCCATGATTCGTGCGCCCGGAGATGGCTCAACTACCACTGACGTAGACATTTAGGTCAAGGAGAATGAGCAATGTCGTGTATTCTACTGTGTATCACCATGGTATACAAGCAGCTTGGGAAGACAACGTCCTTGCGTGCATTTCGACCCAGTCAAGTCCTTGCGTTGAAAGAATCTCAGGCCCAAGGTGTAGGCTAGGTCGCCCTCTGCTCCGGCGGGCGGCACAACCGAGCCGAACTGGGTTGACCCGGACCGCCCAAACTGCATCTCTGGGTTGCGTCTGTGCTCCCACCCCTCCGGCGGGCATGGAGATGGGACCCCCAGACAAGCAAAGATATGGGGGCTGGGTTCAAGGTCGGGTAAGCAAGTGGACAGGACAGTGGGGGTTGCCTCGAAATGTCCAAATCTTCAACTGTACAGTAGAACCAGGTAATCTAGGTCAGCGCCGTGCCGACGGGAGGCTCAAGCCGTTGTCATGATTTGGCACCACATGTTTAGTATTCATTCTCGACGCCATATCGCCGATTTCTGGGCAGGTCATGTCTATAGATTCGGCGCTTACTACGGCAAGAAAGACTATACAATGACACGACAACTCTTGATATTATTCTTTCACTCGTACCATTCCGCTCGGCCACCTCTAGACACCTGGAGAAATATGGAACTCGTTCCGCTCACGTCAGTATAAGTTAGCAAGCATAGGTAGCGTTCCTTGAAATATGTTGAAACGGGACCCGTCTCAGGATCGCAGCAACATCGGGAATATTAGGCACGTGAAGCACCACCATTCAATCCAAGCAGTATTCTTTTCCGTTGGGATTGCGGGACTCTCTCTACTGTCAATTTTATGACCGACCCGGGACCGAGCCCGATATCTGTTCGCCAAGGACGACCCCTCGCGACGTTTAATGCAAACCGCAAAGGTCCGTGATGGGAAATGCACCATGTACGACGAGTGCCGTGACTCTCTTGACCATGAACCCCCGCGTTGGATCAAAAGGCAACCCCTCCTCCCTGGTCGACGTCTAATCGGGATACCTGCTTGAGTGGAAGGGTTAACGAATTCCCGGGTAAGGAACCCTGTCGTCCTTTGCAGGTGTCTGAGGGTCAAAGGTCATTGCGTGCCTCGTCTACATTTATTTTCAAGTGACAAGGCAAGACCATCTTCTATGCCAAGAGTTTCCCAGTGCCCCCAGTTGTCGAGACTCTTTTTGGTCAAGTAGAGGTGGATGTGCTCGGATTGCATTGAGATTGGTTCTTTGTCGTGTGTTCCATGTAATCTTGAGATGTCTGATCCGGACAAGATGGGCGTTTTCCCAAGACTATTGAGATGACGAATTCAATGAATAGATGTTGGATGTTGGCGAGCTGCTATTTTGCTACATTTATCCAATGGCCACACCTTTTTCATCAAGTTAGCTAGGCCTGCTAGTTTGAGAAATGTATACTATATCCTCTCTTGAAGCTATTGGGGCGTGATCTCGATAGTCATATACTGCCAGTATAAAACGACTTGTAAACTCGAGCCTAGATTGACAAGATTCCAAAAGCTACAAGGGCAGAACAGATCTATGCAATCAGAGGGTGTGGGCAGATGATCTATACAGAGTTTACTTTTTATAATATCCCATCGTGGCCATGGTCTGGATATATCAGTCCCAGACGGCTGTTCGAATTGGCATAATCTTTATGACACGACAAACTCCATGGATATCATCTTGTCATGGTGCATCCAAGGTACCCAGCACGTACCCAACCAAGCGGTGGCCAACCTTGGAGGCTTTGACGCTCGACTCGTGGCAAAAAGTGCCCTTGCCTTGATCGTATTGCAATTAGATGGTGGGCGAACAAGGCGAACAAGTACTTGGACATCATGGCAGGTACGCAACAAACAATCTCGTTAGTGATGATATAACGACATGCCCGTGGATATTCGAGATCAGGTCATATCCCGAGAAATGCCACAGACAGGGAGAGCACTGCAGGTTGAACCAGTCATTGCAAACTTGACCCGACACAATCTGCTGACGAGCTTGTCACCAGTAATGGCTGATCAAAACGAAAGAGTTTGGTCAGCATGGATCAATGACAAGCTGCAAATATCCATGCCACACAGACGCTTGGATATATGAACACACGTTTTTGTTTTCGCATTCAAATCACGTGGAAATCCAGCACGACAATCACGAAAGAAACGCTTGACAGATACAAATGTTCCCTACAAGCACAAATCGTTGCCTCATCTAAAACGAGGACAACGGCATGAACCCGCAGGCGACCTCGCAAAACGATTGAAGAGTCGTTGAATACGAGGCCGGTTTGTTTACTATTGCTTCATTGTCCACACTTGCTCGCTGTGATGACAGTTCGAGACGGCAAGCTCTAGCATATGTTGAAGCGGAGGATTTGTGAGGTCCCACAAGTAGGATCTCGAGGGAACTTTTCAATGCGTACACACACAAAAAAAGACTCGAGAACGAGTCGTCAAAACTGTGCCCCGAGAGGCTGCAACACGATCCATCTTACCAGATGAAACGCAAAGCTGTACAGTATCAGAGACGGAACAAACCTTGGTAAAGAGACATGGCGATCGCTATATCGAGCGGTTTGCCTGTGGGATAGTTGCTGAAGACTCTGAAGCTCTTCGATTGTGTTGAAGCAGAAAGGAAAAAAAACAAAAGTCGAAATTTTGGCGTCAAATTTTAGAGGTAACGCAAGTGGATCCAAACGGGTACGCACAGTTCAGAGGACAGTGCTCCCACTCCTATAAACAGTATGTCTCGGCGCCGCACCTTGTGCATAAACATGACAACAAAATCGCAAGCATGGCATAGGCAAGGAATCACTTGAATATAATTGTTACTATGGATGGTCTGTCATGTAGAATCCATTATTGAGCCATGTCGTGTTACCAATCCTCACCATGCGTCATACAATGAGCGACTACTTGTCAGTTCGTGTCTGCAAGCTCACTTCCCACCGCAGGCTGTTTCCCTTTCCATAGCCCTCTCCAAGTCTGTTTTGCACAAGGTTGGATATGCGTGTCCGCAGTTTGCTCAATGTTCCATCGTCACATCCCCTTGGTACGCATACCTTGACATTGGCCATGCAAACACCATAGTGTACCTGCCAAAACTGAGCCTCCTCGACTCTCTTGACACTTGGTTCAGTCTCAATCTCGCTCACCACATCAGCAACGCCAATGTCCTGGTGCTTGCCAGAGGCACTAGACCGTCCGCCGTACGACATGAGCAACATGAGACCCTGGGCAATTGCAAGCCTCGTTCCGAGTCCAAACATGGAAATGGCCACCAGTCCGCAGACTGTGCTGTCCAGCCAAACGTGAATCGGAATGGAGAGGAGGGGTAGCAACAGCAAGAGGAATGCCGTTGACAAGGTCAGGAAATGGAACGGATTCGACAAGATGCTCGGCAAGCTTGCCAGATAGCTCGTACGCATGATCCTACTGATTCGTCCATGATTCTTCAAGCCATAGGCGCTGACAAGTGTTGCAATAATGGCCACCAGGCTGGTAATGTCCAAATGTCCTGGCTGTACTCGAGGTCCATGACTGTGAGGGTCCGGATGATGCGACTCATGGTCGCCCAATCCTTCCAACACGTGCTTGAGGTTGTGGCTCACCAGGTCAAAGCCGCCGAATATCAAAAAGACGCTCGTGGCAAAGCCAGCCAGTACCTCTGCTCGCTCCAAACCAAAAGGATGACGGATACTGCTCCGCTTCCAGACCTCAAAGTTGCCCAGGACATCCACAGCCACGCCAATCAGGGCGCTGCCGACATCAAAAAAGACCAGATGCGATAGAGCGGTCATGGCGAGAGAGTTGTGTGCCGATAAAAAGATGGAAACTGCCACCACCAAGTGACAACAACACCAGTACAGCCGACGCCGCTGGTCAATCGACATGGATTTCCATGCCTCCTTTAGTGTGGGTATCGGCAGGTCGCGAGGCAAGGCCAAGGGCGCTCGAGGCGGTGGTTCGAGAAAGATTTGATGTTGTGCAGATATAGAACTGTGCTTGTATCTGTGACCTCGGCGCTGGCCAACATTGGGCTTGACGGGCGATGTCGATATAACTTGCGTCTGAAAGTTGAATGGATTGGGCGCGGTTATCTCAATCGGGGGCGTGTTCTCCTTGCTAAAGGAGCCACCGAGACCTGATGAGCCATTGTACGCCATGTCCGACGAAAACGTGGGAGACAAGAGGCCTGGGCTGTGCTGGAATGTCGGCGCTACAGGAGAGAGACGGTTTGGGTCGTAGAAGAGATCTTGATGACGTTGGGGTGCGTTATCATGCCCCGAGAGTCCGTCAGGGACGTGCAAGAGCGGCGCGCTGGTATTACTCTTGTGGCTGCTTCGCTTGCCGGATCCAGGACTGTTGTCTGGTCGCTCGGGCGAGGATGGTAGCAGTTCTATGCTAGGAGAGCTGACGGTAGGTATGGGTATGGGAGGGGGACGGTGACTGCCAGGAGCCATTGGTGTGTATCGCGCTCGTCGAGGGGATCATGGAAGATCCTCCTCTTGTGGGCGAAAGAGTGGACAGGGACCACTGCGTAGTCAGTACGCCGTGTATTCGGTAGTGTAGTATCTTTAGGCTAGGATTTAGCCATTTGTCTCGCTGGACTTGTACCTGGCGCTTAGCCCAATACAGGCATTTGGCAACCTCGGAACTGCACGTTGAGCACGAATGCAGAAGGCGACCAATCGTTGTTGTCTATCCGCGGTGGAATATGTCTTGTCTGCTGTCTTGTAACAAGGTGTGGTTGCTGTCATTAAGAGAGTTTGGATGATGAGGTTGGTGATTTGAACACTGAATGTGTAAATGGTGTCTCTCCTTGAAGCACTGCTGGCTCAATGATAGCGTCAGCGGCACAAGCCAGTACCTTCTGTAAAAAATCACTGGGTTTGTCCTGCCAATTGACTTTCCGCCGACTTGTGACCCAGGCGCTGCATCAAAGCCTAGAACCAATGGCGGCAGTAGCTATTTGGGCGTGCGGCTCCCCTCCACACGGCCAGAACCTGCCTGTCGCAACGCTAAAAGCCAAACCATGTACAGGGGGTTGAGTCGCACAACTCCATCAACGTTCCATTGCTTCAAGACGTCTTCTCTTGGTCAGTCCTTGAGCCATGAATTGTTTTGATTTTTGACATTCCGCTGGCGATTCACTCTTGCCAGGAGCACTGACTAGATTCTCGCCGTGGAATCTTGGCCATCTTCCAAGGCAGCATAGGTCACAAGTACCAACCACGCTACATTAGTACTTGCAAATCACAATGGGCGCCGGACCACCTCCCTAATCCACAAATCGACAGCCAAGGTAAACCGTCATGGAGAGCACTCTAGGAACTCCACCAAGGCCAACATCCGCCGGGACTGCCAGTAGCAACAGTCCCGGAGCCGCTGGTAACTCGCCCTCACCACAACCTCTGCAAACCAGAAAGAGAAGCGGTTCCGGCGGTGGGATCCTGTCCAGGCTTCCCTTCATGCGCACCACGGAAAGCAAGTCAAACCTTAAAGAGTCGCGACACGTCGACGTTGCCGAGGACGCCCTGCACCGGTCACCGCGCGCCCTGGCACCGCCGGAAAGTAATGGCCACCAACCAGCCAAGACTCGGCGCCGGAGAGGCTCGCTGAGAAAAGTTGCGCTTCTCGGCCGCGGCATGCAGAGGGAAAGAAGGGAACTCAGGCCAATCATACCCATGGACAATACCTCGACCCACGCCGGAGCAGTAACCCCAGCCCTCGGGGTGCAGACAGGGACCGACGGCGCAGCAGCCGAGGCGGCAGAGATTGTCTCCAGCCCAGTCTCGATGGATTCTCCCGGTATTGGCTTGGGAATTTCCGACGATAATACACCACGCGCGTCTGTCGACGGGTTCATGCGCCGAAGCGATATACTTGAGCGACCGCCGCCTCGACCGGAGCCAGAACCCCAAGCCACGAGCCCGACAATATCCTACACGTCGACCGAGGACGAGGAAGATGGAATATCACTCAAGCAGTATGCTCCATCGCCATTGCGCCCCGGCTTGACTGGTCACTCTTCGGGGTCCGAATCTTATTTCAAACCTGCCCGCGCTCCCTCGCTATCTTTACAACGACGACGCTCGGTCAAGCATACCAAATCACCACTTTCTCTCTCGGGTCTGACGGCATCACCGCTCCCAGCACCTCCCGAGGAGTTTGACTATTCCGAGACGGAATGGTGGGGATGGGTTATTCTAATTGTCACATGGATCGTGTTTGTGATTGGAATGGGGAGCTGTTTCGGCGTATGGAGCTGGGCTTGGGACGTGGGCACAACCCCATATGCACCACCAGAACTTGAAGATGATCCAACCTTGCCTATAACAGGGTATTATCCAAGTTTGATGATTCTAACGTGTATCATGGCTTGGGTGTGGGTTGTCACGGCGTGGGTAGGGATGAAGTATTTCAGACATGCAAAAATTAGTGGTGATTGAGAAATGATGTAAACGAGAAAGATGACGATTGGTTGATTCTAGATACCCTAATGAATTGAATACTTGAGTGTACCATTTACTTGTGCCCGAGGTCTGTCGAGTTTGTAAGGACGTATCATGCCGAGGCATCCAGACGGGTGTACAAATTCACATCAAACACCACCGCCCGAGTTCAGAGGCGATGAAGCATCCAAGAGGTTCATATATTCATTTTATTAGTCATCTCTTTATAGAGAGTTCGGCATTGGATATTGTTTATTATGCTCTGTGTCAGGATCCGAGACTATGCACTCTCTGATGCACTCAAATCTTGCTCAGACTCGGCGGCCTGGAGAAGTAGTCAGTATTCTATAGGTCCGAACCTCTATACCATGTCGTGCATACTTGCTCACTTGAAGTTATTCTTCATTTCACGAAGCTTGGCCATGACGGCCACGGGATCCGTCTCGCCAGTGGCTTTTTGAATTTCGGGGTCCTAATTTTTGTTCTGGTCAGTGGATTGCATTTCCAATCTTGTACAGTTTCGTCATGACATGCCTCGACGCGCATAAAGACATTGTGTTCCTACAGAGATGATTAACAAGTGGATATATAGAATTCTCGACCGAGTATGATACCTTTTCGTCACCAATGGTGAATTTGCCCTGCGTCTCCTTGTTGTTCTCGGCATATGACTGGAGCTTCTTGATGGCCTCGTTTTGCAATACAGAGACGCCGAATTTGACGTTGGCCTTGGTATATTCGTGGCCAGGCTGTCACGCAATGATTTGTCAGTCTTGCACCTTTTGATAGTGGAGATTGCCGACTTACATAGACCTTGGTGTCGTCGGGTAACGAGGCCAGCGTCTTGTTTAGAGCCTTGTGCATTTCAGAGGCGCTGCCTTCAAAGAACCTACCGCAACCTGTGACAATAATATTAGTTTTCACCTCTGTAACGAAAACAAATGGCCAACTCGGGATGGCTACGTACCACCGTGAAAGAGGGTATCACCCGTAAAAACAACCTTGTCGTCGCCGTCCTGCATGAACCAGCAGATGCTGTCCTGCGTGTGACACGGGGTATAGAGACCCTTGACGGAGATGCTGCCCAGCTTGAATCCATCTCCGTTGGGCGGCGTCTGGGTTACACCGTCGCACTCTTTTCCGCCAATAATGGGGAGCTTTTCGTTGCCGAGTTCTGTGAGCTACATTTGGTCAGTACTGGATATGGAACAACGCGGTATATTTCTCACCATTCGCTTATTTCCTCCCGCATGATCCCAATGGCTGTTTCCCGCGTCAACATGATATCAAAGAGACTCGGACAATGGGTCATTTTTACTGGTGGGTATTGACAATAGCAGTCAGGTTGATTTTGCCATCCTGAATGGCCTGCTTCAAGACGGGAGCAACTCTATCAGCATTGTCAGCATGATTGTTCCTCTGTCAAGAGCATGAGAAGGGAAATCAGGTTCCATACTCGTCGGGATTAGCAGGGTCAATAATAACGGCATCCTTGGACTTGTCGTCAATGACCAGATAGGCGTAGTTGTCACTACTGCCCACCCCTATGAAAGAGTTGAACCTTAGCTCATTGATCCATGACGTTGGGAAACAGCTCAAGCTTACACATGGGAATCGACTGGATATGCATGGCGCGAGAGTATGCGAGCTGTATCGTGATTGGACATGAGCATACACCTTGATGGCAAGTAAACGTCTTGGGGGTTGCTACTAGACTTTTTTGCCTCGTGGGACTTACGGCTGCTGTGAATGTACCAAGTCTGCTGAACGGCGACACTCTAGGTCTCATGAATCGATTCATCAGAGTTCAAATCACGGGTGGTGTCGGGGAATGGGAATATTCTCCTCTCGAGAGCTCCAAATGTATCGAATGGTTGGTAATTGACCTCGCATGATTAGCGATGACGTGCATACCGGGATTATCGGCTTTTGCCAGCCCATCCGCAAATAATGGAGCAGGTGTGGGCAGCTGTTGGAAGCACTGCTATACTACAGAGTATACGATTGAGTATAGTTGGATTTATTCACGACAATATCACGTTTCGTCTACTGACTTTATATAAACCTATACTATTCCAATTGGCTTGGGTTTCCATGTCCCTTCATATCGTGACCAGCCTTTTCTTTGTGGGACAGCCTTGGGCTTTTGCGTCTCCATCACGTCTTGCTGCGGTGCATCGACATGTTGCTGCTCGTTCTTGTCCTTGGCCGAGCTCAGCTTTTCCAGCTTGCCATCCAGAATCTCTTGCGAAAACTGCAACGACCGCAAGAGCAATCGCGGATCCTCTGCAGATTCGCCAAGCTCGTCGAGGGTCCGAAGCAGAGTCGACTCATCCCATTGATGGAGACGCTTCTCGAGACCCTTTTTTCCAACATCATCAGCAAGTAGGTACGCCGATACCACGTCGCTACACGAGGTTCCGCCCTTGACATGATCCGCAGCGGTATTACCACCACTGCCAGCCCCAGAGTCAAAATCATCATCGCTCAGGTGCCTCCAATAATAATCCCATATCCAGATCAATGACTTTTGGGCCGCCGATCTGAGCTTGAGCAGGGAAGGCAGCTGCTCGTGGGTGCACTGATGTCTGAGTTCGACAAATGTGGCGGGCAGGCCGATAGTTTTGGCTATCGAATACATGCTCTGCTTCATTTGCTTATCCTGGTGACTGTCCAGCAGCCCCGTGACGAAACTGCGGTGTGGAAAAGAAGGAAGATTAGTGACACCAACTCGACAAAGGATGAAGGAGGAACAGATGAACGCAGTGCGGTAATAAACAAGACACTTGGACACCACTTTTGAGCATGCCTCTGTCTCAATTGTCCGTTCACCGGATGAAGATCAAAAAAGCTCAAGCCCTAATTTGTCTTTCATCTGCAAGACAATAGACGAGAAAAGCAAACCCGAGATATTCATCCCCGAGTCCGTGTTTTGGGAATCATGCCTGCCGTACATGTCTCACTTTCTTTCCATCCCGGTGCCCATTGAGACCTGATCAAGATGGACCAAAAGCTTATAGTTATGCATCAGGAGCACGAGGCGTCCGGAAAACGCGGGATGAATCAGGAACAGAGCCAAAAACCACCATGATACAAGAGAGGCAAACCATGATGTCCCAAAACGAGTAAAGGGAGTGAGACAAGAAGAACAAGAACGTACCGACTAAAGGCAGCTGAATAAGCCAACCTTACAGCAGATGTGCTACCGGCCCCAAGACCACCGGAACTCGCACTCCGCGCCTCATGCACCAAGAGGTCATCCAGAACGGCAGCCATGAGCAGGCCCGTGGATTCCACCATGTGCGGACAGCTACCTCGCTGCACCCACATGGCGACGCGCGAGACTGCCTGTCGTCGCTGGTCCGTCTCTGTCCTCGTCTTTGCATTTTCCACGGTGAAGCTGACTATTGTCGTTGTGCCCGGCAATGATGTAGTTCCAGACGATCCCTTGACCGAAGCAATGGTGTTGGCATTGGGCGGTGCTGGATAGAATTGATGGCGGACCTTGAGCAGTTCGGCCCGGTCCCGCCATGGAGTATGAATATATTGAACCATGACTACCAAGAAAAGAAAGTAAAAGACTTGAAGTGTTTTGAATTCCTTTTCCCTCGTTATTGTATTCTGATGCTGGCCAAGAGTAGATGCACCAAGATCTTTAGGAATTTCACTAGTAAAATCGGGCAACGGCCTGTCCCGCTAAAAAGTTCTTGGGTTGGACCCTGGAACAACCGCAAAAGTACCTACAGCTTGACTTTTATACACGGATTTGCAGTCACGAATAATTTCTTTTTACACGTCTTCTTGTTCTGCAAGTCTCACATTTCTCTTTTGTCTACCTTTTGTCTAATCTATTATTTTTGTCATGCCCCATTGGCCATGGACTTTTCGATTACACACGGATGGCTCGATACTGAGATACCGCCACCAACCTACGAAACGGTCTTTTCAACCAGGTAGATGCCGTACTTTTCCTTGAGCTCCTTCATCAAGGGGTCGTTGATCTTGGGGGTCATGGGAGCCAGTACACCCTTTTCGGAAAGAGTGCCGTTCAAAACCTGCTGAACAGCGACGGCGCACGGCACGCCGACAAGCTTGGCCATGGCAGAGTAGCCCTTGGGCTCACCGTACTCGCAGAGAGTCGAGGTTCTAGTCTCGCGGCTGCCGTCCTTGTTCTCAATTTCAAAGCGGTGCTGTAGCATGACAAAGTCACGCTCGTTTTCCTCAAACTGCATCTTCTTTTCCAGGGTGGCGCACAGAGTGTCGAGCGGGTTGCCGCGGGGGATGATCTTTTCATCGGAAAAGATGCCAATCCACCGAAGTCCACCCAGGATTCTTTGCTTCTCCTCCGCCGAGGCAAAGGAGGCCTTGGAGAGCAGAGAAGCCTCGAGGTCGGCCTGGCTGGAAGCCGAAACACCCAGAATAGCCTGGGTGGCCTCCTTCCAGGAAACGGGCTGCTTGAGAATATCGCGCTCAGAGTCCTCGAGGAAGCCAATGTCGACGAGGGTCTTGATGAACTCGGGGAAACCCTGGTATCTCAGAGTACCACGGATAATGGTCTCGGCCTCGGGAATGTCGTATCTGTCTGGAATTAGAACATGGAAGCAGTCAAGGAATCTTTAAATGCTTACCGCTCCTTGTAGGGAGTCGAGTCTCTGTTGGGGTAGGCGACAAAGGCGTAGCCGGGGTAGATAAAGTAGGGCTTGGCAGTAGCCATCAACTCTGGACCGGCAACCTCGACAACCTTGCCGTCCTTCCAGTACTTGGCAGCGTTTCTCAATGCCAACAGGACACCACGGGGCGACCAGGAGAACTTGTAGCCCAGAGGGTTGTCCGAAGCCTCGGGAGCAGGCAGACCACCGCAGTAGCTGAGGAAGCTGAGGATCTTGCCGCCGGCCTTGTGGACCTCGTCAATGGTCTTGACAGCGTACAAGTGGTCCAGACCGGGGTCAAGACCAATCTCGTTCATGACGGTGATGCCAGCGTCCTTGCACTGCTGGTCAAGCTCCATCATGGCGGGAGAGACGTAGCTGGTGGTGACGACATGCTTCTTTTGGCGAATGGCCGACTTGATGACGGTGGCGTGAAAGGTGTACGGGATCAAGCTAATGACCAGGTCGTGCTTGGCCACCTCGGCGTCGAGGGCTTGGTCGTTGGTCACGTCGAGGGAGATGGGCGTGGCATTCTTGACACCGGCCGACAGCGACTTTGCAGATTCGAGGGTTCTGCAAGCTGTTCGACGAGGGTGAGCAGATTGTACGAGTAACAAGAAACAATGCTGACAGGGCAATGGTGCTTACCAACAGTCACGGGGATACCCGCCTCACTCAGGATATCGAGCGTAGGTCTCGTGACGAAACCAGCGCCGAGCATCAACACCCTATACGGGGAAATGTCATGGTCAGTATCATACAAGGACAGGAGCGGCGATGCGGGGCAGCAAGCCGAATGATCGGAGCAGTCTGTGTCGGCAAAGGTTGTTCTCTTACTTGTGGGACGCCATTGTGAATTGTAAATGTGTAGTTTCTGGACAGTATCCTTCTCTCCTGTTCCACGCAAGATCTATGACGGACGGGGGGGAATTAGACTATTGTTTTGATTGTCCTGTTTGTTGTGGTTTCTACTGCTACAGCCTCAACTCTACAGTGACTTTTTTTTTTTCGGAGGGGTTGTCTTGAAGCTCCCACCAAGCACTCAAAATTCTGAGGTGGGGTGCGTCCGATGACGGCAGAGCTGCTCAGTGTTTGACTCAGGCCGGCCGACTAGAGCTTGCCAGGCTGCTCAGACGACTGGAAAAATTTCCATCAAGAAGCACCATGTTCCTCCAGTATTATCTCATAGTGTCCAATGCTGCAGCTGTCGATCAAAGCATATTGTCTCCAACCTAGACTATCCGCTGCACTCACATTTGCAGTTGGTGGTGTCTGCCTTTTTAGTCTCGCTTCAAACGGCCATGAAGTCATTTCAGCTTTTGCGTCGTAGTTTTGGTTGCATGTCAAGTGTCGGTTCGGATTTGATAATGGTTTCAATCCACTTTACTACTCGAAAACATTCTATACTAGGTACTATGTAGTCTGTTTTCTCTCGTGCGGGACTAGAGTCCTAAAATGCTACCGAATAGAGTAGCAGCGCCGGACATGCCGGGGCGTTTATCCAGCACGGCTATCGGGTAGTGGTTCGTCACTTGGCTTTTTGAAGATCACAGGTTTCGGCAATGTCATGCCATTCATTGATTGTCCATGATCTCGTTACACATAACCGGGCCAGTACTTTGTATGTAGCATGAAAAATTACGGTATTACTAAAGCATGGCCTACCCAGACGGGGGGAGGAAAAAAGATTGACAACGATCCATCATTCATCGCGGGGCACCCACCCCCGTGTCGGAGAGGGGATTCGGCAAGATGAACTCGTACTCTGATCAGCGGCATTCATGCCTCGAAATGGGAAGAGCGTACGAATACGCCCGTGTGGAATTTCTTCTTCTTTCAAAACCGTCGCCTGGCTCTGCTGCATGTTGCTGACAGTAGGCTGGGTTGGTGCTGGTTTGAATAGGATGGATGGATGTTGATTGGTTTCAGGTCATACATAGTAAGTAAGTAGTAGTAGACACAGGACAATCGTGTCAGATGCGGGATATACTATGTATCACTCTGTGGCTTGTGCATGTATCTGGCTTGTCGGTCAGACCGTGGTCTGGCTAGTAGTCTACCATGATGCCTATATCTCGAGCAAATAATAGGTCCAGTCGAGTACTTTGGGGGGCTTTGCAGATCGAGACTGTTTGTAGCGGGTGAGGTGAGTAAAGAAGAAGAAGAAAAGACACTACTGAGCACCATGCACACACAGTTGGGCAATGTACACTTGCACACCCGTGACATGACCTGAACAGTCCGGCGATATCAGGAATGGAAACGAGCATTGATCTGATCTGACGCGGGGGCCCAGTTTTAAAAAAGACAAGATGTTGGCTTTCTCCGATTGGCTGCAGAGGGGGAAAAAGGATGGATGGGGGACCTCACTAGGCCAGAGAGATTTGAGAGGACAGAAGAGATGGAAGAGATATGGGAGCCCACCCCTGTCTGCTCCCACGTTTGCGCTAACTTTAGTCTTTCCAGGGAGGAGGAAACGTTCTAATCCCTGTTCCATGGGTCTTAACAGTTGACTTTGAGGACACTGAGGACTGCTGCTTCCCCTGTATTACGTCTGTCGACCCCCCCTTGCTTAGCGGGCGGGCCCCCGTTCAATTTGTGGGGTGGGGGAGAGAAAAGAGAGCTCGGATGTTCCACCCCTACCCACCCCGTCGTCCATGGGCTCCTTTGCCGACTTGTACCTTGTAACTGAGCAAGCAGTCTGAGCATATTCTGAACTGTGCGTCCCAACCAGCAGGGGTATGCCAGTCTTGGCATTCTTTTTTCAATTCTTGACCCTTTGGGCTGGAACCGAGGCTGGGAGGCTGGAGGTAGGGGTTGTGCTGCACTTGGCTCCGCCCGCCGTTCGCTAGTCTAGTCGTCGACTTTCCATTTGTATGTCAAGTAGGTACGTACCCAGAAAGAAAAGAGAGGAGAAAAAGGAAAAAAGGTACGTACTCGTAGTCTTTTTTTTCTTGGGCAAATTGATGCAGATGCACGGCATTTCGTCACTTGCCATGTTTTACAATAGTACGTACCGCTCGCAACCATGTGTATCCATCAATATCAATCCTGCTCAGCAGAAGTACGTACGTCTTGTTGGATATCTGAAAAAGTGCAGCAGCCGGCTTGTGCGGATAATGTTTGTTGTATACGAACAAGAGGCCAAAATTGTGAGAGAAAAAAAAATTCATCACATGGCAGCAGAGAATAGAGAATAGTTTTGAGACGAGATATCTTGATTATTTTTTTTTATCCCATGGTGAATGATTTGACAAATCAAATCACCAAAGTTTCTTTTATATACTGTTTTACTATTTTCTCGATGCACTCGGAGGTAAATGGTGCGAGGCATTAGTAGTCGTGGGCAAGTGCCAGACGAGCTTTTGAACATCTCTCGACCCTTTTTTGGGGAGATGTGTTGGTGGGTATCATAATATTCAGTCGGTGAACAGCATCTCAACCTCCTGGGCTGGATGGTTTGGTTCGACAACGACCTAAGAGTCATCCTCTGCGTCCTCTTCTTCTTCATCTTCATCTTCATCCTCATTGGATGACTCGTCATCCTCCTTGGGCGGTTCCCAGGCCTCCTCCAACTTGAGGCCGGCTCCCTTTCTGTAGGTTGAGCCAAGTAGATCAGAGGTTGATGTTCTGTAGTGGTCCAACTCGGGGTCCGTGTCTGTCTTATCATCGTACAGTCCCATGCCCACCAGGATTTCTCCCTCCTCCTCAGGCTCATCCAACGCTTGGTACGGAATTGACTCCTCTGCAGGCAAAACAGGCTCTGGCTGGTCAATTTGTTGATACGTCTCTGGCGTAGGAGGTGCCGTGCATGTGTTGAAGCCGTTTGTCGCAAAGGCATCCCATTCCATGGCGCTCTGAGTCGCAAATGCTGGGAAAGCCTCGGTAGCGTTGGGGCTTCCGCTCGTGGACATGTGCACCGCATTCATATACGAGCTGGTATCCCACGAGCAAGTGTCCATTTGTGGTTGAAGTGGCACTTGGGGTTGAGCCGAGGCCGCAAATGGTAGAGCGAGGGGTGAAAATGTTGATACAGGTGAAGTGTGTCCCGAGTAGATGGCTGGGGTGGGAGGGAATTGTTGATATCCAGAGTAGAAATCCATATCCGATGGAGTGGTATTGGGCAGAATATATTGTGATGCATCAAATTGTGGCATCTGTTGAATCTGCATTTGAAATGGTTGTTGCATTTGTGTAGAAGGGTGCCAGCTCATGGGTCTTGCTGTCCTCTTGACTGGTTCTTGATAGGCATCAAAGGCTGGTGTTGTTGCAGCGGCGTTTTGTAGTTGTTGTTGGAGTATGGCCTGGTCCAGAGCATATTGCCGCCGCCTGGCCAGGTTACCATCATTCATCATTGTCCTCCTCCTCTGTGCCATGGTCTGAGGGCTGTTGCTGGCACTGCTGGGCTTGACGATACGCATCGAGTTGTTGGGCTTGTAACCACTTGATGAACTTTTGGATATCCTCCTTGCTGATTCAGATGGTGTGTGTTGTTGTTGTGTGGAAAAGTCGTCGTAGACGGGCATCATGGGAAATGCCTGGACAGCATGATCGGACATGCCCATCATGGGCATGGACTGCATCATGTCGACTTGTAAGTAGTTGAAAGGTGATGGGATATTAAAAGGTTGCAAGTATTGTTGAGTAAATCATCACAAAGGGTGTATGAGAGCGAAGGGAACCGGGAGTTTTGTATGCATGTATGGAAAAAGATCATGATCCACTTTGGAACTATACAAGGCCAAGGAATGCTCGATAGTATTGGTTTAGAACCAAGGAGATTCTCCAAATAAGGATTGATCAAACCTAACATGGTGTGGTCAGACTGGCATATGGATTATATTAGTCGTTGGAGCCGAGAAACACACTACAGATGGGGAATCACTGTCTGGTTTGGCATGTGTATGCAAGTCTAGAGTGTGTGTCCGCGCGTGTCCCTAGCTCCATCTGTAAGACAAGCAGCGGCTCGTAGCGTAGCTCTGCGTCATATGGGACCGGGCAGGGATGTCAAGGGAAAAGAAAGAACAAAAAAAAATAGTAAAAAAGAGGATCGCAACACCAAGGCCCGGACCAGGGGACGGGGCGGGATGGTGATGGTAGCATTCTTGACTAGTAGTGGCTGTATGTACTATGGAACACAACCCAGGCCGTAATGTGCATGGTGTAAAAGTGTAGCGTAGTGGGTAGAGCCAACGGGTCTGGTGCTTGGTGGCAGTCACCTCACTTCTGCAAGGCGTGTGAGGAAAAAAAAAAGAATAAATGGTCCTACATATTTGGGGTGTACATTATAGCACGATACCTGGGTACATCCATGACTGTCCCGCTTCTAGTCGGGCGGTCAAAGAAACGGGTTTCGAAAAGGTTCAAGGGGCTCGGTCGCCAACCCAAGGCGTCTCTCTCTTTGCTGATACTCCATGAGCCATCGTCTTGCCTTTTCCGTATGCAGTCCATGGGCGGAGTGGCCCCCCTTGACCAATCCGAGATGGAGGGAAGAGGGGGTGAGCAAAAGGCACGACTTGGTAGTTGAACCATTTGACGACTGGGCTCTTTCCAGGGTGTGTGCGTAATCTTGTACCGGAATGTGGTTCTCCAAGCGCAGAGTTTTGATTTGCTTTTGTCATGGATTCTCTGCCTTCAGGGGTCAAGACAGGGCAAGGGGTGGTGTCGGCGCAGCAAGGGCAGGAAAAAGCGCAAAAAGAAGCACAATGAACCTTTTGAACC